ACTTAATCATTAGAATCTTATTATTTTACACTAATTATAGATATCACCCGAGGTTTCTAAAAACATTATTAGAAAAGTAATAAGTTACTAATATAACTGAGAATATTATTATATTTATAGAAAACATATATCTACAGTTATCCTAAGATATTGAGTTTATGAATTTATACAGTAAAATATACTATAATCATAAACACAGAAGAGAACCTGATTTTAAAAGAGGAAAAAAGATATTCTTACTTTACAGAAATATTAAAATAAAATAATTAAGTCAGAAGCTTGATCATCACAAGCTAGGACCATTTGTTATTAAAGATAAGAAAGAACTAGTTAACTACAAGTTAAGATTGCTAAAATCAATAAACAGAATTCACTCAGTATTTTATATCTCATTATTAAAACCTGTATTAAAGAACACTAGAATCACAGAGAATATGGAGATTGATAATAATACAGAGAAAGAATATAAAGTTAAAAAGATCCTGGATCACAAGAAGATTAGTAGCAGGCCAAAATATCTAATAAAATAGAAAGAATATGATATCTCAGAAAACACGTGGGAATCTATCAAGAATTTGACAGGCTGTTATCAGCTTGTGGAGCAGTACCATCAACAGACAGGTCAAAGTTCGCCCAGAATGAAGGGGAACCAACCAACTGAGTCAGACTAGGAGTGTCTGATGCAGCGGCAAGTTGAGCGGCGTCGTGTTTGTCAGCCAGACGCTCTAGCTCCCGGAGATCCTCAGCGCTTAGAGGATCCTCCTCATCCAGCCGCCCCAACACAGTCAAGTCGTGATCCAACATCCGCTCGCCATGATCTTTTGAGAACTGCTGTTGCTTGAACAAGCGAGCCACTTTGGCAGCAATATGGGCCTGTTCAGCAAGGGCCTTAACAAGTTTGTTTTATATATCTGATTAATTATATTTTAATTTATTCCACTCCTTATCACTGTAAAATTGTTTTTCATATTTTCAATCATAATAAATACAGGCAGCACAATTTCAGCTTTTTAAATCCATAATATAAGAAATATCTCTCAGAAAACAATGTTTACAAAAACTTTTAGTGATAAAACTATTATCACAAATCTTATTAAACTAATAAATGTATTTCTTTATCCGATTACGATTAGCACAATGATACGACATGATAAATTATCATAAGAAAAAAAGAAATTAAGAAAACTCAACCGACACAGAAGAAACATGTATCTTTATATTTCTTGAGGATAAGAAACCTTGAAGGAGGGAGAGTGATGTTACAGACCCCTACTAGCCAGATTACTAGCAGAAGCAGACTCATCAGGCAGAAAGGTAACGACCAGGAAGAACTCAGGCAGCCAGTAACTCTTATTAAGTAAGATCCCGGTTGGGATAATACCTGAGGCAACACTGTGTTACATGACCATCTACTATCAGATCTATCATTGAGGGTATACGACATGGTATACGGAACCCAGGAACATGATTAGATTGACCCTCGGTCTACCCTGAATGGTATACGAAATGATATATGAAGGATAGGATATAAGGATACTCTTTCATATACTTAGCTAGTTCTGTTCTTCGTGCTCAATCTAATTATCTTTAAGTAACCATACGTTTTGATAAAGCTTAGCAACAACACTTGTCCGCACTTACTTACGGATAGCTGCGCGGCACTATCTGGCCTTACTTCTCTTCTCTTGTTCAGATCAAGTCACCTTTAGATAGTCAACAACCTGACTACCTTTGATTCAGTTCACAAGGTACGTATTGGAACGGGAGCTAAGCTAACAGGAACAGGGAGAAGCGATCCTAGGGTTTGACAAAAGATATAAGAAGAAAAAATTATAAGAATTGAAATAATACTGAAAGTATTTATAAAAAGAATTATAGATTATAAGTTACAGATATTAATATATAAGACTAACTTAATAGTAATTTATAAAAAGAAAAAAGTAAGTAAATAATAATATAAAAAATTATTCTTAATATTATATAAAAAATAATTAAAAATAATACAAAAAAAATATACTACAAGTAGAACAGCTTATAAATAATAATTAAATAATAATACTTATTATAAATTAATTACTATTAAAAATAGAAAAGAAAACTGTATATACAAATTCATAGAAAAAAGGTTAGAAATAAAAAAGAAAAATGTAGTAGAGTTAAGAAAGTTATAAAAAAAAGAAGAGAAGATATTTTAAATAAATCAAAATTAACATAAAACACTGGTAAAGCCCTGAACCCTGAGCCCTAATTTATATTTAAAAAATATAGAGAATCTATAAAAAAATACAGGATCCTGTAAAAGTAAGAATAGTAATAGATATAGATTAATCGTGAGAACATAAGATAAAAAAAGCTAATATATAATACAAATATTAGAATTAAAGAGAATCTAGGCTTGCAGAAAGTTGGTTAAGAAATATAAAAAAAATTAGTTAGATACTTGTAAATAGAAAAAGAAAGATTAATTTTTTTTACAGTAGATACAAGTAGAGATTTTAATAATATTTATTGAATATATAAAAATGTATATGTATAGTAGTTTATATAAAGATATTATTATAAAGAAAGATTAGTTATTACAGATTATCTATTACTCGTGGCCTTGGAAGTCAAGATCTTATAAAAAAGAGATAATTATAAAAATATATATTCTTATAATACTTGCAATAAAGTTATATTATAAAAGATATTTATATTAATATCAGCCTTGTCATAAATCTTAATTAGTAGAATATAGAAGTTATATATTCTATAATCTACTTGCGGATATAAGTATCTGTGAGAAGTAGAAACTAGATAACTAATAACAATATCTTAAGAAAATACATCTGTACATTTGGTATATCACAATACAGACATATTCTTCACACTACCTCAACCTTTCATCCCTTATATTATCTTAGTCTTTACTTTTCTGAAGACCTTCTCTTTATTCTTTATTTAGATTCTTATTTTTATTTTCTAGTCTTTTTACTCTCTAGCTACTTTTCTAATCTTAATTTTTTTTTTATTATTTTAATCTCTAACTTAACTTTTCTAATAATAATATTCTTTTTTATAGTTATGTAAAGAACCTTTCTAGGGGAAAAAGTCAGAACAATACCATAAGGCCATCATTACCCGCAGATACTTCTGTGGACCCCTAGAGTCCCCTATATACTCAGGTACACCCTGGGAGGAGGTGGGCAACAACCCTTGTAAGGACTCACTTCCTTACAATTACCTCTACTGCCTCTATATCAAGCTATTTTAATATTATTTTTTAGATTGTAATTACTTTTTCTTTTTTCTTAAAATATTTTTAAACTTTCTTTTAAACTATCTTCCAAGTTGTAAGCTTCTTCTCTCTTATTTCTAATCTTGTTACTCCAGTATTCTCTACTATTAAAATATTATTAATATCCATTTATTTAGACTTTTCAACTCTTTATATTTTCTAAATACTTTAATAGACTTGTTTTATTATTTTAGTAAAAATAAGGGATAATTCAGTATTAAAATTACTTTAACTTTACCAGATAAACAGTATAATAAATATATCTTTAAGACTGTTATTTCTAGAGATATATTTCTATATTTAATTATTTATAAATATTATTTCTGTAATTAATAAAATTATTATCTTAAAATAAGATCAGATAGAATAGTATTAATTATAAAACTATTTTATAACTAGTCTTACTAGTATTTTTTTAAATCTTCTTCTTATATTTCAGATAATATTTATTTTAGATATAATGAATACTTTTATAGTTAGTATACTTTAATGCTTTTTATTATCTAGTTACTCTGCTTAAATATTTACAAGTCAAATAATTTTTTATATGATAAATATAAATAATTTGATTTTAGTAAATACTTTTTATGTAATTGAATTATTAATATATATAATATTAATAAATTTATATGATTTAATTATATTTCTTTATTACCAGATACTCTGAGTCCTATAGAATCTTAAAATTAATTATTATATTAATTATTATTCAAATATTAACTTTATCATTAATAAGAATAATTCCTTAGAGACTGTAAGATAGAGTAATAAGTTACTTTATATAAATAATTATAATATCTTTTTAATAAAAGATATTATCAATAAGCAGTACTGTTTTAATCTCTCTTAACTTATTAAAATTAACTAACTTAATCTGGACTCTGTATACTATTATTTTGTTATAAAAGAATATAAATAATTGCAGTCTTTTAAAATTATTAAATTTAGAGAGAATAATTTTATATAATCTAAGTCTTTATAATAAATTAAAGATTAAGTCTTAAGTTATCTGATCTAAGTTATTATATTATAATAAATTTATTATAATTAAGAAACCAGATTCTTAAATATAATTAAAGATTATATATACTTCTTTTACTCTTTTTAAAAGGTTTCTACTTATTAGTTAACGGAAATAAAAAGTTCTATTCTTATTTATCTTTATTATCATTTGTAAGTACTTAGCAAGCTCAGAAAAGATTATTCTAGATAATCTTAATTATATTAATATAATAAATAGACCTTTTGAATAATATTAACTTAACTATAAATATTATCATATATATTAAATATTAAGGATTTATTTATAATCTCTAAAATATAAAGTTATTATTTTATATTAAGCTATATTATTTTAAGCTTCTAATAAGTCTATTTTTAATTTTATTATTATAATTTTTTAAAAAAGTTTTTTAGAAGATTTATAAGAAATCTTTAAATAATTTTTATATAATTAATTACTTTTTTAAGATTCTGATTCTGTCTTTCTTAATATATCTTAATAAGATACTGATATTATATTATAAATTTATAATATATTCCTATAGATATACAGAATCTTTTTCTGAGATAGTTAAATAAGCTATCTCCCAGTATTAGACAGTATTGTTATAATATAATAATAAACTTAGTATTATAAGATAGCTGCTATTATAAGAAGAAACTTATATTAATTTCAGATGCCTAGGGTGTTGCATTGTGGCATGATTTCAAAAATTTGATTCTTGCGCGAGTTGTGTTTTTCAGGTGAAGCCACAGGTGGCGTGTTCATGCATGATACAACTATATCCTGCACCATGTCGGGTTCCTGCATCCCCACATGCACCGTTGCAGATCTGTGATAGAAAGATCGATGCAACTAGCTTGCCACGTATCCCCGTGTCGGGTGTCTATCTAAAGGCGAGAGTTCAAACCCTCGCCATGCCCAGCGGCCAGCTCGACCTCCGCTCGACGAGCATCCTCAGCCTCTTGTGTCTTTCGCCACGCTTCTTCAACCTAAAGGATCATTAGTACCGTCACAGAAAAATAGGGATGGAAGGATGCGAAGACATACATTGTAGCTATACAACCAACCATGACTATCGTCCCACTTGTTTGCCACGATAATAGAAACTGCTTCATCAAAGCTATCCGTTTCCTTGACTGACACGTCCGATTTGGCATACCCGTCTAGTATCTCGTACTAGAGCGTTATCAGCATATGCACAGCTCGAGAGGGGTTGAGATAACGCACCATCGCCGCATAATGCGGAGCCCGAACTCGATCAAAGAGCTCCAGCCCATCGCTGATAGGAAGTCCGCGGTCGTGAGCCCATTTCACTGCGCGGGTGAGGACGTAAACGTCTTCCAGTGCGAAGCCTGCGCCGGCGCCTAAAGGGTGTTAGTCATGAAGTTTGGGTACAGGAGGGAGAGTATACCGAAGGCCCCCGACAAAGCTACATGCAGTTAGCATCATTAATTTAGAACAGGTAGGAGAAACAGACGATGCGACGCGTCCCCGATCAATGCGATCGAGCCGTGAGAGATCACCTTCGACAGTCGGGGTCCGGAGAAGAGGGCAAATTTCTTGACTACTTTTATGTTGTCGAGGACACTTTGCAGCATTGGGGAGAAGTCCTATCCAGATTGTTAATAGGACGGTACATCCTGTGGGGTGTGTAGCAACCTTGTATCGCCAGCTAAACTCCGCCACACTCGCATCCTGCCCCCAACTGACTGGAGCTGTGTCTGCGGTCTGAGGTACTCGAGCTGCAATTTCGTAGACGTTGTTGTTAAGATTGCAGGTGTATAGCCGATCAGCTGGTCCATGCCAAAAGGTTACCGAGTCCGGGATTCCAGGGATGCTGAGAATGTCGCGAGCGTCTGCTAGAGCGCGGTATGCTGTTGTGCCGATGTATTTCAAGCGATGGTCAGGGTAGACAAATTGTCGGACCACCTGGGAAAAGATGTCAGTAATAGCAGAGACTGGATGGAGAGGTATGTTACTGACTGATCGGACACCATCTGCCCCAACGAGAAGATCCACTTCGTCTGTATGTCCGTCTTCGAAGCGGAGGAAGAATGCAGCAGAGGGAAGTTGGGTGACCTCTACAAGTTGACTGGACAGTCGCAGTTTGGACTGGTCGACACCCTTGAGGAGGGCTTTTTGGAGCACGGAGCGCAGTGCGCGAGCATGGAGATAACGTGGAGGCGTGCCTTGATTGGATATTCAGCAATGTGCCAGAGATAAATGCTGAAATACTAACCTTCTTGCCCTTTTGATAACAATAACTCTCCCGTCCGTCCGTTTCTATGGATCCTGAGAATCAAAGCGGCATGATATAGTTTGGTATGCACCCACCGATGCTGAACCGCATGTCCATCGGCCGTGCGAAACAAGTTCTTAGGATCGATGTTGTCATACACCCCAAAAGCATCGAGCATGCGCCATGTATTTTGTTGAATGCTGATTCCCGCGCCAACTTCACGCAGCTCCCGAGCCTGTTCGTAGACACGTACGTCTACAAAGGGCAACTTGGCAAATTCGATGGCTGCACCAAGGCCTGCTGGACCAGCTCCAATGACAGCTACCCGTAGCTTGGTTGATGTGTCTGATTCCGTGGTTGACATTTTCTGGTCGATTGTAGGGTGGGATCGGGATGTTGATTGCGGAAGATATTAAACTGCGCTCACTCTGACGGATAACGCGGTTCTTAAATGATTGATTGAACTGCGACATGGGGTTAGTTCCGGGTTCTAGACAACACGATAAGCTTGCTAAGGTGAGGAGAAACATGATGTTGACCTATTATCGATCGTGCAATGGGATGGCGTGATTGGCGCTGGAAGTTGCGTGGAGCGGCTTCTGTACATGAGGGCGGGGCTTGTACCTGATCCCGACTGTTGAACCACTTTTAATCTGTAAATAGACACTTGTAGCAAACGAAGTCTCCTTTGTGACGCTCGGATAAACGAAGTTGGTCTGTAATTTATTGCGTCGCTATTCTCACAGTACGGAGGTACTAACCCTAGTCCACATCATACACGCAGTTGACACATTGGTTGACAATCGGGTGACATAAAACCATCATCTCCCTCCTCCTGACTGAGGAGGCCTTTGATGAGGAACGAATAAATCATTGATCCTTTCTGGCTCGAATTGGTAACTGCCAAAAGTTTCTGCTAAGTCTGTGTCATTGTAGTTCCTTGTCAGTGGGTCGTGCAAGTCTTTTCATGTAGAAAGATGATTGTTGTCACTTTCTGGATCCTAGATCGATGTCAGTAAGAATATCTACGAGTCAAATATATGCCAATGTCCTATTGATGGAGATACCAGGGGAATGATGATATCCCGACATCAAACGCCTGACTTTCGATTTGTTTGGGGGGCTAGAATGCCCGATTTCTTTTAGTGAATCAATTAAGGCTTGCTTCCTGAAAGAAGTAACTACTCACGAGTCTGTACCACAGCGATCCAGCCATCAAATTAGTATTGAATATACCAGTGGCTGAGGCATCTCCCTGAAGGGCACGTGATGACAGCTTTCGTAATACAGGCGCTACTCCAGAAGGCCGGCGACACCCTTCATTCCGATTCGCCCACTCCTCGATATCAACAACAAAGCGCTGCGCAGTATCTCTCATCGCTCAAAATGCTGTGAAGAACCCGGCGTTCTGTTTTACGTGGATCAGTTCCAATTTGTCTCCGAAATCTCGCCTCAAGGCCCTCGATCAATGCGTCGAAAGGGCGTCCGTTGCTGACGAATTTTCACGAGCCGGCTTTGATGAAAGACCACGGCCGGAGATAGGATAGGTATTTTTGTGCCGGTCATCTCCGCACCTGTTGGATCGGATGCTGATGATGGTGTAGTTGTGGGGGTGGGCAATTCCCTTGACGCGCCAAAGCTTGGGTGGGGCGCCGCTCCTCCAGGGTGACCCGAGGCAGCCACGGCTTTATGTGTGGAAGCGTCACAAAACCAGGGGATAGGCTGGAGGACCAACACGTCACTCAGAACCAAAGGATTCAGCATCTCATGTGCCGAAGTTTCTGACTTTCTTCTCGCCAATCTCTGGGTAAGTGGGGCTGTTGTTTTGATACAGAGTCTCGCATCCATAGGAACCCTTCGGGAAGAGCTCAGCAGTTTGACACCGCCTGCCAAAATGAGAAGCCAGGTGATTGGTCCGATAAGGGCATCGTGTCTTATCGCTGGGCCGGCCAAGCTCCTGCACGTGATTCATAGGGGACTATAGAAACGCCTCCGTTCGAGTTATCGACCTTCACAGGCTGCGATTATAGCCAAAGGTTCGGCTCATCGTATACTCCAGGAATCCTGAATTGCCATGAGATAAACACTAGGGCATACATAATATGTTCATCCCAGCCCCTCACTGCTGGCACGGCGGCAATGTTAGCATCGAACGATGGTTGGGTGGCCCGGTGCAGCTGCATTAGCGGCTGCAATGGCGTATCGCCCGCCTGTGTGTGGCTCGCCAGCCTCAGACACAAGGCTCCTTGGACTCTGATAAAACCCCGCTCATTGCACCTCCGGCAGCAATGGGCCCTTCAACCATGCCATGGTGAAAACAGCCATCCTGATCAACGGCTAACAACAAGTATCAACGTCCCATGTTCATCACCCCACAACCCTCCAACTCCATGACACGTACCCCTTCTCTCAACATCCATGACTTTACAGTCGGCTGGATATGCGGACTCCTGGTGGAATACACCGCCGCCCTAAGCATCCTAGATGAGATCTACCACACCGTCACCGGCATCCTACCAGCCAAGAATGACCACAACATCTACACCCTCGGCCGCATCGGCAACCATAACGTCGTGGTCGTCTCTCTGCCCACAGACTCCCCAGGCATAGTATCCGCATCCATTGTCGAGGCAAATATCCGGACCACTTTCCCCTCGATCCAGTTCTCTCTCATGGTCGGAATCGCCGGTGCCTCGCCCCAGCCAAAGAATGATGTGCGCCTCGGGGACGTGGTAATCGGGACAAAAGTCGTACCCTATCTATTCGGCAAAACTACCCCCCACGGTTTCGAATACACGGGATATGTTCCTCGTCCACCGGACATTCTCCTCCGTCGTGTCAATCATATGATGTACCGCTGTATGGTTAATCTGGATATTGCACTACTCATCGAGGAAAAGACCCGACACCTGCCCAATCCATTAAGACGCATGTTTCTACGCCCGGAAATGGCAGATCGACTATACATCTCCGACTACGTTCACGAGGAAGAATGCAATTGCCAGATTTCTTCATCGCCGAGTCCATCACATCTCATATCCCGCGACCCTCGTCCACCAGGCCCTCAACTTGTAGTCCATTCCGGGACCATTGCCTCCGGGGACCAGGTGATGAAGGACGCGCGGACCCGCGACGAGTTAGCGAAACGTTTCAACATATTGTGCTTCGACATGGAGTCCGCGGGGTTAACGCGAGGTGCATTGACGATTCGTGGGATCGACAACTACGCCGACTCTCATAAGAATGATAAGTGGCATGGGTATGCGGCCATGGCTGCTGCGGTGTTCGCAGCGGAGTTTCTTAAGATGGTTCCGGTTGGCGATGTACCTGTGCCTAATGGACCTCCTAACATGACGAATGAGATGAGGGTGTTGATAGATGAGGTTAGGCGGATCAAGGATGGTGCTGCAAATGAGCGGACAGCGATATTGGCCATGAATGCGAAGTTGGGAATATTGGAGCAACGACTGGGGCGGTTGGATCAATTGGAGGAGACGATCAGGAACGTCGAGAGCAAGGTCGATCTTGCTATGGAGCGGCTTTGGAGTTGTGAGGATATTCATAATCGAGTTTGGGCTTCCCCTGGAAGCGAAGGTGGTGTTGTTCAATCGAGTCGCAAGAGATGCCCTAAAGACGTGCACACCAACAGCTGCAGGTGTCAGCTCAAGCCAGCCAAACCATCTCTACCACCAAAGCCTGCCGAATTACGATCCAGGGCTATTACAACGGACAATGAAACCACACTATATTGAGCCCAAAGTCACCCATAAATACATTCAATTCACATAATCCATCTAATCCAATCACCAACCAAACACACCTACTCAACCCTCAACTTCTCCGCCCCAACCATCTCCGCCTCCGCATTCAACGCCCCAATCTCCGCCACCGTAAACGGAATGCCCTCGACCTCCCTCGTCTTCCTGGTTATCTGCTCAATCTCCCCGGGATAATAAATCCTCTCAACCCCACCCATCTTGTCACTCCCCACAACCTTCTGATATAAATAATCCATCCTCTCCTTAAACTCCTCCAACCCCATGAACAAATCCGGCTTAATGGCCACCAAGAAATGGCCCACATCCGCCTCCTTACTAGGATCATACGGGCCCGTGACCCCCCCCGCAAACGCACTTCCCGACAACACCCCCGAGAACACATCCATCATAATCGCCAACGCCGACCCCTTCGGCCCACCCATCGGAAGCATCACCCCCTCGAGCGCCTTCGCCGGATCATCCGTGATGTTTCCCTCCCCGTCCAGCGCCCAGTCCGTGGGGATTTTCTCCCCCCGACGGAGAGCCTTGTAGATCTTTCCCCTCGCGGCAATAGAGGGCGCCATGTCCAGGATAAACGGAGGCGTAGACCCCGCCGGAGCGCCGCAGGCGATCGGAGACACACCCATTAGTTTACTCTTTCCGCCCCAGACAGGGAGCGCAGGCGAGGAGTTGGTGAAGACGAGGGACATCATCCCCGCGTCGAGAGCTTGTTGGACCAGCCAAGCGGACATGCCGAAGTGGTTGGAGTGTTTGATGGAGACGAGGCCGATGCCGTATTCGAAGGCCATGTCAATGGCGCGCGCCATGCCCATGTGGGCGGAGACGAAGCCGAAAGCGTTGTGGCCGTCGATGAGGGCCACCACGGGGGTTTTTTGGATCAGGGTGGGGGTGGCGGTTGGGGAGAGGACATTTTGGCGGATGCGTTTCATGTAGCTGGGGATGCGGTTGCTGCCGTGGGTGTCGACGCCGCGGAGGTCGGCTTGGACCAGGCAGGAGGAGATGATTGTGGCGTGTTCGGGGGAGACGCCGTTTTTGGTGAGGATGGAGTGGATGAATGTTGTGAGGGAGGTGGGCGGGATGTGTCGGATTGAGTGGGAGGGGTCGGTCATTTTGGTGGTGTGGTGTGGTGTGGTGTATTGGGATGGAGTGAGGGTTTGTTTGTGTTTTGTTGGAGATGATGGGTTGTTTGGATGTGTTGTTGAGAGGAAGAGTTATGAGTACAGATGTAGGTGCTTTTATGACGTGGATCGGATTGAGATGGATGCTTCGGAGATTGGCGGGGGGCCAGAACTGGCCCCACACGGAGACCATCCGTTAAGCTGGCGGGGGAGCTCCGATTGGCTGCACACACACTCGGGAATGGTGGATGATGACGGCCGTGTTTGCCCGGTGAAGAGTTGGGGAAGTATCTCTCATGATTTCGTTGCTCTGAGAGGAGGATGCGTATTTGCAACAGGGCCATGGATTCTTCTCGTGTTCCTTCGCCATTCGTCACTGTGGGGAGTTGTTGAAAATTTCCCACATCAGCCCGTCAATGTCGGACATTCCGCTCCAGCTCTGGAAATCTCCTTGCAACAAATCATCGAATAGATTGAACTGATAGGAATCGACATTCTGAAGATTTTCTTCGGAAGCGACCAACGTCATGGGAATTTCATTTGAGCCTTCGTTTCCCTCAGAAATAGCGTGGCTCTGGCCAGGATGATGGTCTTGGGGTTGGCGGGTTTGCGTGCTTGATGCATCCGGCATAGCACCGGATCGCAAGTGCATCTCCGCTTCAGTATCCCGTGATGAGATACCCGGTGCAGGTTGACTCAGGAGCCGTTGGATCGTCACACTGGACAATTCGTCAATGCAATCACGCGCTCGAGTAGCCTCGGTCCAGTGTTCTCCGATGCTACTGAGTATATTCTGTGCCACCGTGAGATTCGACACTAGCTCATCCACTCGGACCTTGGCAGTGGTTCGAGGCAGTTTCCAGATACAGTAGAGCAGCACCAATGCACCGAGGAATACTGAATGCACAAGTAATCGGCTGTAAAGTAAACTGCCGACTTTGTAGAGCTCGCCAAATCCTTGGAGGAGATCAACGGCCTGGTGAAAGCAAAGGTCCAGTATTTCATCTGCTGGACTTGGAATTGCCGGGCTGGGTCGTAGTAGCAATATCATTGTTTCGTGGTACTTTATCTTACAGACCTTGGACATTGTGTCTTCCGTATTGCCCGTCGGTTGTGGGATTTCAGATAGCCAGTCGTGGAGATAGTTCACAATATCCTGCTGCCATGCAAATATGTCCCTCACTGGGGGGTAAGCGTATGCAGGTACGTCACGTTGAATGCTGTGCATGACGTATTTGATCTCTGAGTTGACCTTGGCCAACTTGAACAGATGGATCGCGTTCGCCATGTGGGATCTTGATTCAGGTGCATGCTGGCTAATATCTGGGTTGACCAAATTATAATCCGGTATATCAAGGGGGAACTGTAACATTGTCAGTATATGTAGTACACCATGGCGGGTTTATTACCCTCATCTCACACGCTTCATCTCTGATCCCGATCGGCCGGCCCATCATCGTGCATATAGCCCGGTCAAACGTATACACTACCCAGAAAACTCGCGTCCTCATCTCCTGTTCAAAGACAGATATCCGGAGCGATGAGGATGCTCGGACATCACGCTGCAGGCCAAGATCAATCACACTAGCAAGGCATTGGTAGTTCAGATTCCAAATGTTGACGTCAGATGAAGGGTTATGCAAAGCATATACCATAAGAAGCAATACGCATTGCAATGCCGTCATTGAGCCATCTGTGCACACATGCTCCACATACTTCATTGCAGATGCATAGTAACCTTCCACGGGAAGATGCACCTTGCATTCGCGTGAAAGAGCCAAAGCAGCAATCGAAAGAACCATATACACCTGGAAGAGATCCAAGGGGTTCGCTTCCTGAGATGCATACACTCTGTCAATAACAGACATATGAGTTGGCTCATGCAGGAACGGGTACGTAAGATGCACTGTTCGAAAGTACTTTGTTGAAAGCTCTATGGCACTTTCCTTCCGCGCAGGCAGCAGAGTGAGGCTATTCAGCAGCTCGGCCGAAAGGTGGGCAGAATCCGCTGTAGCTCTTTTTGCTCCTCTCGATTTACGGCGGCGCCCGGCACTTGAGAATATGCGGTTCGCGAAGAAATACCCGCTGGACGGTCCGATATATCGAGGACCCCCTCCAGAAGACAACGACACAAGGCCGATCTCATGTGCTTGCTGGTGTTGGTTGCTAGCTGCACGTGCCTGATCCAGACCTTGATGTTCAGGTAATGCATTTGGCGCGTTTTCCACAATGCCAGACTGTCTCTGCTCATCGAACCTTGGCTCCCCAGGAATTATTTGCTGTGAGTCAGCGGCGGTGAGGTCACCGAGATGATACTGTGTAGATGTATCCATAATGTCGTTTTGTACTGTCTCCTCGGATGGATCTATTTGTCCTTCGCGGCCAAGGTCGATATGGGCGCAATTTTCCTTTACTATAGACTCTAGCCATCGGATCCGGTTCTCCATGTTAGAGATATACCTCCGAGGAACTTCCTGTCTTCCATCGTTGACACAATGAGCCCCTGCTTTGAGGCAAGAGCTGCATGACGGTTCGTTTCCATCGCACTACATGCATGAGCTCAGAATCAGATCAAGCGCAAGGTCTGGACCACTTACGCGAATCTTCCTTCGTTGGCATCGCCTGCAGGCAGCCCGATTCCGATTTCTGCGTGGTGAATCCATCTTAATCCAACGAGTACGCTAAGCCTGAATCCACTTGCGATAACGGGTGCTGTATGACGATCTTGTGTGGTGATTGCCACGTGATCTTTTTATTGGTGGCTTCGCATTCAGACAGATGCATGAGATGCATGAAGGCGATGAATAAGCTATTTCATCCCCGTAACATCGACCAGTAAGATCATCGGTGCTGATTGGCGAGATTGCTTCGGCGTTCGTTGTGTGGGGAAGGGGTTGGAAGAAGGAGAAAAGATGGAGGCGGGGATCTCCGCTCGTACGGACACACCCCGTGATCTCGGTCATGTGATACTATGCCTGATACGTGAGGCACTAACAATACACTGCCTCTCATCGACTTCATCTTGTCATACGCTGTGTTTTTATTAAATTAACCAAATCTTATTTACTGAGTAGAAGTATTCGATCGCAGTAGATATTTCTTACAGCGGGATGGTGCTACCCAGCCCCAATCATTACAATGCTCACACTTGCGGCCAAAATATATACATTCACTCCAACCCCCTCCATTACCCCCTTCAGTCCCCACAATCACCCCAACACAGGAAATTCACACATATACTCATCCTCCTCATCAACCTCAAAATCAAAGCGTACCAAATCCTCCTTATAAGGGAACATATACGTCGAAGTCACACTATCACCACACCAACTTAGCATTCCCCGAACCATGGAATCCAATGAGATGCCAACTTACTGATGATGTTCCTGACTAGCCTGATACTCAGTCAACGCAGCAATGTTCTCATGATAGCTGACCAATGCTATTTGGAACCCCTTGCTGCGGTCAATGGGATCGGTGACACTGGGACCTCCGACAAGCAGACGCCCGGATTTCACACATGGTAGGGCCTTGAGCTTTTTGAGTTCGGTGACGAAGCGTTGTTTGTGCTCTTCTGTTACTTCGGGGCGGAATTTGAAGAGAACTGTACGGGTTAATTGAGTGTGATAGGATGTGTTGTGGTGGGAGGAGACTGACCGATGTGGACTAGAGTCATTTTGGGTAGGAGGGTTTGGTGTGTTGGATTAGAGAGGCGATGCGAACCAAATAGTAAAGGAATAAGCGTGAAAGACAATAATTGGCGAGAATATAGTGAGATTGGGAGGAATATATTCAGCCTATTAAGCGTGATGTTGATGCGAACAAGGGCTGCGGCCGACCCGCGGCTAATCGGCAAGCGGGTGGCATCCGCAGCCCTCGGGACCATCCCGCGCAATGCCGATTGGCCCAAATGTAGAGTCAACCGGACCAGATCCATGGATGACGCCATGTTGTTCTATCATGTTTCTCGTATAGGTCTGATGTATCTAGCTGAGAGTCCAGTTCACCACCGACGATAACAGAACAATCGAGCAAGACACTCAGCTAGCAAACCCACCACAGTACCACAATGACCACCACACCAACCACCCTCCAAGCCGAACCCTGGACCTCTCTCCCCTCCCAATACCGCAATCCAAGCACATCATCCGAACACTCTCAGAACCAAAAACGGGGAAAACCCCTCGACTCCTTCCTCGAAGGTCCCATATATGTCGCAGACCTCGCCCTCCTCTTCGTAACCGACATTCCCTACGGACGCATCTTCTCCATCGACTCACACGGAACCTGGTCCCTGGTGATCCAATACGACGGCGAACCCAACGGCCTAGTATGGAACCACATCACACGTAAGATCCTCATCGCCGATTTTAAACAAGGCATTATGGAGCTTGATCCCATTACCAAGGAGATTACGGTGCTTGTGTCGCGCTATCACGGGGAACGGTTCAAAGGCCCCAATGACCTGATTATCTGTTCAGATGGAAGTGTATTCTTCACTGATCAGGGCATGACGGGGTTGCAGGATCCGACGGGACGCGTGTTCAAGTTATATCCCGAGGGACGATTGGAGTTGATTGTGGGGAATGGACCGTCGCCGAACGGGTTGGTTTTGACCCGGGATGAGTCTGCGTTGTTTGTGGCGATGACGAGAGATAATGCGATTTGGTATGTGCCGTTTATGAAGGATGGGTCGGTGCAGAGGATTGGAAGGTTCTCGAGTTATTATGGGATTGGAGGGCCAGATGGGATGGCGATGGATTCGGAGGGGAATGTTTTTGTGGCGCATTCGACGCTCGGGGTGGTGTTTGTTCATAGGAGTAATGGGGAGTTGTTTCTGAAGATTAGGAGTCCGGTGGGGGTGAGTACGACGAATTTGACGTGGGGTGGGGAGGATTTGAAGGTGCTTTATATTGTGGAAAGTGAGAGTGGGACGGTTTTGAGGGTGGATTGGCATTGTTCGGGGTGGTTGGTGAAGGAGAGGAGTATTGAGGGGACTGCTGCTTGATTACTAAGGATTGTTGTGAGCTAGATAGAGAGAAGATTGGAGTTGAAGGTAACTATCATCCCATCTTCTAAGGTTTTGATAGACAAAAGCTTGCATGGTATGCTAGATAGTAACGACTTGAATAGGAAACCACATTTGCATCGGTAACCCAAAAGAAACACAGATGGAGTCCAGTTACTAAGCCCACTCGCGGTGTTCCTGGTTACCATCCTTTTCATGGTGTTCAACAAACGTAGGTATAACATCACCCCGAGGAAGACCCTTGGCCATTGGCACGATCGCCAATACTGTAGGTGCTTCCCTGAAAACTTGGTCGATTCCCTCAAGACTGCGGCCCATTGTTTCAGGAAAAAGAAAATGGACAACCAGGGGAACACATGCGGAAATGGATGCAAACACAATATAAAACTTCCACCCGATGGTGGAAAGGGCCAACGGGGTGATCATAGTGACCACGAAATTCCACAGCCAGTGGTTTGCAGTAGAGACGGACGACATGGCCGCCCGAAGATGAGAAGGAGCAATCTCGGTACAATAGAGAAAATTACCTCCCAAGAAGCCAATTGGGTAGCAGAGGTTGAAAATGAATATAAAAGTTGCCGCGACGATTGATGCAGGCTTGTTGGTTGTAGGGAAGCTGGTGGCCACGGCCATGACAACCATACAGATGGTCATTCCGGTGCCACTGATGGTGAACAGCACTCGACGGCCCAATCGGTCAATGGCAGCAAAGGCAATGAATGAACATGCGAGCTTCCATGTTAAGGAGGCAGCTGCTAAAATTTGAGGTAGATCCCCTGACAGGCCTAAGTTCTGTTCAAAGATTTGCGTGGTGTAGATCGAGATGAGATTACCTCCGCAGGTTTGCTGGAAGAACTGAAGGAGCATGCAGAGAGTGAAGCGCCACCAGAGACGTGAAGGATCATTTTTCAAGCTGGGCAGAGTCCGTCCAGAAGTGTTTCGTGTTCCCTCAAGCGACCGTCCGATTTCCTCAATCTCCCTGAGAACAAGTGGATCATCGCAAGCCAGTCCGTTCAGAGTGGCCAAGGCTTGCGCAGCGTCGTGATTACGACGACGGAGAACCAACCAGCGGGGGGACTCGGGGAAGGTCATGACAGATGCTACAATCACCAAGGAGAAGATCGTCGGCAGGGCCAGAGGCAGTCGCCACTGGAGAGGACCGTAAGGCGCTTTGCTACAGCCAAAGTTGATCCAACTCGTCAAGGCAAATCCCACGCAGATGAAGATGCCGGACGTGATAACCTGTCTGCCACGATTGCCGGCATGGGACGACTCAGACTGCCAAACGGGGCTCATCACACTCAACTGACCGACTCCCAGTCCGAGGATGACCCTTCCTACGACAAATTGGGCGAGTGCAAATGCGGAGGCCTGAAGGACCTGGCCAACGAGGGCAAGGGATGCAGCAAGGAGGATCGTTCTTCGACGTCCCCAGCTGTCGCCCAAGTAAGAACATGACAAGGATCCAAGCAAAGCCCCGAGCTGGAAGCAAGCATTGATTGCTCCTTTTCTGGTGGAGTTTGTTTCTTCCTGAGAGCCGGTAGTGAAGACGGTGTCGATTGCTGGGAAGCGTCGTGCGACAACGGATAGGTTGAGAAGGGCAGAGAGACCCGCCTGGTTGTACCCGTAAAGTATAAAGGCAGGGGCGGTAATAAGAAGGACTTGCAGGAGATGGAGTCTTGCTGGACTGGTTGGCATGGTGGTCTGCGTATTTCTTAGCTGGATGGACCGTTCCTAAGAATTGTTTGACACGGACTGGACGGCCTCCTATTTATACAAGGGCCACACCGTTGTGGCACAACCTGTTTGACCTGAATCGTAATAAGGAGACGGAATAGCCCCGTGAGCTTGTGTATTTGTGGGGAAACTGGGGTATTCAACCGGGGTTCCAGCCCGATAGGCTGGCAGATGCCCTAGCATCCGCCATGTCCCCTCCTTTGCCTGACCTTGTGCCACGATTCATGTGCATAAATGAGCACAGCAACTTGTACAAAAAGTCTACATTGCTTGCTCTGCGTTATAACGACATCAATAGCCAGTGTCTGGTTCTTGTCGCTCATGTACAAAGGGCGTCTAAGCAGGGTTGGGTTGACTGGTTCAAACAGCAGTGCATTACCCCGTATCTTGGCGCAGTTCGGTGAACGTCATGGATTGAACACAATAAGTACCGGCATATCACAGTCCTCCTACTCTAGCTAGCCAAATTAGGCAATGGACATACATCCAGGCCATGTAGCATAATTATTATACTGCCCGAATCATATAGCAGTGAACTACTTATATAATAGCTCACACACAGACAGTGAAAACAATTCAATGTATGTCTACAGCCACTGTTCACTAGGAGGAATCATAGATATAGTGTTCCATAAACGATGCAAGCTCCAACAGGAAGGCAGGATCATGATTGAATACAATAGAAGAATCCATTCATCATACCCTCCCCGTCGACGACGTAATCCCGCCATCCACCACAAGCATCTGTCCAGTGATATACCGCGCTTCATCTGATGCCAGAAACAGTGTAGCATTGGCCACATCCCAAGCATCCCCCATCCGTCCCATCGGCACCTGGTCATCCCGCATCTTCATATACGCTTCCTCATCACCACCTGGGGCATACCGCTTCGCAAGCTCTCGCGTATACGGCGTAAAGATCAATCCCGGGACCACTGTATTCAACCGCACTCCCTTCCCCGCATATATCACCGCAGTCGACTTGGTGAACTGCATGATCGCAGCTTTAGTAGTAGAGTATGCCACTTGGGGCTTCCCAATATAGCGCAACCCCGCAATACTCGACACGTTAATCACCGTGCCCCCTGTCTCCTGCTTCTCCATGATCGGAAGCACAAAGTGACTCGACAGATAGACGCTTTTGAGGTTCAGATCGACTTGTTGGTCCCAGGTCTCCTCGCTCATCTGGGCAGGACAACCAGGCTCGGATTTGCCGACGTTGTTGATCAAAATGTCAATGCGCCCGTGGTGTTGCATGCAGCTATCAACCAAGGCCTTGACGGACGCCGAATCAGTGACATCGGTTTGTTGAACATGGCATACACCACCCTCGGCTTCGATTCGGGATTTCGTTCTCTCCGCGCTGGATAATGAGCGATTGCCACCGAAGATGATTGCGCCTTGCTGCGCAAGCTTCATGGCGATGGCGGCGCCGATACCCCAGCCTTCGTCGGTGGTTTGGCCGAGGCCGGTGATTAGGGCTATTTTGCCGTCGAGTCGGAGCATTTTGCTTGCCGCAATGAGGAATGTGTTAGAATGTAACTGAATAGTTATTGTAAAATGTCAAAGCTCAAATGTATATTAGCTGAGCGTCTAAGAAGTCCCCAATTTCCCCTCATGACTAAACACGGATCACCTCCGTCAGGCCATCGGCCCCGCCGGCACGCTTCCGTCAATCCACATACCCGAGCGGACCACTCCCGAGCCATCCATTACTATGACCACGCTCCATGCTCCATCAATCTATCCATCTATCTATACATTCACCTTTATCACAAATGTACCCAATCCCCAACTAACCAACTCCCCTCCACCAAATTCCCAATCTACCCCAACTCAATCAGCCACCCAAAATGCCCCCTCCCACATCCCCTCCCACCCCCAACCCAACGACTACGACCTCACCACCCCCATCCCCAGCACCACCGGCCTGCGCCAAACCCTCCCCTCCTACGGCGACGCCCACTTCTCCCTCTTTCTCCGCAAAGTCTTCATCAAAGCTCTCGGCTACACCGAAGATGCTCTCTCACGACCAATCATCGGGATCATCAACACCAACTCCGGGTTCAACCCGTGCCACGGCAACGCGCCCCAACTCATCGAGGCCGCGAAACGAGGCATCCATCTCAACGGGGGCATTGCGATTGATTTCCCCACGATCAGTATTCATGAGGGGTTCTCGCATCCGACGAGCATGTTTTTGCGCAATTTGATGAGTATGGATACCGAGGAGATGATTAAAGCGCAGCCTGTCGATGCGTGTGTTATGATTGGGGGTATGTGTTCTTCCTTCTTTTTATCCTCTGGGGGAATGTAAGGGGGGTGGATGGCTAACTGTGTGATGTGTAGGATGTGATAAGACTGTTCCTGCGCAAATCATGGGCGGGATTTCGGCAAATAAGCCTGTTTTGCCATTACTCACGGGACCGATGATGCCTGGGAGTCATCGGGGGAAGAGGGTTGGTGCGTGTACGGATTGTCGGAATAATTGGGCCTCGTTTCGTGCGGGCACGATTGATCTCGAGGAGATTATGGCGGTTAATGAGGAGTTGGCGCCTACGGTTAGTTTTCTTCTTGTTGTGGTTGATGGGTGGGTGGTGGTGGATGGGGCTAATGGGGTTATAGATTGGTACCTGTGGTGTGATGGGCACGGCTAGCACAATGGCCTGCATTACTGCTGCCCTAGGATTGATTCCATTGCAGGGTGCATCCGCGCCTGCTGTTTCGGCAACGAGACTGCGCATTGCAGAGCAAACCGGGGCGAACGCCGTCGCGGCTGCGAAGGCGCAGCGGACACCGCAGACCCTGCTATCTGTGCAATCGTTCTATAATGCTGCGATTGTGCTGCAGGCGATTGGGGGGTCTACGAACGCGATGGTTCATCTGATGGCCATGGTGAATAGACATCCGGATATTAAGGGGGAGTTTTCGCTCGAAACGCTAGATAAGATTGGGAGGACCACCCCCCTGCTAGTGGATCTTAAGCCCAGTGGGGATAACTACATGACTGATTTCCATAACGCGGGAGGAATGATCTGTCTACTGCATCGGTTGCGTCCGCTGCTGCATCTGTCCGCGCGCACTATCACAGGCGAAACAATGGGTGAGGTACTTGATCGTACGCCCTTCCGGGACTTTGAGTACTCGCGCAGTATCATCCGGCCGTTAGAGGATCCGCTGTACGCTTGTTCGTCGTTGGCGGTGGTGCGTGGGAATATTGCCCCGAATGGAGCGGTGATTAAGGCGTCTGCATCCAAGGATAAGCGGCTTTTGAAACATGAGGGACGAGCGGTGGTGTTTGAGAACTCGCAGGACTTGACGAAGAGGATTGATGATCCGGAATTGGAGGTTGATGCGAATTCGGTGCTGGTGTTGAAGGGAATTGGGCCGATTGGCAACCCCGGTATGCCGGAGGCGGGCATGATTCCTATCCCGAGGAAGTTGGCCGCGCAGGGAGTCACGGATATGCTGAGAGTGTCGGATGGGAGAATGTCTGGGACGGCGGGGGGAACTATTGTTTTGCATGTTTCTCCAGAGGCGGCGGTGCCGGGGTCAGCGTTTGGGGTGGTGGAGACGGGGGATCTCATTCGTTTTGATGCTGAGGAGCGGAGGTTGGAGCTGGTGGTTGAGGAGGGGGTGATGGAGACGAGGATTGAGAGGCGGAGAGCGGAGATTATGGGCTCAGCTGGAGGGGAGAAGGCTTCTGTTTGGACGCAGAGACAAACTCGTCGGGGGTATAGGGGTTTGTATGAGAGGACGGTTAATCAGGCACATCAGGGTGCGGATTTCGACTTCTTGACGGCAAGTGGTCCGATGTCAGATTGATTAGTGTGAATGAATATGTTACAGTAGCTATAATTATCCTCTCAACGTGTGTAGCAAGTTTACCCCCGGCAGGCCCTCTTGCAGAATACTTAGGGTTTCGTTCCATATCTTGGTTTGAGCCTGATCGCCCTCAACAGACAGGACAAACGGTGACGGTCTGCCTAGTCAGCTCTGCCATATACCCTGATGGGAAAATTACTTACTGCTTAACCATCTGCTCACTCAGGTACACTCCCTGGTCATCAGGGTGTCTTACAGCCGCATCAACCAAGCAGTGCTCACCTTGAGCAGGAGTCCAGGCGAACACATTGTTGAAGATGTTGATGCCGGGAGTCGTATCAGAACGGTGCAATGAGCTCGCACAAAGACCCGGGTTCACTCCATTGATGATCACATCCGGACCAGCTTTGGAACTCAGTTCCCGCAGCCAGAGGACATTCAGAAGCTTGCTGGTGTTGTAGCGGTCCATCCCTTGACCAAATGAGTCGGGTTCGTCCATGCGGGCCAGTGTATTCGGGGCAGTCCTCTCCTTGAATTCCGTCCAGAAGTGAACCTCTGATGTGACAATAGTCAATCTAGATGGAGTACCCGTTGTCTTGGCTGTTCGCTGGAGAGGCTCGAGAAGCAGGAGGGACAGAAGTGCCGTTCCCAAGTGATTCACCTTTGGGATTTCTTATTAGTCCGCCCGACTCTAAGTAGAGGAATGTCAAACCTGAACGTTCATCTCATGACCGCTGTCAGACTTGGTAAATTCGAGCAATTTCACTCCAGCGCAGAGAATGACAATATCCAGACGGTCAAGGGACTTCGCTCGTTCTCCAAACTCTCTCATACTGTCAAATGATTCTTGGTCCAGCTGCCACACCTGCACATCACATGATGGACTCTCACGGAGAATCTCCTGCCGTGCAGCCTCACCTTTTGATGGCGTGCGCACGGCAAGGATCACCCGCGACAGTCCGCGCGAGGCCAGCTGCTTGGCGGATTCGAGTCCCAATCCAACATTGCCCCCGGTCACGATAGCAGTCTTGCCGTGGAGGTTAATTTCTGGGGATAGCGGCTTCGGAGTGAAGCTTAACTGCCGGTACATGAACCCGATGAGGCCGCCCATGGTGAGATACGTTTTGACTTGGGGTTGCTGAAGGCGCTGCGTTGAGATTAAATACTTAGGAATGTGGTCGGAGATTATTTCTTCTAAAATCCGAATCTATTATCGGAACACGTTTCACAGCCTACTGGAAAGATCTGACTGGCTAGAAAGGCTTTAGTGCTTATCTGATCAGTTCTCGGCGGCCTCGGCACCAGGCAGCAATTAAACTGCCCGATTGTAACCACCGAGATTCTGTGGTAAGGAATACGAGGTATGAAAGATCAGCAGCCTATACCATAGCTCACATGGAGCATATCTGATCAGTAAGTAGCTGCCAAGAATTGATTGTGGCAGGGGCTAATGAGTGCTGTTGATGAAAATAGAAAACAACTGGGCTATGTCTCAATAATTAGAAGTTCTAACGGAGATGATTATCGGCAGGCCAAAACGATGTTGAGATTGAATAACGATCCACAGGCTTGGTGGTCTATGTTTAAATCAGCACATCCCATCTCCTAAATTGAGTCCCTATGACTTATCTTGACTCCGTCGATTCCATGTCTGCTCCATTACTAGAAATCACACAGGTAGTGGTCTACCTAGACATCCTTTCACGCTTGTGATCACCATTTTTCTTTCCATAAACATTTTATGCCTGCCAACGCGCACACGCGATTGAAGGTCATCTTCCCCAAACACCTCGTAGGCCAATTTAGCACCAAGAGAAGATGTATTGTGATCAAATTGAGTCTGAGGATCGGACAACGGTGCTTCGGTGAGCTTTCAAGAGACCGAAAGAATATCTACCAAATGGGAGACATCCACCCCATGTCAAGGTTTCCAGGCCCATTTCACTATGCCAGGTGGAATCCTGCGTTCTGATTGGCTGTAACCGCTAGGTTTCTCATTGGATCATGAGAAAGAAGAATCTTGGCACAAGCCGAGTACTGCCAGTACTCACCGCTTAATAGAGAGCAGTAGGTCGGGGCACTATGATGTAGATTTTGTAGCCTGAATTTCATGAAAAATATATGCATCTGATGTGATATTTGATATAGGTTTCTATAATGGCTCCGACCAGAATTATCAACAGTATGGCCTAGTCGTGTTGATATACCGACCCAATTCAGCGATCGGTTCGTTCTCCAGTTGACAAATCCCGCCAGTTTGCAGACGTTCACATTAGCAACAGACAGCGGTGAAAAACGAACCTCGAGACAGTCCATGTTCAGACTAACGGTGAAATGAACACCTGAAATGGACACCATCTCTCACTCCTTCTGCCCTGCGGAACAACCCGCCTTGGCCACGCCAGGATCGGGGAAATAAACAGAGAATGTGGGTCTCGTTAGTAGCCAAGTTCAAACAAGCATGCCCAATAATTTCGTATCAGCATGACATTCAACATGGCGTGAGTGAGATGTATTGACTGAGGGGCTGGTGATTGGTAGGGCTGCGTCACTGTGGATTCGGGCCGCATAGGGCTGCGGACATAATCCCGGAGTTAGGGCCATGGCCGAGGCTTGATGGCTTCATGGTGAATTTCGACTCGGTCTCCGATGTAACGACCAGATAGCAATTCCATTGTTGCTCTCTGGACAGTTCCAATGAACAGATATAAGGACGCATCAATGCCATCGTTCAGCGGCAACCATCAACTTCAATCTACTTCTCAACTACCCTACCACCACCACCAAAATGTCCATCCCAATCACCCTCCAAGCTCCCTCCACCGACTCCCGCGAAGCCATCGTCGATGCTCTCTACCGCACCGTTCTATCCTTCGACACCGGCGATGTAGCCCTCTTCAACTCCGCCTTCTTTCCCGACGCCACCTTCACTTTTGGCGACAACGTCATGGAAGGACGCCAGTCTATCCACGATAATTCGTTTGCGAACATCGCAAAGCTCGACACCACTCACTTCATCAACAATGTCCGAGTCAGTCTGGTCGAGGGAGCTTCAAACAAGGCCACTATTACGGCCTCTGCCCTTGCTCAGCATTATCGCGCCGGAGAGGGAAACAAGCCCGGTGCGACGAGATTGATGAGTGGGGCTTTGTATTTTTTGGATGTCGAGAAGCATGAGGGTGATGGATTATGGAAGGTTAGGAAATGGGTTATGAAGCTTGTTTGGACGGAGGGAGATTGGGGGGTTATGAAGGGGGAGTAAACGACTTCTTTCTGATATATTGGGGGCTTGGGAGGAGGGGCTGGCTATGGGCTCATGCAGTGTTGGATATGACATGCTAGTTTGTGCTTTCTGTAATGAGACAAGCTGGAATCAACTCTGGTCACATCACTCAGTACGATTTCATAAACAATTTGGCTTGGGACGTGACAGAAGTATACGTGGGAATTTTCAACTCCAAGTACGCAAGAATTGATCATATAGCCCTCGACGTGAATAGCCTTTTGCTCAAGTTACGGAGACTCGGCATTGAACGTCATACTAACCTATGCTCTCACCACAAAGACATTTTATTGTCGGAATGACTGCTTCACAGCCTCCCACTCCAGACGAGCGAATCGCAACGCACGACGTGGGTTTCTCAACAGATCCCTGCCTCAGACACACAGCATCCACAGCAAAACTAGCTGACCCTCAGATAACACCGAGTTCAAACATCGACTTGACCGCATCAACAATACTGGTTTTCACATTAATATAATCCCACCGTCCTTCCTTTGTCCCTTTGGCCAGAATATCCAAACTAACGCGCATATCCCACCCCGTCGGCCGAACCCCCGTAGGCAAGGTCTGGTCAGGGTTTCCTTTTGGCACTCTGTCCCTGAGCTGAGGGAAATTCTCACGGATAGTGTTGGCCACCATCTGTGGAGTAATGAGCCCTGCGATGAGCAGGATACGCTGATTCGATGCTGCTGGGTTGCTTAGCGCATCGACATGACTGCGCGCTACGTCGCGGATGTCTACCTGATACCGATATCAGTTCACTGACTTCGAAGTGACGTGTATCTAACTGATCGAGTCAGAAGAGGGGGAAGACACACAGAATGATAATATGGGAACTTGACCCCTTCTATCTGCTTGTGGGTTCCATCAATAAAGCTACTCACAGCAAATTGATTCGTCGAGTTGATGGAACCCGGGCCGTTTATAGGGTGGATCATTGGACCGGTGATGATATCTGGATTGATGACAGTTAGGTCAAAGGAAGGCTTGTTCTGCTTCATATATTCCCAAGCCAATGATTCCGCTCGGATCTTGGAAACATTGTAGCCTAGAACGGGGTCATGTCGCTCGATTGCTTGCTCGGCGGTGACCTGTCGTATTATTAGACATGAACAATATAGATTTTAAAACATAATCCTTTACCGGATTCCAATCTTTCTCTGTATATGGCTTGCCCTCTTTCGTCAAATCTTCAAATGAATTCATCACGGCAACCGCACTACTGAGGATGATAAATCGCTTGATAGTAGGCCCACCGTATTCATGCGTAGCTTTGAGAATTTCAGTAGTTCTGGCTACGTTAGCTTGTTTTCTATTCTAAAATCTACTCAACTTAGCCTACCCCATCTCAGCCGGTTCGATTACCTCCTTCTGGATATCCGAGGCTTCGAAGTTCGCCGGCGAGGCGGCATGGATGACATAGTTGAAGGGCTTTTTCGCGTGTCGGAAAAGATCATCGAAGGGTTCCTCGGAGGTGAAGTCCGCCACAACAGCAAATTCGACCTTGTCTTTCCAGGATGGGTGCGTTTTGATGATGTCGTCGGCTTTGGATTGAGATCGCACTGTCGCGGTAACAGCATACCCTCGCTAAATGTGTTAGTCAAGGCCAAAATACTTACATTTATCAATTCTTACCTCGATCAAGATGAATAGAATATGGGAAGCTACGAATCCATTTGCGCCTGTCAGGAGGACATGCATTCCTGCGCCAGACTTTGACATGTTCGCGTTGGTAGCAAATCAAACAGTAAAGATAGACTATACCCTTTGACTGCACTAGGCGTTTCTCTCTTCCTTGTATAAGAGCCAACATGCTCTATTCATTTGTGCACGTGTGCCGTAGCGAACTTGCCTTCCTCACTCTTGACGTCAGGCGCATGTAACTCGTTCCCACGTGGATGTTTTTTACCAAGGCAGTTGCCGCGGTTTAGGTTTCTTGCCGGCTGACATTTCTTGGGACAGGCCCCAGGAGAGACCCCAAGAAACGAGTTTATTCTTTTCTGTTGATGACAAATCCGGTATTTGATATGGAGATAGACAGCCAAGCACTTGTTTTCAATGCTGTCGATCACAACTGGCCACTTAACATGAAACTTTACTCAGTACGGGAATCTGTCTCCTAAAACTGTCTGACGTCACCATTTCAAAGCTCGAAGTCCAGTTAGGTTTGTGCCAGATACCGGTGGCCTTGGATGTGACTACACTTCATACTCTACTTCGATTAACTTTGCGGGCGACCAAATGCCAAACCTTACTGAATCCTTTCCATAATGCTGAGCTGATTACGCTTACTGATGTTATTCTTACACTTCTTCGCTTTAACTGAAATCCCGGTTCGAGACACAGGTCTTCGCATTGCCCAATGCAACCCTTTTGCCATGCCCTGGACGGGTGACCAGTAGCCAATTCATCACAGACTTCTGACTATCTGCAGACAGGAACCAAGTGTGACAAAATGGCGACGGAAAAAAAAGTGCCGATAAAATAAGGTAAATGTGGGCCGCATGCGTTCCGAGGTTTGCCAACCATGGCTCTACACGATGTCAACAGTGATGGTCTACGATGATTGCACTGTCCTCGACCAATTTCGCTACGTGAATGATTATTTGATGATCGGGGTGATGGAAGGGGAGGCGATGAGTGATGCCGGGTCGTTTTACTTTATTTGAAGAGATAGATTAAGCTTTTTATTGTCCTTATTTCTGGCTATGCTAGATACCTTACCACTTATGTTTCTGTGCAAGAGGCGTGACCTAGGCTAAGATAATCGACATGTGTTTTTACCAGCACAAGTTGTCCAAGTTTCCATTTGATATCAATTGCCTTGGTCCGGGTCAATACTGCTCGCATGCACCCTCCACGAGACCAGTAACTTGATCAATATGTATGATCAATGAAATCAAACCCTGTTTACAGATATTCCCCTGCATGTCCGCGCATTATGCTTGGAATAAATGGCCGGAACCATGGTGTGTATCAATCTTCCTGTCCTTTGGGGGGTGACGAGAGCGAATTTGATTCACTATCCCCAACTTCACGTTTCCATTGATTATCTCGATTAACATATCTTTTCCTTTCTAACTTAACACAAGAGATGTCTATTCTTCGTCCTATCGTCTGAATTTTTTTACACACCGAAATGTAATCAATCCTTATCAACCCGTCTTCTACAAAGTACGCCCTACGCCCTACGCCCTACATCTTGGCAGCAGCCTTCTATTCCTACCAGAGCCCTAAACCAGGAGATCCTATATAATAAGCATCCCACCTCATATTCTTGCCTATCATTCCCCCTAGGATACGCCAAGCTCCTGGCCCCTACGATATCCAACCCAGCCATCAAACCCATCCATCCCATTCTTCACCTTTCACATTTATTCCCATCCCAAAATGCTCCCTCCCACCCCCCAACCCCTCAACGCCTCCCACCTCGAAATCCACCTAACCACGACCCCCCCCCCCGCCCCCGGCTCCCCAACCGCCACCAGCTGTAACGACCACATGATCATCGCCGACTGGACCTCCTCAACCGGCTGGTCCACCCCTCAACTCCTCCCCTACGGTCCCATAGAAATGCTCCCCTCCGCCAGCGTCCTCCACTACTCAACCTCCTGTTTCGAAGGCCTAAAGCTCTACTGCGGCCACGACGGCACCCTCCGCCTCTTCCGCCCCTCCGCAAACTGCACCCGCCTCCTACGCTCCGCCCAACGCATCTCCCTCCCAGACTTCGACCCCGAGGAAGTCCGTAAACTCATCCACAGCCTTTGTGCGATTGACGGCCCGCGCTGGCTCCCCGACTCCCACCCGGGGAGATTCCTCTACCTCCGTCCGACTATCATCGGGACGGACTCGAGTCTGGGATTCAGAGTGCCGCAGGCAGCAAGGCTGATGATTATTATGTGTTGTTGGCCGACGATCCAAGCTGCGGGTGATGAGGGGATGAGAGTTGTGGTTAGTGATAAGGGGAGTGTGAGGGCTTGGCCTGGGGGGACGGGGGATGCGAAGTTCGGGGCGAATTATGGGCCGACGTTGTTGGCGCATGGATGGGCGACGGGGATGGGGTTTGATCAGGTGCTTTGGGTGTTTGGGGAGGATGATAGGGTTACGGAGTCGGGGTCGTCGAATTTTTTTGTGGTTTGGGAGGTGGATGGTGGGGGGGTGGAGGTTGTGACGTGTCCGGTTGAGGGGGGGTTGGTGTTGCCTGGGATTACGAGGGGGAGTGTGTTGGAGTTGTTGAGGGGGAGGTTGGGGGAGGGGTTGAGTGAGGGGTTGAGTGAGGGATTGAGTGAGGGCGTGAGGCCGGTTAGGGTTGTGGAGAGGGAGTATACGATGGGGGAGGTACGGGATAAGGCGAGGAGTGGTCGGTTGTTGGGTGCTTTTGTGGTTGGGACGGCGTATTTTGTTACTCCGGTCAAGTTTGTTGATTATCGGGGGGAGGGGCTTGAGGTTCCGGTGGGGAGGGCTCCGTATGTTGAGTTGTTGCAGGAGTGGTTGGCGGATGTTATGTTTGGGAGGGTGGAGAGTGAGTGGGTTGAGGTGGTGGAGGAGAGGGTTTGAGATGGTTGAACTGTTGGCGTTACCTTTTGTAGATTGTAGATGAGTTAGTTTGGATGGGCTGTTAGATATTGATTTACATATTGATTGTTCAAAGAATGTGGATTTCAGCGAATACCAATCTCGGAAACAGGCAGTGTAGGGCATAGGGCGTGCGTAGATATCAAAATTTAGACTCATCCAATCTATACACAGCATCGGTCTCACCAAGTGTCATTAATGAGCGGCGAACTACAATATACTACTATTACTACTACTCTCACTGCTTATATACTTCACCCCTCAAACCCTAACTTCATCGCCAACTCTATATCACGAGCACACTAACCAGCCGGGTTGGTGCAAGTAAACGGAGTCAGTGGTGTTTCGGCAAAAGACTGTTTCATGGAGACGATGGACGCCCACAGACCCATTCCGGCCGTTCCCAGTGCTGCCAAAGAATACAACACATCGAAGGTGTTCATGGCAAACTTCTTCTTGTAGCCACGGATCCAGCGCTTGATACCAGAGTCGACTCGCTTGGTCTCGCCTGTGATGGGATTGAATTCCTCCCCCGGGAGCATGGCGTCTTTCTGGACGTTGTATCCGACGAGCAGCATGGGTGGGAAGGTGTAGGAGAATTGTAGGATGCAGAGTGCGCCCACAAAGGAAGTCAGGTTACTGATTTGAGGAATGGCTCCAGCGATGATCCAGGCCAGGGCCCAGTAGATCGGCACTGCGGGTGTGCAATGTTAGTGGTCTGGATTTGGATTTGGAATAATGGGGGACACTAACCCAGTGCGATCCAGATGAATTTTCCTGTCCGGTGGTCTAGTGGTGGCATGTGGAACACATCACGTAGGACGGAGGAGTAAAAGACCTTGATACCGATGTTGCCGTAGAGAAGAGCCGCAATGACGGAGGTGATAAAGGAGAGCGCGTTGCCCAGGGTTTGATAGCTGTAGGCGGAATCGGGGATGCCTGCGGGGCCATGGTCAGTCGGGTAGCCTAGAAAGAGGAAGACCACTAACCTTGATAAGCGGGGTTGTAGGTGAACTGTCCCTGTGCATTGTACACAACCATGCCTTCCACCAGGTAACAGACATAGATGAAGACTTCGGCACAGATGAAGCCCTTCCAGAAGTCGAATCTAAGTAGATAGTCAGTTATCGGCAGCTTGCAAAGGTAGAGTTTCGTACGGTCGTCTCATCTCCGCCATCAATTCATTAAAGAGAGTGGCACCACCATAGGCGAAGACACAGTTCATCACCGCTGTCATCCGATCGTACAACGAAGCGGATTCGGGCCAATTTGCGCTGGTCTTGACTGGGCCCTTTGGCGTTTGGTACGAAGTCCATGCAGCTGCGTAATTGGGAGGGTACTCGTAGACAACGGCCATACTGGTAACAGTCAGCATTGTCTTCAGCCAAGAGTTAGCTGTGGGTCGTACGTCATGATAATAACGATAACATTAAGCCAGATTGCCAGGTTGGACAACCAGGACAGGCGCTGCAGGGTCCGGATCTGGCCAAGCACGAAACCAATGAGGGTGAAGATGACTTCGGCGACAACGACTGCAGTTGCTCGGTCAGACATAATCCTCCTGTAATAAACGCAGATCCACTCACAGCAAAGATAGCCGTTACCACTCGCACCCTGGGCCATCTGGGCCAGACTTTGGCCACTACTCTCGATCAACAAGGACACATTGAGGAAGAACTGGAAGCTCTGCAGGACGTTGACAAGAATGCGTGCCCAAGTTCCATAGACTCGGAAGGCCAGGTCTCCGTAGTCTGGATGCGTCAGTCACATGTGTTGATAGTTCTCAAGGCCACTCACTGCGCATGGGATACCGTGTGGAGTCGAGACCCACGAACATCTTCCACAGTTGCATTCCAGAGCTACATAGAAGTTAGTTATGTCAGACCCATATAGCATTCAAACCTACTAGTATGCCATGATTCCAAAAACAGTATACAGTGCCTGTCCGAGTTCAACTTGTCAGAACGCAACGTGAACTGGGTAGTGATGAACCTACAAATCCCGGCCCGTAACCCATTTGCTGTATATACGTTAGTATGGTAGCTGACATTGTTATGTTCATTGTGACCACTCACACTAATAGCCCAGGGTACATTAGTCGGTCCCAGAATATCGGTCGTGATCAGATAGAAAATGGAGCCTTCCAACATCTTAGTTAGCCGATAACAGAAGCAGTGACGGGGAATACTCACCCCATGTTGCTGTACGAGCGGCCCGTTGTGCCTGTTCCCATTCCGTCTCGCTAATGCCATATTTGTCCACTTTACCCTCCGTTGCCTCGTACGCTGGAGGTGATTGCTTCTCTGATCCGGCCTTCTCGGAAGTCTGTTCGTCTTGGGGGGCTGGCTGCTTCTCCGAAACATCCTTCTCGGACGTCTTCTCAGTTTCGAGAACCGGCTGTGGTGGTTCGGGCTTTATTTTGCGACCGATGAGGACATTACCCAATTGCTGCAAGCCTTTGTCATCGGTGCGGATATGCTTCTCGACGTTGCGGGAGCGTTCGGCCCAAAAGAGGTAGTTCTCAAAGGTGATCTTGCTGTCCAGGTAGATCGAGTCCTTTCCGTGCATGACGGGGGCAGGGATGGTATGAAGGGCGTGGCCAGATGGTCTCTCAATGGTGACGTGATGCTCATCTTCGGTGCCGATGATATCCGCCTCGTCCCCCAAGCGGGGATCGGCCACCCCGCCCAGATTGGCGGCAGAGATAACGCCTGCCATGGCCCAAAAGGATGATCAGCGTTGTTGGGGCTCAATATACAATTGTAATGACGATCAAGTAGGAGGAGAGATCAGAAAGAAGGAGCGCTACGCAGGAACGGGAGGGGGCTCGGAGGTCGCACAGGGGCGGGTCAAAATATATGCAACCTCTCACCGGAAGGTCAGTGCGTGCGTCGCACCACCAGAAGATTGGTGGTCAGCTGGTGATTGGCAGCACTGACGGTGGCCGGAGGGGAGTCGGAGTTCCTGGGGCCCCCTTGCCACTGCCGGGGCCAATCTGCGGGTGCAGCATTATCAGGGCTCCCTGTCCTGGCAGCCACCGAATCACCCGCGAGCCAACGGGACAACACCACTTAATATCAGGCACGGCTCGATAGGCATCTATCGTCGATTATTGGCGACCCACCCGAGATAAATCACAAGTGCGCAAGAACGCATATGCTTCCAATAGATATCTACAGGTAACCGATGCCCTCAGGCAACCCATCCGGATCCTGCGGTTATCCACCAGCAGGATTCTAACATCCAACTGCGTCCGTGAGCCTCCCTTGTTTCCCTTTGGGTGGACTCCTCACCTCGCTGCACCGTCCTCTGGAAGTTTGAAAGGGTTTCCAACAGTGTCTTTGATGAAGAGTGTCCCCAAAGCTTGCGCGTCTGGGCAAAAGCTTGCGTGGCTCGGCAGGCGAGAAAGAAGACCCATATCTTCGAAGAAGCTTCCTTGGGCGGCCATAGCGCCGTGGCACGAGACCTTCGCGCAAGATAGCTGCAATTACCACTGCAACCCCCGTCGGTGGGCCGCGGGAGACATCATCGATACCAGCGATCTAACCCGGAGTGGCTTAGCGGCCGCGGACTCCATTTCAGCAGCCCTGCTATCAACCCTTCTGATTGGTGAATGACTTGCATGATGTCTGCTAGCCGGGCAACCAGCTCACGACCGGTCAAATCAGGAGGATCCTCAAGGATTTGACTGTGTTTCTCCCTCCTCATCACGTGCAGTGGCGTGAAGGTGAGGCATCCCACGCCCGGAAACAGCCGGAAGTTGCAAGACAGACTGTCATCATTATTATCTCAACCACAAGATGATGGTTCTTGATACGTCTCCACAATATTAAGATACTAACATTGTCGACAAAGGGTCACATAACCTCACAATTCTCACAACAGCATCATTAATCATTACATATCGACTAAGACGATACGTCATAAAAACAATCTCCGCCCTACCCCGCAGGTAAACGACGCTAGCCGCCGTGCACTGGGGGCATCCCTCTCTGGGAAACACCGCATGTGACAGTTCTACATAGTAGTAATTATCCTTGCAGTGCCTGGGCGGCGCTGGGGTTTATGGTCCCAACAACTCATGGGTTGCTGGATTGAGTCAGACCAATCTGGTGATTCTCGTAATGAGACCACAGACCGATAAGGGCAGAGTTCTCGTTCATTTGACCAAAGACACGGACTGATATCTCTGTTCAGACTAGGTCCTTCCAGGTACAACACGTGGTAGCAGGAACCATGAACGCCACTATCTCACCATCCACCTATCAATGCTCAACGGAAGTAAACCGGTTGAGAACTTGGTGGCCTGAAGTCAGGTATAATCCCTCCCACATACAACATCATTGTATGGGTTGCAGTCTTTCGGAGTATTCCAGTCCCATTCATCTCATGGAGGAGCTTTCCGAATGTCTTCTCATGCGTGGTACTGTCGATCCGTAAGTGGTTGGTTTGTACTAATATTGAGAGCGTCTGTCATCTCTATAAATCAGTGTCTGAGATTTCTATCCTACGCCATTTATTGACGTATTGCAGATCTAAAGTACAGGAGTGGCCGTGAGTCAATTGTTACTTGGCAAATGGCCTAGCTATCGGTTTCTAGCTAACCATTTCGGGTTGGTAAGGAGTGCACGAGCAATTCCGAGTTAAATAACTTCGTACTAATTAACTGATGTCGCACGGAGCTTATATAATTGCCTCCGATAGCATAAAAACCGCGATACATGTCGACCTTCTGACATTGCAGTTAGTAGATTATTTTTCATGTCCTCGCGCAAGCTCTAAGTACTCGAAGGCAGCCAATACTACAACACATCTCTTCTCGCGATTTTGGCTTTATCTCGCCCGGATATACACAACAATGGCGCATGAGTCACACTTGTACGATGTAGTTGGTCATCTCGGGGATCCGCAGCACTTTCGACTCATATCCAAATCCATCCCCGAACTGACGCTTCGCATTCCACGTACTGTCGATATTCCCGCCGTGATGGACATTTTGATGAACAAAGCAAATTCCGAGTTCGACAAGTCTATCTCCGAGGCTACGGCCGAGGAACTTCAAGCCATCGCCCAGCGGTGGACCACGGTCGTCGATCCCCTGACGCACATCAACTTTCTGGTGTGGAAGAACGAACAGCCCCTGGGAATTGCAGGCCTAGGCTGGATCGGTCCCGTCGCTGACCATGATGACGGCTCATCTAATCCGGCCGAAAGAGCTGGTGCGGCTGGAGTGATACTGCAACCGTTTGCCAGAGGCAATGGGTATGCCTATGAGGCGCTGCGACTCGTTTTTGAGTACGGACTGCATGAGCTGGGCCTGGTGGAGATCCGCGTGGGTAGCCACTCCGGCAATCTGCCTATGCGGGGCTTGATGGAGAAACGGTTTGGGCTGCAGCCGGAAAGGAAGGCAGAGAGCTCCGGGGTGGACAAATTTGGAAATGATCTCTTGTGGGTGGTGAAATGAAAACCAATCACTGGATGACCAGGGTGGCATTCATCCGGAAGGAAAATGGCGACGGAGTAAAGCGGATTTTGCTTGGGATATCCGCGGTCCTGAAATATATTCTGTGTACAACTCCGGAAACTGTATATAATGACAATCCTCCGTCAGCAATCCGCCATCCTGCTGTATACAATTATCTTATTCAAGACCAGAGCAATGCCTCATTTCCGAGGCCAGATATTGAGATGATTCAACCCTTGCTTCAAGTTGAACTACATTGGTGCGCCATGATGTGGTGAGAGCTGGTGGTGGTCGCGGCTGGTCTGTGCGCCTACCCCGCGGGCAGAAGGTGGAAGGCGGTGCGAGATGGCCGGCCCGGGGATTTTCCATTTTCCCCGATCCCGGTCGGATCTCCCTCTCCATCCGTGTTGACTCCATCTTTTTTCTCTCTTCTTTCTTCACAAGTCATCCACTTCGCGATCAGACCATCATGGAAACTGATCTGGCAGATATCCGTGGAACTGACTCTTTCTTATCACCCCCGCCTAGTCGGAGACGAATCTCCCGTGTAGTGCTGCCTACTCGCGTCAGTAGTGCTTGCGAACGGTGCCGGCTCCACAAATCTCGGGTAGGTAGGAACGCGCTGTCCCGCATTCCACCCATGCATTGCTCTTTGACTGACCAGCTGTGTCAACTCCGTACACCAGTGTGATCCCTATTGGCCGTGCTCCTTGTGTGTCCGGGCCAATGTTGACTGTCGCCAACGCCCCGTTGCTCAGCCACGGCGAAGAACCCTCCGACAGTAAGCTCATACAGCCCTCAGACTGGGATCATGCCTCCAACTCAAGGCCCTCGGTGATCGGGACCTGACCCCTCGAATCGTTGTGTTAGACAGGAAGGTTCCAACAAAAGCCGAAGGATTTCTCGCACTCGACCCGACTCCCCGTTTATCTCCGCAGTGAGACAAGATGAAGATGGCATGGGTGATCATACCCCAGGGGGAACAGGAACAACCACCACACGGATAAGGGCTGAGGAGGCTAATACCTCAGGCGATGACCGCACAACACAGCCGCCCATTGAACCGGGCGAGGCAGAATCGGCCATGGGTATTGCTCGAAAGATCTGTGAGCTCGGCAGTCAGCATCTCGATGAACAAACCACCTCTGCCATTCCGGGTTACTCTGCCACTAACAGCGCGCCACTGGTACAAGAGTCTGTTGCGGATCATCGACGACCAATCTCATCTATCTTCGGTCAGCCGTTCCCTTCCATAGACCTCGTATATACCCTCTTGGATGAATACTTTGATGCCGTTCATTGGTTTTCGCTGGTGGTCCATGAACCCAAGTTTCGCAGGAGACTCCATTCTATCGCCGATGGGTGTGCTCATCCCGCCCAACGCCCATTTCTTCTTTTATTAGCTGTTATGCTCGGGATGGCGGCGTGGTACCGATCGCGACGCAGCGGTCCGGATGCCGCCCAGGACTGGGGCCAATGGAGTTCTAATCTGCTCAAGCTAGCCGAGTCCAATTTGATGGATATGATGGACCAGCCGTCTGTGCTCGCCGCTCAGACTTGCATCCTCATAGGATCACACAACCTTTATCATGGTCGTCCCAATCTTTCATTCACCCTCCTCGGAGCTACCATCAAGATGGCGCATGCGATCGGCCTGCACCGGGAGCCCCCACAAGGAGACGTGGACGAGATCGAAGAACGAAAACGAGTGTGGTGGACAATTTATACGTGGGATAGATTTGCTTCCATCACCTATGGAACGCCGTTGGGTATTAACGACAAGGATTGTAACCTGAGCATGCCGGCGGATGTCTTCGAGGATCCATCATTTGGGGCGCCACGACCCGATCACAGGGAGCCAATCTGTTATTCTCCATATCAACGGGAACTGAATCGACTCTATCTGATTGCTTCACCTGCGCTGGAAACAATTTTTGGTTCTCGAACCTCACAAACATCCCAGGAGTTGGTCGGTGATACCTTCGTAACCTTAGTCAAGCAGGCGACGGAAAATCTACAAGTCTGGAGGCGGAGTCTACCTACCCACTTGGTTCTTGATCTCCGGTACGATTTTCAGATGGATGGCCGGCAGAGCTCAAAAGCGCACGCCCTACAGGCTTTGGCCCTGCAGTTGACATACGACAACATCTTGATAGTCCTTCACCGTCCTCTGATCGCGCGGCAGGTCGACCACCTCTCCACCAACAAACTCTCGCCGGGAGGAAGCGAGGTTGATCCTACAGCTTTTCTATCACCCCCCTTATCCTCAGAGACCCCATCTCGCTCACCCTTTGAAGCTACTCTGGTCAAGGCACAGACCGCCAGCTCCGAATTCTGGATGAAGGCCGCCGTCCGGACGTCGAGGGTGACGGAACAACCGGTACTCGCCCAGCTCGCTACCGACAGCCACCTGGTTGCCTTTTTAGCGATTAGCCTCTTCAATGCTGCCATCGTGTTGGCTGTGATGGCACTGTCAGACCCTTTGTCCGACACAGCGCAAGAAGTCAAGCGGACTATGACTCGCATCCTACGACTGCAGGACCTTTTGGGCAAGCGGTCGGCACTGTCGAAACAGAGTACCCATGTCCTGAAAAAGGTCATCACGATGCTCCTTCGTCGAGAGTCCGCGGCCATGCTAGCTCCCTTGACAGGCACTGCTGCATTTATAGATTATGATTCGAACAAGCAGGCGCCTCCTGAAACCTACCCCATGTCCGTTGAAGACACGCTTCGGTTACCACTGGACGCACCTTTAGACTTGTCGGAGCCGGTGAGTGACAGTCAGGGGGGCTCGGATGTCATTCGGACTCATCGGCTGAACGATAGCCTCACTTCCGTTCAATATTGTAAGCACCTTTTCCCCGGTGGTCTAGCAGGACAACTAATAGCTACCGACTCAAGTAATGGTTCCTGGCAATGATTGTACTCTCCACGTTCCAGTTCTCGGGGACAGTCAACGAGACCATATGCCTGTGTATTCAGGCATCCCGCCCACGGACCAATGGCAACCCGCTGTTCAAAATCCTTGGCAGAGTAGCTCACCATCTGCTACGCAAGAGAGCCATTACGGTAATGTAGAAAATGGGCTCTACTGGCTATGGGATACCACGTGGAATGGGCTCTAGATGTCACTGATGTGGCTGGTAATTAAGATATCTATGTTTCTAAGAATCCTGGGTGTGGTGACACAAGCTCGATGGCCGCGTCGAGCAGTGATGGGATACTCCCTATCATACAGTGGCCTTTGCTGTCTCCGCCTCCACCTCTGGCCCGTAAATGACGCTCTTGATCCCGACTCTGTTGGCCACATTCTGAAACGCCTCCTCGACCTGCGAGAAAGAATATTCGTTCGTGACCAAGCCGTCAAGGTTGACTCGATTAGCCGCTAGCAGTCCGACGGCTAATTGGAAGTCTCCCGGACCGTATCGGAAGCTTCCCTTCAGAATGGCCTCTTTATCACAGATCTGACCGATCGGGACGGACACGTTGGGGCGGCCCAAGCCCACTTGGACGAAGGTGCCGCCTGGTGTGATGGCGTGGATGCCACAATTTTGACAGGGCTCCGCGCCCGTGGCATCTAAGACCACATCGGCGCCATCCTGCAGCCCTGCGGCGGAGAGCAGATCCTTGGCATTTTCTTCCGGTGCTGCCGATGTCATCTGGTAGGTGTGCGTGGCCCCGTATTTGCTGGCCACACTGAGGCGACTGGGGACGATATCAACCGCAATGACACTGGCCGCACCAAAGGCACGCGCCACCGCGCAGCAGAGTAGACCGACCGGGCCGGCCCCAAAGACAACCACGGAGCGATTTTGCATGTCACCTCCAAGCCGGCAGGCATGCACGGCCACGCCCAGGGGCTCCACCAGTGCTCCGTCGCGGAGGGAGATGTGAGAGGGTAGCTTAAAGCAGCACTGGACAGGTACACGGTAGTATGTGCAGAGTGTTCCATCATATGGCGGGGTTGCTGCAAAGTGCATATCGCGACACAGGTTGTAACGACCGGCGCGACATGGCTCACAGGTGTTGCATGCTATGCCGGGCTCAAGGGCGACGCGGTCCCCAGCTGCAAGCCCCTTGACGCCGCTTCCACAGGCGACGACAATTCCCGCGGATTCGTGACCCAGAATGATGGGTTTCTCTACGACGTACCGCCCGATCCGTCCATGTTGCCAGTAATGTACCTTGAAGGAGGGTTAGGTCTGACGGCATGTAAGCGATTACTGACACTTACATCGGAGCCACACAGGCCAGTTGCGACCACCTTTACAATCACGTCTTGGTCGGACTGAATGGTGGGTGCTTCGCGAGTTTCATAGTAGAAGGAGCCGCCGGGCTTGAGCACGGCGGCCTGGTTGATGTTCTGAGGATTGCACGATCAGTGACCTTTCTGCCAACATCCGGAGTAAACGGCGTACCTCTGGTATGTCTGTGGTACTCATGGTTATTAACTTGGAGTGCAGTTAATTGGTTGGGAAAGACGCCAGTTATATAACGTTCTTTATGGTCTGACTTGATGGGATGGCCGAGTGGGCGCACTCGGCTCGGTTCCGGCGGAGACCCTGCCATAACGTCACTCCCTGCTCGGCCCGACCACCACCCCGACCTCGCGCTTTTTCTCAATCCTGGTAGCCAGCCCAGTCCGACCACCAATGCATGCCAGTGTTCTTGCTCGGTGGTCCACTTCTTCCTTTGGACGTCACTTTTGTATCCGGTTGTCCCTCGGAAACTCCAGCATGAACATGTGGAATCAAGGTTGCAATAATTGCTCAACATCCCACAACATCATGGCATGGAACATCATACAGCCCAAGTGAACCACCGTGAGACATACTAGTAATAATGCCTCAGACGGTCCACCAAGAGCCTGTCTTCTCCGGTCGGCCATGAGCGATGCCGGCCTGGTGATTGGTGGGATCGTCCGCGTGGTGGGTCCGGAACCGACCACGTCGCTTGGCTGCTTTGCTTCCGCCGGAACCGAACTGGTAGAGTGAGAATGACCCGGCCTCAATGCGCCAAGGCTCAGGAACGTCCAATGTTCGTGGGTGATTCCCGGAGGTGTGGAGTTTGGGTCTAAAATATCGGAGGGATAGAGGACGCCAGAAACCTCCGCATGAGAAACGGGGCACTGGGGATAACAATGCCGGGGTATTCTCCAGACCCCGCTCATTCGCGGAGTTCAGCACACATCTCATGGACCAATCGTCCGGGGCTGCCCAGGCAAAATGGCAAATCTGGTTTTGTCGGGGTCCGTCAAATTTACCCGGCAGACTTCAAGATGGCTGCCCTATATATGGCTCCCAAGTCCATCGCCGTCTTTTCCTGGCTGGCTCAATATTCACTACTGTGGGCATCTGGACTGTCCCTGATACTGGCTCCTCTTACTCTGTTTCTGGCTACAATCCTGAACCATGGCTTACGGCAAGCCCTACTTTGGCTTAAAGGGAGGGTGGCTGACCTTCTGGGTTACGGTTGCGTGTGCAACTGACATGATGCTGTTTGGATATGACCAGGGTGTCTTCGGTAGGTCCTCTTCAATCAGAATACCATGGGTGGCACAAGGAACTAATCAGCCGTGCTCATCGGGCTAGCCGGGGTAATCGTCACGAGCGACTTTCTAAACGTTCTCAATCTCCATGGCAAAACAACGCTCGTCGGAACGATCACGGCCATCTATGATGCAGGTTGTCTGATTGGTGCCATGGCCGCTATCTACTTTGGAGACATACTAGGGCGAAAGAAGACCATCCTGTGCGGGACCACTATCATGACTGTCGGCGCCATTCTCCAGGCCTCAGCCTACAGTGTTCCTCAGATGTTTGTGGGGCGGATTATTGCTGGGCTCGGCAATGGGATGAACACCGCCACCGCTCCTGTGTGGCAGGGAGAGACATCACAAATCAAGTGGAGAGGAAAGTTGGTGATCATCGAACTGGTCCTCAACGTTGGGGGCTACTCGCTCGCCAACTGGATGACTTTCGCCTTTTCTTTTGTCCCGGGACCAGCTGCCTGGCGCTTTCCCCTCGCTTTCCAGATCGTCTTTATTCTCATTCTATTTGCCACCGTTCCCTGGTTGCCAGAATCACCACGGTGGCTCATCTGCCGTGACCAGCCAGAAGAGGCCCAGCAGATCATTGCGGACCTCGAAGGCAAGGACCTCAACGACTCGCATGTCATCGCAGCCTACACCGAAATTATGGCGACCATCCAGTATGAGCGAGAGCACAGTGTCTCGTGGGGCCAGTTGCTCCGAGGCAAAACCGGGGGTGAGGAAGGCACGGGCAGCATTCGCCGTCTTCTTCTGGGGGCTGGTGCCCAGGCGATGCAGCAGCTGGCAGGAATCAACGTTACATCATACTATCTTCCCACGGTTCTAATGGAATCGGTCGGGTTGTCAGAACGACTGGCTCGGCTGCTTGCTGCGTGCAACTCGGTGTCTTATCTTGTGGCCAGTAGTGTGACGATTCCCACCATTGAGCGCTGGGGTCGACGTCGAATCCTGATGGGGTGTGCCTTAGGACAAGGCGTCTGCTATCTGCTGATAACCGTTTTCTTACGGTTCAGCGAACAGGGTGGACATACCAACCAATATGTCTATGGTTCCGCCGCCGTCGCTTTCTTCTTTGTGTACTATGTCTTCTTTGGCGTGAGCTTTCAGGGCATTGGGTGGCTGCTTCCGGTTGAGCTAAACTCGTTGAGCTTGCGGACCAAGGGCGTAGCGTTGGGCACGGCCACCAATTGGGCGATGAATTTCATGGTGGTAGAGATCACCCCAGTCGGGATTCAGAATCTTGGGTGGAAGTTCTACATCATCTGGACTGTCTTTAACTTTGCCTTTGTGCCCACGGTTTACTTCTTCTACCCCGAGACAGCGAATCGCTCTCTGGAGGATATTGATCGCTTCTTCCACGAGCACTACAATGTGTTTGTGAATGGGATCGCGGAGGCCACCAGCATCGAGCGTCCGATGCGCTACATTGAGATGGAGAACGAGCTGGTCAAACGGAGCGCCATCATTGCGGATGCCAAGGGGGCAGGCCATGATGGAGACGCCGAGCACAAGGAGACTGTCTAGTGACAGGCCTCTGCGTCTCGCATGGAACCTTTGTCAGCACGTCGAGCGGCTAGTATCCTGATTAAAACGGTAGTCTTCATGCTGCTTGACTCCTCGAACACTATACGGAGTATTGTACTGGAGAAACATGGGGAACCCAAATAAGCCTATGCTGCTCCAGACATCTTCCAGATATCGAATACACCAATGGCGCTACAACAACCTGAAAGATCCTTTGTATGACATAATCATCGGAAGTCGCCATACTCCCATCAGATAGAACAGGCGAGTAATCGGACATTACCAGTTGATATCGGAGAGTCGCGATCTACATCATATTAGACCGGACCATCCCACGTGGTGGCCCATTTAATCCCTCGATCTCGGCTCTTCCTGTCCTTATCCATCCACCTTTCAAGTCTTCCTCATATCTTCGAGTCACCGCTTCGGACAGGCATTTATTCTTTCATCGGCAGTGCCATCATCTGCATCTGGGCTTTTGATTTTCACGAGGTTTACACCTTCGTCCACTGTGCTTATTCCATCCCAACATCCAGTACCCGTCATAGACAGAAACGTGCGAGATAGCATCGTGGCTGAAACGCGAGAGGGCGTCATGACTGAAAAGCAAGATATCTCCAAGCTTGTCAAAACATTCCACAGCGATCTGAAGCAGAAATACGATCGGCAGGGCACCAAAGTCGAAAAGATCTGGCGTACATTTGGGAAGGCGAAACGGGAGAAAATACTCAGGGCCGGCGCTGTCAGTGGTCGCGTGCTCGAATGTCCGACCGACAGAGGCCTGGGCGAACTGTATAAGCTCATCCCGGAGTGGAATCTCTTCGACATCACCGAGCCCGGCTCAGACTATTTGCTGGATCATCTCCACTATCGTGCTACCACGTCTCTCACTGACCAGTATGACCAGGGAATCGACAGAGCACCAGGAGATGCAGACTTCATTGAGACGAGTATGCGTGTCCACAACCTCCGTTGCAAACCGACTCTCCAGCACAGTGTCACCCTATTTGCATCCGAGGATGACTATGGGAAATCTTACTCGGTCAGCAACTGTGCGGAGTATGAAGAAGTCATGACAGACATGTCGGCAGTGGGGAAGGCGGACTTTTGCGTTCCCCAGGGGACTGGCCAACTGATTTTGATCAGACAGCTATGTTTTCTGCGAGCCCTTAACATCATTGTGGACGATATTCTCGACGAAGGCTCGACCGTCGACCGGAAGGTGCAATCAGAGAACACGGTCCTGCACGCCTTGTCCTCGCTTACACTGGAGCTTAAGCCCGAGAAGCTCTCCCTTCAAGAGCTGACGGCTCGTGCGGCGGACCGGAAGTCTGCTCTAGAAGATTACCACCACCTCTGTTGCAGCGAGCCCGAGTTCCTCGCTCACGTGGTGAATGTCTGGTACTCCAGTCGACCGGAGCTTGTGCACGATGAAAAGGGTCGGATCATTCCTCCGGATGCAGGTAAATACATCGGGATGGCAATGTTTCAGGCCATGCACAGTTATTTGGTGGGAATTACCATTTGGGATTTTATCTGTAGGCTCCTGAGGGCTCTCATTGACAAGCCGGAAGAACCAGCGTACAGAAGCCTTGTGCTTCAGGAACTGGCCAACGTGGTCTCACTTGAGTACAAGCGGGTCCAATCGCAATTGAAACGCTACTTTCAAGCTTTCTCCGGTTGGGGGTATTTCAAACGCATCTCCGGTGTGTACGATGATGGCGTCCCGCGGGTGTCTCCCAAGACCAAACCAGACCTCTTGTCCAGCCTGGAGCCACACCTCCATTATATGCATCGGCTGTGCCACCCGGAGACCAACCCTTCCAAAGCAGTCGACTGGATCAAGAAAATGGATGATCTCCACCGCACCGACCGGACGGAGAGAGCCAAAATGACCAAGCAGGAGTTTGATGCATTCGGGGATCTGGCCATCACCACCAGCTTCGTTCAAACTCTCTCTGCGTCTCTCCCAATACCCAGCGCCCGCCAAAAGAACGCCCCGACCTATACAGGAAAATTAAAGGACTCGTTCACGACAATCGATCTTCTCAAGAAGGATCTCGACATATCTAGCTATGTAGTCCCGATCGAAAGCCTCCTCGAGTCCGAAAAGTCCCAAGCTGCCTTGAACGCCTTGAACCGATCCTTCTTTGGAGAAGAATCCTCTTCGGATATCAGCCTGCTCTACCTACCGCTCGCCAGATGCGCCATTTTCAAGCTCCAAAATCAGTATAGAAAGCAACAGCCGGGGCCTGATTCCGACCCGCTCTTAAGAACTCCAAAGTGTCTGGGCCCAATTACTCCGATGTCAGCCTGGCGAGAGAAAGTCCCAATACTTACCGCCGACGACACGATCCCCGAAGTGCCCGAAGATATCTTCAAGGTCAAACTCAGCACGTACAACGTTTTTTGGACGCTGCTTTCCAAGGCAGGCGCCCGGGGTTCGATCACTTGGGCGGCGTTTGAAGCTGCCATGGTCGATATGGGGTTCTCTGTTGTTCCGGGATTCGGCTCTGTGTATACCTTTGTGCCGCTGAAGGGATGTTCTCAGAAACGGGTTATTACCCTGCATCGGCCCCATACGCAGAAGATTGAAGGGCACTGTCTGTTAATCATTGCACGCCGCTTGGGGTGGAGGTATGGGTGGGTTGAGGCGTCGTTTGAGGTGGCTTAGCTTGGGGACGTGTGGGATTCTGTTGTCAATATGTCCAAGGTGTCCAGCCTTGGTTTTGACCAATACCTAAAAAGTATGACGAAGAAGATAATGTTTCTTAATATCTAAGGTCCATAGTTGAAACCTTGCATCAAATCCGCATCATCCTCCCACCCCCAAACCGGCGTATAATCGTCCAACTCCCCCTCCTCGTCCGCCCGCGCGTTGTACAATAAATAAGAACCATTCCTCACCCCCCTCTCCATCCCCAACTTCTCATACCCTCTTAGTACCTTCTCCCGTGGAGTCTTTGTTCTCTTCCTCTTCGTCCCCGCCCCCTCCTCCCTCCAGTCATCAAGACAACAATGCAACATCTTCTGAACATAGATGACCACGTCCGCATCCTCCTCCATCGCCCGCCCAAATATCCTCTCCAGAGACGGTCCCCACAAATGTATCAGATCCTCGGGGATATGGTTCTTCCACATGATTTGTGCCTTGTCGTCGAGGGTGGTGAGGAGGTCGAAGAGGAGGGATAGGCGGAGGTAGCTTCCTTCTCCTTTTTCTTTTTCTTCCTTTTCGTCTGTGTTTCCACTCTTGTCCTCCAGAGGCTAGTCAATACACTACCTCCTATCTTCCCCTTTATGAAAATCAATAGAATGAAAAAGAGCACCATACCATCCCTAGACCCTCCAATCCACCCCTTCAACCCCGAAATATCCCGCACAGACCCAGGAATCCTAACCCGTTGAAAACCACTCCCTCCCTGCCCGGAAACTATCATCACGAATGCCACATTCTTACATGGAGGTTGGTGCGTGAGCATTCTGCGCCAGGAGGCTTCGGGACGGAGAAAGGCTGCGCGTTTGGGTTTCTGGTGAATGAGGGTTAGGTTGCTTAGTGGGGTTGTGGTTTTGGTGGTGGTGGTGATGGTGATGCAGGGAAAGAAGGACGGGAAGTGGGATTTGAGGAGTTGGTTGTAGGTTATGGGTATTGGGGCATTAGTGGTGGTTTTGGTGATGTAGGGCCGGAAGAAGAGGGCTTCTTGGAGAGATGGGTTGGTTTGGATGAGAGTGGACCAGGTCCGGTTGACGCGTTGGGAGAGGAGGAGGGTTTGGTGGTCCAGGTGGGTTAGGATGAGGGTTAGGAGTTCGGGGGTGGTGAGGGGGTTGGGGGTTGGGGAGGGCATTTTGGAGATTAATTGGAGAGGGGGGGGATGGAGGATGGAGGAGATGGAGGGATGATGGTGGTTATTTTTAGGAAGCCGCTACAGCCACACCGTGCCACACTATTGGGTCACGTGTGGTCTAGGCCGAGAAACCCTTGCTAGTATCTTTATTAAGTAGGATTCTTACTGCTTTAATAGGTCTGTATGGGGTTATATAAGCTGTATATGCGTGTGTAGAGTCTTAGGCAATAATAAATCTTAAAACAGCGAGAATTCCGCATGTTTATAAAACTAGATTTCACGTATAAAGCAGTGGAAAGATATTTCACCAGCAAGACATTCCATCACCTATCTAAACCATACTTCCTTAGGCTCCTTGACGATCCCAAGACGCTCCAAAGTCTTCACATCGGTAGTGTAAGGCCGCTCATACTCGGGCTCAAAAAGGTCTCGTTCGACTCCTACCCCGTTCTTCGGTATCGTCATGAGCCTGCGGAATGGATCTACCCCATCTTTATAAAGGAACTCATTTACTTCCTCATCGATCCAGATAGATCGAGCAGGCCACTCCGATGTTTTTCCTTCGAGAGCTAGGACCAGCTTAGGCCTCGTGGTGACCGCTCGCGCCCTCCAGCCTACCTCATCACGTATACGTCGGAGCAAGTTCGGCCAACTGCCACCCTCGTCAAGAAAGTATAAGAATTTGAGCTCCACCGAACGGATTGTCTCCGGGAGCTTTTTCAAAAAGGAGATCACATCGTCTGTAGTGACGACGAAGTTCGAGATCCCAAAGTGTCGTAGCTTGGGCCATTGTTGAACTGGAAAGATCGCATTTAGCGACATACCACGTCTCATCGATCTAAAGTTCTTCTGCCCACGCTTCATATCTATGTAGCAGGCGCTTAGATGTATGTGTTCCAAGTCCGTTGCTTGAGCCAAAGCGTAACGAAGGTTTCCATTATGGAAGGATGGCCAGTCCGACATTGACTGGACGACAATATCAGCCTCGTCCATTTTGGCGGCTGCGAGGGCGAGATCTAGTCGAGAGAAGCCCGGTCGTTTCAAAATAGAGACTAGATCTCCGTACTCCTCCCAGGGAACCTTAAACATGTTGCAATCCAAGCCCCGTTCCAGCTCATGGTCTGTAATCACTAATTCAGTTACGTGATGCTCTTTCACCTGAGCCAGCAGATTCATCACAGCCTGACAACCGCGCCACTGCTTTTCCTTACCCATTGATGCTCGGTTTCGATCACGCCAGTCCCTGCGCCTTGGCCATCCGCGTGGAATTGGGTAGTTGAAGCCCTCCGAAAACGAACGAATCATGGGGGTCTCATACAGGGGGTTGAATAACCAGCCGTGGGCGGCTGGCGTGATGGTGATTCTTTTCAAAGAGGGGAATTGCTCCAATCCATAGCGGAGAGCATCCATATCTGCGTTAGTCGTGAAGACTCGCCTTTGTTCATCAAACAGTCTCCTATACTTTGTCCAGTGTACCTGTAAGGGTTTTAGTGAAGCAACCACTTGAAGAGCCCGCGCGATATGGTCCGGTCGATCAACATCAAGTCCCTTGCGATCGTGCAACATCTCCAAATTCTCTCGACAGGCTTTAGCAAACCATAGAGGACATAAGTCTGGATTTCGAGCATCATCCCGATCAAATTCAAACTCCCAGCCCAAGTCCTCGTTGTCCCTCTCCTCTTCGGATAAATACCCCATTCTCAGGAGCGCATCGTCCCAGATAATCTCCTCAACACCATGGCGATGAATTTCATGGTCAGCGATGTTGCGAAAGATCTCAATGTTGCGCGGGCTAGCGGAGAGGAAGACTCGTTTGAGTCGTGGGAGCACGTTGCTTAAACCCCTGCACGACAGGCGTAGAGATTTGATGTCCCGGTTCGGCAGGTGCGATGTGATCAAGTCAAGGAGTTCGTTCGGCAGGCTGCAGATTGAGGTATACTCGGATTTTAGGTCCATGATGTCGTCGTTGTTGTCTTGGTATATTGAGATTTCGGGTCTCTGCTTCACCGGAAGATCTTGTGATCTGAGTGATGTGTGTGGTGAATGGAAACGCACCCGGCTTAAGCATCTTATATAACCTGAGCCATCCATCCTTACTCATCATCTGTAGCCTGGTGCCTTTATGCAAGAGGCCGGGATCTTCCACGATATCGGCATCCTTTATGGCAGACTCGTGTGGCATATCGGTACCTTCCACTAAGTTGTATCAGGAAAAAAATGTTGGCTCACCTTGGTACATCTGTAGCCAAAAGAAATCTATCTTTTTCGTCTACTTCGTAGTAGATTGGACAACATAGTGGATCATTCGGTAATAAAGAGTGCGGACAAAGCCTAAAAAAAAACTGGATTTACTCGGAGAACTCCAATTCTTTTCAGCAGACTTGCCGACGATTTGCATGCTAAGATCAATGTTCACAAGGGAACTGCATATTTTGTTATCTCGACTCACTAATCGAAAAATGGCTTGTTGCGGAACCTTCCATAGCAGCCATCGGGCACCTCTAATGTTCTATTATCCGACCCTCGGTACTTTCTTTGTTGTTTCGCTTTTACCCCTGCTTCCAACAATTTGATTACTCATTTCGGGTTTGTGATTGGGTGGCTTAAGTCTAGACACGCCGAATGTAAGGTAACAGTGTAGGATTCTTTCAACTTATTGACGGGATATCCCGAGCCTTGATTTTAGATATCGCGATAGGGCAACTGATGCTATCACAATGAATACGTGGTAGGAAGAATAACAAAGGGATGAAGAATTTAAGCTTCTGTTGGCGGAAAATGCATGGGTTCCCGACCCAAAATTCCCTTTCGCATTCCAGGGAAAGAAAAAGAAAGGTGAGTGGTGATGTCCTCCATATGGCGGACAATATATTCCATCGCCCCTGCCTTCCGGGGACCTGCTCAAGTGTACATTTCTCATAGAAAGGTCAGAAGATGGGTGACGTACATTTTTGGGATCTCTCTGTTTGATCATGTGAAATATCGTGAGATGGTATATCTTCTAGCACAAATTCAGTTTGGGCATAGCGAAGTAATAGTATCGATCATAAACACCCTAATACAACAATGATAGCATAATAACAAAGTATCTGTGAACAACAGAATTTCGAGGATATTCAAATGTGATATCAAATGGCACTGACGAAACTCAACAATACTGATGCTAATGAAGGACGCAACTGGCTTGACTCCTCATATATTGATGAACACGCAACCCAGACTACCAGTCCACATGGCAAGTTTCTTCTATGTGGATATGAACAAACAGGATGAACAAAGAGGATCTGACGTGTGTGTGGGCCCACTAATACAGGCCTGAGAGTTTCCGAGAGGAGACCTTGTCCTGTGTTACTCCTCCTCTGTCTTAATCCTCACTTCCTTTTTCTCTGTGACACTTGTCATCTTCAGTGACACTACGCATCTTTCTCTCTGTTAGTCCCTCTCATTCTTCTTTCGGACAATTCTCCTTCTCGCCCGCCCATATTTCATATCATCCTTCTCAACCAAGGCCGACAGTTCACGTCAAAGCAACATGGACGCCCCAGTGTTAGACACCGCTAGGCTGACGCTTTCCTGCCTCCCTAGCGAGCTCCTTCTCATAGTCGCGTCTTACCTACCGAACCGGGACATCAAGAACCTGCGATTAACGGCGAGATTCTTGCATGATACAGTGCGTCTACGTCTGGACCGCGTGTTTTTGTCTGCCAACCCGCTCAACATCAGCGTCTTTCGCGCCATTGCCGACGATGAAAGGTTTCGCCAAGGTGTCGTTGAAATCATCTGGGACGACGCCGTTTTGGTGGAAACCCGAAGCGAAGCAGACTTCAGCCTTTGGGGACTTTGGTCACCATTATCCCCGCGGATGTTTGAGGATCATCCGGAGGAACAATGCCCAGTGTGGTTTGCTAAAGCCTGCCGGTCCAATCTAAAACGATTGTTTCACCATAAGCACAATGATGTGGACGGTCCGGATCATATGGCACGGGCCCTGCAGGTAGTAGCGGCACAAAGGGCTCTGATATATTTCTGGGAATACTATCAAAGGCTGTTGATTGGCCAAAAATGGGTCATTGAGACTGCTGCTGATACGGATGCCCTCATCTACGGAATCAATCAATTTCCCGCCCTTAAACGAGTGACAGTTACCCCAGCTGCTCATGGGTGGCTATTCGCTCCTCTTTATGAAACTCCCATGATTCTCTCCTTTCCGTATGGGTTCAACTATCCCATCCCACGCGGATGGCCTACAACAAACGAGGGACTATCATTGAATGTCCCTTCCTGGGCAAGCCTAAGCAACCATAGAAAAGATCAATGGCGCGGGTTCCGCATCACTACACGTGTACTTGCACAGCAGAGAGAGAACCACGTCACAGAGTTTATTCTCCACACTAATCAGCTTTACACCGGCCTAAATTGCAGAATTTTTGAAGAATCCTGCGAGGAATACGATAATTTAATCTGTCTCCTTCGCCAACCGGGGTTCTCGCGACTTGATCTAGCTCTCATCACTGATCAGCAGGAAGATTTGGACTGGTATTCCTTCTACAATGGCCGGCTTCGTTATGCACTGGCTCAAGCGACACAGATGAGACACATCAGTCTAACAGGCAATATGAAAAATCATGTCGTTTATGCGAATGATTCATATAATGAGGATGATAACGACACCACGTCCCACCTGATTCCAATTCGCACCATTTTCCCAATCGAAAAATGGACCAATCTGCAGCACTTCGAGCTATCATCCTTCGTCATTACAAAGGACGATATGGTCTCTTTCTTGGCTGCACTGCCAAAAACGATCTGCTCAATTAAACTGAGGCGTTTAAACTTTTTCAAGAAATCCGACCACTGGCCCGGCCTGCTGATAGATATCAGAGACAAGCTGCACTGGAGAGAGAGAGACATAAAATCAAGGCCTAAGCTTACAATCATCATTGATAAGGTCTTGGCTACCCCCCCTTGGTGGGCAATCTGGATTGAGGATGAAGTGAGCAAGTTTCTGTATGAGAATGGACCAAATCCATTCTGTGATGACTACATGTTTTAATTGAATGTCCTGGTAGGTAATGCGGCTATTTTCTTTCTGTATGGCGAGAAGGTCGCATTTAGTAGTACTAGAACAGCAACGTGAGTCAGAAAATCAGAAGAATGTCTTGTATTGAATCCGGGAACATTCTGATAGAATTTTCCAACTAGACCAAAAGAGATACCTCTTGGGTTAGTGGAACAATTCCAAGGTAAATAGTTTCCAACACATTCTCTCCTGGACTGAAATTACATCAATGCCCTACCAACTATTCTATCGACTATCCCTCCACATCCATCCCTCAGGCCCCTACACAGATAACCTCTCTCTCCTCGTCCTCAAATAATCTCTCCCTCTTCATCCCCAACGAACTAACCACCCCCACCGCCCCCGCCACCAACGGAATAATAAACGCCCTGGCCATCGCATCCGTGATTGATCGGATTGCTTTCTCCCTCAACTCTCCGCTCAAGCTCTGGAACAATGTACTCTGTGCCCCCGCCACTGCGTTATGGATCTCGATTTCGCTGAACCCCTGCCCCTTCAAGACAGAATTCAAATTCTGAACTGCAGTCGACTGAAACACCTGACTCGCAATCACCAGGCATATTACCGTGGAGCCGATCTGCGCGACATTTTGTAGATTGATCGCGCTGAAAACATCACCGGCTGGGACTTTGAGACTGGCGACGGCGTAGCCGAGCTGCATGGTGATTCCTGTTCCAACAGCCATTAGGATAGTGAAGCCGTAAATTTGTCCCGCTGGGGTTGTGGGAGATAAATAGCTGACGAAAAGAGCGCTTGATAGGGTGAGGAGGACGCCGGAGATGAGACATAGCGGCATGTAGTATTTTATCTTTGGGAGAAGGAAGCCGATAGCTAGGTTTGTTGTAATGGTCACGAGGAGGTACGGGAGGAGACGCACGGCGGCCATCAGGGAGGTATCGTTGCGGGTGAATTGGAAGTATATCGGTATGTAGAACGCTGTGAAGAACATGGCCGTGTTGGCGCAGGTGGTGGTGATGTAGAGGAGGATTTGGGTACGGGAGCGAAGGAGATGACCCGGGAAGGAGCGGGTGGAGGCTGTGGTGAAGATGCAGAAGTACTGTTGGAGGGCATAGAGTATAAATAGCACTGCAAAAATGATGATCAGGGCGATTGTGGCGCCGGAGTCCCAGGTCCAGATGCCTCCGGCTGAGATGAAGACTAGGGTGAAGGTTACCCACATGCCTGCGCTGAGGATAAAGCCGATGTAGTCAAGATGGAGAAGGCAATTTCGGAGCGATTGGCCGGCACCGGGATGGATGGCTGGTAGATAGAAGAGATATACTGGGGCAGTGATGGCTCCAATCACCAGGTTCAGGTAGAAGCCCCAGCGCCAGGTGGCGGAGGAGTCGGAGAAACCGCCCCCTACGACAGGACCGAGAATGGCCCCCACGCCCCAGACAAAACCAGTGCCGGTGAGATAGGTGCCGCGTTCATGACGGGTCGTCATGGCGGAGAAGTGGTTGAGGCCTCCCAGGTAGATACCTGTTCCTCCGGCACCTGCAATGACACGGCCGACAATCAGGGTGCTCATGGTCGGGGCGGCGCCACAAAGGGTGGATCCGGCCTGGAAGAGTACGATTCCGGCGATGTAGAGCCATTTCATGTTCATGGTGGTGTACAGGAAGCCGTATGGGAGGATCACTGCCACGGAACCGAGAGGGAAACCCGCCCCGATCCAGGCCATCTGCGACACATCCGAGAAAGTCCCGATTACCGCGCCTTGCACGTCTGCAGCGATGGTCGTGTCGAGGCCGTATATCAGGGCGGAGAGATATAGAGCTGCGCAGATAAGAAACCAGCGAAATCCGGTGATCGTGCGGACATCATCGGTAGTGTTGGCACCATGGTGGGTTTTCTCGCTGTGTGGATGGAGTGGGCTGTCCATGATGAGAGTGTTGGGCGTCGCGGTTCAAAGCTGGTTTCTGAACTCCTGACTTTGTTTAATCCAAAGCATTGTAGGAAGAATGGCCCGTATTAAATATCTGCTGGACTGCGGATATAACAATTCCAGGGCAGGTTTACCCATGTCCTCTGCTTATATCCGTTAGGGCCGTGGAGCAAAACCAAGAATCTCATGCACGAAGCCGACAAGGACAAAGTTGCCTGTAATCACAGTCAGGCCAACAAAATGTGGTAGTCCAAGTTAGCGGGATTAGGAGTTTAACAGACAATCGCCGTGTGGGTGGACCCGGTCAACATATAAGGGACGATCGCTCGTCCGAAATTCGTCGGCCGAACATGGGATGATCCACTCACACCCGACGAGGCAAACCAGACCAAGGGCACCAGGACCCGTAGATAATTTGAGCAGAGAAAGCCGATTGGTCGCTGGCTTCAGTGATTTACTTGAAGATTTTCCCCAACTCTGTTGTACAGTTTGATGCAGATCATGATTCACAGAGTAGGGCCTCGGATGCGGCTATCGGCCAAGTCGAGGTTACCGTGCCCTTCATATTGGCTCTTTCACCTTCCAAATTCTCAGTAAGATAGATCTTGGGTGTTGTAGACGCAATTATGACGAGTTGAATTATCGTCGATTGATATACTCAAATATATAGTGGCTGGCGTGTGTATTGGGCAGTCTTCCTCTGCATGGTCGATGTCTATGACCTCCCACCCGTATTCCAAGGGAGATACGAGTCCAACAAAAGAGGCTGTAGCTCAGGGAATGAATCCTCACCTGTCGTCGGAAGCAAGTCCGTCATCAAGCTCGTATTCCAGTCCTCGGAAATCCAGGGCTGCGAGCCATCATTCATACCTAGCAGATTGGAGAACGTGTCTGGAGATGAGCTGTTACGGGTCGATTCCGCAGGTGTCGCTGGTTCAGACAACACCCTACTCCTAGTCGCTTTGATGACGAGTTGCGACACGGCCCGCACCCCAGAGGCAGCCATATCACTGACTTCTGCGAGGATTTGAAGCCGGCTGAGAGCCTCCTCGGCCGCATGCATCGCCTTTCCCCAAGTGGGTCTGTCAACCTTCAAGCCCAGGATATCTGTGTCTTCCCCTTGATCTGTGTTGAAGTCTGTCTCGGAGCATAGAATCAAGAGCAGAACGGCGGCCTCGAACGTGTTGAAGATGATGGCGCCAAACCGCGTATGCGCCCCACCAAACAAGGCATGTAGAGTCGAGACCGCTTCCAGCTCCTTCATGGCAGCCAGGGCCAGCCGGCTTTTCTGTGATTGGAGCAGGACCTTCTTGTAGGCGGGCAGACTGGCGACCTGACTTGGTTTGAGCAGCAGCAACGGTCGAAAGTTCCAGCAGACCGAGTCGAATATGGCAATATGGAGCAGTTGCCTCTGCATGGGCAATTTTGGAAGTCGATCATCCCACCTTTTATCTGGCCGCAGAGCAAGTGCGGATGGGAGGGTTCGAATATATTCGGCGCAGAACCTCTCGTATCGGTTTTCGCCCTGGGTGGGATCGTACACTTCACTTCGCCTCCTCCCGACATTTCTCCAGAACCTGCCCAGCTGCACTTGCATGAGACGTTCGGTAAAGGCCTCGGGCGCATTGATGTCGATGTGCAAGCTACCTATATCGGGAGTAAGATGCAACTGGGGCAACACATCTGCTACCAGACTGTCGGGGAGGAATGGAACCCGATCAAGTTGTCGGGCGAGATGACTGTTCAATATCAGTCAGTGCTATTCTGTTCACTATGGGGACCTCACCTATCAAGAACATAAAGACTGCAGAATGTCCTCCGTTGCAGCTCTTTCTCTAACCTCTGATTGCCCTCGTCCACAGGCACAAGAGTATCGGTGTGGATTCCAGCCTTCTGAGCTGCTCGGGAGGCCGAGGCGATGCCCTCCCAGAATTGATCGGTTCGCCCTTGGCACGAGGAGGTTAGTGCATCGAACAAAAGGTGCTGGACACGAACGAGAGAGCCCTTCCAGTCAAGTGAAACACAAGCTTTAGCCAGGTTGTCGCTGATAGTGTTACAGGCGTCGTGAATCTCCGAGAGGGATTTTCCGCACAGCTGATCGATTGGATGGGATGGCGATGGAAGAAATTGAACGGCATACACGCAGATCCGGAGAATAAGGGCTGCGAACTCTGCAGCATCCACTGAGAACGATCGGTCCTTGGCCCACCATTTCTGATATTGCGCCACAAAGCTGGGGGCGTGGACGACCTGTTTCATCCTAATTCGGTCCGTCTTAGACCTTAGTGTTGCTGTGCGCAGGATGTAACGTACCAATTCAATTCATCAACAAAGTATTGCACCAGAAGGTCCAGAATCTGGCGCGAAGGCATCCGCTCAAGATTTTGCGTGATAGTCTCCCGGGAAGATGCTGCTATCACCTCTTGCGGCCTGATCATATCGCGTTCGCTGTCCAGCTCCAACTGAGAAATCGAATTAGGGCCAAGACCAGCTTGAGACATCTCGTACACTCACATTCTTGAGCAAAGCCATCGTATTGGACGCACTATCCTCGAAATACCCAAACGACTTGGCCAAGCCCGAGTGAGGGCTATCCGAGCGACTCCCCTCCGACGGAGAGATCATAGGGAGCCCGTCAGGCTGGCTGCCATCCTGCGCATTCTCGAGTGATCGGCTCCTGGGAGCATTTCCTCCTAGTGACCCACGCAAGGGGGGTTCGGCCGGGGAGAGCCGATAAACACACTCCTCGGGTCGGCGCCGTCGGGTGCAGTGGTTGCAGGGATACTGGCGGTTACACTGATCCTCACTTGATGATTAGTACCAGCTCCTGTTCCGAGGATGAATGGCCTTACGCACTTTCTGTTTCCGGGTGTAGCATGGCAGGCAGGTGGTGACCCGACGCTTTCGGCCGACGGGGTGCATGACGGAGAGTTGGAGACGGAGAGAGAAAGTGGGCGAGACAGAAAGAGTGACAGATTGATGGGGCGGTGCTTGGACCAGGCGCACGGACCATGGGCTATGCTGACAGCCTGACAGCCAGACAGCCACCCTCAGCCACTCACAAGTCAGTGTGGCTGTCGATCAGTGTTGGATACATGAGCCAATGAGGACAAGACAACGAATCCCAATTGTGGAGATGGAAAGTTTTTCAAACACAAACTTATGTCTAGAATTTGGGATTCTTGGACTGCACCTGGAGTCGAGGGATACTTCAAAAACATAGGGAGTATGGGGTATAATTTATACTATATCCGAGGACATCTTTCAACATGAGTCCATTCCCAGCAGAATTAGTTGATTGGAGCCATTTATAGCTCATTACACACCTATTCACAGGTGCACTTACAAATCTCCACACCGCTTCACCTCCGTCACCGGTCCATCATACTGATGTCTTCCCTGGACCACATACATCACCAAACTCAGCAAAAACACGGCCATGAAGATCACCACGCTCCAGTTGAACGTATCCGCCGTGACCGGGGTGGACTCGGGCCAGAAAGACCAGAACAGCGCAAACAGAACATAAAGCCAGCCGATGATATTCACCGCCAGTCCATACCTTCCTAATCCCCAGCGAGCCGGTGGCAGGGTGTGTGGGTGCCAGATCTTGCGCCAAATCAGACAACTCATCGAAATCGAGTACGAGAACATCAGCGCCGCCACGTTGAGGGATACGATGGCATTAAAGGCGGTCTCGGAGCCAATGTTGATCAGCGACAATAGCGCACTGATGATGCAGCTCAAGATGATGGAGTTAACAGGAAGCTTGCGCTTCTCATCGACCTTGGCGATCCAGCTCGAAAACGGTAGTCCGCGGTCTCGGGCAAAGGAGAAGGTCTGTCGTGCTGTGGAAGCGTTGAAAAGAATGTTACTAAGGATGACGGGGATCAGAATGATGGCAGTCAGGCCGTTGACGCCGGCCGTGTTGGTGGCTTGTTTGAAGACGTAGATAAACGGGAAGCCAGTGTCGTCGCTCAACGAGTCCGCCACGGACGGCGTCGCGAAGAGCATCGTGATTAGTACGACCAATCCCAGGATGGCGTTGGCGAAGTAGGACCAGGTGATGGCAATAGGCACATATCGGCCGGCGTCCTTGATTTCCTCTGACATGTGGGCGGTCGCATCCGAGCCTGGCATCATGAGCTGCGTTCTTGTCATTGGGTTGAGGGTACGTACTGAGACAGCCGTAGATGGCTGCAAGCTGGCCCACCATCACAGTCAGGCCCATGGATGACCATCCTCCAAAGTTCTCGAACTTGGTAAACACCGCTTCGGCGGATTGCAGCGGTGCCAACACCCAGAGAGTGACCACCACGACCACCCAGCAGAACACATGCGTGGCGAGCAGCAGATTCTGCATGCGGGCCATCAGGTTCGAGCCAAAGATGTTGAAGTACAATGCAATTAGAATCATGGCAAAGACGAACAACGTTCCCTGCCAGCCCGTGGGGTTATAGCTAGGGTCTCGGACACTGATCAGGCCTTGGATGACAGTTCCTGTCAAGAAGGAACCAGATGCGGTGCCGGCCTGCCATGCTAGCACGGACATCCAGCCGGTCACGTAGCTCAGGAATTTCTGGTACCGTGGAGATGCGAATTCCGAGACCCAGTGATACTGGCCTCCGGATGTGGGAGCCCTAGTTAGTTAGTATATTAGTAGCTGGATGAACGTTGGGGGTGCTTACATGGAGGCCATTTCAGCCAAGGAGACAATGATGAATCCAAATCCGATCGAGCTCCAGACGTAGGTCCAGAGCATCCCCGCCAGTCCGCCGTCTTGCAGACCTTCATAGTCTGACCTATTTCTGGTGAGTATGATGAATGGAAACATCGGATATGGTAACTTACAGCATGATATACTCCCAGGTCGCCTGAAGGACAGCAGAGAAACTGAGAGCCGCCAAAGGACGGATATTTCGCTGCGATCACTGTTCAGCCGAGACATTGTATGGCATCGAGATGCTCACCTTGAACTGCTGGGCCTTTCCCATGCGGTCCATATCCGTTACATCGTTTCGTGTGCCATTAACCCCGTCTCCCTCTTGGCTGGATCCATCGATCTCCATGGCCTGCAAGCCAGTCATCACCTGATCTTTTACAGCATCCTGCTGCGTGCCCTGTGTGGAAGACATTTCGTGCGTCTAGACCAAACTACCGACAGCAAAAGCAAAGAGAGGTGATGCCGAGACAAGCAGAAGAGAGATGAAAGAAAAAAAGACAGGGAACAAGGGAGAAAAAAAAGAGGTTGCCAACCAAACCCCTCGCGCTTATCGCGATCCTGGTCATAGTGTTATTAGCTCCACCTTGGCGAAGCCCTAAGCAGAGGCGGGCTTCCGTCCGGCTCTCCACCAAGCGTCTGGCATGGCCGATGGCAAGACAAAAGTACGCTGCAATTTCTGATCTCTGTCAGGGTGACGTTTTAATTTCCACGGTCGCACTGAAGGCGCCGATGCCGCCCTCTCGTCCGCATAATTCCCCGACGTGTTCACCCCATGAGAGCTGCGTCTTGGACGTAAATTGACTTCACTCACACTCGAATTAGAGTGCTTAACACCCCGACTCACATCCGCCGACCGGTGGTCTGTGCCCGATTCTCCCAGGCCCAGTCTCAGTCCCAAGCTCGCTGGCCGGGTGGCTGTCGGACCACCTCGCTTCATCCTCCTCCGATGGAAACGGCCGTATCCACCTTCAGTGAATCAGGGGCTGGCGGGAGCTGAAACTAAGTATGCAAGGCAACGGTCCAGGCAAGTCCTTTAGACGCCATCGGCGATGGCCAAGGAGCCGTTGCGCGACGAACCGAGCCTAGTTTCCTTAGCACCAGCCGAGTGGATCCGTTTCAATTTCAAGCTTATCTTCGGAATTGCTGTCCCCCGGGGACCTCGGGTTCCCGTCCAGACAGAGCACTCTCGAACACTGTGGAAAGCCGTCCCTGCAGCCCAAGACATGGGACATCCAGGGGCCCAACCAGTAACTAATCAGCCTCATCATTTCTCCAGCCGGTCACGGGGAGATATATCCCTCCGAGGCCCTCGGTGTCAAACATTGGTCCAAATTGCGAATTCCCAGCTTCCAGCTAGACTGCGTTCATGACATACACCAGCTTGCCTGCGGGCGTCTCGCCCCCGTTGGCCGAGGACAATGAGCGTAATCATGCCGGGCTCGTGATCATATTTGCTAGTGTCTGCCTGTTTCTTATTCTCTCCTCGCTGGGCATGCGCATTTATTCTACTTCGAAACGCTCGGCCATTTTGAGCGACGATTACCTTTTGACTGTCGCGGTCGTACGGTCCATCCGTTTTCTTTGTCAAATGGAACATGTTCTCTGATGCATAGCTGAAAGATAGGGAGTTGCTGTAGCGCAAACCAGCGTCGTGCTTTATCAGGCGCATTTGGGCTGGGGTAAGAGTCATGATCTTCTCGATGCCCCTAGGATAGCGACTATGGAAAAGGTGATCCCTGGTTCTTTGCATTCAAGATTGATGTCTCGCTAACCTTTAAGAGACCGCCTATGCGTCTGACCTACTTTACATTACCATCCTCGGGTTCTCAAAATGCTGCACCAGTCTCTTCTACGAACACCTCTCGACCTTCACGTCCCGTTGGACCACAAGGAGCCTGCTTGTTCTCTCAGTTGTCTGGACCTTCATCTCGATCCTCCTGGTCGCCATTCGGTGCAGCCACAATCCATGGGAAGATATCAACCACGTCTGCGGGTCGCTGGTATGCGCACCTTCATGAGAATATCTTTTCTGTTCCTAACTACCTATCAAGCTATCACATTGGACAGCGATCACCATCCTTGATATCATCGTCGAAGTCCTATTGCTGGTATACCCCGTGAAGCTGATCTATCGCGTTCACCTCCGCCGCTCCCGCAAGTTGGCCGTCCTATCCATTCTAGGGTGCCGTGGAATGTAAGGTCTCTCCATCGATACATGCACTCAGCTAATCAATTCATATCCACTGCAGCTTAATTCCCCTCGCCGTACTCCACTATGTCTCAATTCGCAAACAAATCTCTTCCGATGATCCCACACTGATCGGCGCCTACGCCACCGTCATCGAAGAATTACACCTCTCCATCAGCATACTCTTATTGACCCTTTCCTCGGTCAAGCTGTTCCTCGCCACATACGAAGATGACGACGGACTGGCATATACGAACGATGCATCGCGGGGAAGAAGCCAACCACGATCTCGGTCACGGAAGACGCTGACCTTTTCCCGGGCGACGACCGCTCGTCCGTGGGATAACATGGAGGAGCCGATCCTGTATGATCCCAATCGGATGATAATAAAAGATGTGCAGATCGAGGTGACGAGCGAGGTGATGGAGATGCAGGATCGAATTCATTCAAGGATTATTCCCCAGGGCGATGCCTGATGGGCACCGTTTGTTTTCTATATACCTGTTCCTTGTTCGATATACGAAAATAGATTTTAATTGATAGACGATGTGCTAATATTTACCCAATATATGCCCCGACAGCAGCCTGAACCTAGGCAACAGCGTTTCCACCCCGCCCATACCTCCCTCTGACAAAGAGCCTGCGAACCCATCATCCACAATGTACCGCAAGAGATTACATAAGACGGAAACATCCCCATGCCTCCATCCCCAAACTCTCCGTCTCAACACGGAGACTTTTCCTGCCCTAACAATATCACCATCCGCTATAAAACAGCACACATCCACAAGCCCCAGTCCTCATCCATCCCTCATCCAATCCATCCAATCCACCAAAACATGCCCCCAAAACCCACCATCGCCTTCTTCGGCGCCACCGGCGGCTCCGTCCTCTCCTGCCTAATCCCAGCCCTCAAAGCAGGCCATAAATGCAACGCCCGTTCGTCTCCCCTCCCCTCCCCCATTCCCCCAAACCCTCCCCTAACAAAACCCCAGTCGTCCGCACCCCCACCAAACTCCTCACCCTCCTCACCAAACACAACATCTCTTCCTCCCTCATAGAACAAAACCTAACCATAATCCCCGGCCCCGCGACCTCCCTCCCCGCCGTCACCCAAACCCTCCTCCTCATCAACCCCAACTCTACCCCGGAATCTATCCCCGTGGACCTAATAATAACCGGCATCGGCGGAACCCTAATCTTCAACCTCCCGAATCCATTCCCCACGCTGGACAACCCCACCGTCTGCACCGACACAATGAGAACGATTCTCACTGCCGCGAGAACACTCCCCCGGAAGCCTAAATTGGTGGTTGTTACGGGTACGGGTATACATTATACGAAACGTGATGTGCCGGTGCTTATGATCCCGCTTTATCATTGGTTGCTGGGCGTGCCGCATGCGGATAAGAGGGTAATGGAGGATTTGGTGGTGGGGGAGATGGAGAGGGATGTGGATGGGGAGGATGGGAAGGGGAAAGGGATTAGTGGGTTTTTGTTTGTGAGGGCGAGTTTGTTGGTTGATGGGGGTTTCGAGGGGAGGATGGGAATGGGGATGGGGATGGGTTGGAGGGGTAAGGGTGGGAGGGACGGAGGAGCCGGCGGTGGGGTATGTGATTCGGAGGGGGGTGGTGGGGAGGTGGGTTTTTGAGAATGTGGTTAGGGGGTTTGGGGGGAGGGGGAGGGATTTTGGGGACGAAGTGTGATTATTACGGAGTGAATGGGGATGATTTAGGGATTGGAGGTTTCTTTGTTTGATTATGTGCATAAGTAATGTAATGGTTCTGTGTCTTTGTTAGGGTTGCGGCTAGGTTAGGTGCTCACGGAAGATGCCGATATCTTCTGCGTAGCGGTTAGTGTGAGATGACTGGTGTATTAAATTTGTGAGTTCCAACTGATTGGTTGCGTGTTCGTTAAATCCCGTACATCTCATCCTGTTCATCTGAAATTCGCTCCATACCTTGCCTATTATGGTCATGAACGGGTTAAATGTCCTCGGAGAGATGAATAAGTCTCGCATTTCCTCCAAGCTGGTAAAGTATGAGTCCAGAGCATGTAATACATGAGGAGACAGATATAACCTCACTAGATAATCACCTTTATATGCCCGTTTGGTGGTTGGCACATTTCACTAATCCTCTGCAGAAACCCATCAGAGGCATGACTACTGCCTCGAATGGAGTTCTCAATCTGATCATAAGCTCTCTAGTTCAATCAATGTGCCAGAATCATAACTCGTCTCGCTCGGAAGAGGCCCCTCGTCTGCTTGTGGCAACCATCCAAGTGTATGCGTGACCATCATAGAGCTAATTCCTGCCAAACTATACATAGCAGATAAAAGCCGTCTTTATTACCATAATATTTCCGTGGTCTCTCAAGCCAGAAACTACATAATCTCCACCCTCTCCATCCATCCAACCCATGACCTCTCCTCACCGCCTAAACTCACCTACCCCACCACAATGGAATGCCCCGAACATTTCTACTACACATCCCCCGGATTCCCAACCGCAGTAATCCACGAGCGATTACAATTCCGCATCGGCCAAGAGCCTGAATTCATCTCAACCCTAGCTCTCCTCTTCGACCTTCTCAGCATCCCATACGTCCTCGTCGGAGCAGCCAGCAAGAAAATATTCGGTGATGCCCGCATCATACAAAGTTTCCAGTTTCTCATCGAGGATGACTCTATGGATGACGCCCTTCACATCCTACGCACAGCAGGGTTCCCCCAAAGAGCCAAATCAGAAGCGGATGTCGATTATGAGATGCCAACTCATTGTCCTCACGCATTGGAGCCTGGCGAGTTCTTCTACGTGCCTGTGTCAGGGCCCGTTGCAGACGGTGCATACGGCACTCATCGACATATCTGCCTGTATACAAGAAGAGAGTATGTGCCGGCTCTCCCGCCTATCGATATTAGGGAGCTGGATAGCCGTTACTATGTGTTTTCTGATGATGAGTTTCAGCTTCCGAGGGCGTATTTTAGGCATTCGACTGCTTGTATTGAAGATTCTCGGATATGTACCTGCCCGGGCCCGTTCCCGTTATGGGAGGGTGGGCGGTACCCTAAGTCCCTTCATCCGGTCAAGATAATGAGGCCGGATGTGTGGGAGGTGTTGAGGCAGAGAAGATAGATTGTGTGGGTTTGGGGATTTGGTTTTCATGTTCCTGGATTCTCGTTCGATATTTTTAAAGGAATGCATTATAGCAGCACTGGCTAGACTTCATTATACAAGTGTTTATTATAATTCCCACACTCTGCTTACCATTTCAGACAAGCCCTAATTCTTCCGAAGTTTCCATATGATACCTTATATCTATTTATCATACCTCTATATAGAACAGACTGAATAAATACCGGTTAAGGCGGAAGAAGACATGGCTATAAGAGACCCCAGTGTGGATCTAGCCTGAACAGTGTGGCTGTAGCGCTACCGTTTGGTTTGATTTGCTACATAAAAAAAGACTCAGATCCATCTAAGCGAAATACCACAGGAAGGTAGCCTAGACATGTCCAACAACCAATGAGAAAAAGGATAAATCTCCACAGACCAAAGGTAACCGGAGGGGAAGGATAAAAAAGAAAACGGCACTCTTAGGGTAGGGAGGAAAAAGAAATGTCCCGAGGGAGGTTCGAACTCCCGGCCTTGGGATCGCATGGAAGTTGTTCTTCCACGTCATACTTTAGTATGAGACCCACGTGATAACCAACTACACCATCGAGACGAGTTATTGATGGCTGCTCTCGAAATGGCAATATTAACATGTCTATATGGGTGAGACGGAACCAAGCAACTCGTGGTCAGTCATTGTTGCGTTTACTACACTTATTGGAAGCGAGGGTATGTCGGGTGTAGTGAAAGTAATTCTTTCTATTACGGGAGAATTCCAATCAGCTTATTTCTTCTTCCGGTCGTTGAAGAAAACTGCTGTGTGAATTAAGCTTGATTAAGCTTTGATGTGTCGTTGCGGGTCAAAGCAGGGATATATTTCTCGGGGACGGAGTTCGGGAGAGGGGCATCGTTGACACCAGTATGGAGTATTGGGCGACTTGCTCAAAAATCGGCGACGGAAACTCAAATCCGATAAATCAGTAAGAATCAACACATGGCACGATGATCATCGCCGCGGATGGTGAAAGAGCAAGCAATCATGAGAACCATGACGCGACCGTGCCATCTCACATGACTTCAGCCAGCAAGACCAGTCCGCTGGCTGCAGCGTGTCTATTTATGACCTGTTCGACTAAAAGCAAAGGATCATCCTACACCTCGTATTCATCGTACAGCTGTCATCGCTTTATCTGCATGATGTCTGATTGGCGCAACTCATTGGCTGATTGACCGGACTCACCGGAGGGTCTGCAGCCATCAGATAACCCGCACAACTGGACACAACCCTGGACAAGATACCCATAACTCTACGGAATAATGCCGACCGGGATCGTCGGGGGAATCTAATACCAAAGTCAGTCAAGTGTCAGTGAAATGCTGATCCTCAGCACGGACCAACTCCGATCGGACCCTCCGATTGTTTGCCCAATTCAGCAACCCCGCCGAATAGGGGCCACCCACTATCACTCCTGGACTGATATTTATATTCTTCGCTAACCAGCAAACCCAAACCCAAATTCATCAACCCACCATGGAGAAACTCCCCCCTCGTGTTGAGGCCTTTCTTGGCCGTCTGCTCCGCAACAAACGAGGCCGCGACGCCAAGCTCCTCACCCGCGTCAGCCCCGTCATCCAAGCCATCCAACCTACCATCGCGGTGACTTCGCCCGTGGGCCCATCACCCGCGCCTCTCCCCCAAGAATATACACCCCTGGGTGAAAACCGCTTTCCGCCTCTGTCTTGGACCATACCCGGCGATATCACCCCCGACCAGATCAATAGCTACGTGTTGATCGTGGAGGATCCGGATGCGCCGCTCCCGAGTCCTATCGTGCACGGATTGTATTACGGAATCCCCAAAGACAAGACCGCTGTGTCTTCGGATGATGTTGTTCTAGCAGATGCTGCCAAACGTACTCTGCAGGGTGGCTTCCAGTATGGCGTGAACTGGCACCAGAACGTGTGGAGTGGTCCGCGGCCGGTTTTGGCCCACGGTCCGCATCGGTATTTCTTTCAGCTACTGGCGTTGGGACAGCCGCTGGCAGGAGTGGCAGAGAAGCCTCTGGGAAAGGGCGAGTTGTTGGAGGCGTTGGGGAAGAGTAATGTGTTGGCGTGGGGGGAGTGGGTGGGGACGTTTGTGCGTGACCCTTGAGTGTACACCTTTTGGAAAGGAGGTTGAGATGGGTTGATGAGTTATGCTGGGTTGTGAAGTTGTGCGAGAGATGTTTTCAATGCGGCTGTTGCTGTTGCTGTTGCTTAATCTTAATTTTAATTAACCTTCTGTCGGCCAGGTCAGGTGATCCGTCATGCCCTCCTACATCCCCCTTACGCTTGATCCCTCGCTCCATTATAGGTAATTGCATCGCGTCCGGAATAGTCGCATTTGATTAGGATGTTTCAATCTATTTGTCTGCCCTCGGAGCTAACAGCCATCCATCCTTTCCAATGAGGCAAATGCTTGATTGCGGCATGCGCCACTTAGAAACTAGCGGAATCGTGCAGATCGGACAGTTGCCTGCTGTCCACCCAAACCATGTCTATTAATGACTGTCCGGCTACCTGCAGCAACAATTTACCTACGGGAAATAATCAACAGGATGATCCTAGGCAGCCGTTGGCGCGATCATGGCAAATAATTCCTCTGAGCTACCCCGAGTGGCAGGCTGTTATTCTGAGTTTATTCATCGCCCCGAGTCTTCGGTTTAGGGCCCCACAGAGTCGAAGCTAAAGGCGACTAGCTATACGGCGTACCCGCACAAACCTTCAACAGTGATGCTGAATACGCTTTCTGCCCCATCAAGTGGCTTGGGATCCATCATGTCCCATGGCACCGATAGTCCATGGGGCAATAATCACCGTGGCGCACGTCTGCATCTGTTTGACTGCAACCTATGCCCTTGCAAGTGCCGAGTGGATTCGCTTGGGAACGTACATACTGATTCCAACACCTTCTGCTTCGTACATACCGGACATAAACCCCGGTTCACGGAGTATGTTTGTAGCAGGTGACCAATCCGTATTCGGCATGCCTGATGCTACTGGGCGATTATCCACGGTATTTGACACTGCCTCCCCCTCGTGTAGTGTGTACTCCTCCCCCGTCAAACCATCTCTCCCATCAGACCCGTCACCATGATCCTAGAAGACGAAAAGCACGATCTCACCAGCAGCACTGATGGGTCCGAGAAAAGTCCCGTCTCTGGAAGCACCGAGCCAGACGCCGTGATTGTCGTAAGTGTCCCCATTCACACTGCACAAGCATATTCTTACCCAAATACCTCCGCCCAGGACTGGAACGGCCCCAACGACCCTGAGTATCCACGAAACTGGTCCAACGGACGAAAATGGCTGAACGTGCTTCTGATCTCCCTCCAAGGGACGCTCTCGCCTATTGCATCAACCATCCTCACACTCGGCGTCTTCGATATCGCAGTCGATTTCCACCTCACAAGTCCATACACCCCGGTCCTACCCATCGCCTTCTATCTCCTCGGTCTAGCACTAGGTCCCCTAGGCGTGGCACCATGTTCCGAGATCTTCGGCCGTCGACCCGTCTACACCATCTGCTTCGCCATCTTCACCCTCCTGAATGTCGGATGCGCACTGGTCCATCACATGGCGGGTCTGGTCGTCTTGCGGTTCCTAGCCGGGGTGGCTGGTTCCGCTGGGCCCAGTCTAGGCGGGAGCAGCATCGGGGATCTGTTCTCGCACGAGGAACGAGGAAAAGCCCAAGCTGTCTACGGACTGGGCCCAATCTGCGGTCCGGTTTTGGGAGGTGTCATTGGGGGATTCATCGCCTACGGCACAAATGGTTGGCGGTGGATGATGTGGGTGGTCACTATTGCCGCGGGCATAGTGACCTGTCTTGCGGCTCTTTTCCAGAAAGAAACCTACGAGCCGGTTCTCTTGAAGCATCGGAAACGAGTCCTCGAGAAGGAAAACCCGGGAGTGACGTACTGGGTAGAGGGTGAGTCGGCAGCTCCGCAAGTTTTCCGACAATCCATCCTGCGTCCTCTACGACTACTTTTCTTCTCACCGATATGCACGTTCATGAGTCTGTATCTAGCGCTGTATGCCCCTCCCCAGAACCATCAGCCAAGCTATTAGGATCCATACTGATAAAGACAGAGTCTTCGGCCTCCTCTACCTCCACATGGTAACCATCACCCTCCTCTTCTCCTCCCACTCCGAATACAACCTCTACAGCTACCACTGGACGCACGGAACCACCGGTCTTGGCTTCCTCGGCGCCGGCCTCGGCGCCTTCGCCGGCGTCGCCTTCTGCATGAAATACTCCAACCCATCGTACCGGTACTTCGCTGCCCGCTACGAGCAAAAGACCGGGACTGCTACGCGGATGCCCGAATTCCGACTCCCGTTCATGCAAGTCGGGATGTTGATTGTTCCTATCGGACTGGTGATCTTCGGGTGGACGGCCGAGTACCACGTCCATTGGATCGTGACACTAATCGGGGCTGCTATTTTGGGCCTGGGCATGGTGACGGCGTATATCTGCGTGCAGTCGTATTTGGTCGATGCTTTTGAGGAGTACGCGGCTAGTGCATTGGCCGCGGCGGTTGTGGCGCGGTTTATTATCGCGGCGGTGTTTTCGGTGGTTGGGTTTCAGCTGTATAGGAGGTTGGGGTATGGATGGTATGTATCCACCTGTGGTTCTTTGGTGATGGTGGTGTTGTGCTAACTGGGTTATTATAGGGGATCGACGCTATTAGCGCTGATTTGTTTGGCGGCGGTTCCGATTCCTTTTCTTTTGGGTCGATATGGGCCGAGATTGCGTCGGATCGGGACTGGGGAGATGGTTTGATGGGATATTTGTTTGCAGCTAGGTTGGAATAGGGAGTAGGTAGGGGATCGGCATAGCCTCTGTTGGCTGGACCGCGGGTAGAACAGAATGGAAGATCCTTTATTGACATCCAGTCCACATACTATGTAGGAACTGTTCTCCATACTTCGTACTCTGCAGATCTGTGGTTAAGCAGGTCCACTCTAGGGTCTAGATCGGACGAGCTAAAAGCCAATTGGGTCTGGACTAGTGCCGCTAGCGCAATAGTTCATCGATTGGAGTTCCGAACGATTGGCTGCCTGCACTGGATATCATGCAGGCGATCATCAGTAAGGCACAGACCCTCGTACTATTCATATGCACTATCCATTCCAGATGCCGGACTAGTACTAGAATCGGGATGAGCTATCCGCCAATAGGAATCGAGGTAGAATCCCAGAAAATATAAACTATTCCGGACTATCGACTCGCGATATAATACTCCGAAAACTAATCAAACAATTACCCTTGCTGGGTCCACTCTATGCAAGATGCATCGACGAGGATGATCACACACATCAGCCACAGAGTTATTAATATTAACTAGGCGATCATGTAGTCCGTGCATTAGTTTAGTTGCCTAGTTGCGACTGGATGGCTGATGGAACAGATATACTCTGGACTGGTCAGATTGATAATTCCCCTGTCGATACCATGCCCTCAGGTAGGAAGAAGTATATGTAGACCCCTGCCTGCATCCAATCCATCCAATCTCTCCTTCAGGTCCCTACCCAGTCACTCCTTCACCAATTCCATCCCATCCAGTCACTCTTTTAACCAACCAATCAACCAACCACAATGAATCTCCTCTCCCTCCTCTCCTTCCTCTCCCTCTTCCTCATCCTCCCCTTCACCCTCGCCCACAATCCCCATCCCCACCCCCGTTCCACCCCCCAAACCCTAACTCCAGCCCCCGAAAAACAATGCCCCTACCCCTCCACCACCCAAATAACCACAATCTGGAACAAGCTCATCACCGGCAACTCCCTGGGATTCATCTCGCACTTCCGGCCCCTCCTCAGCTGGACAATAATGGGCACGCACCCGTTGGCAGGCCACTACGACAAACTCTCCCTGTTCATCGTGAACGGCCAACTCCGTCTGTACAATTCCCTCGGGACAAAACCGATCTACACGCTCGTCAATGTCGTCGGGGGATGTGAAAATGAGTGGTCGGTGCAGGAGATGCGGATGCAGGCTACGGCTAAGAATGGTATTTGCATACCCATACCCACTTTATATATTCCAGGAAGATAGGAGTTGGGGGTGGGATTTGGCTAACAGGGGTACTGGTGGGGTGTAGGTCGCATCCTCGACGAAATCAACATCTGGGCCACGAGATGGGATACAGAAGGAAAGGTGGTACAGGTGCGGTCGTATGTGGATGGGTGGGTCACTGCTATGATTATTCATGAGAATGAGGACTGGTCGGATTCGAATTGGTTGGTTAATCGGACGGAGTATATGCCTGGTCCTAATGGGGTGGATTTGGGGTTGGTGGGGGAGGAGTTTGGGTAGGTTTTTCTTCTCTCTCCCTCTCTCTCTCTCTCTTTTTTTTTTTTTTTTTTTTTTTTTTTTTTTTTTTTTTCTCGCTTTCGAGACTTGGGTATTTGGTTGGTTGGTTGGTTGGAGGCTGGGTTGTGAATTGGGCTGGGGTGGCGGTTAGGGTTATGATTTTGCTAATGTGTGATTTGGTTGGTTTAGGCAGAGTGTGGCGGATGAGATTGCGGGGGATTTGAAGGGGTAATTACTCTGTCGGTAGGGGGGACCGGGGTGTATGATATTTTTATTTATTTATGGGTGATAAAACATAATAGATCGTTTGACTGGTCTGATTATAAACCGAGGTCATTATCATACAACAGGCTGTACTTGGCAGACAAAAGCCCGGTGAAAATACAATAATCCCTCTGGGTCGCCAGCGTGAATGCATCTGCACCATTCGCATCCTGCAGTGTTGGATCGGCGCCATATCTCAGCAAGGTCCTGACAATTGTATAGTGACCATTATCAACTGCCAGTAACAGCGCTGTTCGATTGGCAGAATCCATCGCATTCACCAAAGCACCTCTTTCGAGCAAATTCTTGACCTCATCGTGATCATCTTTCTCCGCCGCCAGCATTAATAGTGTACGGCCTTGGTGGTCTCGCTGATCAATCAGAGCGCCTTTTCCCACGCTCAATTGTCTCATTTGTTCCTTAGTAAGACTAGAATCTCTAGTGATCAACTGGTCCACAATTGCTCCATGCTGGATCAAGAGTTTCACTGTGCTTTCCTTTTGGCTGGCCGCAGCAATTTGAAGAGGCGTGTAGTTGTTGTATGGAAAATTGACCCTTGCTCCGTGCGAGACGAGAAGAGTGACAACAGCATCATGCCCAAATCGAGCAGCCCGAGCAAGAGGCGTCCAGTTTGCCGGGTCTTGCAAATTGACATCAGCACCGTAGTTGATGAGTTGCTGCACCAGGGTCACATACCCCTTCCCGGCAGCCCACGTAAGAACAGTGCCAGATCCATGGCCAGTATCCAACTCGTATTCCGCATTGGGGTCGAGCCCCTTGCCAATTAAAAATATCGCGAATTCAGGATCGTCCATTTCGACCGCAGAGAGCAACATATCCTCAAGTTTACAGGATGCTCGTTTCAAGTCCATGTTCAGGAACAGGTTGAAAACCATCCAATGTCGATTTCTGAGAGCATACAGACGTGCGGTACCACCCTCTCTGTCGGTGGCGTCTTCGTCGGCTCCCCGCTGCATGAGTAGTTCCACGGTGGATATGTGGCCAGCGGCGGCAGCCACCATGAGACTCGTCTGGGACTTGGAGTTCTGCACCTCCAGAAATGCGCCATGCTGGATGAGAAGTTTGACGATATCGGTATGTCCTTTGCTTGAGGATAACAAGAGCAGCTCATCGATATAGCTGGGATCCATAAGAGCACGGAGCGTTGGGCGCAGGAGGAGGTTCACCGTATGAAAACGACCCTTTTCGACAGCGTACTGCAATGGTGTAAAGCCTTGTAAGTCAGGCCTTGTGACATCGCAGTAGTGCAGTAGACATGGGATCATATCATCATAGCCCTGTTTGCAGACATAATGCAAGGCTGGAAGCAACTCTCCAGCAAGTGGCAGATCGCAGATCATGTTGGCGTCATTTGAAGACAGCAGGGAAAGGTGCATAAGTGGTATATGATGTTCCCTAACTGCCCATCCGAACATGGCTCGCAAGTACGACTCCTGTGAGCTACCGTCAGTTTTCCACGGATGGATCCTCCAGGTCTCATTCAATGTCATCGCTAGTCGCGCAAAGTCCCCCCAGAGTGGCTCATCCAGTTCAAGATGCCTGGTATGGGTCGTCCAATGTCTGCGTGCATAGCCCAGAAATCGATAGCGCGCCGCAGACGGCATAGAAGCTGTTCGGATTGAACGCAGTGGCAGTGAAATACATTGTTTGCGCTTTAGCCTCGATGGTAAAAACCTTTCGATTACTCGGAAGCCCGGAACATCTTTTGGGACCAGATCTGGACTCCGCAGGCTCCATGTTGGATGCTCATCTGGGGTTCGATCGAGTTGGAGGTGGAAATCTGCAAAAGAAAGGTATGTGATGCAAAGGCGCCCACAGATTTGATTGCCCAGTTGAATAGACTTTGGAAAAATGGATAAACTTCCCCTGTCGTCGAGATATTGGCAGACTGACGGATGTGCAAACCGCGCGCAGCCGTCAAGGGAGTCCAAGACCACCAGGTTGGCGCACCAGCCCAGAAGAAAGTCCCCACGCGGAATTTTGGTCGAGTCCCACACTGTGTCGTGGATGTCAAAGGCCACTGCCTCCCGGAGCTCTTCACAATGAAGCGGTCGCGCGCTATAGCGAACCCAGACAAGTGTTCGGAGCGCACGGAAGTCCTGGTAGTTGATCCTCTGGGCACACCTATTGTAGGTTTCCTCGAGATCTTTGGGCAATGATGCCAGGGCGGAGCAAATCTCGCTTTCTGTGGCGCATGTATACCAAATGATCTCCACCTGTAGATACACCCATAGGAACCTGAATCGTTAGTTGGGATGCATACAATGGAAAGGTATATTTCTTACATTTCGGAAGACTCCCTGAGCAGGATACCTTTCATTCTATCGATCAGCTCCTCACTGTTGGTGAGTTGTTTGACCATCATTCTGTCGGCAATGCTTTCTTTGATATAGATCTCGATATCATGCGTCACATTGCCGGTGGTGGAAATTTGATGAATGTTGGGCAGATAAGTCGCAACATTTGTGCCCCCCACAAAATATTCTCTGCTCACTATGAGTAGTCGCGGACCCGTGGCTTCACCGTGACAGGCCTCGAAAAGTGACCGAAAGTAGATAAGCAGCCATCTCGCATCTTTCTGCTTGAGCGCATCAAGTCCATCTACCACGTAGATGGCATTTGATACATCTGTGTAGAGACTGGCAAATACATGTTCCAAATCCTCCAGGTCAGGTGCCTCCCGTTTGACGTTGAAATATTTTTGGAGCAGCTTCTGGCTGCCATTGGAAATTCCTTGGTGCCTATCCATAAAGAACTCAGTGAGTTGCCGTATGAAGCTGGAAAGCAACAGAGCTGGTTCGGAGGCATATTGTTCGTCGCAGTAGAAGAAAACAGTCGGAATGCCGAGTGGTGACAGCTTCAGGCGCGCTTCCTCAATGACAGTGGCTCTATTGGCCATCAGTACACGCCTCAGGACATAAACGACGAGCTACGTACGCAATGATAGATTTCCCCGAACCGACTGTGAAAGTCAGCTACGGATTTCATGAAAGGTAATATGGGCGTTACTTTTACCCGAGCACCACAGAAAGGGATATTCTCTATCGGAGAACCAGGCCTGAAACTTAGAATGGTTCAAAAACCACTGCGTGGTGCCCACGAGTCTCTTTCGTGAGATCCTTTGATGGATTCTCTCATGATCGTAGGGTGTTATACGCTCTAAGAAAACCTCATCAAAGGCTGGCTCTAAGCGAGATGTATCAGTCTTGGCTCAAATTATGTATGCCTGGATTCCTACTAGTAGTGCTGACCCACCCGGTAGAGTGCGGGTCCTTGGATGGAAAATAGTGTTCTACATGCCCTGTTATAGTGAGCCCAGTGTTCTTTCTCAATGATTTAACACTCACAATCCAAATATGAGATGGCTGCCGGTGCCTGGGTGACCGAATGCCTCGGAATAACTTCCAGAAGCTCCTTCGCGTAGACAGCCGCCGTCAACGAGGCATAACCCTGCCAGTCCTTATTCTTTTGCGAATCGGCATAGTCGCAAATACCCCGGACGACAAGGCAAGGGAAATTATCCATCAGCCCGGCGGCCTCCATTTCGAAGCACAGAATGCCGAATCGGTGGGCGATCTCATCCCGGAGCTTCTCGTCTTTAACGACCTTATTGCCAGATGCAATTAAGCCATAGTGGATTTTGCAGCCCGTGGAAAACTCCTCTGTAACCCCATCCTCGGATGGTATCGGACGTCCGAACGTCGGCACCATGCCGGGATGTGCAGCCAAAACCTCGGCGGCTATCTCGGACACCCGATTGGGCCTCTGCAAATGCGCTGCCTGAAGTCGGGCGATTGCTGTCAGTAGGACGGTCGGCGGCTTGTTCAGCATGCCGGTGTGCTCCCATTCACCCCCAGCGACTGCCTTGCCGTAGTCGTATTGAATCACTCCGCCATACTCGCGTGAAGGCTTGCTGACGACCACATCGCCGAGCTGGACCCCGGCGTGACGCACCCCTCCGCCCACACCGACCATCAGTCCAAATCGAAGAGATGGGAAACTGGTGCGAACTTCGGTCGCCAGAGTGGCTGCAGAGGTGGTTCCATATACCCCTGCTGGGAGACAGGCGATCACGATGCGATGACCGTGGATGCTGCCGAAGATGTAGGTGTTGTGGTCGTGAGGCTTGGCGGGTAGATTGGGCAGGCGCTCGTCCAGCAGCGCCTCGGCGGCTGCCATCTCGACGGGCAGAGCACATATCCACGCGACGGTGAAGTCCTCATGGTGGAGAGAGGGAACTGGGGGGCCATTTGGTAATACCCCAAGCACATTGTCCATCTCGTCTGGTTATCGGGGGGTGAAAGAGCAAGAGGCTGGGTGGAGACTGATGGGATGCCAGCACGAGGCTGAGCCAGCCGGGATCAGCCGTCCAGGCGGCTATTTTCGGGTGATCGACTAGGTAGCTACTATCTATCCGTAATGTTGCTGTTGATAAAATCCACGTGAGTGACAGTCAAATGAACCATGAGCAAAGGACTATCATGAAATTTCATTCATGAGCTAATACCTATTTAAGAGAAAAGCCAGTAACATAAATATCACCTCCCTTCGACTTCCCCAGCACCTAACACAATCCCCCAGCAACCTCAAAACTCCTCCATCCGAAACACACTATACGACGGCTGCTCATACGGATGAGCCCTAACCCATCACATTAGATTCAAATCCCACAGCACACAGACAAGTACACACCTCTTCAACGCCTCCACAGCCTGCCGCGCAACCTCCTCCCCCACACAGATCGTCTCTACTCGAATCTCTGGAGTCTCCTCGAGGGCGCCCAAGGTGCCAATGTGGGGATTCGCGGCGTCTCCCGGCCGGAACTGGCCCGTGCCGGCGGTGGTCCAGCAGCACTCGGTGTATTTCCCGCCCGGGTAGCGACCGGCCCCGGCGGCGAAGATGGCGGCTTTGGAGGCGGCGAGGCCGGAAGGGGGGACGGAGAAGATGAGGCGGAATTGAGATGGGGCCATATTTCTTGAGATGGGGGTTGAAGGTGGGTTGTTGTGGATGGATGGATGGAGGGAGGAAAAGAGAGTTTTGGGGATGATCGGGTTGGCTTGGAGAACCCCTCACGCTTGCCGGATGGGGTATGGCGTGGTGGTTGATGACTCGGAAGATGCGTAAAGAGTCTGGACATTATTTGAGTCTAACACGATAGATGATGTACATGTATTCATCACAAACTATTACCATTTCGGACGCACCTTGCCTTCTGATGCAGTCCCAGAGAGCGTACACTGACATATAAAATCCACCATCGTCTTTTTCCCATCCGCTTTAACTGGTGCCTCCGTATGCAAAGCCCCAGCGACATGTTTCCGTGTAACACTCAACCCAAGGCGTCTACCCACCTGTTCCAAATCATCCGCTGCATGCGGCGGAATCACCTCATCGTTTTCTGCTGACAAGATAAGGATTGGTGGCAGAGATGCTCGACTGGGAAGCATCACAGATCCGTCATCATTACCAAGGCCGCTGCTACCGACCTCACCCTCATCCCTCCACCTCGCCATCCGCTCCATAGCAAGGATACTATCCCAGTGACTCCGCAAGAAAGGCCAGAGATATCGATACGGGAGCCACTTCTGCGGATACAAACTGATCAACATATCCTTGACGCTGGAGGAGGGTGCCTCGAGGATCACCCCGGCAATCGATGCCGCAGGCCCATTGTCATGAGGACGAGCCAGATATGTAGCCAGACCAGTGGTCGCAATTGCCGACCCCAGACTATGGCCCCAAAGGATAACCTGGAGATCGGTGTCCGGTGCCCCGTAGCTCTCAGCAACCCAGTCGAGAAAAGCTTGGGTATCGAGCTCGATGCCACGCTGTGTGGGGCGACCAGATGACGTCCAGAACCCGCGGTAGGATAAAGCTACCATAATATAGGCGATCTCTTCAGGAGATGATGCCGGTGCTGCGTGGATTGCCCGGAGGATTTGAGACAAAAGTGGCAAACGCATGGGGGTTGAGCCACCGTTACCCTGAAAATAGCATATTATCACTAGCTTTCTCCTACTCTGGTTTCCCGACTGTTCATCGCCTCTACTGACGAGTAGGCCATGCTTCTTTGGGGGAACGTGACCCTCGCAAACAGCCAATTTGGTACCATCGCGGCTCCGAATCTGGTGTTCCTCCCAGCGCACTGGCCTACATTCCCCCTCGTAATCCGCGATCTTTTCAGACCGGGCAAAGGGCGGTAGCCAGGTGAGATAGAGGAGCTTCTCCTGCATGACCACAATCCAGAAGCATTTCCAGGCCCACAAAGAGAGAAGGAGCCCGGTGAAGATGAGGGGAGGCATCATGACAGGGGGAATGGCATCGGTAAAGAGGGTGCATGATTGCTGGCGGATACTCCGACGCAGTGTCTGTTTCAGCTGAGAGTGGGGAGCTGGTCGGATCCTCCACGCTCGGTGGCTGGTGTGAATGTTATGAGATTGGAGTAATATCGGGGCTGATTTGATATGGGGCCATCTGGTAAGGTTGACCGGCACGCGCTGAGCACACTTCTGGATCCATCTTGGTGGCATCAAGGTTGATTTAGGGGAAACAACATGGATGGAGGAAGTCCGTGGCGGCGGCGGGAGTCGATGGAAGATCCGGTTACATTATGCTGTGCATTGATGAGTCAGCATATGCATTGGTGATCATCAATGGCGACCTACCTTTGTCTTATCTGGTGAATGGTCAGATTATTGCATATAAGAGCCCGAAATATGTATTGATAAGGTGGCAATCTATCTCTAATAAACTATCTATTCTAGAAGAACAGCAAGGTGAATGAAAAAAGTATATCAGCGAATCGAAATCAAATCAACGGCAGCCAGTGTACAGTTCCCAATATGATACGGTGAAAGGAAACCGGAAAGGAATGACAAGAAGGAAATCCAGGAATGAATCCCGCAATCATATAATGGAAGGGCTTGATTGTAATTGCCAAAGCCGATGTAATTGATGGGTGGGCATTGAAACTAATTATATGCTTCGCACGCACACCCGCTTGCCGGAACAACTTAGGTAGTCCCCGACACCTTCTTGCCCTTGGGCACTCGGGCCAACCAGTAGATACCCACGGCAGCCACAATGTTGAAGAAGATATACACCCACATCAGGCCGAAGTTGCGCCAGGCATCTGAGAAACTACTCGATACCGAGGCAAGGAAGGTATCTGTGCTGCTCATGGTGCAGAAGTCACAGTTGGAGGTGGCCGATGGGTTCTTCAAATAGCCACCATTTAAGCTGATGTAGGATGCCATGTAGTCCTGACAGGTCTCGTTGCTCGGTGGGTCGAATGTCAGATACTCAACCGCTTCGCAGGTGACCGTGGTTCCTGAAAGTCCTGTTGAGAGCATGGCCGACACCAGATACGTGAACGGGGATACCCGGTACATGAAGATCCAAAACCCGGGCATGGCCTCCGGGGTCGCTAGGACACCACAAAAGATCAAGCAGAGGGAGAATAACAACGTAGCGATATTACCACCCGTCTCGGCCAGTTCAATACCGGCAATGACCATGTGGGCAAACGTCGATGTAAAGAGCAAGAAAACCCAGATGAGCAAGAACATGAGACCGCCACGTTCATTCACGGCATCGGTGGGTTTGGCATTGTTGTATAAGCCAATCGGATAGTACCAACAGAGGAACATGAACACGGCCATGAGCGTGTTCCACGGCAATTCCACCAGGATGTTGGCTGTCATGAAGGCCTGCCAGGAGTACGTCTTTGATGGACGTTCACGGACCTCGTAGAGAGATCTTTGAGTGACAAAGTGGGGCATAATCTGTTGACACAAGTTGCCGAAAATGGTCATTAACATGAACACACTGAACATCTGGTTTTGCATGCCCTGGATGGAATTGCTGGCGTGGAAGAACGAAAACCCAATGTACAAGGCAGTCAGGACGGAGAGGGCGGTCTTGGACCAGATGTAGCTTGGAGTGCGGTAATATTGGGCAAACACACGGAGTGAGCATTCCCATAGCTGGAGACCAAATGATGCAGCATACTCCTTGAGGGCTTCGGGGTCAGAGTTGTCTTGGGGCTTGGTGGACAGAGTCGATTTCAAATCCGCGAGATGCTCCTTAACCTGTGTGTGCTCCGGACTCTCCCGCCATACCTTTGGCCAATCTATATCGGTGTGGGAACCGGGTGCCGCTCCGATGACGTCAAGCATCCACTCGGCAGGGTTCTCTCCCTGGGACAAGGGGTGGGCGCCGTTACGTTCGAAGTAATTTGACAGTGTGGTGGAATTCTCGCCGATTTCGCCAAAGTAGATGGTCTTTCCTCCTCGGGCCAGGAAGAGAAGACGGTCGAAGCGCTGAAACAACATGGCCGAAGGCTGATGGATGGTGCAGAGAATGGCTTGTCCGTGCTGGGTCAATGTATCGATCAGATCCAGAATGGACCACGAAGTCTGACTGTCCAGACCAGAGGTCGGTTCATCCAAGAATAGCAACAACTGCGGCTTAGCAGCAAGCTCAACGCCGATCGTCAGTCGCTTGCGTTGCTCAACGTTCAGACCCTCACCAGGCACACCGACAATGGCATCGGCATAGGCCTCCATACCCAAAAGTCTAATAACTTCTTCAACGTAGTCCAGTTTCTCTTCTCGGCTAACGTGCGCCGGCTGACGTAGTAACGCACTGAACCGGAGGGCTTCACGAACGGTCGAAGTAGATAAGTGCAGATCCTGCTGTTGTACGTAGCCTGTCTTACGCTGGAACGACTGGTCTCGGGGGCGTCCATCGACAAGCATGTCTCCCGTAACGACACCCATGGTAACACGCGTGGCTAAGACATCAAGCAAGGTAGTTTTACCGGCTCCAGAGACACCCATCAGTGCGGTGCATGTGCCGGGCTTTACCCACCCGTCCACGTGGTCCAAGATCCGTCGAGGCTCCCCTTTGATCTTAATGTCATAACAGACGTCTTGCCAGTGGAAGATAGCCGTTTGCCTCTGAATACGAACTTCCGATTGATCAGGCGCCTCGGTCTTGACCGCACCGCCAGGAACAGTTGAAGATTCCAAATCTGTTTCTCCCTGGGGAAGCTTCGGCTGGTGGCCACGTCGAAACAGAAGGACCTCACCCTTGGACTTTTGCTCGGAGATATATTCGGTGCCAGCAAGATAGGTGCCACAGAAAAAAATCATAAACGCGATCAAGATTCCCATGTTTCTCCACTCGTGCCCTTTAGTATATTGATAACTCTCCTTGAGATAGGTGGTCCCGTCCACGATGGTCGATCCCGACTGGGCGCCGACCGTGGAGCAAATCCGATGGTCCATCGATATCGAGTCGTACTGATCTCCGGAGGGAATAATCGCCGAGCAGGGGAAGTGACGTCCGGAGAACTCATTAACCATGAAACTTTCAAAGGCGTAGGCGATAGGATTTATATAATTCATCCAGCGGGACCAGCCAAGCATATTCCGAGTCGGAATCACAAAACCGGTGTAAATCACCATTCCAAGAATGAGGATGGCTGCCGGTACCAGGGCTTGCGAAAGGGAGCGGGACGTCGACGCAATAGTTCTGAAAATCATGGACATGGTGTATGTGGTGACCACGGAAAAAATCCAGAATGTAAACCAGGCGCCCGCATCACGGCGGAGATTCGTCATAAAGTACAGCGGGATATTGAATGTGATCGAGTTTATCAGCTTGTATGGTGTATCGCAAAGCATGGATGCCATGGCCTCTGCAAATGGATGATAAAAGGCATATCTTGACTGCTTTTCCACAATTGGACGTTGGGCATAAAGTGTCAGGATTTCGAGAGCACTGGAGAAAGCGTTGAGAAGGACAGCGTAGAACAACAAAGCTCCGCGGGAGTAGAAGCTAGCGGTGGTATCCGGAAGGTTGAAGAAGACGGAGGCCACGATCAAGGCGATAATAAAGTTTCCGATCAATGCACTGGCAGTTAGACTGAAATCTCCACGCAGACGCTGGAATCCACGGACAGTGCACAGGGAAATTTGTTCCCACACGGAGATCGTGTAGGGAGATTTGAGACGCTGGTTTTTCGCCTGCATGGCTTTGCGGGCGTCCAGGAAGGCATTGTATGAAGAGCCGTGGATCGGATACTGTTGTTCAAACTCTTCGATCTTCCTGATAAGGGCGGCTCTCGCACTGCTTTGCTTCCATGCCGCCGCAAACTCATCCGGCGTCCGAGGGACGCGATTCTCAAACCCAGGGCGAACCTGGCGCTCCGCTGGGCTGGTTAGCGAGGTCAAGAAATCGGCTGTTGTTTGGCGCTCGGGACACTCAAATCCCATATCCACAAAGAACTGTCTGGCCTCGTTCGTTCGGCCGAAGTAAATCTGACGCCCTTCATAAAGCACGGTCACCTTGTCGAACACTTCGTATGCGCTTTGAGACGCCTGGTAGATGGCAACGCAAGCAGTAGTGCCAGCATACTTGCTCATCAGAGACAAATTCTTGCAGAATTCCAGGGCATTAGCACTATCGAGACCTCTAGTGCTATTGTCCCAGCACTGCAATGGTGCCTGACTCAAGGTGGCCTCTGCGATACTGACACGCTTTCTCTCACCACCACTGACTCCGCGAACAAAGTCGTTTCCAACCCGGGTATTGATCGTATGGGAAAGCCCCAGCATGGCCATGACCACGTCTCTCATATGCTCCGCATACTGCTTCCGACTGACTCCTTCCAAGCGATTCCTAGGGGCCCTTGCGAGAGCTGCAAACGTCAAAGTATCACCGACGGAGAGTTGGGGGAAGTGGACATCAGTCTCGGCGTTATAAATGGCTTCGCCTCGGAAGGCCTTTTGCATCTCCTTTGCGGGTATACCTAGTTGACGATGAGCGTTAGCCACATTGCAGACTGGGAGTGATATCACATACCCTGGTAGTTCAAGATGGAGTCCTCTGACATTTCGATACCGTTCATCTCGCCGGCGATTGTCTTGAGGAAGGTGGAACAGCCACTACCTGGTCTTCCCAGCACGACGACCATCTCACCACTTTTGACTAGACCGTCAAACTCGCGAAGGATCTGAATCTTTTGCATCTTCATACCGACCAGTCTCCGACATAAGGTTCCTAGTTCAAGAAGTGAGTTCAGCACGTCCTTCTGGTAGTCGGTCGGCGATCCGAATCCATGGACATTCAAATTCCGGAATGCAACACCTGCTGTACGGTCGGGGTATCGTTCGGGATCACGGGAGCGAATGGCGAGGAGCATCTTGATCCAGTCCCTGGGCTTGAAGTTGGGACTGTGGGGGTTGAGGGCCGATTCTGGGTCGTCCACCGCAAAGGGGTTCTTCAGGGCGCCTTTCGTGGAGAAACGAGTAGATTGGCGCGTTAGCTGTCGAGCAAGGTCGCCCACCCGAGCGTCCACCCTCTCCTCCTTCTCTTGCAAGGTCTCATCATCTTCGCTTCTCTCCTGCTCCGACTTCTCGGTGTATGCGCTCCCAGGGGGTCCGTGAACTGCATTGTCCAAGTCTGGACTACCTTGGAGTTGTGGCAGGTTGTGGCTGACCACTGCCTGGGCCCGAGATGAGTTCGGGTTGGTCGTGGCGACGAACGACATGTTGAATCAATTAAGTTCACTCTGCCTCGTCATTCAGAAGCAAGCACCGACCCTTGAGCCGTGTGGTGCTCTAGTGAGAAGAATGAGTTTTCGAGATCCAGCCAGTCCACAGAAGGGGGTAAGATATATTGAATTTTAGCCCGACAAAAAGTGGCTAGAGGGCAGTAGATCGGGCAGGTTATATAACTATAACCTCCTGGACTGGGAGTAAGACGGCCCACCAAGATTGAATTTAATCAGCGTAGTCTTCGGTAAACGAACGTTCCAGAGGACCCGCTCCGGAACTTGGGAGGTCCATTTTGGCCATGACAGACAGATAATTGGGGCGGCCAGGCATCATGATCTGCCTAGCGTGCACAGGGAACCTCCGGGGACCCGAACGAGATTGCGTAAACGACCCCTATCGCATCCGTCCGCTAGAGGGAACGGTTTCCGCCCGAGCTGTCGAAGCCTAACCCAGATTATTAATTGGATTTCTTGGTATTGAGCTCGTGGTGAGACTCCGGATCCCGAACCAACCAGCGTCCTGGAGACCCAGAATCGGACGGGAGGTCCCTGACCCTCGAAGACGCCTTATGGCGAATCCATGGATGGCTGATCCACGTGAGTCGGCGTCCCGATGTATCTGCTCTCATTGTTATCGAGGACGTTGCTGTCTGCAGTCATGTGGCTGAAGAGGTAATGCGGTGTGCTTCTGCAGCGATCTGCTGTCTGATGAAGTGTTCATTGTGATAGATCTCGACCAATCCCTGGAAAAGTACGGGGTAGTACGAAGTCGATAGAACGGCCGCTACTCCGTGGCGTGGGAGAGAGAGTGGAAGAGATGAGGAGAGGATCGGCGCGAGAGGCGCGATGGCGGTTAGTAACAATACCTTGTTAATACGGCCCGCCGTGACAGCTTCCTTCGAACTTCCGGCTTCCGAGCCGCCAAGAGCTCTACAACGGGTTTAGCGAATTGAGATATAACAACGCCATTGGCCACAGCCAGCCAGCAGGCCCCGTGACTGTTAAGTAGGCAAAATTATCGGCGGCCGCCAAACAGGCCATGACGGCTCGTGGGCATCCAGCGTCCGCCACTCTCTCGCCGCACCGCCAACACGATGGGACGGGGTCACTGCTCTCGGGTCGAGGCCATCCCGGGAAGACCGTTTCGTCTCAGGTGGATTGGAAGGTGCCCCTGGACCCAGCAATTTTCTTCGGAAGGATAATTGATCCTTACAAGGTGGAGGCGAAATGACCATCTCCTAGGCCTAGACTGGGGGATCCCAGCTTAATCAACACTCAAGAGAGACGATCGCCCTGGGCTTGATGGAAACCTAGGTCAAATCCTGGGGGGCTCTCGTGGACCCTTATACCCCTGCTCCACCGTTCCTCCTGGTCCTTTATCATGCCCAGCTCAGACAATGAATGGGCCATCCAACATCAGCAAGGATGCGGGGTCTTTCCCTCAAAGAAGCCCCGTGTCCACCCCGCGCGAACCTCTCAATCCTGAGCCAAGCAAAGAGAACACAGACAAGAGTACCCGGAGAAAGGTGCGACTCTCGACCACAAGCAATGTCACCACGCTGACTGCCTCCAACCAGGCTTGCGATACATGCCAGCGCAGGAAAATCAAATGCGATCTGTCCACCAAGGCCAGGTGTTCGCAGTGCGAGAAATTGGGCATCTCCTGCACTCGAAACAAGCGACATAAAGCACAACTGAGAAGGTCTGCCTCGGTCCGATCTTGACTTACCGGGGGGGACACTGATTGACTCGATAAAGACAGGCGATGATCAATCACCTGGAAGGAAATCTCGAGCGCATGGAATCCCGCTTGCAGGGTCTCGGCTTCACTGTGGGTGATAATGATCTCCCAAGTAGCTCGCCCCCCTCGGAGATACTAGACGACATTCCGACGTTCCCATGGCCAACCCAGATAGCGGAAGCTACAAACGACACGGATTTGGAGCATATCTATACAAGCCCGCAGCCTGAGGCTACTATTCCCGCCGCAGAGGAATCTCCGATTCCAAGCATCCCCCAGCTGTTTAAGCACTTAGATTACCCACCAGCGATATCTTCATGCTTTAACGTTCCAAGATACTTGGGTGGCATACTGAATCCGGGATGTGAGTTACAGTACTACTTATCAGACTTCTAAGCTAAGATAATTCAGCTTTCTCATTGATCTCTCCGGAGGGTTTGGAGTGGATAGCCCAAAAGACAGGCGACGAACCTCTGGATCACCTTACACAATTGGTCTCGACGGAGGAGCACGATGGCTTTGTCGCCGACTATCCGCTTCACTGTGTGTCTTCGCGGAGGGTCTTCTGTCCGCTACCACCCCAGGAGGACATCGTACACCTCCTCCATCACTATATGGAGTACTTCAACGCCATGTTCCCCGTGTTCAGACAGTCGGATATCTTATTTCTCTTTCCCGGAGAGCACGTCGACATCCGTTCTCAAAGCCCGGGCCAGTGGGCTTGTATTAACGCGGTCCTCGCAGTGTCCTACATGCTTCCTCAAAATGGGGCGTCTCCCCAAATCGGCCATCAGAAAAGTTGGTTATTCTTGAAAAATGCTTTGGAAGCTGTTGGGGAGCTGTATCTGGGTCCACCAGATATCCAAGGTCTTCAAGCTCTTCTGGTGATGGTAGGATCCTTCTCGACCCTCCACGGGATATTACTAAAACGAACAGGCTATCCTTTTTCTAGCAGCGTCCGCTGCTCGCCCATGCAACTTTTTAATTTCCGTCGCTATACATATTAGCGATCAGCTAGGCCTAGGGAGGGCAGAGGACGTTTCGACGTTTTCCGTTGAAGAGACACAGCATCGGCAGACGATCTTTTGGTTTGCTTATTGCCTCGATAGAGAGTGCGTCTTTTTCACTGTTAGAATCCGAACATTAGCTAACATAACAAGAATCTCGTTTCGTTTTGGCGAACCTCCAGTGCAAAACGACGATGCAATCAGTGCAGCTCTCCCTACGGAAGCTCCGACTTGTGACATCTATTCCATGCCAACAAGCGACCAGCCAGGGAGTTTCAGCGCCTTCCGGTCGGTCTGCGAACTCGCCCGGATCCGAGGCGAGGTCTACCAACATCTCTATTCCGCTTCGGCCGCGAACAGACCGTTCCATCAGATACTCGCGTCGGTCGGGCAGCTTGATGAGAAACTCCAAACGTGGAAAAACAGCATCCCGTCCGAATATCAGCCGGATTCCCAAGCGGTCACACCGTTCCGACAATCACCGGTCTCTTTGAGCCTCCTTCACATCCATTACACGTACTACAACTGCATGATTGCCATCCATTCTCTCATCGCCGCTCGGGGTATCAATTCAGCTCAGGATTTAACGGACAACCCTGCTTTCTCCATCCAGCCCGGCTCTTTTGCAAACCCTAGGGTATTACTGTCGGCATCCTTGACGTCTAAAGCCGCCCGTGCTTCGATCAACTTGATGAAATATCTCCCACAGGATGACATCACCCTCGGGTAAGTCAACTTGCCCTCTGGCGCTCACTACGCTAACAACTCTCAGCATCACGATGTATTATCCCACGGTCGCATTGAAAACACTCGCCTCGAGCATCGTTCGCAACCCCCGTGACACATCCCAGATCTATAATATGAGGATTCTGGATCAGGCAGAAGCTTTTCTATCATCGACCACTCTGAGTGCTACTAGTGAAGGAATGCGACGTCTGGGAAAGCATTGTGCCGAGTATCGCTCGGTTGCTGAGCGGGCCATGAAGGAATCTTAACACATTTTCCACGGAGTTTTCGAGTGCCAACTCTGAACACGACTAAGCCATATGCGCTTATCCATATCTATACCCAATTCTCTATCAATATACTTCTTCACACCCTAGAGGTGCGATCAATATGCCTTTTTTTTTTTTTCTGTCTTCCTGTGATCGCCTCAATTCACAGTTAGCGCGTCTTTCGCGGCCACTGTAGACGACTACACACACTTTCTTGTTTGACGTTGGGACATCATCTACCTTCTACGCCCAGAAGCCACTTGGAATATCTCTCTTTTGGTCTACGGGCTAGTAATCTTTCACATTGAATGGCAGAGTTCATAGCAGTAGACTAAAATGATATATCGCACCTATCTGGAGAACAGACGGAGAGATATCTCCCAACATTGAATGGCGGGACTACCTAGCAGTCAATGGAGACTAACAATAGAAAATAAGATCGAAGAAACGAATGAGAAAAAATGAATATGTAAGAGTTTTTGCTTGTCTTGTGGGTCATTGTAGTTTTCGCAGTGGTAAAGTCTGTCTATTAGAAGTAGGGCCTGCCGAGGGTTGCATGCAGCGTTTGTGCAGGTCCCCATACAAATCTTCCTTTTTACGCTACAGACATGTTGGGGCCTACCGGATCCAAAAGGTAAAAAAAGAAAGAAAGAAAGAAAGAAGGCAAGAAAGAGAAAGCTTGCGCTATAAATGGCATACTCGGTGAAAAATGGGTTTGTAGAAAGTGAGAAAATAGACAAAGTTCCAACATGAGAGTGGAATGTGGAATGAGGTTAGAAAGGTAACATGGGAACAACGGAAGAAAAGAAACCACAAAAAAAAAGTACATAATTCCGAATTGAGCAGGATGATTGCATGATAAGATAGGCGCGAGCAAGCACAAAGAAAAAAAGGTATGACAAGAGTGGGATTCGAACCCACGCCATCAAACGATGATCAGGAAGCTGTGAAGCTGAATATTAAGGTGGGCCTTAACCTGACGCCTTAGACCAACTCGGCCATCTTGCCTTGAGATATTTGATAGTGGAAAATAAGTGCTCTATGAGGGTAGACAATGCATAGTCCGGGATCTGCAATTGCAATTCAGTAGATGCACCCTGGCCTTCACCTAGTGTTATTGCTTTCTATTTTTTGAAACCCCAGACAACTTCCTATGCTGTATGTCGCGTTATCCATAATATATAGCAGGATTACTTGTCAAACAAGGACATGCGAGATGTGTTGTCCTGAGGCAGCAACGATCCATGAGATATAATTACTATGCTGCCTGAAAATAGCCAGGTTGACTATTCCTTTCTACTCATCCTTTCATACTAGGTATCTCAATGCTCCAACTTTAGTAATCGTTCAGCTATTATCACATTCGAGTAGCTCACTATTTCCCCGGTGGAAACCCACCATGTTCTACGACAGATTCCGACGACCCGGTCGGTAGGGACCTTTCAGCAGAACCATGCGAGGAACCTTATAGGCCAGTCATCCCGGCTGTGGCAAGTCCGATCTTGTGGAGAAACTCAGAGCTGAAGTCGAACCAGTGATACAAATGCCTCCACGGAAATGGTTTTGACGGAGAACGCCCGCTAGTCATCACCAGACACTTCATGCCAGAGGACGAAGTTCCCAAGCATAGCATGCTGGCCGAAATCGGAAAGTCGATTGAGATCTTTGCCAGAAACCTCAGACACCCGGAGAAAGATCCCGAACCAGCGACATTGGAGGATATCGAAAGGGAGAGTATGAGCTTTACTGTTCTTTATGGTGGTTTGTCTTTTCGTCTCCATGTGCAATCGATGTGGTCAGGAATATCACCGCTTCAGTTCTAGTAATTCTCATTTACTTTCCCAAAACATTCGAATATCCCTTCCTAGCATATATCTCACGTAGATGTATCAAGTAAATGTCGCAACTAGTATCCTCTACAGACAGCTTAGCAACATTAACCCTCGAGCATATCAGCAGAAAAACCCCCATCCCATCTACACACTTAACCCCGATATTATCTTAGCCATTAATTCCGATTAAACCCGGAAATAAGTCAGTGATTCAATCTACACCTTTACATCTTCCTATAACCGTTAAACCCCGATTCATCCGAACCAAATCTACATCGAAACGATTACCCGATTAGGAAATGCTTTCGATTTCCCACTCTGGGGATAAATGTGGGTCGAGATGCATCAGCGCTAGCGAGTAGAACGATCTGTCAGGCGGCCATACCATCCACCTTACGATATTCCTATCTAGCCATTGGATACTTTCCTGATCCTTCGATCGGTGATCCGGAACTCCGGCCCCGATCATTGACCTGACCTCCCTGGTATATCATCTTCGTCACATTCAACCACCACGGTGTTAGGAGATAACATCTCCGGTTAAACTCCGTCAACTTCATCAAGTGCCCATATTTATATACCCTTCACGATGAAACTCCTCCATTCAAGCAATAGACACACATCAACACACACCATAATTCCCAAATGACAATGACCAACCCAACCTCCCCCCCAGGCCGCCTCCTACGCCTAACCATCCAAATCTACCGCAACCAAGCGAGCACCAACTCCGAAGAACGGGAGAAGTTCGCCCGCGAATATCTCTCCAAAGTTGCTGTTGTAGTCGCCAAGCATGGAATCGAGAAATATCAACAAGTATACTTCACTTCACTCCACTTAACCATATACCTTAACTGACTGAATTATTTGTATTAGGTCTACACCCCACCCGCATTCCGCGAAGCGTTAGAAGAATCAAGTCGCCGTAACAAACGCGGCTGGGTTATTGATGTTCGTCCTACCCCATCTCATCTCCCCCCGAAGAAAAGCTAAACGTAAGAATAGGACCACGATCTCACCGTCGAATTCTATTTCCGGAACTTCCTCGCCATGAACAATGTTCGCAATGATCCTGAGTTCGCTGCATTGCAGGCTAGTGAGGGGCCGTATGTTAATCTTATCCATACGGTTGCTACCCTGGGTTGGGTGGAGCAGTATGTGGATGGTGGGAAGGTGGTGAATATTGGACCTGATGGGAGGTCGATGTATCCTTCTTGGGCGGAGTTGGGGGATGTGCAGTCGATGTTTCCTCCGAAGGTGGCGGAGGGGGAGGCTTAGCTGGATGCTATCCATGGGCTTTTGGAAATGGAGAGATACTATCTGTTTGCTTGAACGGAAGTTGAAGGGGCGTGTCTGTGTGTTGTTGCGTTGCGTAGATGAATGGAGGGGATACAGAAATCGTCGGATTTACCTGCTCCTACGAGGTACAGCTAGAAGCCCATTCATACGGACTAGAGCTTCTTAGGGCATGTAATGAATTTGTTTTTGACTGGGTGTTATAGTTGAGTGGAAAAAGCGGGTTTCTGAAGGGGGAAAAAAAAAAGACAAAAATAATGACCTACGCAGGATTCGAACCTGCAATCTCTTGATCCGTAGTCAAGCGCCTTACCATTGGGCCAGCAGGCCAACTTGTTGAGAAAGCTATTAATTACTAATTATATAAGCCAAAAATAAAGTAATTCCGACAAGTAAGGTCCGATTTCTTGGAGGCATGCAATTTTGGGTATATCAGCCTGCTTTGGGTTGGGAAGATAATTGAGGTTTTTGAGCATACTTTGAAGTATGGAATTACTGGGTTGAATTCTTACGACACCACTATCCTTTGAGTGGTGTGCTGCTTTTTGTTTTCTGGTGGCGAGGAAGATATATATTTGCCCTTATCCGTTGTGTATTGATTGGCATCAGACACAACCATTTGTCAGATAGTGTTATCCCCCAATTTACTCACCATTCAGATGTCAAAAAGGATACAAAATACCCCGTCTCTCAATAAAAATCATTCCATGTCATTGAGATGACATCGTGGCGTGACTATGGCTCATGCCGTGCCTTCGGATTGATCCGGACCGGCTATATCCAAGGATGGAGTCAGCGCGAACTCGGCTTGATACAATGCGCAATTCAACTGTATTTCAAAAAACCACTATAATTCACAGCCCCCAAAAGTATCGATTAGACCAGTGTATACTTTTAATCAAATGTAATTTTGTACCTTACTGTCAAATCCTATCCGCGCGGCCCAGACAGAAGGGGCTCGCACTAGCGCTCGGGCTGTGGAGCCATCATGAGATGCGGAGCATTATGGAGGTATTGATTGGTTGGCTCGCAAGAGATGACGCCAAGAACTGCGACAAGTGGGGATTTCGATTAAGGTTGTCGGGGATTTAGGAGGCGTGGTTGGGGGCTGAGAGATCACTGCAAGGATATGTGCAGGGGACAAAAGACAACCCTCTTCATATGAAAGAGACATTATTGCGCTCTTTAGATATAAAAACATGATAGAAAGGTAATTGATATGATTCAAACCGCAACACAAACTATCCATCCAAGTGACAAAAAATAATAAAAAACCAATTGGTATCAAAACAAACACTCATCCGCCACAACCAATCTATCCAACAACCTCTTCACCCCAAATCTTACCCACAAAATTCTCAATTCTCCCAACCACCCCACCCGTCCAACTAAGATGAGGCGAATGTCCCGACGGCGCACGATAAACAGTAAACTCAGCCCCCCTCTGACTCTGCAACGCAATCATCCCCTCCTGGTATTCCTTCGCCAAAGTCAAATCATTCTCCAACACTAGATAAGCACACGGAAGCACCGAGTAGGCATCATTCGTCAGCTTATCCGTCATAATAGGGGCCGCCGTCAGCCCCGCAGCCCATCGTTCCGCATCCTCAGGGTCAATGTCACTGAATATATACCGAGGTGCGTCGACGGTAGTGCCTAGGCCTGCTGGACCGTGTTTCTGATCCCTCTTAATGAGAATCCCCTATCATGTGAAAGAATCTTTCGACTTACGTGAAATCGAATAAACGGGGGTATGTAAAACGTCCCATCCTTCGGCTGGAAAAAGCTAGTCACGGACTCCCCAACAGGGACAACAAATGCCCCCATGTAAAATAATCCGATTATCCCGCCTGATTTGCCCTCCGCTTGGCGGGATTTAGCCTGCAGTGCGGGCACGGCGGCTTGGGTGGCGACCCAGCCTCCGGAGGAATGTGCGACTAGGAGGACGAGCTTGCCGTCTTGGTTGATTAGTTTGTCGAGAAGCTGGATGACGACGTCCACGTCTTCTGTGTCACTGGGATAGCCGCCTGCGGGCGGTTCACGGTCAAAGTCGGGATGGTTCACATCGCCGACATTGAGTCTGGTGAGATCGCAGGTTGGGCGTTGGGGACAGTGGGCTTTGATGTCGTGGGATTGTAGGGCTTGGATGAGGGGCTCATAGGGGGCGGGGGTTAGGTAGGAGCCGTGGCAGATGACGACGGATAGGTTCTTTGTAGGCATGATGATATGGGATTGGGATTATTGAGACAGAGGAGAGTTGTGTGATTGATTTGGTGCTGGGAGAGAGGGGGGAGAGGATTTATAAGTTTGAAGGGACAAGGCTGAGAGGATTGTATGTTCAGGTAGTTCTGGGGCTAAGGATCGTTAATTAGATTCGTGACCCACCTGGGGAGTATCTCGTACCTAAGCCGGTGATAGTGTCAGGACGTAAGCAGAAGTACCGCCCCTTTCGACCAGGCGCTACGTTTCTCGTAGGATGATACTGCCTGCTGGCATATGGGTAATCGGGCTCCACTGCCACCTCGGCCCTTAAATGTGGATATTGCCAATGCTACAAATATCTATGGACTCATTTGTATTACCAGAAGCTTTCGACTAATTATAGTCAGGATTGTAGCAAATGCCATTGTTGTTAAACGATATGATAATCTTCTGGGCAAGAGGCTGTCTGCAATCCATCGCCATGTCCGTGAAAGTCATTGATCAATAATAGGATCTTGATGGATCATGGTACACGGAGATTTGTTGCAAAGCGTTCTTATACTCCTAGGCCATAGAATTAGGAGTAGAGTACACGATGAATACGACAATTCAAACTATCAATTCCTTCTGTAAACGAACTTGTATCATACACAATGCTGCATAAACAACTAAAAATCATTGGCATCAATCTCCTGCGATGCTGCCACCGTCACGCTGACCTCCTCCTTAATAATGGCTTGAGATTCAACCTTCAGCTCCTTTGTTCCCTCCTCAATGGCCAGCTTGGCAGTATGGCTGATGGCGACACTGCTCTCCTGTACCCTCTGTTCAATCAGCCGGGCCGTCTGTTGCGCCATTTGAGCCCGCGCCGACAGTCCGCTAATAATCTTCTCCTGCTCATCGGAGACCACCTGGGCGATACCTTTAGTGCTTCTGGCTGTGTACCGGCTTAGCTCCGACTCCATCTGGCTCGTAGCATGCTGATCGGCCGCTCCACTGGACAGCTTCAGGCACAACTCTACTCCTTCCTGAATATAGTCTCTGTGCACCCGGGTATACATGCCGGAGATGTCCATCAGGAGAGAGAAGTAGCCCTTGATCTGCAGGGTGTAGAGGTAGATGCTCTGCTTGGTGACATTTCCCAGAGCAATCTTGCCGTTCAAGCGCATTCCTGCCTTGGTCATGGCCTGGCTGAACCGGTCAGCACAGGGCATGATCAATTGGTCGATGAGATTGGACAGCATCAGGAAGAAGCGCTCCAACCGACTGATCTGCACGCTCAAATCGGCAAGCACCGAGATGCAGTCGCGTAGAACCCCCTTGATCTGGTCGAGGGTCTTGCCGTCCTCTTGCAGACGCCGCAGCCGCAGCTCGATTTTGGTCATTGCCGTCGCTGTCTTGGCTTGTCTGTCCAGCGTCGCCTGGTAGTTCTTCTGCGCCAGCTCGAGGGCGCTGGATGCCATCTCCACCCCTTGCATGGCTCCCTGCACCTGGGCCGCCTGCACCGAGTAGTCGTCTGCTGAAGCAGACGTGTCGACTTGGGTAAAGACGTTGGGCCCTTGCCGACCAGATCCCAGGGCGCTGGCGTACGCAGCCATCTCGAGGACGACCTGCTGACTCTTCTGCACCTTTTTCCGCCACTGGATCGGAATTTCGTCGGCGAGTGGGGTGGTGCTGAGCTGGTTTTCTTTGCTCAGGTGCGTGCTGATCTCTTGTGCCACCTGTAGCTGTCATCAGCACTCTGCTCTCAAATAGGTTCACCCATCGAAAAACTTACATTGATGACGGTGTCGAGCGCTGTGATGAGCTGCTGGTTAGGAGAGGTACCAGTTTTGTCAATGTTAGCACGCTGGCCCTTGAAATTCCCAAGGACGTATGCGATCCCTGCGCCATTCTGCTCCTCGCCGTTTGCCCCATCCTTGAACTTGGGCCAATCGACCGAGCCGGACTCTCCTCCGAGGTATTGGTAAAAGTGCGTGATGGGATCCTGGAGTCCGACAGCAGCCATATATGCAGGGTCTGGGTTCTGGACTGGCTTGAGGGATGCTTGCGGCTGGTGTTGCTGTTGCTGTTGCTGTTGCTGTTGGACCTGCGCACTCGCAGCCTGGGTACTGGCAGCTGCTACAGCACCAGATGCGATGGCACCTCCAGGATTCACGCTAGCAATGAGGGCTGGCACGGCAACGGCGACGGCCTGCCCCAGAACTTTCATGCAGCCGTTGACAGCCGTCTGCGCCATCGTCTCCCATGGCCCCGGCACTTTGTCGATGGCCTTGTCCAGCCGTTGTTCGGCTTTGGTGACCTGAGCCTTGATGTAATCCACCTGCTTCTGGGCCATCTCAGCGGCTTCGGCGCTGTGGATCTTCTCGGCCTCGGCGATGATCTGGTCGGTCGAGACCTTGTGCCGCTCCTGGGAGGTTGTTCCCACCTGTTGCTCGGTACAGGCGTGCAGCTCTCCAACCATTCGAGCCCACTTCTGAAAGGCATCGCGGATCTCACTTGCCAGCCTTCCACATGTTTTGGCGTCATTGGAAAAGTCTTTCAGGGCGTCATTGAAGTCTTGCAGAGCGGCTGCGTCCCGATCGCAAGGACCGAGAAGAGTAAATATGTCTCGGATCTGCGGATGTCAGCGTTTTATCATACATAACGGGGATGGAATGGAACCAACTCTTTCATCGCAGATCTGGCGACTGCGGATTTGGATAGCATCCATATTGTTACCAGCGATGTAAAAGGCCTCCCTGCCTCCATTGTTGCACACTACAATCGACTCAGTACCTTAGCCACGGATGTGATTCAATGCTTCACTCACCATCAACCAAGCAGGCTCTCAAAGTCGGGTTCATTCGGTTTGTCAGATGCTTGAACCCGCCGGTTGGCACCGCATCTGCCAGGGAAATCCTGTCTGCGATGGGATTGGACGCGGCAATCCAACAGCTGCCCATGAGGGAAAGAGCGGTTGGAGCAGCAGCCAGCAACTCACCCCAGTTACACTGGAAGAGGGCCGAGGCTTTGACACCTTCGACAAACTGGATGGATTCTTTCCCTCCATATTCTTGGAGTTCATCCTTCCGCACCCTGTCAATATCTCCGAGAACTTGGGCTGCCATGATTGAATATTTCGCTGAAAATAAAGAGATTGATGCTTTGAATGGGACAACAGCCGTAACTACTCGACTTTTATATTCTTCTTCAAAGGGCTACGTAGAGTAGGAGGCGTACCTGGCGCGACACCTCCACTACGATGACATAACTACTCAAATAGGTACTCATGATCTAGATATTGGCTAGTGGCTAGCTGAATATGGCGGTGTGAACAATGAAGAGAGACATGGCGTATTTTGATATCCACTATTTTTGCATCGCCGCATCCACACGCCACTCGATACCCCACTTAATACATCGAGTCGGCCATCTTACTTGTCGGGTTAAACAGCCGGAGAGCGGCATTTACTAGATCTCAGTTACCTTGCCGTTTAGGGTAAATGTTGAAGTTTTAGATATTTGTTCAGTTCAGTGAGAGATATCGATGATCGGTTATTTCTGATGGCTAGGATAATATCTTCGGTCATTTAAGTAGTCATGTCAACTCGACTAGGAAGCAAGTAATTATAAAATACATGCGTTCAGAATCATAAACCATCCCAACCACTTTGATCAAGCGTGAATGACCTGATATTTCAGAGGCAATCAATAAGATTACGCTGGGATCTACCCATTCATAGACTTCCCCAGCGGGGAGATATCTCTTTTGGTCTAGTAGTTGAGAGTTTCTGTCAGATTATCCACCCATGCTCCACCATACAGAACAGGTGGATACCACTACTTTAGTAGCGATGATAGGGCTACGAGATGTTAGTGCCCGGCATTTCCTTCCGACTAATCAGTGGTATCCAAAAACCCGCCATCTCAATAGCCTGCCCCGCTTCAATGGGTCCGACTTCAGCTGAAGAACTCCCTCCACTTGTCATTCAGCGGGGATCCACTCGATCATCGGACGGGGCTATTTATTTGAATAGTATACGTAGTCACTTTATGTTCTATCCCATTCTTGAGCTTGCCTTCTTACGTGGTATTCCCCGCCCACACAGCTGAAATGGGCCAAAACGTAAGCACATGGAATAATGAGGACCCCGATGTTGGACAAGGTCAGTGTACGCCGTCACAGACCATGGGAAGAAATCGCTGCTAAAAGACAGGTCACGCTCCATCAGGAAAACTAAGAGCGCTCTTTAACGACCTAGCAGGTCGTACTCATTGCTTGGAGATAGAACAGGACCGCAAGAATGAAGTCATTCCTATATTGATCCAGAGGAGCAATAGATGGACTGAGAAGGATGCGGTCAGGGCATATCGCTCACTGAAATGTGCAGTTGAGTCGTTACTCCAATTAGAGAGCGGAAATTCTCGACTCTCACGCAATCATCCTGATATCGTGGATATGTTGAGCGACTCGGTCAGCAAGTTTGAGATGTTTTGTCAATGCTGTCGGGAAACCACGGCAGACATAGGACGTGAAATGGGCGATGTGATAGCATTGATGGATGGCACGACGACATTCATGCGCGAGCTGAAGGACACAATGAACGAGATCAATTCTTTCGTTCCGAGAATGTGGGGGATTATCAATCCGCGAGAAAAGTACTGGCGGGAGTGTAGAGCAGCCGAGCCAGCTCTGCGACGGGCTGTTAGTGATGCAGAAGAGGAAAAGAATGTGAGTTTTTCCTCCGATGGTCTACGGCATCAGAAACTAAAACATCTCAGAACAACTCGTTTTTGATATGGCTGAATCCACCTCATCGAGATATTCTAGAGGGCAAGATCCGCGCCGCAAACAGCCGACTGGCCGACAATCTCCGGCGGCAATCAGAAGCAAGATCCAAATACGAGTCATCCTATCGGTACGCGATGGTGGCGAGAAACACAAGCGCAGCACTTGCTTCGCTCCATGACAAGCTGGCGCCAATCGCCACCTTCTACCGCGATCAATACCACCGGCTGCTATCCGTCCAGTCTGAATTGAACGAGCAGTGGCAGGCCTCGCAGGTGCTGCGGAATTTGCTGTGGGATCCAGACCTTAGTGTTTCCCGAGATAGATCACTCCAGGTAATAAATCGGTTTATCGATGCCCACAAAGACATGAGCTTGGATCAGAATGATACGATGAGGGCAATCGAGTACACAGTGATTGGTTTGGAGTCTATTCTCGCTCCACGGAGGAGCATTGGCTATGACTGTTCATTTAATGATTGCGTTGCGGAACATGAACCGGACTTGATCTGGACTATCTAGGTTGAATCTTCAATACTTCCTGAATGTACCACTCCTGATGAGGATTCCGACCTGACCGATGCCAGCCATTAACAGCTGTTCTGCGCTCATGTTATCCTTCGCTCTTCCTCTCAGTAGAATGAATGGCGTACTTACCCATTGCCACTTCCCCCTTCATACAAATCCACGTACGTATAACTAGCTTCATTCTGCAACCTATAAACCCCAGATCAGCAAACACATCAAAAAACCCCTCAGACCAACCAACGACATACATAACAACTGTCGAGCTTCCGCGCTTCTCAGCAATCAAATACCACCTGGAATTACTGCTATGGCCTTTATTATCCCAGCCAACGACGGGTGTTCCATCCATCGAGTCCCCATTCTTCAAATCGAGGTATGCTACATACATCCACAAGTCAACAAATCTGCCATTCCCAAACCCTACCATGATATAATACACTCACTTCCCGAACTGACATTCTCCAATGTCCACGACGACCAAACAGACTCGTAATTAACCTTACGGAGCTTCCATTGCTGAGCGACGGTTCCGTTGAACTCCCATCCTTGAACGGGGGTTCCGTTTGCCCGGTTTTCTACCGCCACTTATGAACATATTGTTTCCAAGGAGCATTGTATCGTATTGTATGGTATAACTCACGCCAGTATAAATCAAGGACAGTCCGACTACCTACATTTCGTAGATAGACTGTTTTCCCATGCCATTCATCGGACAGGAAATGATCTTGACGGTTATCGCACATGGCCGTTTGGATTTCGGGCGTAAAAAGGAGTGACTCATAGGAGTGGGAGGGATTTGCTTTGTATAACCAGACATATCTAGATTAGTGCTGGTGGATATGCTATGCATTGATGCCCAAAACGAGAGTGGCGTTGACCATCTGAATAGATGCTAGTGAGAATCGCCGACTGTGGTCATTGACATTCAGCTCGCCATGACATGTGGATCCCTGTTCAGATCCACAAACTATCAATATCTGTTCTTCCCATGCCCCACGAGACTAAATAAGCACTAAATAGTAAATACACGAGATCTAGTGTGACGCTAGATCTACGCAGAATAGTGGGGCTGTTTTACTCGGTCACTGACAGCCACCATCTACCCACAGACAACTAGATGCAGATATCTATCTGTCCGCGCATTTCTAGCATGCATCAGAGTGTTCACAGAAAAATCAAATTCAGCGGGAAAACAAATAGAAAGAAGAAAACAGACTAAAGTCAGTAAGTAGTCCGCTTACCAAAATCGTCCAGAGAACCCAAACCTAATATTGTACCTATAGTAGAAGGGTAGTATATACCCAGATGTCCACACCAACACAGACCCAGCCCCCAAAGCCATGGGGAACGATGAAAGCTACAATCTCTTCAACACGTCTCACAGTGTACACATAGCGGTATTTCCCTACTCCACATCATCTATATGGTAGACCATAGATCAAGTACTATAAATTTAGCCCTGGATCTAAGCCCCAAAACTTGCGATTTAGGGTTATTAAGGGGAAGAAATAGGGTTATTATTTTGTTTCCACGGGGACGTTGCCCGAAAAGGCAGGAGATCATTCGGGAGCATCCGAGACATCCGAACGAGAACCGAACCAGTGGGGATGGCAGAGTTTGGTTACTGGTACTGACACGGGAGCTTTATGAGTGGACTCCGAACTATTCCCGTGGGCTAACATCGCACTACTATATTTTTTTGCCTCCCGCTGCTGAAGGCTGCAGACCATGACTGTAAAAGAAGACAACAGTACCTGTGAGTCTGTGACAGATTCGCCACAGGTGGGATGCCAGATCCCACTAAGGATCTTTTCGCACTCTGCCAAGTGCCAAATGACTAGTTTGTAGATACTAGATGTTAGTGTCAGCCACGCAAGATGTAGCTTGACACTAAATATCGGAGATTTATGCCAGATTCCGATAGGATTTCTCAGTTGCATAAAATAGAAAGTAGAATTGAGTATTGTTTGTTTTTGATTTAACACGTTCATTTCTTTGGTTTGGGTTGTGGGCATATGGATTGTAGGTATGAGGCACGGATCAAGCAATGACCACTCGAGGTCACTCCATAGTGTTTATACAGTGAACATGAACATATCCTCAGCTTTAGATTGAAGTAGTAGCTATAGTTAACGTGCATTAAAAGAAAAGGCAGAGCCGGTCTGTAAAAAGAAAAAGAAAAAAATGGAGCTGCGGGGAATCGAACCCCGGACCTCTCCCATGCTAAGGGAATATTATACCACTAAACCACAGCCCCATTTGTTGATTTTGCTTCGACCTTTTACATTTCAAGAGTGGAAGGAGAGGGAAGTTGAGAGTGATCACGCCAAGCTTCTCCTCAGACTGTCTGTCATTCATTCTCAACCATCAAGATCTTCAACGGGACTGAATGCCCATCTACAGGCAGGCCTTAGAAGCAAGTACCAAATCATCAAATCTATCTAAAATGGTTGCGCAAGTTCCGCAGTCCCCTTCTAAATCCCCCACGAGCCTTGGCTGTCGGTTGATCCGTTGATTCATCCGTCCAGTGCATGTCATTGGTATAATTTGTGGCTGTCTGAGTGGGATCAGCTTCGATGTCACTAGCCCCCTCATTGTATTCACCACTATCGCTTGGACCATCCTGGGAATCACTCGCATGAGAAGGTGCTGATTCAATCTCCTGATTGACCACGACCAGAAGCGGATCCGGAGTCATGTCTCCAGCTGGGATAGGACAGTCCTCTTCTAAACAAACAGGCTGCTCTCCAATTCCAGTCTGCGTATCAAGGTCAGCTTCATTATGAGAATTTGGTTGAGAAGCTTGGAGCCTTTGTAGCAGAAGGGTCCTGATCTCTTTCTCGGCTTTAGCTTCAGCTTCAGCATCGTCATTGCCGTCGCTGCCACTATCACTCCCCTCATCACCGTTCTCTTCCTCGTTCTCTCCATCACTGTTCACGGATTTATCATTGCTATTGGCGTCGCCATCATCGCCGTCATTGCCTTCATCTTCATCGTTGTCACCGTCATCATCGTCAGCTTCATCCTCATCATGATGCCAGAAATCCCAATCTCCGTCTTTTTGCGCTCTCTCGCTATCCTTAATTTCTGCATCCAAAGCCATGATAGCGGAAGCATAAAGTCTACTGCTTGCGTGAATGCTGACCCCGTGGTCCAACAGCACTTCAACAGCGGCCTGCTCACGAAGATGTACGGCACGATGTAACGCTTCAACCAGCGTCTCCTCTGACATTTCATATGCCAACCACTTTTCCACATAGTCCTCCATTCCATTTGAAGCTGCAGCGATGAAGGAATTCCCATAATAGCCGCCTGGTAGAAAGGGATCGGCTTCTCTCTTAAGAAGCACATCCACTGCATCATAGTCGTTCATCAGACATGCAGCCTGCAAGGCAGTCCCATACTTGCCACTGACGAGGTTTGGATCAGCCCCTTTCTCCAGCAGATGGGATACTACATCAGCGGAAGAGATAGCTGCAGCCAGATGCACGGGTGTCCCCCGTTCATCCACGGCATTGATGTCCGCATTGTGCTCCAAGAGAAGATCAATCAGCTGTATAGGGTCATTGGTATAGATTGCCGCATGCAAGGCAGTACCATATAGACCCCCGTTCTTATTCGGATCGGCTTGATGGTTTAACAGCAGCTGGACAAGGTCCAGATTGCCCACTGCGGTGGCCGCCTGGAGCGCGGTATGATATCGTCCGCCAGTAACGCGGATATCAGCACCTTCGCTGATGAGAAGGTTAACATAATCCACATATCCAAGATGAGATGCCATCTGGACTGGTGTATGGAGTTCCCCTCCCAGTTGGTTGACATCGACCCCATGTTGCAGGAGCACTTTCACGCAGTCGAGCGATTTAGCTTTGATAGCACGATAGAGAGCACCGCCCCATTTACCAACATGTTGGACATCCAACCCCTGTTCGAGTAAGTATGTTACTGTGTCGTCATCTCCTGCTGCGGCGGCGTTGGTCAAGGCTGTATCGTTGTCTCCATCCTGGGCATGCAAAATCGCACCATGGTTGACCAAGAGCTCCACGCATGCCCTAGGAAGTTCCATCGCGGCGTTGGTCAGAGCCGTTGCCCCGTCAGGTCCCCGGACATTGACATCAGCTCCGCGCGAAAGGAGCATTTCTAACATTTCCTCGTCGCCACCCCCTTCAGAGGCGGCAATGATGGCGTACCCGTACCTGCCTCCTTTGGTGTCCGGGGAAGCCCCTTTATTGAGAAGAAGTCGAACAATGTTCGTATAACCCTCAGCGCACGCGGCGGACAGGGGCGTGCCATACTCGCCCGAGACTGCCGGATTTACCTGGGCCCCATGTTCCAGAAGCAGCTGGACATTGTCCAAGGTCCCTTCATAACACGCAGCTTGAAGAGCAGTCCCAAACCCGGATTCGGGATAGACCCGATTAGGGTCTGCTTTTCGACGCAGTAGCATCTTCAGGATATTGGTTGAACCATCGTACGCAGCGGCTTGGAGGACGTTCCCGTATCTGCTCTGCGGTCAGTAACCCGGTCCGAGTCACTCGTGCGTCCAAGGTACTTACTCGTCGCCTTCAGCGTTGGCGTCAGCGCCCATTTCTTCCAACAGTAACCGGGCAGTTTCTTCATATTGATACTCTACGGCGACATACAACGACCGTTCTAGTACGTCCGAGTTTATTCCCTCCGGTGTCAGGATTCTGAGAATATCGGCGTCGCCGTTTTCCGCGGCACATTCAAAGGCGTCGTCCCGTCGAAGGGCTGGATTATCAGTTATCAGCATTCGCACCACTTCCGCCTTCGAGTTCTCTGTTGCCCTAATTAAGGCTAAGTCATGAGAATCGGGTCGGGTGTCATATTTCAGCAGCAGCTGAACGATGTCCATATGACCTTCTGCAGCTGCGACTTCTATAGGTGAGCGGCCTTCCGAGTTTGGCCGCTGGCAGTCACATCCTTGGTGGAGCAAATATTCGGCGATATCTTTCTCGCCATTGAAGCATGCCGCACCAAGTGCATTGCCGTCTTCATATTCCATGGAAGGATTTAGCTCAGCACCCGCGCCTACGAGAAGCTGTACAATCTCCAAATCTCCGCTGTAGACCGCGGCGTTCAACGCCGTCCGCTGGCCTCCCCCGACTAAGTTGGGATCAGCTTGTTTTGCCAGTAATTGCCGGACAATATCTGCAGAGCCGTTCGATGATGCCGCATAGAGGGGGGAGCCATGAGGCTGCGTAGCGACATTGATACGGGCTCCATGGCTTAGCAAGTAAGCCGTGACTTCAAAGCTTTCGGCGAAGGCTGCCCCATGGAGGGCGAGGGCATTGTCGCGAGTGTTTTGGAAATTGACTTCCGCGCCAGCCTGGCACAGTCGTTGCACCATGTTGATATGTCCCCGGTGACAGGCCCAGTACAGGGGCTGGTATCCGCGACTGTCCATGGTATGGACCTCCTCGTCATGATGACCGGACTTTAACAGCAGATCCGCCAGAGGAACATACCCAAAGTATGCCGCAACATGCAGGGCTGTAAACTCGGCATCGAACTGTTCGTCTTCCCCGTCGAGGCCGTTGAACTTTGCATAAGATTGTGACCACTGGGCTCGCTCTTTGGACCCTAGCACCCAAAACACATTCTGGATACCGAAGTTTTCAACCATATCGGCCGTCGCCTCCAATGCATGCTCAATCCAATGCGTGACGGGGTACGCAAGGAGTTGTTGCTTGGTGGGATTCGATTCGCTTTCAGATTCCCATTCCTCCTCGCTCTCCCAGTCAGAAAGATCATCTTCAGAGAGTTCCTGACCATCGTCCGCTGGCTCTGGCTCCTCTTGGTCAATTTCATCTTCATCTGTGGGATCCCGATCATCATCGGCTGCATCGTTAGCGGTGGTAGTGGCGAGGACGTAGTCAAAGCAACGCAGGGCAATGATCCCGTGTTGAATTTGTTCTGATCCCATAGACAACCAGTCGTCGGCCTTGGATCTCAAAAACTCGCGGACTGAGGTGTGACTCAGCTGTACTCTGATATCGGATCTATCTTGAAACATCTTGGCCAGTGCGCCGCATCGGTCGACATGTTTTTTCAGTGCTTTTCGATTCGACCAGTCGGTTGTGGGCAGGCCAGCCACAACTGCCAATTCCTCTAGTGTTGGAGGGTAATGGATGAGCAGCAGGCATCGCAAGATATCTTTGGAATATTCGATGTCAAGTTCGGAGCCTCCTAGAACCTATCCCGAGTCTACAGTCAGCATGTTCCTGGGGGTCCAATGATTTATTCGCGCCGGAACAAAAAAAGAGTCCTTGTGCACTTGGAGCTACCTACCCTGTGGGAAACCTGGTCATACATGGGAATGAGATCGGTGGGCAACTCTTCCAGGCGCCGTCGGACGGCCACCGAGACCAAGGCGTCGTCCCGAAGCTCAAGACACACCAGATTCACCCAATCATAGTTGGACTGGCCTCGTGCTCGCAGGAAAATGAAACTTTTGACAAAGTACTCAAGCGCCCGGCTATACTTTCGGTCCCGAGCAATCTGGCTGATTCTTTGGTTCACGTACCGCCGTAGATCGTCTTCTTGCTGGGCTGAATTACTCCCATCGTCTAGGTCAAGTGTCTGGACATTCGGGAGAAAACCTTGGATATCCTCGCGGGGAGCACTAAGGAAGAGCCACTTGACAAAAGGCCCGCTTGGACAATCGTCATCAGCCGGTAGCTTTGGCCGGAACGACGCCACAGCGCTCAGCAATTGTTTTCGTGATTCCAGATCAATCTGATCCAGGTGATTGACGACGAAGAAGGCGGTACCCAAGGAGAAGTCACTTAATGTTGCCTTGAAAGTCTTCCATAAGTCGGACAATGATTCGTACTCATACCCAGCGCCATCCTCCTTGAAGAAGGGACTGGCCAGGTCTGTTCGCGATCCAAGCACTTGCACGACGAGCGATTTCAGAACATTGAGCCCCTTGCTCTTATCCTTGTTATGCTCATCGCAGAAGAAGTGTCCCAAGCTAACCGAACCATTCGATCCCCTTGCTCGCTGGGTCAGCTCTTCTACGATGGCTATGGCCGCCATGGTTTTACCCTTGCCCGCACTGCCTCGAATCCACATGTTGTGCGAGGAGTCCTCCTCTTTCCATGCTCGATATTGCTCGCTTTGCTGAATCCAGGAGGTAGACTTCACCCCCTTACCAATCCCATTGATCCGCCGGATAGTTTCCAGGTCTCGACGGGGGTCATTGACGTCCAGAGCATTCAGGATGCTGACAACTCGTTGGTCATTCATGATTTCCTGCTTCAGCGCTATCGGCGATCCGTATCAGAATGCCTGGTCTCCTTGATCACCAAATGCAAATGTACTCACCATCCTGTCGCAACTTGATTTTCCGAAATGACTGGGTGACCATGTCCTTCAAGGTCCCAGCCAAATGTTGGTAGTCTCTGTCCTTGGGGCCATCAAATTTGTTCATTTCGGAGTGCGAACGAGCCCAGGAATGACGGGGGTACCCTTCAAAGGTAGCTGAGTATTCGTCGACGATGACCATAGCCTGTTCCATATGTCAATGACGGATGCAGCAGTCAGACCAGCCCAAGACGACACTTACGCCGCTCTTCTCCAACTCAAAGTAGCACTCCACATGGATCTGGGTCTTGCGGACGTCTCCAAGAAATTCATTGGCGAGGTCGTCCAGCTCAGTGGTCCCAGATTTGAGAGTACGAATAAGACTGGTATACTTGGCCTGGCCCAGGACATTGCCCGCCATCCCAATGACTTTGGCCCATGGCTGGGCATGGGAGCCACGAAACGGGGTGCCCAGAAAAACACAGGAAGTAACACAGTCAATGATGCCCTCGAATTCTTCCGGCTCTCGTTTTGCTACCGTAACAGCCTGGCATCCGGTCAGCCTTTCTCCTGGGGTGTGGGCAACAAACGCCGACCTTGGATACTACCAGTCCCCCGAGACTGTGGCCAATGAAGATAATGGGACGCCTTTTATTTTTCTGCAGCCAGTGGTCAGTTCAATGCGGACACTTCAATATGGTTGGTTCTCCAGGGCCGTCTAGCAACATACCGAGCCTCGCCGATCCTGCTTGATCGCCGACAGCAGATCGCGGCTAATAGTCGACAGCCGAATTTCGACGGCGTCTGGGCCAAACCATTGCGACCGATAGCCATAGACCAAGATCCGGGCGTTCGAAACTGTTTGCGGCAGCATGCCCCCGTCTTTCAACCAGTGCACATTGTTCCGCACCCAGGTGTAGGTCATGTCAGAGCCGAGGCCCGGCACGGCGATAATACTTGACGGAGTTCATAAATGTCAGTTGGAAGGCCGTCCGTGGGGACGTGATGGTAGCTTACTCGACGCATTTTGGATCGGGGCCAGTCTCTTTTGGGGAGTGCAAAACATTTAGACCTGGGACAGTCTCTTGTTTACTCCGCTTGTTATGCTTTTTAGATTGTGGATCAGACGGTTGAACGGGTGGTTCGGTTGTCGCCATGGTTGTTCCAAGGACTTGATCACCTCTAGGACTCAAGTTGAGACTCGGATGATGTCTGCGCAGACGGATCCCTTCAGCTCGAAGACCTTATATGGCGCGTTAGGTTCGTGATCGACAAACCGAATCCTCTCGGAGGTTTGCAAGAGAACTATTGATTCTCCACCATAGGTACTCACCAACCACCAAGGGTGCGGTGCATAGCCATCCAACAATGTTTGCCTTGGGTTGGGCAGGAGCAGCAAACAACCTGGCGAATTGCGAGGTCCCCGAGGTTGCCGTAAGAGGTTATCCCACGCCCGAGGAGCTGACGAGGCGACACGATCGTCGGCCCTAAAATCTCACCCGCTCCATTGGTAGGATCTGCTACCTGCAGATGGTCAGGGGATCCCTCAGGACCGACAGTTTGCTCCTCTGTAATGCCAATAAGGCCTGACCCACAGGTTATTGACAGAGTTAAATAGCGGCCAGCTCGCTGAAAGGACCGGAAGGACCGGGTGAATTGAATGCTACTTAGGGCAGGATCGATCGCTGAACGTCCACCCACCATCCCTCATGTACGAATCATCCTCAGCTGCACTGGGGCTGGACATCTTTGCCGATCCCAGTGGCATCATCGCCCCCTTTTCTTCTCTACTGCCAGCCTCCTATCGGACAACGGACGACAACATCGAGCCCCTGTCTCCCGAACTATTCGGGGCATTTCTCAACCACGAGCTGCTTGTCCAGCGGCTGAATGACATTCACAACTGGCTATGGATGTGTGGTCGCCCCATGCCTCCCCGCCCACTGCATCAGCAGGTGGCCATGTCGCGGAGTATTGTGGTGACCGAACAGATGGACATGCACCTCGTCTGGATGAATAACCAGTTCTTTATCAAGCCACTCCCCGCTTATCTATTCCACCCAGACTTCTGGCATCCGCATGGTCCGACACCCAGCTCCCTGCAGAAAGACCCTCCCATGGACGAGAACAAATCAAGCCCGGCCAGCACTGCTGCTACTCCGTCCGCCTCCCACCAGGAGAGAATTGCCTGTGCGCGAGGCTTCCTCTTCTCATACACAGCGCTGATCACCTACCCCTCGGATTTCCACCTTGCCCAACAACAGGGCCTCCTTCCTTCCACCGTAACATGGGAACGGTGGCGCGTCTTCTCGGCCCAGTTCCTATCGCACCACTGCTACGCGGCCATCAACCCGCGGTTCTGGTACGGAGAGCTGCGTCTTAGTCGCCTGAACAAAGTATATGCTCTGACCCGGGGGTGGATGTTCCGTGGCTACTCGCGAATCGGCGGGGCAGCAACGTACGAGGACCTTCTGCGCAACAACTTTGCCGCTCTGGCCACGGTGCTGGGTTACGTGGTCATCGTGCTGACGGCCATGCAGGCCGGGCTGTCAACCGACCGATTGCAGCATGACCGGACGTTCGTGAATGCCAGTTACGGGTTCACGGTGTTTAGCATCATCGCCCCACTGATAGGCGCGGTGGTCCTGCTGGTGGGGGTTCTGTGCATTGTAGCGAGCAACTGGATTGCGACCAAGGGGTATGAGAGGAAGCGATTCGTGACTATGGGGGTGGAACCGCTGCGACATGCTGTCCGAGTCTCCAGCTGACGGACGATCCGAGAGTTCCTGTCACGGAAGAACAGTCCTATTGGTATACCGAGAATAGTACTCCAACTTCGACCGACAGCCTCCTAGAAAGCTTGTTAGAACCAGTAAATCTGGGTGTTGTCTCCGGGATGGTTGCTTTTTCCTCTGATTTGACGCTGGCCTGCCACGTCGCCGCGGGGCATTCCATCAGTTCAGCTCCTTATCGCTATCCCTGCCCCTTGATGCACCACGGTGGGTCGTGTCATACCATCTTACCAATCGCTTGTTTCTCCCCTTTCTCCCTACGGCATTTCCCGAGAGTCAATCAGCTACGCCATGCGCGACAATTTGCTGGTGCCGACAAATCAGTCTCATATGCCAATAAAAGTGGCCTGTATTTCAACAAATGGGGCTGTGGTTTAGTGGTATAATATTCCCTTAGCATGGGAGAGGTCCGGGGTTCGATTCCCCGCAGCTCCATTTTTTTTCGCAGGTATCCCACCTAGTCCGGGTGAAACCAATCTCAAATCAAGATCAGAAATAATCCTCATCTCTATTTGAGATACATTGTTTTTTCTTTTTCTCTTCACACTCTATCATTCTGTCTTTAATCTACACTACATATCAGTGATGCCGTGCATTAACCGATTTGCAATTCTCCATATCGCAGCTAAAACCATCCGCTTCCATGATGGAAAATATATAATTCTCCAACTCGATATGCATCTATGCCCCCCCCTGTGAAAGTCTACAAGTAATTAGAGGATACATACATAAAGATCCCGACCAGATTTTAGAATAAGGAATACTACCACATCTCCCTCTTTCTTTCTCTCCACTACTAGTACTTCTAGAACTCTATATGTTAGGGACGTGAAGCCGAAGAAACTGAGTGATATTGCTTGATTAGCTAGGAGGGCTTCTTCTGCCTACGCGTGATGAAATGACAACAACACGGTGGCCAACCTGACCAGACACATGACGCTCGCCTACTCGACACTATATGTACCCTTCGCCTCAGACTACATATATTATATATACTCAGATTTGAATAACCCGCTCTTCATTTGAAGTAGTAGTAATGTGAATTGTGGAGTTTCCACAACACAGGAAGAGAACCCCTAAAGAGGTAGTCCATAAAATAGTTCACTGGTACGTGAAAGACAATTACACATTTTGTTTCTTCACCGGCCGCAGACTATACACCCTGCTTAAAGACGTCATGAAAGACAGGAATTGTCGTTATTAACAGTATTGAAGATGTTCAAGAACCAACGAGACAATAAGATGATAATGCTACCTGGATTATTGAAGCGATCCAGGTGTAGACGTATTGCTTGAACTCACGGAATTTACAGGGAATGTCTTGTTCATAAAAGGGTAGGATAGGCAGGATATGCAGATATCACAATCATCTGCATTAGTTACTCGAATATCCCCAGCTCTCATTTAGAGGAAAGTTCAAGGAATATTGAAGTACATTTGAAGGGCAAGATAGAGCAGAGCACAGGACCTGGCCTGACGAGGGACAATATCATCTCAATGTAAAGACCATTGCTGCATCAATCGCTGCCAAGCGTGGGCTTACCCTGACGTTCAAGAGCTAATTTGAGATTTTCCGCAGCTAGCAGCGTATATGAATGTTCAGGTCCAAGGGCCTTCTCCGCGCTCTGTACAGCTTGCTGAAGTACCTGCTCAGCTTCCTCATACTGATTCAAAGATAAAAGCGCTACACCGAGGTCATCATAAGTCAAAAGGATGTCCGGATGATTAGGCTGAAGCACCTCCGTGCTCCGGAGGACATGTCGAAAAATCAGCTCAGCCTCCTTGTGCTGGCCCTGAAGTCCAAGCGCTACACCGAGATTGTGTAAAAAGGACAGTGTCTTTGGATGTTGAGGCCCAAATAATTTCTCCCCGCCTTGTACGGCTCGTCGAAACATTTCCTCGGCCTTCTCATATTGATCCTGCTGTACAAGAATTTTACCAAAATTACGTATACTAGCCAATGTACTTGGATGCTCGGGTCCGAGCACCTTTTCAGTGCCCTGCAAGACTCGTTGAGCAGTTCTTGCAGCCTTTTTATACTGACCTTGCGCCAACAGGGCATTATTGAGGTTATTCAAAGTGCTGAATGTACCTGGATGCTCAAGGCCGTACACCTTCACCTCGCCTCGCAAGGCTCGCCGATGCATGGTTTCAGCCTCTTTATAACGACCCTGCCTCTCAAGGTCATTACCAAGACATACCATACTACTCAGTGTGCATGGATGCACAGGCCCAAGTATCTTCTCGCTGCCCTGCAAGGCTCGTCGATGCATAATTTCAGCGTCTTGATACCGACCCTGATCAAAGAATGACCCACCAAGTCGAATCAGATTCGCTAGCGTGGCTGGATGTTCAGGGCCCTGTCCCTTTTCCGTGGCTTGTAAAGCTCGTCGAAGCATCGTTTCGGCCTCTTTGTATTTGCCTAAAGATGCATAGCAGACGCCGATCTTGGAAAGAAGTTGTTCATGGACTTCATCATGTTTGCCGTGAGGACAACTCGAAAAAAGGGATTCCGCATGCGGGAGATACCTTCCCCAGATATGTTTGTTGTCGTATTCTGGCTTGGGATAGATATCGCTAATCCACTGAAGGAGGTCTATGCTATATTTCTCCAAGGTGCCCTTTCGGTCCATCCAAGCTCGCATAGCCAGTCGAACAAGTCGGTGAATATCATAAAGCCCAGGTTCCTCATGTTCCGTTATCAATGCATATGCTTTCAGGATGCCCACCGCTTCAGCGACATCCATTTCATCACCTTCATAGGGAATCAATGAAAGTGGAATTTCCCTCTCTCCGAGGAGACAAATGAATTCTAGATAGGTTGCAGCAGCCGGTTTATCTCGCTCGATTTGCCGAAATGAAATGATCCATGTCGTTGCAATCGGATTCTCAATTTCGGTGTAGCGGTATTGGTCCCCAAAATCCTTGCTAATTAGTCTCGCCTGTGCCTTATCGCTTGAGCGACAGAATTGAAGGTATTGTGCCACCGAAACTCCGGTTTCCCCCATGTAAGCAGCTGCCTGCTTGATAGCCAACGGGAGACAAACAAGAAGATCGAGCAAGCTTTCCACGCTTTCATGGTCATCGTGAGCAGATGCATGTAGCTTCTTCAGGAGTTCAACCGACTCCCCCTTGGTCATTTCTCCCAAGTTGATCGTATTTCTGGGAGATATATCTAACCGCTGTACCACCTGCTGGGTTCGTGTGGTGAATAAGATGGACCCTTTCAGGCTGGATGGGAGATACTCTGACAGCGCTGCCTTGCCAAAGAGGAGGTCGGGATCATCGGCATTGTCAATAATTAAAAGCCAGTTTCCGAAACTGTCCCGACTCAAGGCATCTTTGACAAGTCGCTTGACGTCATTTTTCCCGTTATTGATACCAGGAATCCCGAGCTTCTCGCCTATCTCACGGTAGGCCTTTTCAAAGGTCATGGCATCTACCGCTGGAACCCAAAAGACGGAGCAGTATTTGCGAAGACGGTACGCAGACTCCAGAGCAATTTGCGTTTTCCCTATTCCCCCCAGGCCAACAATAGCGGTTCTTTGACAGGCATCCTCATCCGAAAAGGGACTGATCTCGGTATGAAGCGGCTCCAGAACTGATTCCCGCCCGGTGAAGTCGCGGTTACGCCCAAATGGAACCATCCAGTGATGCTGAGATAATACTTCTATGAACTTAGTAAAAGATATCATCGCGGCGGTTTGTTTTGTACCTAGCTTTCGTTGTTGAATGAGGTCCGTGGAGTTCATGACCATGCCACGAATCTCGTCTGAAACGCTCAGGAAAGACCGATCATCCGGGCCTTGGAATTTGTTCAATGCCAGATGATCAGACTGCAGAGGGAACCTTTTCAAGCCCGTAATACATGCAGAAGTCTCTTCCACCACCTATAGCGTTGTTAGCAGCACGGCTGAGGTAGTGTTCACGAGGAACTGACCATCCCCTTGGCCCATCCAGGGACCCCCAACTTTCTCCCATAACTGGTTTCGCGAAGTTTAAAGAAACAACATGTCGGCAACCGTTCTTTTCGTTGCAGATTGCAAAAGGCATGTAAGCGATCAGTGAGTGCGGGATTGTCATAGGTCAGATCCTGAATAATCCCGCCATGGGATGCCATCATCGCCAATGACTGGACGGCGATGTTGGCATAGGATTGCATTTTGGACCCCCGGAAAGGTGTGCCCAGAAATATTAAGCCGACGGTGACGGAGGGCATATAGCTGAACTGATCATGGTTGTCGGCAAATAATAGCCCCTGTTCGACAAGTAACTTAGCGTGACAGATGAAAAAAGCGTCAGGAGGATGACTCCACTCCATCACTAACATGTTGGATGACATTTCCCCCTAGACTGTGCCCTATGAAGATGATCGGGCGGTTGATTCCGTTGCGGAATCGATGCACACTGTGGACCAACTCCTCCCCGCACAGTTGAAGACGCGTCTTTGGGGCATCCATGTGCCATCGCGAATCATAATTATACACCATGATCCGCGACTGTGGTATAATCCTAGGCAGCATGGTCGGGTCTTGCAACCAGTTGCAATGAGTAGGTGGTCGGGATCCTTCGTTGGGACCTTTCCAAGTCCAGGACCAATCCACATTTGAGCCGAGACCATGAACTGCAATGATGCTAAGGCCTGGAATTAGTAGGCGCCCGTCTGAATGCTTTCGTCGTACCTACTCGACTGCTATATCATCCTCACTGAGTGCAGAATACAGAATGTCAAGAGGCGGTCGGTTGTAAGGATTCTACGCCTGTCAGTAAACCGGTCTCCAATCTTCTGGCTCTTCACTAACCTTTGTCTGTTGTAGTGATCTGCTGCGTGATTTTTGGCTATTGGTGCGATCCAAGAAACGCTTTAGGCCGGATAAATAAGGCCAGAGCCAACCGCGGCCAGCGACCGCCAGTCCAATCAAGCTCACGAGAGTCAGCACAAGTTCAATTGCATAAGCTGGCAAAGAACCGGATATCCTAGCGGGAAACATGTTTGAGTTGAATCCCCTCAGGGTGAAAGTGGTAAGCTGATGCAAAGAACAGCGGATGATGGGAAGATGAAGGGACTGTGGGCGGAAGCTTTTTCCACTTCTGCTCGCTGCCTCATCTGGGGGGCGGAGCGATGTGGGTTAGGTTGATTGGTTAAGAGATGATCAATCAAGTGGCTGGATTTGATGCCCAACATGCAGCAGCTATGTCAGGTGATAAGCCAGCGCTTATCGTGCGGCAATTCACAGCCTCGTCGGGTGCACCTTGCGATTAGCGATAAGCCTTGATAGCTGGAAGAGCCAAGCTTGACAGTATTGTCAGTGGTCCAGAATTTTCAGCAAGTTAACGGGACCTGCTCGCAGGGAAGTTATCGATGATTCGAGAGCTCCTGCCTCAAGCGGTCCCTCCAACAGAGTAACTCAATAATCATCCGACCGCCGTCCGCTTGTTGGAACACTAATTAAACTTGTTTGAAGGTCCATATAGCATCCACTATGGAGAAATCCAGTCCGTGCATCGGACAGAGGTCCGTGATTCAAGTACTATTAATTAAGGACCGGGAAAGGGCTGAGGAAATCAGGTGACGTTCTTCCAGTAACCAAAAGCTTACAGACTCCATCAGTTGGGACTTTCACACAGGCATCATGATCAAAGGAAAAGCCAAGAGATATCGCTTTAACGAGACATCTCCCACCAGTGCAGTCATCTTCGAACCGCATGCACCAACCTCACCTCAAACCGGTCCCCGGTCCAGGACATCCCCGCATCGATATTCACGCTCGCCTTCTCTACCAACCCCATGAACTCATCCGCCTCCGGATGCCAATCCCAGCCCCCCTGCCGTTGATATCTTTTCCCTTGATGATCCCACACCAACAACTCCTCCCCACGAGCCCTCACCCACTCCCATGGCCTCTGCACCCGGGCTAACACCATCAAATCATCCTCCTCCTCCTCCATCTCATCCACGATCAAAACCTCACGAATATTCTCATAATGATACAACTCGAATATCCCCTTAATGGCATTCTTCTGGCTTTCCAACACCGCCTTCGGAAACGCAATCCGAGGAAAAGTTGGGGGAAAAGTTTCGTTAGTCGCGTATTCCAGTCCCGGAGCCCAAGCCACATCTACGGGCTCGCAGATGAACTCGAGGTACCGATTTTTAGGTACGTAGAGAGCGTCTGAATTTGGCTGGAAGGGCCGCATGAAGTGGAAGCCTGTCGGGGTCTGTTGGAAGCGGATGGGTCCCCTGTGCCTTTGGAGCCAGTGGTGCGCTATGGGATGGGCTTCGTGGTTGACGAGGAAGGGTGGGATATCGATGCGCATGGTGGACAGGGAGGAGTCGTTGAATATGAGGTTGAAGTGGGGGTCCGGGCCTGGGGCGTTTTCGGGGTCGAGATGGGTTTCCCAGCATCCTTTCTGGTAGATGTAGAGACCATGGTGTACGGGGGATGGGAGGGAGAAGTGCCAGATGAGGAGGCGGAGCTCGGTGGGGAGGAGAGGGAATTTAGGGAATTGGGCGGGGGTGGGCTGGGCATGGTTTGGGGTTGGTATTTTGGGGAAGACAGAGGAAGAGAAAGAGTAAGAGGACATGGAGGGGAGGGGGAGAGAGGAAAGGTGAGAGAATGGCGAAGAAGGAAGACAAGGCTGGAAACGGGTGGGGGCGGAATTGGCCGCTAAGCCTGGCCAGGTCTCGGCCCTAACCGGTCTGTATGGACGACGCGGGAAATACATTTGCCTTCTGCCTACGCGGCCATTGGGGCCAGCAGCCAGAATGGTCATCCCACCAACGGATCAGGGCGCACGGCTTCACTCGTCATTCGCAGCCGGAGTAAATCTCAACAGCTGCCCCCAAACCTCGACATTACACGACGAAGCCGTAGGATTACAAGGTGACATCGTCTCAGCGACATCCCTGTCAACTCCCACTTCATGAAACCGACCCCAAGGGAAATAACATCGAAGCTGTCTAGAACAACAGATAGGTCTCCCGAAGACATATAAGTAGAGCCCACACCCCCCCCCAAACAACCATCCACACTCCCACCAAGCCCATTCTTCTCCCCTTCATTACTACCATTTCAATACCCACCATTTCTGCACCCATAACCCTCCACCATGCTCAACTTCAAAACCCTAGCTATCGCCGCCCTTCTCCTAGCCAGTCAGGCCCTAGCTACCCGAATCACCTACTCCACCAAATACACCACCGGTAACATCGGGGACAAGGGCGGCCGTGCCACCAAGAACGCCGGAACAGTGACCGAGGAACAAGAGAAAGAGATCATCGCTAATATTGGTACTTGGTCCGACCACCACATTACGGCCCAAATCCAAGAAAAGACTGGAATCCTGTTGGTCATAAGTGAGACTGTGGAAACTAAGGGGCAGGCGGCGACCGCGAACCAGAATGCGCAGCATATCGTTAACCAGCACATTTAGGTTATGATGGTGAGTTTTGTCCGTGGAATAAAATGTACTTCGAAATGGGTGCGAGCTGACATTATGGTGGTATTTCAGGTAGTTATGTGGGTGACTTGGGGTGTTCATGTTGGTTCTGGGTGGGGGAGGGGGTATGGTAGCTGTTAATCGTTGTATGGAGTTCTCTCTGTGTAGAGTTTAAGCTCGGCCGATGTCCAGCGGGTTTGGAAATGATTGTATAGTATGTGCTTAATTTGGTGAGATGTGTGTCTGGTTTTATGTATGTGTCCAAGTATGTAGTTTAGGGACTGAAAGAGCTACTCTCTGGAGTGTACAGGGTGAAATATCCACGTAATTTATCACAAGTTCATCTCACTGAGTGCCCAGCATGTATACCGTCCCGAACAAGCTCTTGCTAGGAGTGCTTTGATTGCACTCTGTGGAGTTTGTAGCATTTTATATTCGATTGACTCCTAATGTATCCTACCTCTTGAACATCACCGCTGCTCCGAGCGGCTACAAGGCTGAGGTAAAGCAAACGACTAAAGTAGGAGGGCTTTTGATTTGAAATCAGCTTTATGGAACGCATCATAGAAGATAAATGACGAATCGCACACAGTGTGAATCATTACGTACTATTTGTTGACTTAGAGGAAGAAAAAGTGAAACAGCTCCACGCAAGTCTCAAACCCAATCCCTACACCACCTTTCCAACAACCCCCCATCGATCGGCCTTAAAGCCGCCAAAGTGGGACTAGCCATGCAAGCCCTACTCGTATCCATCGACGGGCACCATTTCCCCACCAACGACGCAAAAAAGGGAAAGATCCTAATTCGTTCTTCTTCAATACCAGCGGACAGCATCCCCGCGGGCAAGTTGCCAAGAGCCTCCACCCATTCCTTGAACCCAAGTTGCTGACTTGCTGGACCACTGGAAGCCTGAATAGCATCCGCAAGATGAGCGAACGGGATCTGACGCGGGTGAACCAGATGGAAGACGTTTGCCTGACCCCCAGCGTCATCCCTGCGAGGTCGCAGCGCAATCTCAAGCATCGCGCGCGACATCCGGTCCACGGGGACCCAGTCCACCTGCACCAGGTCAGATGGAATCAATCCTGTCGTTCGACACAGTCGTACCATTGAGTGCACCCAGTCGTGACTCTCCCAGCGTTCGGACGACCCCGCGTCGCTGCTTCCCACTACCTGACCCAATCGCAAGATGGAGATGTCGAGGTGCCATCGTGCTGCCGCGTCGGTGAGTAGGCTCTCTGCTATGTACTTGGATTGGGCGTAGCCGGTCATGGTTTCTGCAACATGAGGGACCATGAGATCTGGCCCACCCACTGGGGTTTCCGGCACAGAGGTAGGTTGCTTGCCGCCCGCCCCCTGCAGGTGACACCGCGTGTGCTGGCAAGAACCTGGCACTCGCGCAGATCCGTCTGGTTACGGCGGCTCTGATTGGAAAATACTGCATTCGATTCGCGCCTGGAACCGATAGCATGAGGAACGTGGAGAAGGCCACTCCGAAGACCGCCGACTCTTCCAACTGGTTACCACAACCTCCCCTTGTCCTGGCGTTTCCCCGGGGGAGTCTGCCTCTCGTGATAGCTCTTTTTTCCGCTACTCTCTACGTCCATAATTATTCCCCTCCCCTTTTCAACAACACGTTTGTGCGCTGGATGTTCTTCCACCAGACCTCTCACCATCGTTCCCCACCACTCACTTAGGTGTCCAACCTCGGGCATACTCTCAGAGGACTGTCATGGCACATCACTTTTGCCTGAATCGACTGCATCCTCAACCCGGCGACTTTATTGGGACGAAACCTAACGAGATCACTGTGCTTCGCTCATGTGCTCATCTAGTTTCGTGGTACAAGAGTTCAAACGACCAAGTCAAATTGATACGATCCGCCTTTGCCCGATGAGGCGTGGAAACCATTCGAATCGCTCAAGGTTACCGCATACGGCAGAAGGCCATGTCGGTTTCCCAGCTTGCGCAGCACCTTTACCCCAACGGGCAGTGGACAATCGACGATACCAAAGAGCGCGGTATCCTGGAAACCGACAACTGAAAGTTGACGCCGAGAAGCGGTTCCAATATGGCGGATAAGTACGCTCAAATCCTGATTCCGGTGGTGGGTGGGCGTGACCGCTGACCGTTAATCCAGTCCCACGGTAGCCCAAAGCTTGGTGTTTCTGTTCTACAACCTGATACTGCATCCCGCAAAAGCCGAATACATGTACAGAGAAGACTACGGCATGGACTGTGCTCAGCCCCTGCAACAGCTACCTTTTCTCAACGCCGTGACCAAGGAGAAATTGCGCCTGGACCGCGCCGTCCTCGCATTTGGGTATGGCTACATCTAGGGATCATGATTGATGTGGCCTTTACCAAGGAGCGCAACAATCGTAATCCCATTTGAGTAAGATGTTTGTTTGACTGATAGATTCGCCCTAATCAAGTCACGTTCCAAGGCATTGTGGAAACCGAGCGACATGACAGTGCAGTCCCCCCAACTCTGAGATGATATGGACCTGATTTCTCTATCACGAGACTGACTAGGGGAAGTGAACTCCGGAGATGTACTGGCACATGTCTACCAATAGCGTCCGATCCAGATGACAATTTGGAGGATATCATGGATACTCTTGGTTTCTATTTATGTATGATAAATGCTATCATGGTTTCTTTCAGCGTTGATGTCTCGTACCTGGCAACTTACGCTAAGAGTTTGTATATGGCGGACACTTCCTATTCGATCTCGCCAGGGCAGTATAATTCCCAAAGTCACCACTGATCTTCATGAACATCTACATTCACACATTCAATCAAATCCAGCATTCTATATATCAATGGAGGGAGGAAAATAGTACATACGACCACAGGGTGTGGAGAACAGGGCTTCCCGTCCGCTCAGCCGTACTTAAGCCACACGCCGGGAGGTTAGTAGTTGGGTGGGTGACCACCAGCGAATCCCTTCTGTTGTATGTTTTTTTCCTTTTTGCTGCTTTTTATCATCTATCCTTGGCTAAAGATTCCTCTCACTTCCTTGTCTTCACCCCAATCAATGTAGCTGCCTACTACCAACAATTGAACACACAGGACTAGACCACGGGTACTTTGGGGTGCCTACCAGGATAATATGGCCGTTGGACGGCCCCCAGTTACTAACCCTCAAGCAGTTCTCTGCCATCATGGATATAGTCTACGTTAAACCTTCTTTCTCATCTCAATAGAAAGTTTACTGTTCGATTTTCCTTCCCTATTAGTTGACAATCCGTCAGCTTACTTAACAGATGAATCAAGCTAATGCCAAGCTAAGCCGATCCAATTCACGGCCTGCATAAAATATTTTACCGGCCAACAAACACCCTTTCATTTTTCATTTCCATAATCTGACGTGAGATCGACCGCACTGGCACTTCCAACAGGTGATAAGCTATACCAAGCTGGTTGGAGCAATATCGCCTGAACAAGTTCGCCGCGGGGGCCAGATAACTCAGTTCTCAAGAGATTAAGTGGATTTTGGTCAGCACGGACGAACGGATGTATTCTCACCCATCGACCTCGACCCTTTGGACCCCATTCGGCGTGGTATGACACTCCACTCCAGGATTGATTACTGTGCGCGCTGCGCCCTACAAGGTTTCCCGTACAGAGTGTCTCATGGTTGTAACTGTAAGGACGTGGTTGTTGGATGTTGAGGGGCCGAAATGCGACAGAGAAAGGGAAAGAGGGGTATTGGATGGGCTTCGGAGCGAGCCTGAGATAGGCGTTTCATGTTATTGAGTATGGAAAATAATGATAGGGAGAGACTTGGGGGGCAGATCAGATTCGAGGTGTTGGGATGAGCATTCAGCCTTCTCACCACGGACTTTGACGAGAACAAACATACTATATAAGGCGTCGTCGTCGAGTAGACTTTACCTGGCTCACCAAGCACTCACTCGCTCATGAACTTTCATTTCGATCTGATCCTTAGTCGCTCATTTATAATCCTTTCTTTCCAAAAGACTCCAGCCATAGCAACAATGCTCTTCGGCAAAACACTCATTACTCTCCTGGTCAGCGCGACCATCACCGCCATCGCCGCTCCCGTGGACACCACCACCACCATCACCAACCCATTCAATGCCCTAGCCGACCGAACCAGCAAATCCCACACCACCACCTCCAATACCGGCACTTCAAGTAACCCCTTCGCCAACATCAAAGCCTCGACATCCACCTGGGAAAGGGCCGCCAAACTCTGCAAAGAAGGCTACTCGAAGCGCGACCTCGACCTCCACGTCCGCACCAACAGCTGGCCCCCAGAGACACCCTCGGGGTTCAACAAGGTCGACATGGGCGAAATCAAAGGCGCCTTGGCCCCCAAGGGTCTGTGGACGTACGGCCTGGTGACTTGCATTGGGCTGGGGGTTACAGGCACCCAGAAAGACGCAACCAAGGACGCGCGGATTCTGATGCACCTGCCGTCTACGAAGAAGTCGCTGGAGGAGAGATGGGGTGATTTGCTGAAACTGGTTGAAGAGGCTGGGATGACGGATATGGAAGGGTGGATGAGTATCCCGGACACGGAGAATCAGGTTCCGTCTGGATGGAGTGCGGACCTGAAGGAACTGACGGAGGAGGTCGCGGAGGCGGCCGAGTGGGGGCTCAAACAGGTCATTGGGAAGACTCCGAAGGTGGTGAAGAGGCCCATGGCGCTGGCGATTGCGCATACCCTGCCGCATGGGACGATGCAGATTGATAAGGAGAATAAGGTGGAGATTGATGGGGTGGAGTATACGCAGTAGGGTTTTAGTTGAGGGGATGGTGTGGTTGGAAGGGGAAGGTGGTGGTGGTTGGTTGAGTGTAGGAGGAGCAGGGCATGAGAGTTAGGGCCTTTTTTTTTTTTTCATATTTTTAGCTGGATGTTCATGTTCGGTCGTGTAGGAAGACTTTGGTTTCACATTCATTCAATGATCTTCTTGATTTCTCGGATATTAGAAAGAGTTCTGCTCTAAGTCCTGTCCCGCTTAAAGCTGAACGTTAATGGTAGCACGATTTAGGAAAAGAGAACCTATTCTTGAACCAGGTAGCTACCTAAAGACCAAACAAAGCCAATTCAGGCCAGTGGGCGCTCAAATCCAACAACCGCTTTGCCTCTGACCTGTATCCCGGCGGTTGTATCAAGCCCGAGCCACCTGCCGCCGTCGACACAGCGCCCAAGGGCTCCAGGGGAAACAGCCAGAACCCGAATGCGGGCTTCACAGCTCTCTCCATATCCTCATATTTATACTTTGGATGGTTAGCCCCAACCGGCCACTTGATATTCTTCTGCCGAAGTCTCTGAACAAACGCGGAGATAGGTTTATCTGGATCTTCAAACGGATCCGGTTCCCCCTTCCATTCACAATCCTCCTTCAACAACCAGCGCTCTGCACTTCCGCGGTCACGGACCCTATCTGAATCCCCGCGGGGAATAAACGCCAAAAGGACTCGATATTCAACAATCGATGAAGCCACATTCCACCTCCGAAGCAACCGACCCCAGTGATCGAACATGCCTCGGGGATCAAACGTCCCGACAAAGACGTGCTTCAGGTCGTCGGCAATCTCTCGGGGGTCTCGGGGCAAACGGTCAAACGACGTCGTCGAGGATGATAAAATCGGCAACGAGCGATTGAAGAACGTTTCCGACGTGAGCAGCCCGCTGTGCAAACCGACGACCTGGCGGCCCACCCGCTCGATCACCACGAACAAGACCTGACGCAGCTGCGTCAGCGTCTCGGTGAACGACCTTCGTCTTTCGGCACTGATGCTCGCGTCCGCGGGGTCTAATGCGTAGAGATCGTTCGCGTTGAGATCATTGCCGTCCATGGCTAGGTTGAGAAGGCCGATGCCCCGCGGGTCGTGCGTGTGCTTCAGTTGATGGAGGAATTCAACGAGGGTTTCCCGTACTGGGTCACTGGCGTGGATTCCTAGTATGTCGTACTCCGGGTTGAAATGGAATGTTCCTGGGGTCGTTGAGTCGAACCTGCAGTCGGTGTCGAGGCGGAATTCGCAGGGGATGTGGACGCGGTAGAACCCTAGGGCGGCTTCCCGTGACTCGCGATTGATGTGGAGTAGTTTGCTGAGTGCGGAGAGGCCGTTGATAATAACTCGGTATTTCTCTGTTGCGTGGTCCGGGGGTTTTGGATCGGGGTATCCGGCTGGGTAGATATGTATGCGGATGAGACGGGGGCGTTGCATTGCGTGCTGCCATATTTTGAGGCGAAGTTCGGTGGGCAGTAGAGGGAATGGATGAAATGTGGTTTGCTTTGCATGGGGTTGTCGAAGGAGGTTGTAGATTTGTAACTGGGGTTGGTGCGACATGTTGGTTGGTGTGTGAGATGGGTGAACTGCGATTGTTGTCTAGCCAGCGTGACTTGATAGTTCATCTAACCAGAGGTAAACCGGATGTGTGGAGAGCGGGACCTATTCCTGTATTGGTGAAATAACAGAACCTAAAGATCGGAAAGAATGCGGGAATTCTAGTGAATTAATGATTATTAGGTGACAGAATAGCTGATTAGGTACCAGGATTTGGAAGCTGACACCAAACGCCCCAATCACGTGAAAGGCTCATCATCTGACCCCGCGCACTAACCTTTATTTTCGATTTCTATTTATAGTCATTTTTCTTCTAAGGGGATGGATCTGTACCTAACTATTCTTTCTATTTGTGCGCGTGGGATGGAATATCTGATTCACAGCCTCAGCTATATACATATCAACGGGAACACCCAAAAAAGAATGTCGAAAACTTCACTTGTCTGGTTAGAGTCTACCACCTAGACCAAATTGTAAGTTTGCCAATGCCACTTCACATCATGTGTATCTTAACTCCATGTCATTGCTACATATTATGGCCCACAACATGTTAAACATAGAACGACAATGATATGGAATCATTGTCGGACTGTCGCGTCGCGGATAGATCTGGTAAGTATCTGATGGCACTTCCGAATGATCTTTAATTACTATAGGTTTATTTGCGTGATAATGTAATGATTTGATCTAGTTTGAATGGGGAAGTGACCATACTTCCTCGGAAGAAAGAAGTGAGACGCTGGTATGCGATGCGAAACCCTCTCATCTCAACAACCGATATTATACCAACCATGCATATTGTGCTCACAAACATGCCTTTGAGAAATTACCATGTGATTACAATCAATATCTGGTATTGCGCACTAACCGACGACAAACCCCCAAACAACTAAACCTCACAGAGCCACAAGCCTAATGCCCAACCATCGCCTGAAAAACAGCAGAAAACCTCTCCCCAACCGGCTTCGCAGCATCCACAATCCTCCGCATCTCCAGTATCTCATCCTCTGTCAATTCCACATCCCGCGACGCCCAGTTCTCCTCCAACCGGGAAGCCTTAGTCGTTCCCGGGATAGTAATCAACCCTTGGGCAGCAACCCAAGCCAAGGCAATCTGTGCAGTCGAGCACCCTTTCTTCGTAGCCAACTTTTTGATCTCGTCTACAATAGCCTTATTCTTGTAGAAGTTCTCGCCTTGGAATTTGGGTACTGTATTGCATAGGTCAGTCAAAAGGGTGCTTTGGTTTGGATAAGGTAACCTACCTGTACGCCGGAAATCATCAGGTGCAAAGTCATCCGGAGACTTGAACTGAAAGTCGTCAACTAGCCAGCCGTGTCCGAGCGGGCTGAAGGCGATAAAAGCGACGCCGAGTTCTTTAGCTGTGTCGATTAGACCGCTTGTCTCGTGTAGAGTTTCGAAGGCGGAGTATTCGGCCTGAACAGCGTCGATTTTGGCGACTGCGGTATATTTATCAGCATGACATGTTCGGGTGTGGGAAGTGCAGAGACGAACTGGCATTAGCCTTGCGTAAGGTTTCAGCAGAACATTCGGATAGACCTATGTATTTTGTTTTGCCGGTGCGGCGGAGTTCGTCTAGAGCGCCGATTGACTCCTCGAGAGGAGTGTCTATACATTCATTAGTCAATGATAGGGTGTTCACATTGGGTGGTTTTATACGTACTGGGATCAATTCTGTGAAGATAGTACAAATCAGGTGTAAACCCGAGTCTATCGATTGTGCCCTCAATGTATTCCTTGATGTGGCTAGCCGAGTTGGTGACTTTCCGCTGGGGTCCGAAGACGTCGAATCCGCATTTGGAGGCCACTGTGCCACGATACAGTGTCAGCCGGCGTTACAACAGAAGGAAAGGAGAGGATGGGGTGGTACTTACCGAAAAGCTTATCACGGACATCATACTTCTTGATAAATTCGCCCAACAACTTCTCATTTTCGCCACTCTTGTAGGTAACCTATCACAAAGACAATCAGAGACTGGCAGCATCGTATTCTTGAGGTTGTACTTACCGCCGTATCCCAGAATGTACAGCCGAGTTCGATTGCTTTCAAAAGAACAGGCTCGGACTGTTCGAAGTTTAGATCTGTTCCCATGGCGGCATTGAGACCCATAGCCCCAAAGCCGGGGACTGAGACCTGTTGGTCGCCGAAGGGGAGTGTCTTGACCATTTTGGCGGGCTGGTTCAGTGTATGAAGCTGGGAATGAAAAAATAAGTTCTTGAGAGTTGAAATGATTGTTCAGATGCGAGAGTGAAAATGGGGGGTGTGGAATATATATGCTGCGGCCGAGGGGAGACACATTGCCTTGATGACATCAATCAACCTACTTAGGGTTTTCGCGGAAGGGTCCTGGACCCACTTTGTCACACACCTGCATGAAGCCTAACTAGAATGGGAATGGGCAATTTCAGAGTTTGAGGAGGGTCCGTCGGGCCGCTGCAGCGTGATGACAACGACGGTTTGATTGGCGGATACAACTCTCCCCACCCCACTGATTCCAGTCCGGAGGCAGAGAAAAGCGTTGCATTTGATGACAATCCAAGGATAGGGCCGCGCTCAAAAGATTGCCGCTGAACATTGTCTCTCGTCACTCACGGAGATAGCGGGCACAGAGGGATAGCTCCGGATAACATCCAGGCGCTTAAGCTTCGGCTGACGGGGAAGCGAACATAATATCTCCAGAGTCCGGTATACTCAATATGGGCTTTCCAGGCAACAGCATTGAATCGACCCAAGGTGACTGAAAGATATCCTCCTTAGTGACTCCTAATTCCGTCTTGACTTTGTATCGGCACCTGATGCTATTACTGAGGATCAATTCGAATATTCAGAACCTGCTACAGTATCGAAAAGTGTACAAGACTTATAATATTGAACTGTATACCCAGTACATGTAGACACATCTTGCTATCAAGTGTCCTCACAAGTTCAATACCCGTTTGCTTAAACAAACTGAGACTAAGCCACCAATCCTTTCTTCAGTTGATCAAGGAAACCGAATAACAACCTTGTGCTCCCGATGATCACTATACCGTCTATAATACTCCGGCGCCTGTTCAATATCAATCACCGAGCTGACCACAAAGCTCGGAGAGGCTCGCCCAGCAGCAACCAGATCCACAAGCGGCTGCGCATGTTCCAACGGCAACACAATCCCGCTTCCCACAGTGAGAGCCTTTCCCCACAGGTTTGCAACAGAGAAAGGAACCTGAGCGGGGATCTGATCGGCAAAGGGAGCGCCCCGGGTGCTATTCTGTCCGCCGAAGTAGACACCCGCGATGGCAATTCCTCCTTGGTCGGCGGTGACTGCAAGGAGGTTCCGAGGAACGATTCCATCCTCTCGTTGTCCCGTGGCGTTAACAGCCTCGAATCCAACACAGTCCAATGCCCGGGTTACCCCGTTAGGTTCAAGGGCTAGGATCTGTTCCACGGGATCAGAACTATTGAATTGGATGGGTACGGCTCCGATGGAAGATGCCAAGGCGAGGCGATCGGGGACCTGGTCAACGGAGTAAACCCGGGAAGCACCGCGGAGGATGGCAGAGTATGCAGCCATTAGGCCTACTGGTCCGGCGCCGAAAATGGCGACGGTGTCGCCGGGTTCGAAGCCGCTGTAGCTTAGGGCTTGCCAGCCGGTGGAGAAGATATCGGAGATCATCAAGTAGTCGAGTTCTTGGGTCGTGTTTACGGAAGTGTTGGTTAGGGGAACTGGGATGAGGCTCATATCTGCGAAAGGAACACGGGCGTATTCGGCTGCGTTTATGGTATTAGTGATTGTGCGAGAGAGAAAACATGGAAAGGTAGGGGCTGCTGGGTTATACCTTGCAGACCACCATAGTCAGGAGAACCGGTGCCGAAAGACAGCGGATGCTGTTGGCCATGATGACCGTCGTGGGCGTTGTCCGGGATTATGACATAGTCACCGACCTGAAGAGAGGATACTGCGCTGCCTACCTCCGAGATATAGCCAACGGCCTCGTGGCCCAGGCCCCATGGGACATCGGAAGCGCCAGCAAAGCCGTGGTAAAAATGGAGGTCGGAGCCACAGATGGCCGAGGTGGTGACTCGAACGATTGCATCTGTTTGGTTAACGATGCTTGGGACTGGCATGTCGATCACGGACACGTTGTAGGGTTGTCCGAACCAAGCCACTGCTCGCATTGTAGCAGTGAGGGTTGAATTGAGTGGCATAGTGTAGGAGGTGGAGAAATGAAACGAGAAAAGGATTGCTGTTCAATGGCTGTTGAGCTGAGTAAATTGAAGAGGCATACCAGGGATGGCGTGTACAATTTATATCTCATTCGCAGCTCGGCCTGCCTTGGGTATAATCCAAAGAAATAATCTGCCTTGATACGAATTTCGGCCCGATTGCCATAACAGGGTTACCGATTGACTCTTCTAATTCGTCCATCATAACGCGGATGTTACTCCGCTGCGGCAGCGCTTTCGCAACTGATAAGGTTGTGTTACGAAGGAATATGCTTATGCTGATCAAGTGGAGCTGTTTATCAGATGCAGAGAGCATCTAGGTCAATCCATTATTAGTGAGGTCATACGCCAAGATTGTACTGTTGACATCCCTTATATCATGCTATTAGGCAAACAAATTCATCGTACACAGGCGACCTTGCAATCTTCTTAATCCTTGCCGGTGATGTATCTGATATTCAACAGGCTTTATGCCTCCTAAAGCACATGCGCATCATATCCGCTAACAGCGCAAACATGTCCTGCAAATCACCATCAGCAAAAACCATAGAATCCAGGAGAGCTAGTGTACTGAATAATCAGGTCTGAAATCCAAGATCAGTACTGATAGGAGCGGGAATGAGCCCACACATGCAAGCTACCTGCTCCAGACCCGCTCGTGGCGCATAAGCAACATATTCTCATGTATTTGGCCAGACGAGTTTATCTGTTATCAGAAGTTTGTACATCGTACGATATATGCCTATGGTTGAGACCAGATTTCAGGAGATCTCCTAGAGACCCACCATTACACTGTAACCCAACGCAATAGGTAGATCTTTTTTAAGTCCCAATCGATGACCTCAATGCTGACGGGCTAAGGGTGGGTCGGTTCAATGCGGAGACACCCTTATCTGTGAACCACGGTACAGCGATTAGACGCCAAAGTAAATCCTAACTCCGATGCTCATTGCAGAGGGCTTTGAGGACGACGCCGGTTACCTTTATTCCTTCTGGGGAATTCATCAATAATCATCTCGTGAGAAAAGCTTTCTTTCAGACCATAAAAATCCCACCCAACCCTACCTCAACACCCCTCCCAACACCAAATCACCCACTCTCCACCCCAATCATGAAATACACCCAACTCGGCACCAGCGGCCTCCGCGTCTCACGCATCGGGGTCGGCTGCATGAGCTACGGCAACCCAGACGGGCGTTACCCCTGGGCCATCCCCGAAGAATTTGCCCTCCCGATCCTCAACCACTGCTACACATCAGGGATCAACTTCTTCGACACCGCCAACGCCTACTCCAACGGTCTCTCCGAAGAAATCCTCGGCAAAGCCATCCGGCAATACTCCTGGCGTCGCGAGGCCATCGTCATCGCCACCAAAGTCTGGGCCCCTGTTGGCCGCAGCCTCGAACAACCCCTCGCCATGACCGACGACGAAAAAGACCAATCCGGCTACATCAATCAATACGGCCTAAGTCGGAAACACATCTTCGAGAGCGTCGACGCGAGTCTAACCCGCCTGGGCCTTCCTTACGTCGATCTACTCCAAATCCACCGCTTCGATCCCCGAACCCCCGTCAAGGAAACAATGGAGGCGCTACACGATGTTGTCAAGTCCGGGAAGGTGCGGTATATTGGTGCTTCGTCGATGTGGACGCATCAAATGCTGGAGTATCAGTATACGGCGCGGATGCATGGGTGGACGGAGTTCATCTCCATGCAGAATTTGTATAATGCTGTGTATCGTGAAGAGGAGAGGGAGATGTATCCTGCTTGTCGGAGGTTGGGGATTGGTGGGATCCCCTGGAGTCCGGTTTCGATGGGGTTTTTGACGAGGCCGTGGAGGGCGTTTGGGGATACGGTGCGGGGGGAGGGGCAGGGGGAGGGGTTTCTGGGACGGGAGTATACGGGTGCGGATAGGAGGGTTAATGAGAGGATTGAGGAGATTGCGAGTCAGAGGGGGGTGTCGATGGCGGTGGTTGCTATTGCGTGGTGTTTGGCGAAGGAGTTTATTACGGCGCCGATTCTGGGGATGAGTAGGAAGGAGAGGGTCGATGAGGCGGTTGAGGCGGTTTCGTTGGAGCTTTCGGGTGAGGAGGTGCGGAGTATTGATAATTTGTATGAGACGAAGAATGTGATAGGGCATGTTTGAATGGGATAAGAGTGGAGTGTTGCTAGTATGGGGTTTACTCTCGTTTTGGTTTGGGGAAAAAACTCAAGGTTGATGAATCTTACGACAATTACAGCTAGTCTCAGTGGGAACTTATCTTGGAAGTAAAACCTTTGCTTATAGCATAGAAAAATACATATTCATCAACCTATATCACCTGAATCTCTGATATTACCATTAAAATGGAACTAGACAACATCCTCACTGTTGGTGGACCCTCCGGCGGCCAGCGCCCAGTAGCAATTGACTCAGCATAAAACATCTCGCTTCACGATAAGGAGATGAGTGTGTTGGAGAGACTGCAGGAATTGCTGCTGGACGAGCAACAAAGGCAACGTGTCGTTGTCAACACGCATCTGTTGACAGCGATATATGCACTTTGTATTATTGCAGTCAGCTATTGCGTTTGCCAATATTTCTGCTTTGGCCCACCGTTGACTCGAAAAATCACAAGATCAGTGACGGTGAACTTTGTACTCCGATCAACGTCGTCGTCATTCTCATTACCGGAGGCTGTCTCCTCGAATAGACCGGTATCTTGATCTGGGGCGCCAATAGTAGGCCGCATAAATATACCCTCTCTGGTGACTGGGTCAATCTTGAGACCGCCATTTGATTGCAATGTGCTTCCTATCCAGTATGGATGAGCTGGGCTGTCGACATCCGCTACCCTAGCTTCATCGGAAATAGAAGTATTCTGTCCGCTTCTGCGCAAAACGGTGAACGTTGGCTGGAGCTGAAAAAGGACGTCTGGATGGGGAAGTTTTAATTCCCCTGGAGTATCACGCTTCTCGTCCTCGGTGATGGTGCTTGAGGCAGTCTTGGGGAAGAATGCTCCCACTACTACCGGAGCCATAATGTGGGATCGGGTACCGAGAATGAGAACAAGGTGTGAGGCCTGAAGATGCTCATCATTGGTTATATGCTGGATGATATGCTTCACCGACAAGCTGTTGAGCGACTCCTGGTTTGGCGAATGATAGGATGCGTCAAAGGTGACCGGGTCGATCTCTCGTCCGGCCCACACCCTCCTAGGTGCCTCGTATGGAGGGATGAGCAAGGATACTGCGCGAAGGATATTGTCCATGGACGAGTCAGGAGATAGCTCGGCCCCAATGGCTGGTATATCCGCAGGCTTGTGGGGTTGAAAAATGGCTGCCCACATCTGGTGGAAAGACGGCTCTAGATTTGGCTATCATACCCAAGCGTTAGACGTGCTACATGGCTGGGAATATCAAACTGTCCGTGCTTACCAAAATATATATTGCCAGAAGCATGCAATCGGGGGCCAAAAGACCTTGCGGTCCAGCCCGGAATGCCTGAACCAGAGCTTCAGCCAATTCGTCGTTTTGGGGACTTGAATTATCAAACGATCCATAACGGAAGTCTCCCCCCTCCTCACCCCAGGTGGGCTTATGTACTCTCAGCCTTAGAACCAAAGAGACCAAGGTGACCAAGTCGTCGCTCTTGACCTGATACTGAGGGATCCGACCCTCAAGGAGACGTTCCGCAACCCCCCTCAGCTGAGAATCGTAGGGATGGAATTTGACATGGTACGGATGAGTCGTGGCCAGAACATCCATGGCATCGTCGATGATGAATGTGGAGGGGGCGACAATCTCCGAAGCTTTGTTCACTTTATGACTCACTTTGCCGATGCTCCTAAATATGCGATTGATATTGGGCACGCAGACTCCAGGGCTGTCATGGTCACGCCAGTAAACACCTCCATAACCAAACTCATCTACTGACCCGAGGAGACTCGTGCCCCGGAGAGCGAGTAGGGTCAAGGCACGTTGAAACGCGGAAAGTTCTAGTTTCCCGCCATTGCAATTCTCGCGTGGGAATGGGTAATAAGCGTAAAAGTAAAAGCACGACCAAAGAACATCGATGGCTGGTTCCGGAAAGGTCGTGTCGGGATGGACTTTAGCGATATGGCTTTGAAGACATTCCTTCGTCCAGTCTGGGAAGCCTCATCAGAGCATGCCTGGAAGGATAATGATGTCACTTACATGGCTTCAGTGGAGGAGAGGCGCGAACACAGGATGCTTCGAAGATGATCTGTGCTCTGTAGGCCGTAGGCTGCTTCTGAACGAGGTAGCTGTTGTACAAGTCCTGGAGAACCGAGTCTGAGTGGGTCTAGTTAGGCGGATTGCTCTCTGATCTCCTGATACAATTATTGGAGACTAACCTGGAGTGGCAGTGCGAAAATATTTGTCTATCTTCTTGGCTGTATCTCCAAAGAGGATACGGTCAGTCAATTTGTTTAGAAGGCACGCCATGAGGGATGATGGGTGGGTGTAATGATGTGCCTCCCTAGTTTCCGTGGATCAGCTGCGGGAAGACGCGGATAAATAGCATGGGGGCGATGCACGTGAAATAACAGGGGGGCGATGCACGTGGGGGCGGCTGATAAGCAGTCACCGTGCCGCATTCCAGCAGGTCTGGAACCGCCCCCATCTTTAATTTCACAAAGGAGATCCTACAATCACTATGCATCCTCCACCTAGGGCTTCGAAACATATCATCTTCTATCCATCACGGTCTTCATCATAAGTTTGCTTGGGGCCTTATCGCAGCCCTGTATGTATCTCAGGAGGTTCTCAGAACAACAGACGCCCTGTCTGGCATGAGTGAACCCTGGTGTGCCAGTGATGGGATCCTCTGGTTTCATGTTGAAAACAAGCATCTTAATGCACCAACCATGAGGTTGATCATCCAATGGCGTTGTTTAGTTCAGTCCCCGTGAAGCTCTGGCCCCAATCCTTCTCACCATCCTGGCTTCGAACAATGGAACGGAACTGGATTGAGCCATGGCCCCAAATTGCCAAAGTCAACGGTCACAATCTGTGAGGAGAAGTTGCTGTGTCTCACAGTATCCTCTAAGGTGTATTTAATTATAAATACCCTGGCTGTTCTATTGATTCCTCTACCATTCAATCCAAGTCATTCATTCATTCAGTACTCAATTATTCACTCCTTAGTCTTTTTCTGTCATTCACTTATCATCTCGTCTACTTTACACACTCTTTAAAATGTGGTCCAAATCCATCTCAGCCAAAAACGGCTTCGCCTTGGTCTCATTGCTCTTGACCACCCGCATCTCGGCGGCTGCTGTACCGTCTGGTCCGGTCTCTGTCTCTGTTACGCCATCCTATGTGGCCGATGTTGCAGAGAACACACACATCTCGACCATCGGAGCAGATGGAGAGACGGCCCTCGTTCCTGTTGTGGGCGGTCCTGAGTGCTATTTCTGCCCTCAAGAAGAAGAAAACAACCAGACCATCGGTGGATGGGCCTTGCTGGGCATCAGCGGTGCAGGCACCTATCTCCCATCCGCCGTATCTGAATTCACCGAGCCGATCCCTGTCATCACCGTCTCTACCAACGGAGATCCAACCTATGTCCCCTCGAAGACTACTCGGCAGCCAGCCACCGAGGTCAAACGGGCTGAGACCCCAACCGTTTCCGACGCAAAGTATAGAATCCTGGAGGCGGCCTTGGGCAAAAGGCCGGAGGTGGGAAAGGCTTATGCTCTCAAGCAAAGTATGCCCCAGTCATTCGTCCCATCCCCCCCCATCTTTCCCAGGTATGGTTGAAAGCTAACCACACCTCCCGTTTTCTAGAGAATGTCCTAACCACCGTCCTCGGCGTTGATGTTCCCTCGCACTACCTGTTGGTCGCCGGCACTGTTAAGCAGACATACGAAAGTTTGATGGGTAGCTATGAACTGACCTTCGACGGTTATTGCTACGACATTCGCCGCACAGGTTCGAAGGATCAATATATCACCTTCAATAACCGCTGCGGCACGGCCGCAGCCACTAGTTGGTACCAGAAGGAGGATGAAGCTAAGTTTGAGCTCCTTGGTGAGATCAAAGCGAGCCTAACCCCGACCGACATCAACAATATCGGAAAGGAGGTTTCCAAAGAGATGGAAAAGAAGAATTACGGCACCTTTACGAACAATTGCCGTCATTTTGTCATGAAGTTGTATGCGAAGATTAAGGCTTGATCGGCTGCTACAGCTCGGGCTACCAGTGTACCAGGACTGCCTCATCATATTGTTTGTTGGGATACAGTCTTCGTTCCGTCGATTCTCCAGATGCCAGCGGTATATCGTTTTGGCCTACTGGTATGAACGTGACATTGTTTTATATTCTCCTTCTGTATTTAGAAAGATTGATTCTCTACGTAGTAGAGTATTTACTGTTTCATTATTACTCGGCCTTCGGTCTGCATACACCTTTGTTAGAAATTAGTGTCTGAATTTTATAGAGATTCTTTAACAGTTCTATGTGAAATCTCCTAATAATTCAATTGCCCTAGTGACGCACGGGACACTTGGATATGCACTGCCCAAAGTGCCTGGAATTGTTTAGTAGGCTGCCACAGAAGAGTATAGAGATGAATGAGTTTATGCCCGAAATATTTCCAAGGAACAAAGAGGAGAATATGGCATGAGTAACCACCAGAATGGTGGCAGCCTGGTCGGCGTGGCTGTGCAGGCTCCCTTTCCCCAGTATGCACCAATCATACTAATGTCCGCCAAACAACGACATTATCTCATACATGCACATATCGACTGTGATGAACACCATCACAGCACTGTCACAATTATTCTATACTATCGATGCACATTAGAATAACATGACCAACACGACCCAAGTCACCCAAACTGTGGGCCCATTCCAAACAGCCCCCAAGCTTGCTTGAATTTAATGGGTCAGATCGTCTAAACCCAGAACCAAACAAGCATTTCAATCCTTCAGCCACCACATCATGCAATGCCACTCAACAGTCTTCCCTTATGCAGCCTTCAGATCACCTCCCCCGCCCCACTGAAGCTTTGGCCCCAATCCTTCGAGTATACGAGCAGCACGACCGGAAGCCACCGGAAACATTACAGTAAGCACAGCCGGAAATACCCGCCGGGTTCTACTAACCCGATCGAGAAGGGGCCAGGGACAAGGCTGAAACAATGAGGTTCAGCCGTCAATCAGCCCCTGACCTGACCCATCCATCCCTCCCATCCCCGCCTCCATCCATCATCCAACCCTCATCAACTATGACATTCTTCAACAAACCCACCCAAGCACCAAACCCACCGAACCCCCAAACAAAATGGAAACTCTACCAAAAGAAACTAAAATCCCTTCGCACCACGCTCTTCCACCGCACTCCACCCAAACCCAACCCCATTGACCGCAGCCCCTTCCCCTTCCTCCGCCTCCCCCCCGAAATCCGCACCCAGATCTACCACCTCCTTCTAACAGTCCCCGACGACGGCGCCCTCTGGCTCCGCTACAGCCTCCCCCGCCAAAAATGGTGGGATGCCACTCCCTTCTGCCAGTCCCCGGGCCCACGAACCCCCCGACCACGAGTTACCCTCGGCCTGCTCCTAACCTGCCATACCATCCGCGAGGAAGCCCTCCCCATATTATTCAGAATTAACAAGGTCTGGCTGGACGCCCCACCAGGGAAATGTCTCGAGTTCTTAACCTCCCTCCCGCCCACGGTCTCGGGGGGCATCCGGGAAATGAAACTCTGGATAGACGCGTATTTAAACTGTGGCCGGGCAACGGGAAACTTACCCAGCTTTTCGCCCGAGGTGAAAGAAGAGCATAGGCTTCGTGTTGAGGATGAGTTACTCACGCCCTGGGGGGAGCTTTTTTCATGGATGCAGGGGAATTTGAGAATGTTGAAGACCCTGCACGTGTGGTTTGGGCCAGGGAGGTCCTGGCATGCGGGGAATTTGGGTGCGATATCTTTGGAGTGGCAGGGGTTTTATCGACGTGGGTGGTTGGAGAAGATTTGGGAGATGAGGCAGGTGGAATGGGTGTTGATAGAAGCGCAGTTGGAATGGTGTGAGCAGATGGAGGAGAGGGATAGGGAGTCGTTGCGTGATTTGATGGGTGATGTGCAGCTGGTGAAGGGGTTCGAGGAGGTATCGCTCGAGTGGAGTCACTTTTTCTTTTTGTCGAGTGCGTGTGAGCAGTTTCCCGAGACGAGTTTGTGTATCTCCCTGCGGCGAGGGGAGGGGTTGGGGTTGGGTGAATTGCCCGAGTATAAACCCATCTATACACTCAATGATATGATTTGTCCGAGGATTTGCGGTTTCGCGGAGCCGCAGCCGCCGCGGTCACCGAATAATTGTCGGTGAATTGTGATGAGATGGTTGTTCTTGGATAGATGTCAGGGTGGATTGGTGCTGATGTTTGTGGAATGGATTATGATGATAATTATGGCACAGTAAGATGTTTCTCTGACGCTGGATGAAGCTGGTATGGCAAGATATTGTATTCTCAGCGATACACAGATTTTATGTTCCAAGCGGCCTAAGAAGCCAAAGCTATGGACCATATGTCCCCAGTAACAAATAGCATTAGTGGTGTAGCGGTAACATTCAACCCTTCCAAGGTTGGGCTCTGGGTTCGACTCCCAGCTAATGCATCTGATAAGTTTTAATTTTTATCCTAACTTGACACATGTCATGTCCCATGGAGACGCTGGAGGATAGATACTACTTCTACTACTAGTTATCCCCCACAAGATCAGCACTACAACAATCTCCCCTCCCAACTTTGGGGTATACTTTCTAATAAAATTGATAAGCATTAAGTCAGAACACAATGAATACCTTCATGCAAAAAAAATACATAGTACCCATTCCAACGAAATGATCTAACTCGGATACGCCCAAAATATATATTGCGACCCGGTACCAATCTTGCCAGTCGCCTCTCCATCACAAAGACCTTTTGAGCATCAAAAGATATGATCGTGAAGAGGTGGTGTAACTTATGAACACAAAGATAATTAAACACAAATATACTGACTGAATCAAAACAAAAACATACAACAGAAGGGATTCGCTGGTGGTCACCCACCCAACTACTAACCTCCCGGCGTGTGGCTTAAGTACGGCTGAGCGGACGGGAAGCCCTGTTTTCCACACCCTGTGGTCGTATGTATCAGACACAACCTCTACACGAGTCAAATAACACATAGTCAACAACAAGACTGACTGTCTCCGAATATTCGATCACTTACTGCCCACTACAAACCAGACTCAACCCCCTCACTTATCCTCAGCAAACACCCTGACAATATTCGGCTTGTCGGAATTATAGTTCAAAGAATGATTACCATCAGTCCAGCAGGTCAAACAATACGTATCGCCCGATTCATCAACAAATCGGTAGTCGCGGCCAAACCCAGAGGCACCACTCTCGAGAAAGATCCAGAGAATGTAGCGATAGATTCCTGATCGGGATTCGCTGCTAACGGCCCAGTGCGTGATGCCTGTTTGGGCGGTGAAGGCGTCGGATGGCTCGAACCAGTCGTCGAAGGGCTTTACGTCCCAGTAGACGATGTGTTCGGTGAAGGTCATTGCGGTGGAGGTTGGATTGATTGTTGATAGGAGGGAAGGAGAAGGGGAAGTATGTGGGTTGGATGGCGTGAGGTTGTGTGAGAGGAGATGGAGGGGCACCATGAAGGAAATATATGTTGGAACTATTCACCTTGGAATTGTTCCACTAACCATAGAGGTATCTCTTTTGGTCTAGTTGGGAAATTCCGTCAATATATAGGAGTGGAGGTAGATATCATGATTCATTCATTATAATCACTGAGACGCTGTCATAACAGAGCATTATATGGATATCCCATCAGGCAGCACTACATGAATCTGCAGCTAGTCCCAAGATGATCAGTCTACCTGTATACAATTGATATGGAGGGAAGTACATTTCTGAGGCATTAGATAAGGCTTTTCTTGCTTATGATATTATTGGTTATTTTATCCTGAGATGGGGCCGCTTTATGACCCCACTCTTACAGCTCAGTAAAATATCTCTGAGTGGGGGGCCTGAGAGCCTGATTACCCCTTCTATCTGCCCTTGTCCACCTTAATTCAACGCATGTAGACCGGTCCTGATGGTGAAATGGCTGCTAATTAGATGGTTCTGAACTATTTATCCAAGGGTTGCTATAATAGTAACCGTGGTGGTGGCTTAGCTGCAAGGCTTGATCATGTGTATGCAAATTTATGAGGGATAGAGGTGTAGAAAAAGCTATTAAAGATATTAGAGTAGAATGATTATACGCATATGATCCAGGCAAGTTATGCAGCTCGGCTAAGCTGTGAAATTTGGATAAAGCTAGATTAGTTAGTATAGAGCATGCTCAGACGTGTTAACGTGGTTAAAGTATCTGAAATCAAAAGATATGATTGGTTGATACTCGAAATAGCTCGAAACATTAAACAATATCTATCATATAACACTTAAACAGTTGTAAAGGTATGATATTGAATATGAGTCAGTCTCTACATTAAGTACAGAAGACATGATTGTGATGGATGCTGTGGTGGTAGGAATTATACCGCGCACCTATAAACAAGATTGTATTGATATGATGAAAGTAAGTTATAGTATTTCCCTTCAAGCGGCTAGATAATTAACTGGAAATAAAAAATCCCATCTCCTTGAGATCTTCATATTATACTTGTTGAAGGATTAGTGGACTAGCCATGCTTTCCCATGTCTCGATTATTGTGCTCTGAAAATTATCCCTTTTAGTTGCTGATGGCCTCTCCGCTCTGCTGGAAGTATGCTGGCGTGCTGATGTGGCTTATAGTTGATTTATATATCAGATATTGAGTATGTTTCCATCATAAAGTTTAAAATGATCTATATTGAACTATCAGTCTATGACTGATGAACATGATATGGCATCTTGTGTATTCCTTCTTAGAGTATTTCATCAACACAGCAGACTTCGAAAGAACAATCTTTAACTTATGGTCAGATGAATCGGGGTTCTCCGAAGCAAAATCAACAAGAAGATCTATCCAATAAGTCACATATTATTCACGCTTTCTGATCTGAAGTTTTAGATAGACTTGTCTAGCCGAATCACCTGTAGAGAGGCAACCGATCTTGTTTTTATTAATAGTATAATTATTATTTCCAGTCATATTAGACATGTGGAATCTTTGCTTTATTAAAAGTTAGAAGAATCTACAAGATCTCTAAAGTATTTGGCCATGTTGCATGCAGTAAGAAGAAAGAAGACAATATCAGGCTTTAGATACTATGGTTATACCAGCTAGATTACTCAAACTTTCCGCCTACCATCTTAACAAACTGTGAGGGGGAAACCTGACTATAAGTATTATATTATATTTCACGGGGCATCTTATGGAGGAACTTTCAAATCTCCTATGAAGACTTTTAGTGAGCGGGATATATATATTACTGTAATAGCTATAAATTTCTGGTTTGAACTGGGTACTCAGTATTCTATTTATAGACTGGGTCAAAGTTCACACTAATAGACTAAAATGATATACCGCTTCTATCTGGAGAAAAGATGGAGAGAAATATCCATATCTGAATATAGTATGCCTACTGTTAAATTAATCCTTAAAGCATAAGTATGATAAAGCAGTGAAGAGAGTGCAGGACTGTAGGAGTAGCGGATATTAATATATAATATGATAATCTTTTAATAATCTATCCATGACTCATTTATTCCAGTAACACAGCCACTGATACTCTTATTACTGCGATTTGACCTTCTTATGAGGTAATGAATATCAATATTCTGATAGAGTTAATATTATTTTGCTACACGTCCCTGACAGAACCATACCTATATAAACACTCTCCTTCTATAATCACTTTAATTCTATTCTCAACACACCACATTTCACAAACACCTTCTCTTCATTGATAGTCACCATGGCAGATTCATTTTCCTCCTTAATAACTACTAAGCCTACACCAGCCACCATCCTAAACATCACATTCCATGTAATCAACCTTCTCTTCATCCCCGAACTTCTCGAGATGATACTTGTCTATCTAGATATCTACACCCTACTTCTATCCACCCGCATCTCCCGCCTCTAGAATAACCTGATTAAAAACTCCCCCACACTCCAAACCGCTTTATTCTTCACCCCCCAACACCCCAACCCAGCACCCAACCCAACACAGCAACTCCACAAACAAACCAAAAACCCCCTCTTCACTAACCTCATCTGGCCTCAATATATCACCCAATTCCTAAAAACCCGCAAATGCCCCGCTTATTGAGGCATCTGGTATCCCAACATCACCTCCCCGGAAAAAGAAACCGCCTATTTACGTCTAGAAGCCAGTTGACAAAAAATGCTCCTGCACCAACCTTCCATGTTCCAAGCATCCTTCATCCAGAGCGATCACCCCATAAAAGGCCCAGTCTATAGCTAAATCACATGGGGAAACAGCCAAGACCCCATCCAAATAAAGGATCTGGAAAACCTCATCAATGCCAGACTCATTGTCCCAGAACATGATCCGGGGCTTTTCAGAACCCAGTCCTATGATTTCTGGTTATGAGAAGATGCGTTCTGTAAATGTCCATTTGAAAGGGAGGTGTAAATCAGCATCAAGAAGTAGTTGGCTATAAGTGATTTTATTGTGCTCTTGATCCACGGTATGTTTGAGAAGTAGGCTGTGAGGCATACGGCTTAGTCAAGATAGTGTTCTGAGATTTGACAAGTGTGGAGTGAGGATACGCAGAGGGAAATGCGCCAAAAGACACAGTTTGAACTTGAGATAGAGTATAAGAAAGAGATTGATAGGTGGTTGGAAGAGATTAAGAGGGGGTTGGAAGATCTGAGCCTATTAGAACTTGCGAAGCTTTTGGGGATTCCGTATTCTTTGGTTGAGGATTTGTCTGAAGATGAGAAGTCTGAGCTTGCGGAGTTTATGAGACTGCTGGTTTTATTTGATCAGGACTGGTCTGAAGAGGAATGAGAGATGTTTAGGCATAAGAGTGCTTTTTCTGCCTGGGAAGATTATGTAAGGGGCGGAAAGAATTGTTGCTTATGAATGGGCTGTTCTGGATTGCTATCATGTTTCTGTTTATTTATGCACTGTTTATTACGGGCTTTGTTGTACTTAGCTTATTAGTTACTTGCTAAAATTTATCAGGGATCTACTAATCATGAAATGTATTGGTATTGTATTGGTAGGTTGATAGTGAGTCATGAATTCCGTCGGGGTCTATATTGGGAGAACTATTTTCTCTCTTACCAGTGATGTAGCGGGATACAGATGAATGAGAGTAACCGTGGTGCTCCTCAAAGTATTATGAATAGTGTTTAGCAAAGCCTTCTTCTCAACAGTCTATATTAGTGCAGTACGAAGCTAGAGTCCATTAATCTGACAGGTACCGGCTAGTGCTATGGGCCTGTAGAGAGCTTATTGGTTCTTGTAAAAGTAAAAATTTTGAGCCGGGGACTGTATACTTCATAACTTAATGATGCAAAAGATTGAAGCGGTTATTAATTATCATTAGACTAGTGATTGGTCTGTACCAGATTCTATGGTGATGTATTAGTATTCAAGTGGCTGAGATGAAGTTTCTGTTTTCAAGAAAGGGAACTTATCTAAAGAATACTTAAGGCTGGGTGGTACCTCATGACACTCGATGTTCAAACGCCAGAACCATTACTAGTAGATAATCCGGGATTTATGCAATTTTTGTATTTTCATTAGGACAACAGGAAGGGAACTGAGCATAAACCAGTTTTAGTAGTATTCAGGCGAGGAATGGATAAGTTGAGGGCCTTATGTTGTGTTATGGGTGATCATGTCGGCGGAGAGATTGAGTCTAAAGTCTTCATTATTGAAGTGCGCTTGCGAGTGTTGGGATATGCTAGAAGGTATTTAATAATTAAATTCAAGAATGATACAGCTTCCTGCTTCTATGAGAGCGGTTGGTTAATCTTTTGAGAAGGTGAATATCCTTCATCTCAAGAAATAAAGCGGAGGCTCAGTATGTGAGATAATACTCTGATTAGTAAGGTCTTGTCTAAATTTTGGCTTTATAACGGGTTTTGCTTGAAGGTACTGCCTTCTGTGAGTTTGGATAGAGGTAAGGGGAGATTTAAAAAGATCCAGATAATAAGAAGCATCTTGAACAGGATACAAAGTCTTCAGGACTTTTAAGAAAGATATAGTATATCAAGCTGGCTAGATAATCTGATTGACACCAGTCTATGTCTTAAAAATACTGGATTGAAGATCCTGGTTAACTCTGACACAATGTATCGAGCTGATTATAGTGCTTTGGTAGAATGAAGCCGAGATTTCAGAACAGTAAATGTTGGATATGATGAAGTATCGAGGTCTTGAGCAGATAGAGAGTGAGTAATTGAAAGATAATGCTATAAGCCAGTGAGATGGTTAGACTGAGCTGAGAGGTGTCTCAGGAATAAAGCCTTCTTTCTGACCTGGATGCCGGAGGATTTGACTGGGGAAGAGAAATGGCGGGAACAACGACGGAGCCCTTATCTGGATAGAATAGGATTTGGAGAATAATAACAAGATAGCCTACTTGGCTTTCCCTATTGCGGTGGAGCTTTGCCGCTGGGAGACTGGTAAATGTGATTAGGGTACTGATCCCCGACACCGTAGCGCCCAGGCGTATATGGGTGTGAGCTAGTTGGAGTGGAAGCCTTTTTATAATATGCCCAGGTTGTCTGAGTCAGCTGCAGTCTGGTTATTACTGCATTCTCTGTTGGGAGTTTGATTAGACACGGTGCTCTCCGTGTAGAAAAAGTGAAGAGAGGGCCTTTTATCAATCTGCCTAGGTTGTCCAAGGCGGCCGTAGCCTGGTTATTACCATATTCTCTGTTGGGGGTTTGATTAGACACGGTTACCTCCGTGTAGCAAAAGCAAAGTAAAGGGTTTTTTGACAACCTGCTCAGGTTGTCCAAGTCGGCTGTAGCCCGGTTATAACCACATTCTTTGTTGGGGGTTTGTTTATACACGGTGCTCTTCGTGTTTCAGTGATGGAGAAAGTTAATTACTTATGGGAGTATTAACTGGATCTCTCTCTATATGTGTGTTCTGGCCCGATCCTTGAGCGAGTGCGTGCTGAAAAATGGTCCAGAGAATGTTGATGATTCGCGGCTGCGAATCAAGCTGAGACCAAAACTTCACTTTGTAGTTGTAATGACGGTGTTCATCTAAATGATAGAACTTGAACTGGTCACCATCACTCAGTATGTCATGGACGCGGGGGTACTTCTTTCTGTTGTTCTTTCTTTGTTTCTGAATAAGTGCCATAGCACCAAGCAGTTGGAAAAACCCTGATGAGGTATTTTCTTTTCTCTTGGCCTTGATACAGACGAAGTTGGCTGCGGCGGCGGCAGGCGAACCGAGGAATAAGGTATAATCACTCTTGTTCTTGATGTGTGCCATGCTCTGTGAGGGCTTTATGACGGTCTTTTCAAGCTGTCTTGTATTGCATGTTCAGTTTTTCTGATTTCGGCATCTTTTGATGCGCGTTGTTGAAGGACTCTAAGACGTCGGAAAGGATAGTTAGAAGGATAAGATCTAACTGGCTGCGCGCCTTGGCTTCGTTTTCAGGAGCCCGGTTGTAAATCCTTTACAATCTTGCCAGACTGTTGACCAAGGACTCTGGAACCGGAGTTTGGCCGCTGGTCTCTGGAAAGGGTTCGGAACTCTGGTTGATGCTGAAGTAGGTTTGCAAGTCGTGCTTGGTGATCTTTTTAAGAGTGATCTTTACCACTGGTTTATCCTCCCTCGCTGTTTTGGCCGCTTGCTTGAAAATATCTCATATACTGATGTCTTCTAATACCCTCTCTTGCTTGACACGGTCGATGTATTCATGAACAATATCTCTAATTGCACGCAAGAGGTTGTATGTTAGTTTTCGGCCAGGCATCTTGGCTTTGAGAGTTAATAATTAAGTGACAGAAGTATAGAAGGATGGTAGTTTTATCATCATATCTACAAGGCGCTATATCAAATACTGAGATGGGTGGGAATGTTTTTCTGAGAAAGGAACGCTGGATCTTCCTTAGATAAGTACTGTCTGATGGGGCAGGAACGCTATGGCTGCTTGCATACAACCAAATGAACTGGGGTTTTAATATAATACTGAACGTCTTGTTTTGTAACAAAGGACACAGGTGTAGAAACTGGTAATTATAATACAGCTGCTGGAAGCCAGAATCTGGGAATATAGTCAGGGTAGAGAAAGCCTCTTAGTCCTTTCAAGAAGCCAGTGTCCCGAGATTATATCCTGCAAGGGCTATTGCTCAAGCTTATACCATCTTTTAGATTATCTTACTTTCTTTCAGTCAAGTATATAATAAAGAGAAGTCTGGATGGTGTATGACTTGAGGCAAGGAGGTTTAATTACAGTATGAAAAATACTTGTGGTGATTTAGCTTTCAGATAAAACCTCTGGTGTTCTGCAGAAGATAATGGTTGCTTTATAGCTTGATGGAGTTAATGTCTTTCTCTTTTTTTTAGTTCGCAAAGTATGCTGGATGAAAACCATGATGGTATTCTTCTAATTGTCCTCATTAACTTACGTTAGAGGGTCTTGTGCGCCAAGAAATATAATAGAATTACTAGTAGTGTCCCAATAAGGTGATAATATTATTCTAGCTAGAGAGGTGGTTCATTTGTCTATAAAAACATTAAGAAAAGATTAGAGGACATGTATAATTTGTGGATAGTAAGTCTTAGTATAGATGGATTGGCGATATAAATGATGCTCCAATTTTTGTATTGCTATAATTAAATCTATAAAATTATCAAGCATGTTTCAAGTATTTAAACCCTACTTTGGAACAGTATATCTGCAATTATACTCTCTTGCCAGGCTTTAACAGTTTATGTAGGTATATATGAATGGTAAGACATCAGTTCAAGATTGATAGTTGCTGTGAGTGATAAGTATTTTATACAGTTATCTAGATTAACATTCAGGGGGAATCAGAAGCATACATGCTAATAAAACCAGGGTCAGAACAGGAAATTAAATATTCATGCTTTGAAGCTGAGTAAATAATTTGTTATTTCTTTTCAGTCATCATATTCTTACTCCAGTTAAGTTCTAATATCTACTTATTCAAACCAGTATGTATATTTAACTCTTATATTATAGACGGCGAATCACTTAAGAGCCTTATTATCCTGATCTAGCGTCTCTTCTTACTATCAGGAGGCTCAGATCCCCTGGAAGAAATATGGGGCTTACTATTAAAATAAGACTCCGGGGTACCAGCCCATCACAAACCAGCTTGCAGATACCTTTCTATGTCTGTTGACCCATCTTTATCTAATTTATGCGCATTTAGTTCTTTCCTTATCTAAATCCAGGCTTCACGGTGCTTGTTGAAAATATCCATGAAACTGGTTGTCTTCATGATTTCGGTAATCTGATAATGATAATCTAAGAGCCTCGGGTCAGGCAATGGTATATTCTCGCAGTCTTTGGCTTGCTTGAATGTGATTATTGGATCTTTGGGTATGAGTATATGTTTGACATAGTTCAGACATCTCAGGACTTTCAACTCGTACTGATTCCGAACATCTTATACTGAAGCAGGTATGAGCGGACCGTTCTTGATATCCAAGAGGCTTGAATACTTACTGTTGGTTTAAAAGCAATTGAGAAGTTGCAGAATATAACGCGAAGATTTGACGCGAAAGCTAGTCTGTTTGCCGGGGAGTATATATGTTTTATTGAAATACTAGTTCGCGATACTCCTGGGAAATATTTGTATAGGATTTCCCAGTATGTAGTGGTATCTTCGGGTACATTCTATGTTAGATTAATATATCGACAAGATGAAAGGACCCGTGATATGTATGATGACAGAAGGTATGGTACTTTGTATTTGTAGGGCCCATACGCCAAGAGAATGATACAGGTTATCTTTATATAAGTATCAAGTATATCTTCCGTGCATTCTGTTGCATGGTAGTAATCAATATCTAAGAAGCCAGAGATATTATAACAATGATTATCTCTTTTTAGTACAGTATTATAGAAGCTCCCATGTAGGACCCAAAATCTGCTGCTCATTATGTTGATCCAGTGTGGATCTTTGATAAGAGATAAAGGCATCGTGGGGCTAAGAAGGCAAAATGCAGGCGGTGTTATATTTGTCGCTGTCATTGCTCAAATTCCGGTTATGAAACGATCGCATGTGTATAGTTTTTAATACTTACTGGGCGTGAAGAGTCCTGTAAGAAGATCTTGGTACACTGTATGAATGGCTGTATTGTTGGCGGCATCGAGGATCTTTCTAGCGAGATACTGGCGGCCATCGATTGGAAACCATGATATGCAAGACCGCAAGCAGCTTTTCAGCAGTTCTTGATTCTCTGAGTTATATTTTTCCAGGCGGCAACTGACTTGGTTCTCCAGTTCTGACCACGTAGTTTCCTCTATGTCGGTTGATAAGGACGATAGTGTTGATGAGTCTGATGGTATCGATGATTCACGACTTGAAGGTTGGTCTCTGTTGTCGCCCTTATTGTTCTGAGCTAGGCGAGGATATCGGCGGGGGCGAGGAGAAGTGTTAACGTGGCATTCTGGGATCGTACGCTTTACTGGCAGCATGTTGATTGTTGTTGAAAACAACTGATAGTGAAGGAAGTGAAGTGGGAGCCTCAAGTGGGAGAATGTCAGGCTCGTCGCCTCAGGCCAGTGCCCCAGGCAGGGTCACCGCCTATCTTTACCTTTCTGCCGGTGAAATCGGACTTATACAATATATAGATTCATGATCGCGTGGAACCTTCCCCCGGCCCGGGATTCTCGGTAACTCCCGGATTCTACGTAGTGTCAGATCATCTTATTCAAGGGCCCACGAACTCCACTGTCTGAATATATATTCTGGGGAAATCATAGCCATTCCCTTGCTCCCAGATTCCCGTCCCCTAGAACTGGCTGAAGGGGTGAGTAGTGCTGATGATAAAAGAAGACCATATTTGTGATATTCATAGACTAATCAGAAGCTTCCCTAGTATACATTACTTGAAGCATGAATATACAGTGAAGTTGTATTTTCTTGAAAAGCAAGGTAAACCCAACATGGAAAACAAGCATGTACATATATATTAGAAGCCATTAGCAATACCTATTGTATCACGTTTGCGTTTGTTCGTCACCATTGGTATGTGTTTCCTGATCACCAGCTCCGTATGAGATTATTGAACTGGTAAGAAAAATTAATTGAGTATTCTAAAGGATATTATCAAGTATTTATAAAGAACATAATCATATATGTTTAATAAGCTTTTAAGCTATTCTGCACAAGGTTGTGTAGGGAAGTCTGCTCTCCACGGTCGGTTGGGGATGGCTTAATGTCAGGCTGCAGTTGGACTGGTTGGGGTGACTGCCCACCAGAAAGCGGCATCCAAGTAGTGGGTTAGATCAGTCGAGCCATCTTCTTGTAGCTGCGCTCCACTGGGTGCGTGTCGCAGTTCATTCCAGCGATCGTAGTCTCTATCAATTACCTCTGCAAGACCAGTTGCGTGAAGGATCTCAGCCACTCGATAATGGCAATTTAAAAGTGCTGGATCAGGCAACGGTATGTCCTTGTGGCCTTCAGCTTGTGTAAAAGTGACTAACCGATCAGTGGGTATCATTTGGCGTTCATAATAGGTGGTATGTCCATATGTCTTAATCTCGTACTGGTGCTTGATATCAGTTTCCTTGAACGCGACTCTAAACTCCCCGAACGCTGCATGCAGGAGCACGTTCATTGTGAGTCCATTCTCTGGCGAATTGATGGTGTCAACTGTGAGACAAGCCCGCCTTACCCCCGGAAAGCAACGGTATAGCATCTCCCAAATGCTGGCGACGTTTTCTGGCACGCCTTTTTCTTTCCAGGACCCATATGAGAATGGTATAATATGGGCCCCATTGAGCTTGATGTCACGAACATCTTCCGGCAATCCCATCTGTTGGTGGTATTTGGAGTCTACATCACCCGAGACAACACAACGGTAATCATCCCTCTTGAACACGTTTTCAGGAAAGGACGCAATTCGGGTCTGTAGTTTATCGATAGTTGATGCGACCAGCTCTGCATTTTGTTGTCTTTTCGGAACAGGAGAAGGATCGACGGATGGTTGCCTACTTGCCGCCTTCATTGGAACAAACAGAGCTGTGTAAAAATTACGGTAGACAGCGTAAAGCATTTTGTCGGAGTCCGCGCGAAGGATGTCTCTGACCAAAGACATTTTGCCGGCCTCGGGGAACCACTTGGCGCATGACAGGAGGCAGTTAACAACATTCTCCTTCTCCTTATAATCGTAGTTATGCACGCGTTCCATCGCCTCAGCTTCTCTGTCTTTGTCCGATTCCTCCTCCATGTCAGTTGACATGCCCGAAAGCTGTCGGCCCATTGGTGCTGCCATGGTTTGTGTCCCGCCACGCGCCGCTAAACGGCTCGATCGACGGATGCTGGGAGGACGGCGGAAGGGAGCGGTGGAGTCATCATCCGGCGCCTTTCTCTTTTGTCGGGGCATGATGGTTGATGTTAGGAGAATTCAAACCCGACAAACTGGTCGAATGGGCGCAAAGAGAGAGAATGAAAAAATGAAGAGGGCTAGAAGTTTGGCTTGTGTTTGACGGTCCGATCGACGCGGTTTGGAAGGACGGCCGAAGAAGCTCTCTCTCACTTGCGGCGACCTGATGACGGATGCTCGGAATAACTAAACCCCGATAAGCTTGTGGTGGAAACCATGCCGATCTAAAACCGCTCCGAGTGGTTCCGGCCGAGCATCCTGAGAAGGGTAAAACTTGCCGAGCGGGGCCTCTTCTGCCCTACCCCAATTTACCCCAATGAATTATAACACACGCTCAGGCGAACCAAACGAAAATGTCGGAGCAGAAGCTGAGGATACCTTCGATCTCCGGTCCTGACCCCTGACGGGGACTGAATATTGGTTAGATTCCGGGTTCGGTTTCGTATGACTGACTGTGGATGGACCACGTAAGTCACATTTGTCCAAATCGTCACCTTTGATTCGGCAATGGCTTTTCTATGCTGTATACGCTGCAGAGGCAGGTCCGGGTAGTCGGAAGAAGCTGTAGAATACTCCACCCACTTTTCCCTACCGTGCCGTATATCGTGTAGAGTCCACGCAACAGGTGTCGTGGACTCGCTCAATTTGAAACCATGGATAGCAAACAGTTACCGTCAGATAAGCTTGACCTGTACTTACTCAATTATAGGGCTGGCGGTGACAAAGTTGAGTGTACATGAATCGTTTAAATATCTTTATTTGTCCTCATAAACCTGTTGTTCTCCATCATCTACTCTCATTTCCAACCGAAGAGTATCTTCCACTCATCCTCAGTACAAGTCTTTCTCTTTCACTGTACTGTCTCTCTCAATCAAGATGCTTCGTGTCGCCGCCGCCCTCGCGCTCGCGCCTACTCTATTGAGCAATGTTGCCGCCGAGCCTTTGTACAAAAAGCCTGTCAAGATCCCCGGTTATGGCTCCGTACAAGGAAAGGCGGCTGTGAACTCCAGTGTGGCCGAGTACCTGTCCAACTGGGAGAACATCTCTTTCTTCGGAGGTATTCCATTTGCTGCCGATACCTCTGGAGCCAACCGTTGGCGCGACCCTCAGCCGGCGGAGCCATGGAATTCAACCCGGAGTGCAACTGCTTTCGGCCCCATCTGTCCGATCACGTTATCGATCCTGGCCGATTACACCCAGAGCGAGGATTGCTTGAACCTCAATATCTGGACTCCTGCCACCTCGTCTGACGAGAAGCTACCGGTGGCTATCTGGAGTTATGGCGCTGGGACAGCACCGCCCCAAACCACCTATAACGGTGCAGGTGTGGCTAACCAGGGCATCATCTTTGTCAGCTACAACTACCGCAACGGAGTGTTTGGATTCATGGCACACCCTGAGCTGACTGAGACCAGCGGTCGGAATGCCTCGGGTAACTGGGGTGTCCTGGATCAGTATGCGGCGGTGAAATGGGTCCACGAGAACATCGCAGCGTTTGGTGGCGATCCGGATCATATTTCTGTCATTGGCCAGTCATTCGGCGCTGCTGCCACTTACCACATCGTGAATAGCGAACTGACCGCCGATCTGGGTATCGTGAACGCCATTTCCGAGTCCGGCGTCCGCTCTCCCAGTGACCCGAACACTGGCGTGTTTGAGTGCGCCTACACCAGCTTGGATGATGCCGAAACCATGGGCGAGGAGATTGTGTCCTCCCTGAACGTCACCTCGCTTGCCGAAGCCCGGGCCATCGACACGGAAACTCTGCTGGAATCCACCAGCGTCTACAGTTTGGAGGTGAAGCCGGTTCTGGACTACTACGCCATTGCGAGCAAGTACATCACCACGCTGGCCCAGGGAGCCGGCAACAAAGTTCCCTACATCACGGGAAACAACGCCAACGAGGATGGGGCTTCTGCCACCGTTAGTACCACAGTGTCTGCCTACGAGCAGAGTCTGAACTCGAGCTACGGCGGGTTTGGTCCCCGGTTCCTAGCCCTCTATCCGGCCGAGAACGACACCCAGGCCGGCGAGCAGGAAGACCAGATCGTCCGCGATATGTTCCGGGTTAGTAGCTGGCAGTACATGAACGGTTTCTCGAACTCTGCCAACCAGGTCGACACCTTCACCTACTACTGGAACTACGGCAGCGCCGCTCATGCTTCGGAGATCGTCTACGTGCTCAACAACCTCTGGGCGCAGGAGGGCGAGGACTACACCGACGAGGACTATTACGTTGCCAATGTGATGAGCAGCTACTGGGCCAACTTCATGAAGACCTCGAACTCCAACACCGGCGGCTCCTACGACAACGGCACCCTCCCAGCCACCTGGGAGGCCAACTCGCCCTCGAAGAACGAGACTTTCTTGGTGGGCGCTGTTTACGAGACCATGGACACTGCGTCTACGGAGCGTGTGCAGTTGATTCTAGACTACTTCGCCGCTCAGACCCCTTACTAGTGTTTGACTTGGGCCAAACCAGCGCAACTAAAGTGGACATTAGGTGCCCCTGACTCTTACTTTTCCCACCTCCTCTTTGTCTACCATGATTTCTTGTCTCTCATTAGTTCCTACGAACATATCAGAACCCATTATATAGATTATAGTCTTCCTAAATCCACTACACAATACAAGCAGAACTCGCAAATAACCCATTTACTCCTATATTCATTTCCATTTCCATTCTCGGCGTTAGAAAACCCCTCTAACATCATCCGCCTAAAACTGGCCCGACGACGACGGAACCTCCCCACCCCCGGAGATCGGACGTCATCCAGACCCCGAGATCCGTAAGGCACTGAAAACCACCCAGAATCTAATTCCCGGTCGGAGTGGAGACATGGACCCATCCAGCGGGAGAAGAAGCTGAGGTGACTCAATTCTGCTTTCCGGGTCCACATGAAAACCCCGTACTGTGAGGACACCTCCAACTGGTATTGGATCGTGAGAGTGAGTAGATTATTCTCCGGAATCACTTTGCGGTAGCTGAGTATCTCAGGGTCACATGCTTGGATTCCGGGGCATAAAGCGGTAGATAGTAGATATTTTCAGATCACGATGAGCCGTGTGAAAAAGAGTCGTTCCGTGTTGGTAGTGTTAACCTAGTAGTAGTAATGGATGCTGATTGGAGAGGCGGAATTGCTCATCCACCCCCTAAGAGAACGTGGAGTGGGCCCGTTTTAATTACCACTAAGCCCAGATGGGGCTAGTTCCGTTCCTGGTAAGGCTGGTGTCACAATTACACATGACTAACCCGCTCGGTATTAATGCCTCAGGGAACCAACCCGGCCCCTCCCTTTCTTCAACTGTCTGGCGAGAACTGCACTGGAACCAACCCGTCGTTGATTCCGTCAATACAACCTGCGACATGCCCCTGGAGCTTGACATCCAACCATCCGACGTGGACTTCCTGGAAACTCTTCAGCAGTGCAAGAACTCAGTCGTCTTCAAGGTATCGATTCATGGAAAGCTCCGTGTTATGAAGGTGGTTACGTGCATCGTGGATGTCATTCCTATGAGCTTGGCTAAGCTAAAGATCCCTTTCAGTACCACGACCGTGGTATATCAGAGTGGGATCCAGTCGATTACGAAGTCAATCTATTTCTCCGTGAATCAACCGCGTATCAGCGTCTGAAACAAAAGGGATTCTGCACGCGAGGGGTGGTCCCGGATTTCTACGGTACCCTCACCAACATCCAACCCACCTCATGGCCCAATCTGTACATGTTTGTCGATGATAAGTTGCCTCCCAACGCCATTTTTATCGAGTACATTCCAGGCATGAGCAAACTTGATCTCTCGAACTATTCCCCATCCAATGTGAACCGTCTGCGTGATATCCTGTTTGAGATGCATCAGACCAAAATGCTCCACGGGGATTCAATGCCCAGAAATATGATGATCTGCTCAGGGCAAGAGAATCGAGTGCTCTGGCTTGATTTTGACTCGGCACAGACCTTCCCAGAGGACGAGGCTCTGACGACACGCCAAGAAAGATGGGTGGCGGAAGAGGTCGAGCTGATGGATTACTTTGTGGACGGTTTAGTATGTTCTTGAGGTCTGGGACAATTTATTCCTTCACTAACTGATCATCGTACAGGCCCAGGATAATGATGAGGGGCGCCTCAATTGCACATACTCTTACTACTATGATTGGTTTGTCTGATGTTCGGTAGGCAGCTGTAGCGTGTCGAGGAAATGGTCCTCGTTTGGTCTCTTTGACTCTGCATTTCCCTGAATATAATTCTCTAATTCGCGTGGTATTTTTGGAATCCACTGAGGAAATCAAACTTGTGAGAACTTGTTTTCGCGATGGCTTTCCCACAACACCGTCGATCGAGAAGATATATATACTTATCTAGGTAGGACTTCCGTGAAACGTCCAGCTTCTGGTTTCGGTTGATCCCCAAATTAGGACACGATACAGCTACGAGAGCCCCAAAACGTGTTCCTTCCCTGAAACCTTTCCAGCCACTTGCGCACATCCTCTCCATCTCGCTCAACCCATCTCGTCTTGGTTCGAACCTCATCCAGACTCTGCTGCAACGCCTTGTCGAACCCCTCCGTGCCATTCTTGCGGAAGAAGAATTCTACTTCCTCCCGCTGCTCGTCCGTCGTGAACCTACTCGTACACAGTCCGATCACCAGCGTGAGAACTACAAGCCCGGATGACAGTCGTTGCTTGACGACGGGCCAGTTCTGCGTCATCCACCTCCATAGCCCTGAGATCCCGTTGGGATGAGTCCGCAGGGTAGTCATGGGAACCTGGATGTCTTGCAGACGTATCTCTTCGCTCAGCAGCATGGACGTGGTGCGTTCCACGAGTTGTGGGTCGCGCGCATGTCCAAGTGCTGCTAGTGCTGTAATGCGATCATCGCTTGTGGGGGCCGTGCGATACTCCTCCAGGATGATGTTGTACTCAGATTCTCCACCGTTTTGAAGAGTATATGCAAAGACCGTCGCACGCAGGTCTGGATGAATGGCAGATCGCTCGCCAGTACGGAACCCTGCGAACATCTTTTGTGCCGCCTGCTGGGCAGTTTTATCACCTATCAGCACAGCACGTTCGAAGAGTAGAGTTTTGAATTGTCGGACAACATGGCTGTCGTCATCGTCGATAGTCCAGCCGAGCTCATGTGCTTTGTCACTGACGAGGTATCTTTCGAAAGCTTGCAGAGCGCTTTGAGTCTCTGGGACGTGCACCCAGGCTGCATGCATGGCAGCGATACTTGAAAGCATCTGCTTCCACACAACAAATTTGGTTTCTGACTTGAAGGTCTTGAGCAGCGATAACACGTCAGTTGTTTGTTGGTAGCCTGCAGCCGCCAGGGCAGCCGCGTCGGCGATGAGACCGACGCGGTCTTCCACGGTAAGTGAACCTCGAGCAGCAGTCTCTCCCAGCTTCTTCAGCTGGTCGGGCGAGTAGGCTGTGCGGTAGAAGCCAATATGGTTTGCATTTAGTTTGAAGAAGCCCAGACCGCCCACAGGAAACGTCCCTTCGCGGGCCGTCAACATGAGATCGGTGGCGACGCTGTTGGTCGTCCGCAACCCCAGAGATATTGGATAGATCGTGTTATCCTCGCCGGGTTGGACGTCTCCCGTTGCCAAGAACCGTGTCTGCTTGACGTGGATTGTATCTGTGGCTGCATCTTCCGTTACTGTCAAGACGGGAAAACCCGACTCTCGCGTCCAGGCGAGCATCATCTTGCCCACGTCCTGACCACTCGCCTCCGTCAAAGCTGCCCACAGATCCTCCGTCGTTTCGTTTCCATAGGCGTGCCTACGGAGGTAAAGTCGCACTCCCTGCAAGAATACCTCCTCCCCCAGAGCGCCAGCGATCATGCGCAACACACACGCCCCCTTGGCATACGAAATATCGTCAAAGATCTGACCAATCTCGTCTCCCCCACGCAACGGAACCTGAATTGGATGTGAGCTGCGAAGCGCATCCAAGGTCAGTCCGCGCTGCAATTTCTCTGCGACGTACATCTGCCACACTCCCCATTCGGGATAAAAGGCATCACACGCATACCAGGCCATCCAGGTAGCAAAGCCCTCGTTGAGCCACAGACCTGCAATCACTGTTACTTTCACCTGTATGGTGCAAGCTCAGGTATACATACCATCCCAATACTCCATAGTGACCAGATTCCCAAACCACTGATGCGCCAACTCATGCTGCACCAACAACACAACACGCTGCTTCGATATGATGGGACTCACATCAAGATCGATTAGCAGATCCGCCTCGCGATAAATGATCAGTCCCCAATTCTCCATCGCGCCTACAAAATCCGGCACCGCGACAATGTCCATTTTGGGCAGCGGAAAAGGGCTGACAAGTTCCTCATCGTAAAAGGCGAGCGTCCGCGCCGTAAGCTCCAAGGCAAACAATCCCAATCGGTCGAGGTCAGTGCCTACCGTGGCAAAAAGACGAACAGGAATGCGGTAGATGTCCGTCTCGATGACGGTCAATTCTCCGACCAGAAACGCAACGAAGTACGTCGACATAGGAGGCGTCGTGTTGAATACAACTTCCTTCTTGGCCGGTTCGATGCTTCGTTCGGATTTGACGTCCATGTTGCTGAGGCAGGTGAGGTGGTCGGCTGCCACTAAGATCACGGCAAAGGTTGCCTTGAGTGCTGGCTCGTCGAAGCAGGGGAACGCGCGTCGGGCATCGGTCGGCTCCATTTGAGATACAGCGAGGAAGTGTTTCTTGCCATCTGGGTGTGTGAAGCTGGACCGGTAGAAGCCAGCCATGCTGTCGTTCAGCGCACCCTCGAAGCGGAGAGAGAGGCATGTTGTCTCTCCAGCCGGGAGGGGCTCAGTGAGATGGACAGTCACGGTTTGCTTGTCTTTGTTGTGTGATAGACTGGCCACTTGCAGGCTAGAAACTCCAACATCGTGGATTGCCAGATCGACTGCGTGGAGAGTAACTGAAGTAGTCTCTTCCAGCACCTCCAATCTGCAAATCAATTAGATTGAACCATTCCGAGCGACTACTCGACAAAGCAGACCTACCTAATCTTCACACTCCCGCGGAACCTGAATGCCTTCAAATCCGGCTCTAGAGTGAGGTCGTAATGAGTCGGCCGGACATTGGTCGGGAGGCGTCCTAATCCCATCATAGTGTCCATAACTGCCACTTCCGGTACGTGGTGTAAGCGCCAAAGTCCCTTCTTTCTGTCGTCAGCAACGGAGAGTCCAGCCCTAGATATAAACCCAATCGGTTCTTAGGCACCTGCATTCCATTTGATTAACTGATAAACAAACCGGCCCAGACCCCTGTCAAATCCGCAAGGCTGTCCAATTAGCGTACCCAGGCATATCAGCCCGAAGCTTATCTACAACTATTTAGTGCACTAAGTAAGCCGTAGTATTGCCATGTCCTGTTAGTAGTTACTGTGGATAAGAGAATCTTTCTGACAGCTCCATTGGTAAGCTGCTTTTGGGGTTGCTGTATATGTGAATTTATATTTGTTTCCGCTATGCGATTGACACATTAGATGTTGGGATCCCCGATGGGCTCCCATGCCGGTAGGCAACGTAGGGTCACGTGACACTCCTCCCTACACCGCTAGTTAGTCCATATAGATGGCCTACGAGGCCCCTAGCTACATCATCATCCATCTCATTCTACACGGTTGAATCGCCTTGGTAGCTACTCCAACATTAGACATCAATTCTAGAATATTATTCTCTCATTCTCATCTTTGCCCGCTTCTCGTGCAAGCGACTCCCGATTTGCCTTCATCAATTCGTCATAAGCCAGCTTGACGTCTATGTGATCATATATCCAATCCATGACTGACACCTCTGGGATAAGCTCGAGCATATCCATGATACGTCTAATATGACGTGGGAGAAAGACCTCAATCAAATTGTGAACGAATCTATAAGTCAGCCACTTTGTTGCATCCGTCCATATTTGAAACTGCTTTATCAATCGACGGTGAGAAGTGGCTTCGTCATTCTGCATCACCGTGTATTACTCATAGAGACTTACTGTCTTAAGGTCGTGGGACAGTGTGAATCCAACAATTCAGGATATAACTATTCAACGCATCTAGCCTTATAAGTGAAGCCAAGAAGATCATGGATCACCATTGACATGCTGTACTTTGCTCCTTGATCCGCACGGTCAAGAAGCTCTCTGTCTGCAGTCACCTCCACGATGAGGTCGGGGAAAAAGAGATTTTCTCGGACCACATATATAGACTTCTTCTGCGGTCGTATCTCAATCTTCTGTTTCTGAGCTTCAATAGATAGAAATAAATGGAGGCCTCATGTATGGGATCGCTGAGAAGATACTTCGAAGAATTCCTCGCTTTTAATCCAAATATCATCCTACACATCAATAACGTGTTCTAGACATACCCGACCACGGATAAACTGGATCTCTGCACTGGGAAAGTACAACGAATGGAGACCAACAAGCAACCGTGCCGCTGAGCTACCTCTCAAGATCGCATGCAACGTAGTAATATTTTCCTCTTCGACCGTGCATCGCGGAAACCCGAGACTCGTGCCAGCAGCAGTTCGTACAACAGGATGCCTTCCGGTACTGGGCCAATAATGCTTTTCATTATTCTCACTCCGCATCGACTTGCAGTGGAAACGGCTTTAATCCCGTCAGGACTTCCGGGAAATACCGGAGAGTGCAGGAGAATGCAGTAAAATACAGTAAAAGTAAAGTATAGTGACAGTCATCGGTAGCGGCCATCGGGCAAATGGTCCGCCGTAGCATTCACCAGCCCCTCTGTCCTTTGTTTTGCCACCGAAAATGTACTATGTGTCTCTTTTCATTCGACAAAAATTGTGACACTTCAATGCCTCGGATCCAGTCTCTAGCAAGCTAGGATGGTGTGATCTTTTACTGCTCCTAGCTCGTTCAATGGACACTATAAAAGTCCACTGAGAACTAGCTCAAACGAACCCCACCACTTCCCCAGCCACCCCCATCCAACGACCATGCCTCTAACTATAATCAAACAGCTTATCTCTTTCCCGTCACACACCTCCACCAGTACCTCAACCCCAACCTCTCCAATCTACCTCTTATCACGCACCAACCATAACACGTGACATCAGCCCATCCCAACTATGACTCACGTCCTCATCCAAACCATCCATAAATACACCACAGCTCTATCTCAATCCAATATTCACCTCCCTCCTCCACCCATTCCCATCCCATCCCACAATCACAGCCCCCAAAATGCAAATCCTGATCCAACCCGACCCCTTAACTCACCCCTCCACCATCTCCCTCCTAACCCTCCACCACACCTCCCTGCAATCCAAACCCCTACCCTCCACCTCCTCCTCCAATCGCACCAACCCACCATCCTGCTACGTCCTCCCCCTAACCACCCTCCAAACGGACCCCACCATCACCGTCTTCACAGCCTGGAACCCCACCACCAACGAACTCCTCGGCTGCGGCGCCCTGAAAGAACTTTCCCCCACAGAAGCAGAACTCAAATCCATGAGAACAGTCACTGCGCATCTCCGGAAGGGTGTTGCGCGTGCCATTGCGGAACATATTCTAGATGTTGCGAAACAAAGAGGGTATAAATGGGTGGGGTTGGGGACGGGCGGGGATGAGAGCTTTGAGGGTGCGAGGAGATTGTATCACAGCTTGGGGTTTCGGGCGTGTGAGCCGTTTGGGGAGTATGTGGAGTGGGCGGGGGGATGGGTGGGTGGGGGAGGTTTATGGGGGTGGAGTTGTGAGATTGATTTTGGAGATTTGAGCGGGGGTGGTTAATGTTATAGGGTTAGAGGGATAGGGGATTGATGTTTGTTGTTGTTAAATGGGGGAAGTTTGAGTATCTAAACTGGATGGGTATGTTAATTCCTGGGATATGGGTGAAGTTTATGATTCTATCTCTATATGGGATTGATCTTGGCATTAAAGTGATAAATACGCGGATATATTTAATTCTTTATAAAATGCGACACACCATGGGCACATATTACAGGACTGTTCAGAGATCGCGAGGATATGGGGGTTCTTAAGATATTACTACCGGGCCGGGTAGGGGCAGTAGTTAGGGCAATCTAGGTCACACTAATCTCAATAGACACGATTGACATTTGACATCTACCAACAACAGCTTCTAAACTGTAAAAGTAAAAAATGAAAGGAAGGCATAAAAACATACAACAGAAGGGATTCGCTGGTGGTCACCCACCCAACTACTAACCTCCCGGCGTGTGGCTTAAGTACGGCTGAGCGGACGGGAAGCCCTGTTTTCCACACCCTATGGTCGTATGTGCTAAATACAGTCTGTTCTTATCCTATATACTCGTTTACGCGAGTGTGATTTGTCACTTCTTAGCGACGAAAGGGAGTCAATCAACCTGATGAAGTTGTGTAACAATACAGGTCTGACGGAGCCAGTTTAGTGGTGACAGCTTTAGGACAGGTGCTTGGCTACAATAACATTCAAAAATAGCGGCAGTGCTAGACATTTAATTCACTATGGACAAATCATATCAATGAAAACCCCCAATCTTGCTCAAGAAACAAACTGGTAGAGCATCAATTACCAGAATCCTCAACAGCTGGCTTAAGCGGCGCCAGCGGAGAGACCCAATCAAAAGTCCCCAGATGCTTGGTCCACCACACATCACCAGGCCCATTGGCCATTCTCGGGGTGCTATTATCAAACAACGACCCACTAAGAAAGGTATGAGGAAAGCCATAATCGAACCCATATGCCTCTTCAATCTTCACCATCTCCGCATCAGTCAACGCAACCTTCAAACCCTCAATACTCCCCTTGAGATGCTCCACCTTCCTCCCACCCACAATAGGAAACACATAAGGCGCCTTATGCATCACATACGCCAACGCAACATGAAGCAAATCAACCCCTTTTGTACCCGCAACATCCTCCAACACCTTCGACACCCGCCTATCATGTTCCGAAGTAGGAATAAAATTCCTCCCCGGATTATCCTCCTCACGCTCCTTAAACCCGGCCTCGGTGCGAAACCGCCCCTGATTCAACACTCCATACGGACACAACGCCATCCCTTCATCCCGACACATAGGAATAATCTCCCTCTCAAAATCCCTCATCCCAGCATTCCACATCCCCTGATACACCGCAAACTGCCGCATTCCATGATCACGAGCATATTGATTCGCCTTGGAGACAACCCACGCCGGGGTATCCGAAATACCCAAATACACGACCTTCCCCGCCTTCACTAGATCATCGAGCGCGTGCATCAACTCCGGGATCGAGGTCGTATAATCCCACAAATGCACGTAGAGCAAGTCAATATAGGTAGTTTGGAGCTTGCGCAACGAGTGTTCCACGCTGACTTTCATGGACTTGGCGCCTGTTCCTCCGTAATTCGACTGGATCTTGTCCTTATGGTGACCCATATAGCCTATTGTGTATTTGGTGGCGAGAACAATCTCGTCTCGGTTATCGCGGGCAGTCATCCATTCACCAAGCAGAATCTCGGATTGGCCTGCTTGGTAGCCGCTGGCCGTGTCGATGAAATTGCCCCCTTGGCTGACGAAATAGTCGAGTATCTCGAAGGCGTCTTCGCGGGTGCAGTCGCCGTAGCGGGCTTGCTGGACGTTGCCGAAGGTCATGGTACCGAGGCATAGTGGGGATACGCGGACGGAGGCGGATGGTGCGAGTTGGCGATGACGGAACAAGGGGGACTGAGTGGCGCTCATTTTGAGTAGCTTTGACTTGTTTGGAGGTGGGACTGGTGGATGGTGTGGTATGAGATGCTCAGCTGCTATGATTTTCATCTCAATCATATATACTATTCTCGACACACATATAGTCCAGGCCTATGCAGTATGCCAACATAGAATCCGGAGATAAGGAGAATAATGCCGGATGACAAGGCGGATCATTGTCGGAGATCGACTGGATCCACTGGTCAGCCACGGGCTTGAAACCTAAGTCCGGATGTGACCATGTGGCACGATTTTCGTATAGGTTTGTTTGAAAAATGGCTAAGCAGGGGTTTGGGACATACAATGTAAGAGCCTGTAGAGTATTCTATGTTAAAAGGTTCTCTTCTATTAGCTGAGTTAGGGTCGTACGTGGTGATGTGAAGTCCTGTTTCTTGTCAGGCCGGTCTTGGCGCCAAGGACTAGTCGTTCTTCACTCTGTAGGAAAGAATCCAAGGGGGGGGGGGGGCGATTACAGTGCCCTGTTGCCAATTAGCATCGAGCGGGAGAATGTTAGAGACAGGGCTACCATGGCTTACACGGCATTTAGAGAAGCATTCAAGTTCGGGCCACGGGATATCCCTGCTCGGGCGGAGGACAGGGCGTTTTCAGAGCGGATATGCACTATTTTCAAAGATTTGCTGGCAGCTGGAAAAATCAAGGTCCACCCTCCTAGGGTTGGCGATGGTGGATTGGGCGGGGTCTTGGGAGGTCTTTAGCTGTTGAAGGAGGGAAGGGTTAGTGGGGAGAAGCTTGTGTATAATAGTATTGCGGATACTCCGTGAGCGTCAGAATTCTTCTAGATAGTTACATATGCCAGTGAATATTTCTTCTAAGCAGTCAACTTCAACTCTGAGATCAACGCTTAGTCCTTTTCAAACACCGTCGAACGGCAAGATGTCGTCTTTTCCTAGTGACAAAAATGAAGCCCGCCGGAAGGCAAATACAACGCTGTACTTTACATATGTATCAAAACCCCCATCCAACTCATGGCTTTAAAAAGTTACACCGATTTCCATTGAAGCTGGTTGGCAGCCAATGATACTGCGGGAGCTCTCCGACAAGTTACCCTCCCAGTACTATTTATTCCTTTAAAAACTTGGACACAGTAAATAAGATGGGTAGGTTTTTGCTAGATGATGAGTATTTGGGTTGTGGGGTGTATATGTGGATTTATTGCAACAGCCCTGCTCTAACAATCATTTATGGGAAAATATCTGAACCTCGGTCCCAATTAGCGCAAGGGTCAAACCAACCCATACATGAGCCCGGGAACAATAAAAGACAAGAAGAGCTTCCCGTTTCCCGCGACCGCCTTTATACAGCACGCGTTCTAACCGCGTTAGTGTTTCATCAACCCGCAGAGGACATGGATCCTCCACTGAACACCACAGAAGCTATTGCGCTTCCATTGAATCAGAGGTCTTCGCGCCTCGCCCCTTACTATTGATTCATATCAATACCACATGCCGCTACCTGGATCCTCGTGTGAACCTAGGGGGGCTGTCGATCTGAGCGTGCATGCAGGGTGACCTGCTAATTGGGACGGAGGCTTTTTTGCCCATACAAATTGTTAACGTCTACCATGCCTACAGCGGTTTATCCTATGGTGTGTTTAATTATGAGCTTGTTTGAGATCCTGTTCTCAATACTCTAAATCTAAATAAAGTTTCAGCCATTCGCCAAACGCCCCTCATGTCGCATTCCCATCCAAATTACCCCCCTACTCAACTGTAATTCGACTCGTAACCATAATCCCCTTTGCAGTCGGTGGGGGTCTCGAAACAATATCCATCTCCGCCACGGAAACTAATTCCATCGCTTCTTCATCTCCCAGTGAGGACTGATCCCGGTACTTGTTGTGGGTCCACCGGGCTCCGCTCCCCTCCATACTAGTGCCTGTCAACGAAGCATCATTGCTATTACCCTTCGCTCGCTGGTGAAGCTTCCTCCACAGAAACTTGACGAGAGGTTGGTATGAAATCATACACGCGGCGATGATGTACATGCCAATCTCGACGGCAGCCCAGATGACTAATAGCGCGCCGGTCCAGGTGTTATCGGTGGTGGCATTGGTGGTGAAGAATTCGAAGAGGGATATGATGCTAGCGACGAGGCCACTGGTATTGTCAGAGTGTGTACTCAAGGGGCTATAAATTGAGACAAGGCAGAAAAGAGAAAACGGGGACACGCACCAACTTCCCATAGCACAAGTTATAAATAACCCGACCTTTAATCGCTTCGGAGCCTGCAAGTGAATCACATGCGGAATGGGAAAACATAGTACTACAACATCGGAGACGATGTTGACGAAACGGAGATAACGGAGCAAATTGTTCACATCGAAACAGTGACCATGGACTTTGTCATCCCAGAAGGCGCGGAGAGGAATGCAGAGGGCGGAGGTGGCCCCCGCGAACGCAATCACATTGCAGATGATCAGCGTGCCGGTAACGTAGCAAATGATGCGAGGCACCCGTTGTCTGGTGAAGATGGAAAGATATAGACTCAAAACGGAGAGTTTGGGGAAGGCGGTGCCGAGGAGATAGAGATAGACGAAACCGAGGAGGTATTTGGCCCAACTTTCCAACATCTCGTCACTGACGCGGGCTTCATGTAGGCCGAGGCCACTGTTGACAATATCGCCTAGAAACGGTTAGATAGGATGTTTGGTGGGCGAATTGCTTGTTAGGTATATGGTAGATACCTATCCCGATCCCGATGAAGCACATGAATATTGCCCATCCCACTAAAATCAAGACACACTCGCGACGAAAGCCAACGCCGCCAATGTAGCGGGAGACGAAGCGAAGAATAACGGCTAGGGTGCTGAGAACGGTAAAGGTGATTAAGATAGCGTATAGTTTAGGTTGTCTTGTCTGTTCGAGGTAGGCACTGTATCTCCGGTCAAGGGAGGTCATGATGAATCGCCATAAATGGTGATAGGGCCGGAAGGAGCGCTCGGTGCTCCTTCGCGGAGTGCACGGAAACGGGGATATATAGCTGGGTGTTTAATGCTACAGCCCTAGGCAAACTGCACATGATGGATAACGGAACATCCATAACTAAATCGGATCTGAGAACGATCGTTGCTAGGAAGCTAGGTACCAGGGGCATGTTCAAATAGCGCGTAACAAGATTCGATCAGACGGGGCGATGATTCGACAGAAGGAAATTTTAACCAATAGTCCATTGCCGAACGCGGGAAATTCGAGGGCGGGGTGGTCAACCGGAATATTTAGCTAAACTATGGATAGGGATGGGCTGCAGGATGTGCTGACCAACGCTCTGCACCAAAACCCGCACTTCTCGTTGGATCGGACACAGCAAACAAGCCCGCGCAAACCAAGACACTCAGGGGCCATTTTGAATTTGTTCTTCTTTGTTTCGCCTTGCCTAGAAAGTTTCTAGAAGGATCGCTCGGAACTATTGAATTTACACGACAAAAGAGATCAAAGAGAGTGCAGAGTTTTCTTAGTCTATGGCTGCAACATTATGACCGAATGTGTCTGGATGCATTTCGCGCAGTATGGTGCATAAGTTCGCCATAGCCACTGTCACCATGACCCACTTCCCCTCTTTCTGTCTCCCTAAGCTCTCTGTCAAAGACTTCTATTACCGGACAACAGTTCGGCATGGGGGCGTAAGCACTAATCGTACCGGACACCCCTATCTGCTGCTTCTCCCATTGGCCATCCGTTATCTGCTCTTCATGGCTTCCAGGGCTTAAACTGCAAACAAAGAATGGAGCCTTGGCTGCCCACCAGATGTCCTCCACGTCGACCTGGTCAGTCGGTAATTACCGCCCTACATACGGTGAATGCAGAGCCCCTTATACTTCGTTAGAAAAAGCTCCTATCAATATTATTGCGTCATGATCATCAAGCGTGGCAGTCTTCTTTGTTCCCTCACGAAATAGTGACATTGCCCCGCCTACTATTAGACCAGAGACGGTAGGTATATCTTGTCTTTCGTGACCCAAGCTTTATCTCAAACCCTATTCCCTATCGCGCTCCGTACATCCGAACCCTTTCCGCTTCCCCTGCTGCATCTAGCCCGACCTCTGCACGTACACTGCAACATGATACCTCCATCTACCGACGAATACGTCTTCAACAGAAGCTATCTGGACAATTCCCGGCTAGTTCTCACTTCATTTCAAACCACCACGCATCATTCTAATCCCCCTAAGGATCAATCTTCAGCATTACTGCATCTGCCAAGTCTTTGGCTACCACATCCACCCCTCCATCCCTACAACCCCAACCATGAGAATCGCCGACGTAGGCACCGGCACCAGGTACGTCCTCAACCCACAACAAACAACCCCAGCAACTCACCAATAATCCAGAATCCGGCTCACCGACCTGGCCGACAAGCTCCCCAAGTTCGTCCGTCTAGATGGTCTAGACATCTCCTTCGATGCCTGTCCCGCTCGGGAATGGCTCCCACCCAACATGACCTGCATCACTGGAACATCAAATAAGAAGTACTTGACCACCTGATTGGCGCGTACGATCTAGTCCCGTCAGCGTCCGGCACTTTGCCTTCGTCCTTTAAGAATCCGAGTTACAGAACGCCGTGAATTATTTATTCCGCTTATTCAGTCAGTACCCCCGTCCCCTCCCCCACCTCCCATTACCATCCACCCCTAACCCCAGCCCCACCAACAGAACCAAACGGCCACCTCCAATAAACCAACATAAACATCACCCCCAAACGCATCGAATAAGTCCGACCACAGCCCCCCCAAGAACGAATCATGAACCTCTTCCGACACAAGGCTGCAATCAGCATGGGTTCCCACCCTGGGTGATCGATTCTCCGAAGCCGGACTAATCAACATCGTAGTCGATAAAACAAACACGCCACATTATATTGGCCAACATCTTTGCGAAAGTGGGTTCTTGGCTGTGGAGGCTCTCACGAGAAATAGGGATCTCGATAACGAGAAATCGAAAGAGGTTTGGGAACCGTTTAGGGGTTCGGCTAGGGCTACGAGGGAGGGGTCGTATGCGGGGCTTAGCAGGTATACGGTTGTTGGGCGGAGGTCGGTGGGGATGGAAAGAGGTCAGGGGTACTGGATTTCATGGATTGTGGATGTAGGTTGTAGTCTGTTGTGTTGAGGAAGGACACTACGTAGTAGTGGTAGTACTTCAACTGTTCATCGCATCCAGACCCGCGAGTATACCAGTACCAAACCGATCGATAGCTGCCCACTCACGGAATAGCGTGCATGCACTACATAAAACAAACCAAACCCAATCAACAAACACATTTTCCTTCAATCACCAACCCTCATTCCTCACAATTCTATCAATAGTATCAACCCGGGTGGCCTAATCAATCTATAACAGATGAAGACCCGTCCCGGACGCCTAACCTAACCCAACTCGATGACTCGCATCCATCCATAAGGCTTAACCCACTGCATCTTCCAGCTCCTCACGACCCAAACCCCAAACGGAAACCAATCACTCGGTCCGGGACGCCTAATCAGTGCATGGACCACTTAGCGGTCTCTTCCGAGCCGAAGAGTGGAGTCCTGCGATAATACTACAACGGAGTAGGTTCAACTTACGCACGTCGACCAGAATATCCCGATAAGCATCGCCACGGGGTATGGTTTGGCCCCTGGCCCCATCAAGATGAGTAGCAAACACGGAGAAGCTCGGTATGATCGATGGCTAGGCCCTGCCAGTCAACCAGCCAGTTGGTGAGATTCTCGGTGTTGGGATGCCGGATCCCGTGGGTGAGGATCAGTAACCTTTGCGGGCTGGTTTCATCTGTTTGGGGATTGGACCTATAATTATGGTTAGTTTATGTTGGAGCAAGGAACGGATGTGGTCTGGGGTAGGTTCGTTAGGATTTCTCGTAGAAACTAGAAAGGGTGCCGTGGGGCGTATGAGTAGCAACTAGGAACACTGAAAGTGGGACGGTAACGGGTGAAGATACTACTAATACAGTAATACTACTAGTAATAGTACTAAGGAAAAATACTACTATGTGGGACGGACTGTGGGTGAGGATCGGATCGGATACTACCTACTGGGGCTTCTTAATCTCCGGCCCGGCCCTCGGCGGTCGGGTATCGGGTTGACGGGACCGGACCCATACACTAGTACCGGTTTCGGGAATTATTCCGCTTAGCTGTTTTGTGACTTTACCAGATAAGGCATACTTGTTGCTCTTCTGGTGGGGTGGTAGTTGTCGTAGTGATTGTGAGTATGAGGCTGTGTAGGGTGTCTATTGTAACAACGGTGGTAGGGGAGGGGGGAAGGATATGGAACAATATGCATTGTCCTAGGCGGTGGCTTAGCGATGGATTGAATAATGTGGTACCGGGGTTTGTTTGTATGGGGGTTGATTTGTCCGATTAGCTGGGGTCGGGCTGATGCTTGGTTTCAGTTGTCGACGGGGTAAGTAATCTGGGTGATGCACTTAGGGTAATGATGAACGGTCGCATATCATTACCACCGTTACCTTTTTGCCTAAAGAACGCGAAAATATGTTTGAGATGTGTTAGGGTATAATTCTCAAGCTATAGGAATACTTTGAAGCAGCATTTGATGCTTTAACTAGAGTCATCATTCTGCAGTAATTTTCTCATCTGGCATATTTATATAGCTTTTGGCATCAATAGGGAGGTTTTACCAATGTCAGTACGGTGTTGATAGGATTTATAGCTGCCTCACATCCGGCGTCTTACTGTTTAGTTGGCGACCTCTCCGTATCTTGATTTATATATTTCCCTGATGTATCATTCCTCAGGCTACATATCATACACGCGTCTCTACATATACTTGTGTAATGCACGTTCAAATAATCATCATAATGGGTTTCATGACATCGTGATCAAAGTCATGAATCTATCGTCTATCTATCACATAAGCCAGTCCTCCCACATAGAAAGGCTTAGACGGCGTGATTGGCCGAGGTCATCATGTTCAACCCTCCCACACAATCTCAATAATACCCTCACTCTCGTTTGGCACCAACATCTGTGCAATCTTGAAGCGAGGGTCGGCCTGCTCGATGACCTTTTTCCAGTCCTGGGACTCTCGTTCGTAGGCATTGCACAGAGTCAACATGCACATGTCCATCTCCCTGGCAAGCCCATAGTCAGTATGCGGATTACATTACGTTGGTAGCAAGGGTCCGCTTGACTTACCGAAGTCGCTGCTCCTTCAAGTGCGAGAGCACACCCGGCGGCGGCGCAATATAATCGTTGATGATAATCCTAGCTCCCTTATGTAAAGCTGGAATCAAGGCCTTGAGGATGCGAATTGTGTTCGCATCCGACCAGTTGTGAAAGACATGGCGAATAATGTATGCGTCCGCGTGGATCGGCTGCGTCTTGAAAAAGTCGTGCGCGACAAAGTCGACTCGGTCGGCGATCTCCGACGGGATCTCCTCCTTGGCTCCCTCGATCATCGACGGGATATCCTGCACGATTACCTTGAGGTTTGGTACGGATTGTGCGAGCGCAGTAGCCGTCACACCTCGTGATCCACCCACGTCGACTACCGTGGCTTGGGATCCGTTCTTGAGAGAAGACCATGGGTAGCTGTTGACTAGGACGGTGTTGGATCGGCCTCCGATCTCGGTCTCGTAGGCCATGGTGCTGAAGAATCGTCGGGCTTGTTCGGGGTGTGTGTTGTAGTAGTCCCAGGGAGAATCGGTGGTTTGGTGGTAGAGGTTCCATCCCTATTTACCGAGAGGTCATTAAAAGGGTGTATTGTAGATGGGGGGGTTTTCACTCACGGTCTGGTTTGGCTCTTCTTGTCCGTTAAACTCTTCAATTGCACGGAGTGTCTGAAGGTGAGGTGTCAGTCTGATTAGTTCCCGAGATGCAAGAGAATACCTACCAAAGCAAACGAAGGACCCGCTTCATCAGCATAGTGAGACAAGACGTCTTGGATGACTTTGTTCTCTGCCAAGAATCGTGAGGCAGCAGTATGTGCCACGTAACCCTGACGCGGCTCGCAGAAGACTTTGTGGAAGAACATGGCGTAGCGGAGGAATCGGCGGACATTGACTTCACTCAGCCCACATTTCTGGGCCAGGTCGGCAAAGGAGATTTGACCGTGGACGGGAACTTTGGTGGCGATGTCATATTTGGAGATCGCTTGGAGACTGATGATGTTTGGCTGTTGTATGACGGGTCAGTAATGGCCTGCGGTGTGTCCATTTCGGAAGGACTGGAAAGTAGATGTTATCAAGGGATTCGACTCACGAGGGGGTGGTAAAATTGTGACGGGCCTTGGAGAAGTCGTTGGAGTTCCATGGAGTAATGAATGACTTCTTCCTGGGCCTTTTTGATCTCCTCGTCCTTGATGCCGAAGTCGACAGGCCCGTCCTCATCAAACGACGGAGAGGGAAGTCCATGGCTGCGTAGATAGGCATCAACTTTGGCGGTATTCTCACTAATCCGAGCCGCCAGCTCGGTCATTCTGGAGGTGTTGGCAGCCATGGTGTTTGATGTGAGGAATAAGGAAGTGGGTGAGCTGATGGGATGAGGCTGGAGAGGAAAGGCTTCCTTCACCCCCTGGGACTTCGGCTCCTAAATAGAACAGACTGCGCTGACACTGAGATGCTGATTGAGTATATTTGGTCTAACCGAGAATACTCTGCGAAGCTGCAGCTGTTTCGATGATCTCCAATGTCGGATTCCCCCATGACTAGAGCAAGAATCCCGGAAGGGATGGCAACAGCAAGGGATTCGGCAAGACCACAGCGGTAAGGGTGTGTGGCTGAATAAACTGCGCCAGATAGCTACCTACATAGGACGATCTCTTATCTTTCTCTAATAGTGAAGATAGCATGCGTACATGCAAGGCACTCGCTCGTGTTGAATCAATCTGGAATGAACGAGGGTCTTGTAATAATCCCCTACGCCAGCTGAGCTGCCGATCGCGCGGATTTTGATGGGGTGCGGGAAGTGGGTCTGCGGAAGGGGCGGTGAAAAATACTAACCAATCAAGCACGGGCTTAAATCAAGGATCCCGATCGATGGGACTCCGTTTGCGGAGGAAACCCTAGATAGTAATTGTGACAACCCTCCATTTATATTTTGGTTATATACTCCGTACGCTGGCGATGCGAGGAACAATCAATTACGCATTTCCAACCTAGACCGACACAGTCAGGCAGGTTGTCTTTGCAGCTTTGGGCATGGGCAGATCGCAGATGGCCGACATGACAATGGCTGGCTGGTGTCAATCGAAGCTGATCTGCATTGCGGCATGCAGGGAGGTCACATTCCGAGTCAATGCTACTTGGCCCAGTAACGTCGTCATCTACGGGCGCGCCAGCCACCTTGCCATCAAAGTTACCGGTACTTGACACCCAAAGGTGTCAAATTCAAGAGTTAATCACTACAAGAGATGGACAGCTTGATACAATTAAATGTATCTCTATTGATCATTGGGGTGTAAACCACCACCATTGTTCGTTGGTTGAATGCATCCATTCACAGGCATGTTTGGAGTGGTACCACTGTGGCGCAGCCGTCAGTTACGTGAACCTGCTTCCATGACGCAAGCGGCTGGGCAAAAAGGTCAAATAAGCCGTAGTGCCTGTCGGTCAGCCGCCTCATCCATGTCTCAACACTGCCATCTACTACCACAAACGATTTAAATATCACGGAGATAATTTCTACCATGGTCCAAAACGTGATCGTCTTGGGAGTAAGTTCGCTTCTTCCATCCGAAGCCGTCAATAAATTGTGCTGAATGTTTCTTCACAGGCATCTGGCGCCCTCGGCTCAGTGGTCCTGAATGCCTTGGCTGATTCCGGCTTCACCGTTTCAGCTCTCGTGCGCTCTTCATCCAAAGCCACATTTCCCCCTGGTATTCCTGTTCACCGGGTGGATTACGACGACTTGCAAGCCCTTACTGCGGCTTTCCAGGGACAAGATGCGGTGGTTTCCACCATCACCACAGCCCACGTGGACGCGCAGCGGGTGGCTGTGGATGCCGCAGTGGCGGCCAAGGTGCAGCGCTTCATTCCTAGCGAGTATGGCGGCGATTCGTCGAATCCAGATCGCGTTGATGTCGGAGTTTTCCAGTCTAACAAACGACGGATTGTTGAGTATCTGGAGAGCAAAGAGAAGGACGGCTTGACCTGGACTGCCATTTGCACGGGCAGCTGGCTGCATTGGGTATACTCCCTGGTATTAAAGAGGACAAACGGGATTGCTAACGGATGCAGAACCTTGAACTTGACAGTGCAGAATTAGGTTGGGATCTTCCGGGACGGCAAGTGACTATCTACGACGGTGGAGAACCCAAGGTCGATCTTTGTACTCTGGAGCAGGTATCGCGCTCCATCATTTCTACTCTCCGCCATCTGGAAGAGACAGAGAATGAATACGTCTATGTCAAGTCATTCTCTGCGAATCAGAATGAACTACTCCCACTTGTCGAGCGGCTGTCGGGTCAGAAGTTCAAGGTTCACCATTGCAGTTCGGAGGAACGGGCTTCGACTGGGATGAAGGAACTGAAGGAGGGAAAGCAGGAGTCCATGTACAAGGTTATCGCGGCCACTGCGTATGGGCCGTGGGGGATCGGGCAGTTTGGCAACAAGCCTGACAAGTGGATGAAGGTGCTTGAGCTGCCCACTGATGAAGACTTGGAGGCTGCGGTTCGCGCTTCTTTGAAGAGAAAGGGATTGGTTTAGACCCTATTCATGATCAACTTGGCTCGCTTTGTTATAATATAAATTATATATAAATTGCAAGCTGCGGTACCACGATGTCTTGGCAGATCTTTTGCCAAGACAAAGCCATGATTGTCTGCCACAAAGGCCACTCAACACTCCATTCATCGATATATCCCATCAAATTAGACAATGCAAATGTAACATGACAAAGAAGTCGCTTGTTGCAAACTGTGAAAGTTAAAGTAGAGTCACCCGGCTTCAGCCGGGAGTTATCTGCGAAACTCGGGATAAGCCCCAAAATGCTCTATTCAGCACCGCCTCATTGCTCGTGCAATGTGAGACTTTATTCTTTGGCATGCTAGTTAGTCCACTTTAAAAGTCGTTGTAGCTGCCACTAAACCCGGATCACTCCCTACAACATGAGTCGGGACAAAGAGAGATGTCCGCAGTCAATGCCTCCAAAGTTCAATCGTCGGGAGATTCATATCCTCTTTGCGGAGATATACGGAGCTAATGCCTACCAGAAACATGAGGCTAACAAGGCAGAAACTGCCTCCCTACAAGGGTCCGAATAAGCCCTGCCCAGCCATATACCATAGCAATATTCCTGCAAATTATGAAAATCAGCTTGGAAAGTGACACTCACCCCTGATAAAAACTAAGCCACACAAAGCCCCCAACTAAGCATATAAACAGCTCTCGACTCCCATCTCACCTCTCTATCACCAACAGCTATTCTCTCATCCACATCCATCCACTATCCGATAACACAAACCAACACATCAAAATGCTATGTTTCGCCTGTCTTCTAGCAATCCCCTTCACCCTGTTCGTCGCCGTCGACGGGGTTACAACCCGCTACATTGAGCCTATCCCTGACAACATCCCCGTCATGGAGACCCGTGACCAGTTGCACGAATTAGCCCATGAAAACTCCAAAGGCAGCCTAGACGACCGAAACGGCGGGTACTACATGCTCGACAAAAAGGGCAAAGTGCTGGCCGTGGCGTCGGATGATTTGTGCGAGCACTTGGATGCCTCGATGAAGTCTGCTAAGCAGATACATACTAGAGATAACCTTGAAGAACGAAAGGGGCATAAGGGTAAGGGTAGGGGTAAGGGTAGGGGTAAGGGTAAGCCCAAGACCAAGCCCAAGCCGGCGGACGATGGGAAGTGCTCGCACAAGGACTGCAAGAACAATAAGGACTGCGTGGGTAGTAAATAATTGTCTGGCTTGCTCTACTAAGGGCCACTGGTGTCTTTGAATGGGTGGGGATGTGATCCCCTGGAGAGAGGGAGAGAGTATGTTCATGAGGAGACTCGAGTTTGGTCTTCTGGTGATAGTATTATTGGTGTTGGAGTCCTACCATGAAAGAGTACGGAACAAAGGATGGGGTGGATGCTCGGATTGATATTTAACCCTACCTACCTATTTTTCAGCCGGCTTGAATAAACCCACTAAATTGCGCATCATTATCAATTCAAGATATTCCCATCTGCTCTCTTGACAAATAAGCAAGTATTGCACGTCAGTTTCGTACACGTAAGTTTACATTCATAGTAAAACCCGGCCCTAGCTGCCAGCTTTAACCCCGAACCCTATCCCCACTACGATTGCGCCTGTCAGGTTTCCTGAGCACGTCAGGTATACCACGTACCCAATTAATCATTGCTGAAAGTAAAATACCATCCCATGCAGCCATTGGTCCAAAGTTAACCATCAGACAGATCATCACTGCCATGTCTCACTGCAAGCGGTCAGTAAAGTCAGATGATACGCAACTTACTCCCTTGCCAGTTGTCACGTACCTCCCTAGTATAATTTTATCCAGTTAAGAAACGGATCCTTTCTCCGCCACTCAACCCGCGTTCATAGAAACCCAAGAATGAAGCCCTTAATCTGACGGATGTCCTTCTGGGGTCCATTTTTCTCCAGCTGGGGCCGTCGTAAAGGATAATATGCAAACACATTTTGAATCGTTCATTCATCAGCTGGAGAACTACAATGCGACGGATACGATAAGAAAGACGAGTTCTGTGAGTGATTCTCCAGGTTTAGGGTGGAGGTTCGCGGGATCTTGCAGGTTGGTAATCAATGGATGAATATTTGTTGGCCGGGGTTGTTGTGAATGCTAACGTTTTAGGTTTGTTGCAGAATATGCATATGAGAGGCAATCCGTCGTTTCCGGATAGTTGGAGGTATGGTGCCTACCAGGAAGGTAATAGTGAGTGCATAGTGTTGGGTTAATTGTGTATTGTGAATAGAGAACATTGGATGACTAGTTGCTCTACTTTACTGCATATGCTTCACCATTGTGGCTTCTACTGTCATAAAAATTATTTCTCGGTCCTCTGCTCATCTATTGACCTTCTTCTCTCCATCTCCCAATAATACATACACATCGCTGAGCCCTATTACCTACCCTACACGTCTAGTCGACATATCCTATCGCGAGAAGCTACTTCAGTATAATATACGACGAAAAGGTCATTCCTATGTATATTTCTCGCCTTCAGGAACATATCCAGGCTACCTTATCATAGCTAGAAGATTCAAGTTACCCGCTATAATATCGCATTACAGAACAATCCTCATGTCACCGAGAATGAAATATCCTTCGACGAATCAGTAACCGAGACAATGCCCACTCGTTCAAGGACCCGTGAGACACTGTATAAGAATCCACCGTTGGCAGGTCTACTGATGACGCTGTCCATGCCACGAAGAATACGGACCTTGATCACAGTGGAAAACACACATGACTCGAAATCCTTGATGGTGGCTCATCTCGTCCCATATAACTTCCCCTTCAGACACGCCGAACCGCCATCAAGAGTCTACAAATACAGACTACAAATTCCCTTGATACTCAATTAAACTAGACCTGATAATATGATTCGGCGTCAAAGAGAATCAACATGGCATCGTCTAATGAACCCCACACTCTATCGACAAAACTACCTCGTTGGAACTGCCAAATACCTAGAATCACCCATGTTCTTTTTGTTATTAACAATCAGCTCATGCCCAAAAACATGATACTTCCTCTTTGACATCTCGTCTCATCATGAATGTTCTCACCAACGCAAATTCCTCAAAACTCTAGATTGAGGAACTAAACATGCAATACGAGACGAGGCCTGCAGTCTCCTATATGCAAATTACTCGATGATATTCTACAAAGCCTAGCAGGGATTAATATTCCTACTCTCCAAACACAAACCTCCAACATATTGGTGCTATGGCACTTGTTCATAGCCGGAGAAGATAAAGAAAGCCAAGAAGAACAGCAATGGTAGCCGGTCGTTCTTGGTTCTTCCATGACGTGCATCAGGGGAATGAACTGGCAGATTACCGTTGTATTTATTGCGCTACACCCTACCGATACCATTGGTTTTCTATGGGTAGCCGCAGTCTTATGTGAGGGGGGTGCGTGACAAGAAGCAGTTCTTGGCAATTACCTTCTCATGCCTGCGCAATGATGAATGGGGAATTTTCAACGAATGATAAAACCTTTTTGCTATTCGGGATTAAATCGGCAGTATAACTGGAGTCGGCTCTTTATCTGGTCAAGTTACAGTGTGAAGAGCAGGGCACGCAGTTCTACATCCTAGCTTCGACCTAAATAGTCATCACGTATGGAAGGCCGCTGTGGAATGTCTTAAAGTTTAGGATGTGATTGTCTTTCCCAGAGTGTTGTGTTAGACTACGTTCTCGTTGGCGAGTTTCATCTTACAGAAGATCTTGATGGGTGCATCCCCGTTAGAAATGCCAGATGGTATACAACCCGGTGGGCATTCAAATCCACGAGAAAATTACAACGAATCAAAAAGAACTATCTTCATCGAACTTATTCATCTCCCGTACGAGATTTCATCCCGAAAGAGGGATAAAAAAAAAGGCAAAAACGACGACAGTCGGATTTGAACCGACGCCTCCGAAGAGAATAGATTTCTAGTCTATCGCCTTAGACCGCTCGGCCATATCGTCTTATTATTGGTTAATTAAGATTATTTAGGGTATGAGACGATAAGGCAATGGGCTGGAATTTAATTCCTGTCCGCGTTGGCCAAGAATAGGGATGACACCTACTCTAAAGTACGCCATGCTTCGATAGACGCCGTTCCTGGAAACAAAGGTCGAAGAAATGATCAAAGTCCTTCTGAGCACAATGAAAACCGGTACAGATTGGCGTGAGATGTCTGATATCGATCTCCGGTATTTGAAGGAAGACTCGGAGTAATACGGGGATGGATTAATCTACATATTCTTTACGGAGGTAAAAGCAGAAAGGATCTGAGGAAGCCTTCCTCAGGGGAATTTACAAACATGTCTTTGGTCATTTTAGAGTTCTGCATTCTATCTTCTTATATATCTCCTTTGAAAATGACCAGAATGAATATTAAAAAAACAAATTTTCATCATACGGCATTTATATAACGTGCAGGGCTTTCCGTCCTAGACATGCCTGCAAGCCCCAATCAAGTCAGACTTGAGATTATTATGAATAGAAATATATTTCTTGGTGGTAAATGACAGGATGGTATGTTATTACGGACAGCGTGATAGGAATCAACGATTAATACACTTTATAGTGATAGCTTGGCATGCTTCTGAATATACATTCCCACTGCGCAGTAAACTACAAAGTTAGCAACAGCCGCCTCGAAAGGACAATACTTTGACAGGATGTGTACCGAGAGTAGTATTCAAGTAGAGACCTATGGAATAAAAGATGCAATAGCTATTTGGGGGAATCCTCCGGTCACGGAGCACTATGTTCACAACCAGCCCACCGTAACCATAAATCCGGCACCTTTCGCAACCCCATTTACCACTCAAATAATACTGCCTCACAGAGATGTAGTATCAAACCGCCGACACAGCCGTCCATCCTCATACTCAATCCACCGCTCGCTCCCAACTGCAGTCCGCCCATAGAATACTTGGTCGGGGTCATAGGTATCCTTGATTTCCAGCAAACGATCGTAATTCACCCCGTAAAAGACAGATTGCCAATCCGGCTGGTTGAAGTCTCCCTCGTTGAGATACGCACCGCCGTCTTCGCCAGGAGGAGTAGGCGCTTCTAGTTGTGGGACCAGAACGTTGGTCATGAGCCGCTGGCTGTTGAGGTCTGTTTGACGGTCTGTGTAGTTGAATGGTCTGTTGCTTGTTAGCTGAAGTGCCTGGGGCAAAAGCAATATGGTGGGGATGTTGGGTGCTATACATTCCAATGACAATGTTCATTGCTGCTTCTCGCCAGATAGGATTGACAGAATTTGAGGGATGCTTGTTGTTTGGCCGTGAGACGTTCAATGATAAACCGGAGATGGAGGTGTTGTGTTGGGCGATACTCTGTAAGGCGGAAATTAGGGCATCTGTGTTGGATTCAACGGTTGAGCGGAGGATGAGTCGGCCGCCGATGGTATATTCGGTGATGTTTACGCCGGGTGATGAGGCGGTTTGGCTGTGGTATGATGGGAATTCCCTTATTGTGTAGTCTAGAGTTTGTGACAAGGTTAACTGTGCGCTTTCCAGGCGATTGTCTGCATAGGGGAACGTACAATAGGTCATGTTAAGGTTCTGCAATGATTCCAATGTTGAAGAGAGATATGACTGAAGATCTTCTCTCTCTCCCCCAGGTAACGTAATCGGCCCAGCGATGAACCTCAACCCCCCTGAAATAGTCGGATCAGGAAATATGAGCCAAATAGCTGTTCCACTAGCATCAAGTAGTGGAAGTGTATCAACGAGAAACGTCCGAATAACAGCCCAGAAGTCCGATAGTCCCGTCGGGCTGGTAAACTCTACAACGCCTGACGCAGTCCTCTCTTCAGGATACAATCTGACAGTCATGCCGAGCACGACAGCAAACGTCCCCCCACCACCACCGCTAAGAGCCCAGTACAGATCTGCATTTTGCTCAGGTGATACAGTCAGATGTTTCCCTGCAGCAGTGACAACCTCCCATTCGAGGACCTGGTCCGCTGCCAGCCCAAATCGCGACGCTAGTTCTCCGTGTCCGCCGCCCTGTGAGTACCCCCCTGCAAGTCCGATGTCAGGACACTGCCCCGTTACAATAACATACCCTAACGCATGAGCCGCATTTTGACCCTCAAAACCTTGTACCCCTGCGCCGAGGCGTAAAGCTGGACCGGTATACCAGGATGATTCGTATCTGGCCTCGTAGGCGATGGATTTGAGGTGATGCGTCCACAAAGCGATAGCACCGGGCCCGGTGGATTTACCTAAGTAGTCATGGCCGGTGTTACGGATGACAAGGCGAATATTGTGCGTGTGAGCGAAGTAGATGACATTCTGCACGTCTGTAGCTGAAGTTATGTTTGCGGCATAGCGGACGAATGGGTCGGGTGTGCAGGGGGCGCTTGGTGCGGTGAATGGGGAACAGGAGAAGTTGGTGAACCAGGCTGCCATTGGCGATGAGGGAGTATTATAGTGGGTTACTGGAATAGGCCAATGGGCAATAAGATCCGAGCATGCCTCGGGGTTGTACTTGGTGAAGGGATTGTCTGTGTGGCAGACACTGCCAATGGGAATAATTGGAATGAGGTTGCCAAATAGGGTTGCATTGAGAGCTTCCCATTCTTCAGGGGTGGGCCAGCATTGGTCTCCTGGATAGCAACGGCAGGAGAGGGATTGGGCCGATAGGGGAAGTTTGTCTGGAACTAAAGCGATGCAAATAACTGTAAAGAAGATGAGTGGCAAGAAGGGGACTCGTAGTGCCATGGTGAGAGCTGATGCCCAACAGAGGAAAGTCCAGTGGTGAATAAAGGAGACTTAAATGTCATCATGGCAAGTACTAATATCCTGCGATACATATTCCCCTGCGTAAGCAATTAGCTTACCTACATCCCCCTGGTACATAAATATGCCCTGCCTATCTTTTAAATCCCCCGAAAAGCCCCAGCAGAGTCCAATCAGCGAGGATCAGCAGCGCCAAGACGTCCAATTTGAAATCTGATGTCTGATATATTCTTATTTTTAGAAACATCGGAGTACATTTCTCAATTTTTTTTATATATTGAGCTAGAAAATTCCCAGATTCTGACCGCGAAGATGGCAGAAGCCGCACTTCGTGCGACGCTGATTTCACAACCCAGTTGGAATTCAATCTAGACCGTCTCTTCAGGCCGCCTGGCTGGAACCCCGTGCTCCTGCAAGACCATCGCATCATCGTCTGTACTACCGTCCATCTGGCTGACTGAGGGCCCCCTCCTGTTGGCGCTGCCCTGACTGCAGCCATTCCTTTCCTTCTGTAGGATGGCGTACTCGCTCGGTTGCAGCTTCAGCCGCGCCAGACGGGCCTCGTACGTTTCGCCCATCCCGAGTTTGGGCGCGGCGAAGCAGTCACGAAGCTTATTGAAAAGCGGATGGATTGGGGGAATACAGCCCACGATGATGGCTATATTAATCTCGCCACTAGAAAATCAGTATTCAGCTGCAACAAGGGATGGAAACATTACATCTTTACTGAGGCCAAGTTAACAATCGTCCAGGAAACGTCGATACTAGCGCTCAGGTCTTGGGCAAAAGGAATGGCGGCGATGGAGCAAACCATAGAGCTACCACCCCGTTAGCATCAGGCTTGATGAAGTCTGGATTTGAAAACATACACACAACCCACACCAATCATACCCAACACACTCAGCTTTTTCTCCCGCGGCATCTGGAGATCCCACAAGATGAAGATCGGAATGATCATGTAGCATAAATCCGAAAAGATCGTGATGGCTTGCAGGGCGTATAGTGCATTGATGAAGGCCTGGTGTGACCAGCAAGTGCCGGGAATAGTGGTATCCCAGTTCTTGGCGAAGGGTTGACATTGCGCAAATGAGATAAACACACCTGTCACGATGATGACCACCATAAGCGCAAGCATGATGTAGAGTATCCACTTGAACATGGGCTTGGGTTTCAGCCGCAGTATCAATGCCAGGATGGATGCCTTCACAAAGAAGAAGCTGATGAGGTTGAGTGGCTGCCCTATCGTGTTGAGCTTTAGCACCATCACTGCATCCGCGGCGGAGAGGTAATATATGTGTCGTCCGACACCGTAGTAGGTCGCTGCAATGGACGTGCCTTCTTTGGCGATGTTCAGGATCCAGAGGGTTTGATTGATCAGCTTTGTGGGTGTTGAGGAAGGATTTGGACAAGTACCAGTCCCATTAACATGAGGTAGTCATCCCAGCCCAGGCTCTTGGTTATGAAGATGCGGACGGAGGTCCGTAGAGTGACCATTATAATTGCTATAGCTAGGAGCGTGATGGCTGTGGCCCTGAGGGTATCAGCCCGGTTGATGTCGGGGGGAAGATTGGTAGCAGCGTTCATGGTGATGCAGCAAGGAAGATGGTAGAAGTAAGAGCGTCGCTGCAGTGGTAAATGATAATATATACCGTAGGTTTCTATCCAAGTACGCTTTACATACGGGAGAGCGAACAACATAAGAGACATCGAGACAATGCCTATAAGAACGGCCATGCGGCTCTACCCCTCTTACAGAGGATGCGGCACCATGCCGTGGTTACCCTAACACAAACATCCCAACCATCTGCCTCGTATTCGGTGGAACACTCCCAGCAAATGAAACATCAATGTATTTGGGAAACTCTTGACTAATCTAAAAAGAGTTATATCCCAGTCACCGGAGTGACTGAGAGATCCCAAAAGTATATATTTATGGCTGAGAGCGCAGGAAACAACAATACGTGGCAGTTAGCAGCCGCCAACTGGCAGCGCCAAAAGTACTGGACATTTTGCTGACTTGCATCATTATGAACATGACGGAAAATAGACAGAACCAGATATTGGGTTTATATGAACTTACTGCAAGGGCTATCCAGGCGCATGAATACGTTGCGATCATTGGATTGGACGTTGTACATTGGTTGTGCGAAACGTTACACGCAACCTCAGGCTGCCTACACTCGGAGGATAAATGATTAGAACAAGTGGATAAATGAGGGGGCAGTGCTTGGTAATACAGAATATGACATAAGAGCAGAAGACTATGAGAGAGTAATCCTATGTACTGTACTACGTTTTGGATGCATTGGCTACTGGGACCTGTTGGCCAGAACACCACGCCGAACTGTACTGAGCCTGGTGGGAGTGATGACCTTTCCCACAACATCTATCTGATGTCCCAAGGTACTAATCAACTGGGGCTCTTGAGGCTGATGATCTGATGCATGCAGTGTTACCCCTCTCAAGCCCTACCAGATCTTGTTTGTATATATGAATAAACGCTATTTTGAAACGGTTTTTTTTGACATTCTATCTCACAAATGTCTTTAATTCTTGAAGGACTAGTACAATAATAAGACATGGAAAATGATTTAAGCAGATATATCAAATCCTGTGCCGGATCTGCCAATGATTAGAGATTTTCATATCGTTCTTGTCATAGATATAACGCCTCCAGAAGCACATTGTCTTATATAAGATCAAGTAACGCCACCGGTAGGGTATACCACTACTAACTATAAGTCCGCGAAAAACAGCTGGCACATACATTTTCTATCGAGCATATTAGTCAGGGAAAACGTAACAGGATGATGCCATCGAGGCTATCCAGAAAACTTGAAAATCGCAAACACAACAACAACTCGGTGGGAAGCCTGGACCAATGACTACTCCCTACCAGCCTCCAGGTTCTTCACCGGGATCCGTTCAAACAATATATTTCTAATATACAAAAATGTCTTCGAAGCAACACAGACAAGTGTACACTAGTCTTCAGCTTCTGACGAAATGGTTAATATTTGATGACTGAAATGGCCTTTCATAGTGACGTACCCACAGCAAATTCCGACATACTTCATCTTCACCCTCCCCTCCTCACAACCCCCCAAACACATCCTACCAAACAACCAAACAACAAGCCCTACCACAACAAAAATGACAACCTCCACAACAACCCCTCTCCACATCCCCGAGCTCCTCATCGAAATCCTAGCCTATCTCGACCCCCACACTCTCCTCCACTCCCAACGCGTCAACCATTTCTGGGCCACCGTTATCCAACATTCTCCTATCCTCCGACGATCCCTCTTTTTCCGCCCCCCTCGACATATCCCGATTCGCAATGACCACGTGACTCTTAACCCTTCCTCGGCGATATCTTCAAAACCATCTTTAACAACCCCCCACGCCCCAAATACAAGAAATCAGCCTGCCTCCAACTAGAAGCCAGTTGGCGCCGAATGCTGACCCAGCAGCCGCCGGCGAAAAGAATTCGAATCCGTAATAGAGATTTCAATGAAAGAGGCATTCCTCAGACACTCAAGTGGCGGGATCAAAAGGAGGTTGAGGCTGTTATGGAGATTAATAAAAGGAATAGGAGCTTGTCTTTGGGAAGTGGTGACGGTGGTGTTGAGAATGACAATCACATTGATATGGGCCTCTTGTTTGATTTCATTACTCTTGATAATGGGATTAATGCGGGAATGGTTGCATTGGCGTATATTAGTGCTACTGGTGATGTGTATCTTGTGCCGCCAGTCAGAGGTGCGGGGAAAGAGATACCCGATTTTATGGCGCTCTGTGTGACTTGGGGAAATAATTGCTTGTTTACTTTTTAGATATTGTGATGGGATATTTCAGGGTCTAAGAAGTCATATGTTGCTTTTCTGGGGTCTTGATCCCTTACTCCTTGAAATTGCCAAAAAAAAACCATGAATGTACAAACAGCATCCCAAACAGAGCCATCGCAACAACCATCCATCCATTCCCTGGCTTCGCCATGATCTTTGCACCGCTTCGATAATTCAAGTTTAAGGAATTGTTCCCAAATCCTAATGTCCTCAACCACGTAGGTTGATCCTCTCTCTGGACCAAGACATCCGACTTCGCATTGTCCACCACACCGCGAAACACCATCTTGACTGCCCCTGCCATCCACGTTCCTGTTTCATTACCCTGAGTATCGTATGCATACGCCCCGAATTGCCCATTGATGGTCAGGTTGGCCGTGGTGTTGTCGAATCGCACATCAATTGTGGGGTAGGTCCAGTTCAAACCCGGGATTATCAGGTCTTGGTTGATCAGAAACATGCGCCACGTGTCACTATATTCGGGGGCGTTGCAGGAGGTGAGATTGAGGAGAAGAGTGCTATAACGGAAGTTGTAGGTGTACGCGCCAGAGAGGCGATAAGTGCTGGGGGAAGTATCGATGGTGGTTAAATCGAGATCGAAGTTGTTGTATTCGGTTACGAACCAAACGTCTGAGTATACGGGACTAGAAGAAGAAGAAGAAGAATGATTCCGTTAGTTTGATCTGTAGTAATACGCCCACTGGTACGCATAGCCGAGGAGTTGGGGTGGCAGATACTTTGAAGAGACGATGTCATATTCCGAGATTGTAGATATGTCCGAGTCCAGTGATTGATCCCAGAAATCATAGTCGGTCGGCCAGGAAGTCAGATACAGGTTGACTGGGTTCCGGGGCCTTGAGTTCCAGATGCTCGTCTCGGTGATGCCGAGATAGGAGGGCTTGGTGGTTCTTAGGGTTCGATTCTGTAGCCCCGACCAGAAAGAGCTATTGGTGGAGCTGAAAGCCGTTGGGGTGAGCTCGAATTCCAACGTCGCATTGTAGTAACTGAGTCGCTTCAATAACCTACGCTGATATGTGAAGGTAGTATCCTCATCCGAAAGGAAACTCACGATCCAACCCAGGCATATAGTGGGTACCAAAACCCTGTGATATTGAGTGGGCGAAAATCTAGTGACGGTTTATAGGATTTGTCGGGTGTGGCGCGAACGACGACACACAGGGCTATCAAACCGAAGAGCAAAAAAAGTGTGCTGATCATGGTTGGTAACTGGTTTTCGCTCTCTCAATTCCCCCTGAGCGAAGTACGGGTGGGGAAGGGTGTTTAAGAGAGGCCGTTCGGAATGAGGGTCTTGGACTAACCATATATATCCGTAAAGGAGCCAACCGGCCACCATTCCACTAGCGTCTTTGAACATATTACCCCTCCTATCTCTGCGCCTTGTCGGGGAAGAGGCTCGTGTGGTTCCGGGAGACTATAATGTCTCAGAGCAATTTGGTCTACGTTGTTTTAGGCTCAATTTAACCTAGTTTGCCTGCAGCCATGGAGTGGTCAGTGTGTTTACTGTTTTGATTGGGCCGGGACACTGGGTGTTGATCTCCCGATATGCCTCAAGGTGGGTCCAATATGGCAATTGGCCCTGAACTTGCCCTGATCTAGGCTGACTCTCCGGGACTAACCGCCGGGAGAAGACAAGCACTTCCTAGCGTCTTCACAAGCAATCCCTGGATAGTCCTGCCAGGATACCCACAGTTTCTCCAGATGCTCCGCCGGAGTCCTACACCGGCCATAGACAAAATGATCCACAAGAGCAAGCTATTGGTAATTCCACTTTAGTTGTGATATGACCAAGTCAAGGCTATTGGGAACTAGGCCTCACTTACCATAAGTTGTCTCGTTCAGTAAAATATCGGAATTGAGGCTTTTAAACGACACGAGAGAGGGTTGAAGCGCTGTAGATTACGAGACAAAAGATGATGGAGGATAGAGTTGCGAAGAGGAAAAGGGACGTTCCCCATACCCGGCTGAAATACTTGCTTGTACTATACGTTTTCCTTGTCTCGGCCGATATGGGATGTTAGTTGAGAAAAAAACACCAACAAAAAGATGCGATAAAATATATGGAGAGAAAGCTGAGATATCTATTGCTCATTCTCGGTGATTTGAGACCCTTCTATATCCCTTCTGCTACTCACTCCCTTCTGCTACTCACTACCAAAATTAAAAAAAAAAAACAGGAATTGAAGCCATCCAGTTGTTCAAAGAAAGAATGATGATTCTGGACCTGACCAAACAGTCCTTCTCCCAATCAATCAGTTAATATCCGTGCCTCCTATGGTGGTGGATGGGTGTGCCGGAATGGTGAGTATGAAGGATAGCCTATAATAAAATCAGATATCTTTCTTTCAATCAATCGTAGCTTCACGCAGCATTGCTTACAGTCGTAACGCTGGCTTGAACGGAGATACTACTAACTCGCGCTGCTGACGACGAGGTAGTATTGTTGAGTAGCGCACTCGATCCATCGCATGTACCATATGCAAATCCCAAGTTCGAGGAGATATGCAAAGCGTTCCGCCGGTACAGTTCGCATTTGCCTGATGATTCGGTGTAGAGCCAGGCTGCACACTTGTCCACACTGTCACATTTCTGCCCACAAGCAACAGGGCCATTCAGCTTCATAGAAAATGTGATCGGCGCACCACTGAATACACCGATGGTGTCTGATGCATAGCCTGACCAGCAGTTGGTGCCTTTAGCAGAGATAGGGGATGCTAGAAGGCTGAGAGTAACGAATAGGGTGGAAAACGTCTTCATCTTGTTTTGCGATACTTTTTCAAAGTGAATGATCTGAGTTCTCTGAATCTGTCCAAGATAGATGTGAAAGGCTTGAGAACGAAGAGGATGATAAAAGGCTGGCTTGTATCTTTCCAAATATAAATATAATTCTAGATTTATGATTCAGCAGTACGTCCCAAGTCTACAAACAAAAAAGTCCTGGAAAAGGGGCTATCTCTTCCAAGAGCTGGAAAATTGCTCTATCATATTCTTATTCATTGACTTGCAATCGATAAGCGCATGACCTCACCTAATTGTTCAGCTACTTTTATCCCCGCTGGGCTTGTCACATACCTCTCAGTATTATTATCTCCGTATGAAGCCGGTGGAATATTAGATTAAGCGTGATTGTCTAATAAGACATGTGGTAGACCGGGTGCCCACCGGTCAAAGTGGTATGCAACTAGTTAGGCGGATCTAGATGCGCCTAGTACAGATACTAGGTCCTGGCCTGTGAGCCCAAGGGAATCCGAAGCGCCTCGACTTGGGGAGGTGAAGCGGTGAGCACTGGCAATATAAAGCAAGTCACGTTACGGATCATTGCAGCAACCAATAGGAAGCCGAAAGTATGAGCCTGTAAACCAATCAGAAGCCTTCCCGCTAAACTTCCTCTAGTACCCAGGACAGAACATGGCGTTTTTCAGCACTGCGCGCCTCAAAATTAATTTCCCAAGATCCACTACCTATACAGTGTCAGGATACTGGGACGACATATAATGAGTGGATAATACGGTACTATTACATGCTGCGCCAGATGAGATCCAGGCAATCGAATCTCAAAGATGTCCTCCTAACGACCTTAAATACGACCAGGATTTTGGCTAGCATACTACTGGCGGAGAGTTCAGCTGATTGGCCAATACCTCTCCAGTATCTTGCTGGTACGCTACGAATATATGCCGCGCCAGATAGATTTGACCAATAAAACATCGAATACCTCTTGATAGCATCCATTCTGGACACAACCAGGATTGTGGCTAGTATCGATATCAATTTTCGTAGGGTCCGATACCTATACCGATTCAAGATGTTTCGACGATATATTTACAATACACGGGTGATACGGTACCAATACATGCTTCGCCAAAGAAGATCCGCCAATGGCACCTCAAAAATCTCCTGACACCAAGATGCAGGCTAGGGAAAAAGCACGCCCTAACGGTCGATTTAGTAGATTGATGGTGTTTGGGCCGGTGAGTATCGGATGAGCTTTTGCAGCTCTGGGCTGGCGATGCAACAGTCAATTTCAGTATCTACGCCGGAGAGTATAGTGCCAGTATAGCGTCCTACAGCACTTGACCAAATGAAATTATCGAATTCGCCGGAACAGCCGTTTCGAAGGGGCATCATGATAGAGCAATACCTAAATCTTGTGGTATAAATATGGCCATCTACCTACCGTTGTTTTCCCTTCTCTGCTACATGCACTCTTTCAGTCTTCCTCACCACGGGGAAATTCCTCTCTTTTCATCTCTCTTCTGCTATTTGTATTTGTCACTCATTCCGCAATAAAACATTCTCTTCTCCTTTCCTTCTTTCTCCTGTTCCTTGGCTCTTGCCATGTACGGGCCCAAGCTGTCTTTGCCCATTTTATGGTATGGACTTCCCTTTCTTTCCTCTGCAACTCCTCGGAACTTCCTGCGCTGACCAAAGAAGGTGTCAAATGCGGGCAATTTCTCGATTAGCGATTGGGAAAGTGACATCAAGCTAGCTCAAGATGCTCACATCGATGCCTTCGCACTCAATATTGCCTACAACGATCCAGTCAACTCGCCGCAGATTTCAAATGCCTTCTCTGCCGCAGGCGACCTAGATTTCAAGTTGTTCTTTTCCTTTGATTATGCAGGGAATGGGGCTTGGGCAAAGGATGATGTGGTTCTATTATTGAAGCAATATGGCAGTAACGGTGCTTACTACCATCACAATGACCTCCCATTTGTGTCGACATTTGAAGGGCCCGATAGTGCCGCGGACTGGTTCTTCATCAAGCAAGAAACAGGTGGCCTCTTTTTCATGCCAGACTGGTCTTCTTTGGGGGCCAAGGCTGCCGTTGAGCTTGGAGCGGGCCTCATCGATGGACTTTTCTCTTGGGCAGCATGGCCTTGGGGTGATCGGGATTCCAACACCTTCACCGATGCCTCATACCTCCAGTATCTCAATGGCTCAGGCATTTCACTCCCATATATGATGCCTGTCTCTCCATGGTTCTACACCAATCTCCCCGGATATGATAAGAATTGGTTGTGGCGTGGTGACGATATATGGTATAATCGCTGGCAAGAGGTGCTCTATGTCCAACCCGAGTTCGTGGAAATCATCACCTGGAATGATTGGGGTGAGTCTCACTACATTGGGCCCCTCCACGACAATGCATGTGCCCCATTTTCAATTGGAGAAGCCGAATTCAACTACGCGGAAAACATGCCTCACGATGGCTGGCGCCAGTTTCTTCCATTCGTCATCGATACCTACAAGTCCGGAAATGCGGAGATCACCCAGGAGGGAGTGGTTGCTTGGTATCGCCTTACGTCCAGTACTGCATGCGACACTGGGTATACCCCTGGAAACACCACTTCCGAGTTACAGCTTGAGTTTCAGCCGTATGACGTGGTCCAGGATAAGATCTTCTTCTCTGCTCTTCTTGGGTCTGCCGCCGATGTAACAGTCAGTATCGGTGGGAATGAACAAGCAGCGTCGTGGACTTATACTCCAGAAGGCGGCATCGGCATATACCACGGCAGCATTTCCTTCACCGGCTTTACTGGGACTGTGGTGGTGACTGTCACGCGAGATGGCTCCGTCATCGCCGAGATGACTGGTGAGGAGGTTCTCGCCGACTGTCCCAATACCTGGGAAATCTGGAACGCCTGGGTGGGTTATGCCATGTCGGACGCAACGATCTCAGCCACCCCTGCGCTGGACTTGTCAGACCGAGTATGCGTTAAAAGTACCAGTCTAGGGAACTTTGCCGGACTCTGTGAGTTTACCTGTCAGTATGGCTACTGTCCCATCAGCGCCTGTACATGCCTGGCAATGGGGGCCCTGGTCAAGCCGGATGTGACTCTGAATGTCAACGGGTACCCCATCTCGGGCGAGGATGCCAGCTATGACGGACTTTGCAGCTATGCATGCAACCATGATTACTGCCCCGACACATCCTGTGGCTCTAAAGAAGTTCCTTTGACAGTGCCAACGGTTTCCGACTTCTCCCCGCCAGCCTGTGTCGCAGGCACTGGGGACGGCAACCTTGGCGGACTCTGCAGCTATGCCTGTGGCTATGGCTTCTGCCCTATCCTGTCTTGCACATGCACTGAGACCGGTGTTTTGGTCACGCCCCCTGATGCCAATGCCACTATCAATGGTAAGGCTGCGAGGGGCCTTGTGGCCCGAGACTACGACTCGCTCTGTGACTTTAGCTGTACCCGGACTTACTGTCCAACAGAGGCCTGTGTCAAGGCCACCACCACAACGGCATCTACGGGTGATGGCTCGGGCTGGAACTCGCTCTCTTGCTTAAACATTAAGCCAGATAGCACAACGCAATGGGCTGACGCCCAAGCGGATGATGCCTGGACTGCCGCAATAGCAAACTGGAAGAAATCCTATTTCGCGCAGTTTACATGGGCAATAAGTGTCTTTTTCTATGGCCCCAGTTGGAGCGATATGGACTGTTTCAGTCTTTCTGATTCAAACGGTAAGTTGCGTCGTTTGCTTGTTGTATGCCCGCAAATGAGTACAAATACTGACAAGTGAATTTTCCAAGACTGCGCGGGCATTACTGTGCCATGCGACTCCGGTGACTCTGCCGCCGGATACTTGATTATGAAGACTTTCGTAGCACTTGAGGACGTGAGTAACGCGTACCTGAACCTCCTTTTGAAACAGTATCGCTGATCCGCTGGACAATGACCATCAGACAATTACAGCCCTCTATGATTCTATGATGCTTTTACCAAAGCGCAATCAGACGCCACTGATATGATTGGTGATATTTCAACAACATTTTCGAAGTTCCCTGACTCGGGCTCAAGCACATCGGACATGATATTCAATGCTCTGGGTCTGGTTTATACGTTGGCCTCGGGGCCCTTGTGGGGGACACTAATGAAAGATGCCGATAAGGTGGCCAAAGACAGCGCTGACACTAAGAAAATCTAGGATAGTCTCAAGAGCGCATTAAGTGATGGTGTAAGTATTGTTCAGGACATCACTGCCGTGAAGTCAGGAATTGTGGAGAACAATGAACTTGGGGTCAATCTGGAAAACATGGCGATTTATTACGTCAGTGTGACTGACAACTTGGTGAGCTCTTACAATTTCCCCCCAGTATCTCTTTCTCATCGCACTAAACATCGCATTAGAACTCCGACATCTTCAATGGCAGTGACTCCAGCCTCAACAACTTGTACTCGATCATCCAGGGAGGACTACTTCTGGAACCGGACTATATCGCCCCGGACAGCGCAACCCTCACCCAGTATGTCCTAAAGGCTATGTATTCCGTTCTCATTCCCCAGGCATGGCAGTTATCCACCAAGCCAGTGTGGCCAGTAGTGGTGAACGGCTCCGTGGCATGCGACTCCAAGTCAGTCGGTCCCGATATCCTTGAGGAACATATAACCAGCTCAACCGCCAGCAAGACGATGATCTGCCACGAGAATATCAAATACTACCTACTTGCCGCAGATACCAATGATGGGTATTGCTCGAAGAAAAGAGACGTCGATGCTTCCTCGAATAATGGCGTGGAGGACATGGGTGGTCCGACATGTGCCCCGGGAGTCTTTGGAATCTTGCCCGGAATGACTGCCCTTGACGGCAAGGCTTGGTCAAATATTACCTTTGAAGACATTGTGGTCGGGTAAGTTCTCCTCTCCTCTCCTCTTGATAAAGACTGCTTGCCAACGAATCATCTGTTCTGCAGGGCTATCAATACTTATACCAGCAACTCCAATACCAACGGGGGTGGCTTGGCCACGGACCCTTCGACTATGATTGATAATATCTTGGAATCGGGTAACCAAGCACCGGGCATTACTACGATTCCTGTTTGCGGGGCTGAAGAGGCGATTGTGAATTGGGGGACTTATCTTCGACGTGGGAAGAAAGGCGATAATTATCCATGTGATTAGGGGGTCAGTGAGCGAGAATAGAGGCGCTTCTATATAGATTAATCTTAAAAAGGAGTATTCTGCTCTATTTTAATATTTTTCTCTTTTCTTTTTTTTTACTTTTTTCCTCCTCTTTTCTTCTATTTAATCTGTAGAAATAGCAATTGATGTCGATGATTTTTTTGCTGTTTTGTTTTGTATATCTAAGTTCATTGTATGGTTTAGTCTTTAGATTGAGTTCCCCTGGCTATTGGTATTTTCTGGAACGAGATGTGACGGCTCAACAACAATCAATGTATTGATTTATTGTTGATTCAATCGAGCGTATGATTAGTCTAAGATTTCGTTCTTGGCTTCTTCCGGAATACTGTTGTTCTGCGGACATTCAGATGTCGATGTACCACTTCGTTCAATCTTGCGCAGGATCCGGGCCGGGTTTCCTGCCACGACATGATAGGCTGGGACATCCTAAATGAACCAGACGCAATGTTAGCTCTGCTATAGGTGAGTACTAGGGCGGTTCCCATTACCTTTGTGACCACGCTACCGGCGCCAATGGTACATCCATTACCGATTGTCACACCGGGCAGAATGATGGCATTTCCCGCAATCCAACAGTCTTCACCCACGGTGATAGGACGGCCGAACTCTGGCCCGCAGGTCCCGTTGCGTAGATCCGGGTCGACCGGATGAGTTCCACTGAAGAAGGATACATTGGGTCCGACTAGAGTGCGTGCGCCAATTGATACAGTGCAGGTGTCCACAAATGTACAGTTGAAATTGATAAAGACGTTGCTCCCGACTTTGATGTTCGTTCCGTAATCGATGTTAATGGGACGTTCGATCCACGGATACGCGTGAAGTGCTGCGTCTTCTTCTTCATCGGTCGCACATGTATCTGGGAGTGGTAGGGGGTCGTTTGTGATGCTAAGGTGCATTAACAAGGGAGGTTGAAACGGTTTGGTGACCTACTTTTTCCAGTATTCTGCCAGCTCGCGCCGGGACAGCTCTCCTGCGCGGTTGAGCTGGCCGACAAGACGCCCGCAACGTTTGCGCGCAGCGATTACCGATGGGGTAAAGGCGTAGTAGAGTGAGCCACGCTCCATCCGAGCGAGATTCTCTTTTTCGTCGATATTTTCGATCATGGTGGTGGTGTGCGAGGGCTGGTGGGAGCTTTGTGAGGTGTTGCAGGAAGTATCGCTCTACCTTGGGATCTGGGAAGCGGCGTGTCTTATTTGTAGCATCCGACGATCGGCATTCTCATTTCTCCGACTGAAACCCGTTGTTTGGAGATTCCTGGCTTTATCAGTAGGGCTGTCCATTCCGATGCGCCAAGCCTATTTGAGGCAATAATAGCCGCGCTGGGAATTCAAGTAACCGGTTATTGGTTAGTGTGGGCGATGGGGCTATTTGCCAAGAACGCATGGATTTTCAGCCTCCATCCGATATAAATCAGGCTCACCGTTCCCGCTGGAATTGATCAAAGTATCCAACCCGGATGCACCACCTATCAAGCCAAAATGACCGGACATTGATGCCATTCCAGCCCGTCTGGATTGGATAATTGCTCGTACCCATCGATAATGGGAAGTCCTCGGTTCCACATTCTGTCTTTGCGCCACTTTTCTCGCAGGAATTCTGCGCTTTTCGAGAAAATGGCCGATTGCCAATTTTCGTGGATGTTGTCTAGTTTCGCAGCGATGATACGTTGGTGTGCAGATACACTTGCAGATAAGCCTGTGATAACCAGTGGCCAGCTCAGAATGTTGTGCGAGGGCGAGTCTGGAGGGAGATGTTGCAGTGTCTTGATGAAGCCATCCACCAGAGACTGAACCGTGCCATCTCCACGGAGTCCGGATGGAGCAAGAAGCCTCCCAATATGGATGCGACAGGCTAAGCAGTACAATTGTGATATGATGGCATCATGGTGATGTTCCAGTCCCATATCCTGTTGGAGATTAAACTTCATTTCACAGATCGCAAGGTCTTGATCCAGGAGAAACAGTTCTCTTCTCGCTACAGATGCCTCGTCAGATTTTCTAGACATCAGATTAGGACCCAGCAGGGCGATGCGGTATATGGCGATGAATAGATCTTGAGAAGTTCCCATGATATGCCCGTGTTGGAGGTACGCGATGACCGACGGGGAGCTGAAGATGCGATCGGCCGGGGAACCGGATAGCTGGGTGCCAAGAGAGAAGGCCGCCAGGGCAAAAAAGTAACAAAACATCTCAAACAAGTATGCCCTCAAAGCGGGGTCCATGCTGCCGGAGGAAATGCGATTCTGCAGCAGAAAAGCCGCGGCTTTGAGATGGGGAAGTATCCGCTCGCGGTTGGTGAAGTTTTGCGTCTACATGGTCAGCTCTGAGGCCTGATGAATAAGCGGGCGAAGTTTGAGCTCGCATACCTCATGCAAGCAGAGTAAAAGTACTGCGAGTGGGGTGTAGTCTAGAAAGTATAAAGATGCATTAGTGCGAGAGTGTAAAAAACAGCGGATGGATCGGTCCGTACCCGACTGAGGCCCATCCGGTGACGAAGCGACGGACATTTCATCCTCAATCGCCATTCTAAGGCTAGACACCGCCTCTCCGTAGTATTCGATGGTCGCATGCCGGATTTGTGAATCGCCCCGGTTGTATTTGAGCAGGTCCGCGGAAGCGATTGCGAGGATGCACTTGCGGACCAGATGGCTGCCAGAGAGAGCCGGAGAGAGCCACTTCAAGTAGTCGGTCCTTCGCGATCCCGTCCTCGTGGATAACCATCTGGGGCTAGCGTTGAGGAAGTGTCCGAGCAGGCGCCAGACAATATCCGGGGTTAGGACGGGGAACACGCTCACCATTCCTTGGGCCTGGTGAGGGAGCTTTTTCTCCGCAAGGCGCACCGCCCGTCCTCGGCGGCGTTTAGGAATCCGAATCAACTCGCTCGGTTCCCACTGGCATTCCAGGCTGTTACGTTGACAGCCGGCACAGGATGGACGGCCCTCGTCGCATTTCTTTTTGCGGTGCCGGCACGTTAGACATCCCGTTCGAGATCTCCTTGGGGGGCACATATCTCGCTCCATGTGGAGAGGGGGAGGGGAAGTTCGAAGAGGCAACTTGCTCCACGTCATCAGCATCGCAAAAGACACCGCAATGTGGGGCTGGTTAAGTTACCCGCATTACAGTTACGATACACCAGAGATAAGATGTGGTATTGATGGTTATCGGGTCATACGAGGTACATTCGCCCCTCGTATGGCTGCAACCGATGCGTATTCTCCCCCGCATTGCTCAGCAGCAACTCGAACTGTCTTCCAAGTTTCGCTTCCAGATTGTTCTCTTGCTCAGTCGGCGTAAAATTCAGAACTACCACCAGTTTCCGCCCATCCCCCTTCTTCTCGAAGATAAATAGCTTTTCGTCCTCGGGATCCGTATGAGCAAACACGCCTTGCGCAAATACATCGGGATACTCCTTTCGGATAGCGAGCACCCTCTTCCAAAACGAAAGAACCGATTGTCCATCGAGAGCTTGTCGCTTGACATTCAAGTTCGCGTAATTGTCATGCGCCCGCATCCACGGCGTGGCATCGGGAGTCGTAAACCCGGCGTGCGGAGTACTATCCCACTGCATGGGGATGCGGGCGTGGTCGCGAGCCAGATGCTGCAGAGCCGTTTTTGCGGCAGCCAATGCGACCGGATCATCGTGCGAAGTCCTCCGGACATGCTCGTAGTAATTCTGGCTCTCCAAATCCTTATATTCCACCATCCCCCAGGACGCGGGCACGTTAACCATCCCAATCTCCTGGCCTTGATAGACAAAGAGCGTCCCGGACAGACTGGCCACGAGGATAGCCAGCATCTTTGCACTCTGAGACCACAGTTCAGGAGTATTCTCGCATCCCCACCGCGACACACATCGGGCCTGGTCATGGTTTTCCAAAAACGCCGTGCTCCAGCCGTCCGTTGTGCCATCCATGAGTCGCTGTGTAGCACACACTCTCTCCTTCAGCTCAGGAAGCGTCCAATTCCGCGGAACAGTATGATATCTCAAGGCCTCTCCGGTGCCAAGGTCGACGATATCAAATTGGAAGACCATGCTGAGCTTTTCTTCCTTTGCCGAGACATACGAAAGTACCTGTTCTATTTCCGGAGTAAGAGGCAGCTCTCCCACCGTCATCGCATTGTATTTCTTGAGGATAGTACTCATCTCGCGCAGATACTCATGAATCCGGGGCCCGTTGCAGAATAGATGCGACGCATACTGCCATTCCAACCGGGGATCTGTGACCGGGGCATCCGGAAAGGACGTATCTTTGCTGTACGCGTTCACAACATCGATACGGAAGCCGTCAATTCCCTTGCACAACCAGAACTCCATCGCTGATGCATAAATGGCCTTTCGGGTTTCCTCGTTCTCCCAATTCAGATCGGGCTGCTGCGGTGCAAAAAGGTGCAGATAGTACTCTCCCGTAGTGTCGTCCCACGCCCACGCACTACCGCCGAAACAGCTGCGCCAGTTGTTTGGCGGGTGCCTCTTGCCGTCTGGATCATACCGAGGAGGACGCCAGATATACCAGTCGCGCTTGGCTGAGGAAATCGAGGATCGCGACTCTTGAAACCACGCGTGCTCATCCGAGGTGTGGTTCACCACCAGATCGAGCAGGATGCGCAGTCCGCGCGCATGGCACGCTTCAATCAGCTTTTCGACGTCTTCAACCGTCCCGTATGGTGGGTAAACGGCTTCGTAGTTGGAAATATCGTAGCCCATGTCGTGCTGGGGGGAGTCGTACATTGGACACAACCAGATGGCATCGACGCCTAAGGACTGAATGTAATCGAGCTGGCTGTGGATGCCGGGGATATCCCCGATGCCATCCCCGTTGCTGTCTTGAAAGCTGGCGGGGTAGATCTGGTACACGGTTGCGTTTTTCCACCACATATTGTCAGAGGATGTGAAGATAGCTGGGTGAATAGAGATGGAGAAAAGGTAGAAAAAATATTATCCAGATAGAATATAGACGGAGATTTAGTGGAAAATAAATAAGCGAAAAAAAATAGAGGTAGGGAGGAGAGGGGAGAAGAGAAGAGAAGAGAAGAGAGGATCCGTTGGATCTGGGCTCCACAGAGTACTTGTAAGATCGGATAAGCGCATCTGCTCTTCTGCTTGCTTCTTCCCCACCGTGCTCTTGATTGGCGCCATAGTCGGACCGACACTTGCATATTGAACAAAAAATACTTACACTATAATGGTTATGATGGGTCTCAATGCTATGTGTCATTCTGCAACGTGTTGGGGTTTATCAGCGTTTAATGGCCGACCTAAGATCTGTCTAAAATATTCACTTAACCAAAAATTCACAATATTCCAATCACAAATTCTGTGGTGACTTAGGAAACGTTCCTAATAGTAAGTAACCATACCTGATGAAGTAAGTTGCTATGTCCGACGTATCCTGAGCGTCATGAAATCATATATTACCAGGCCGATCTGCCCTTCTCTATGCCTTATTCTTACCCACGTCGTCGACGTATAGGTGCCTAACATAGGCCTAGAACAGAGAGTGGGGCTAAAGATCTATTCTCTCATACCAGAGTCCCATATCGAACCCATCATTTCTCCCCATCCGCTCCCACTATCCCTTTCCCCTGCGGATCCATTGTCGACTCAATTCGTCGGATAATCCTAGCAGGATTCCCCGCCACAAAATGAAACGGGGGTACATCCTATCAAAAGACCGATGAGTAAAAGCGATCCATACACCTATTCCTTGCTCACCCACCTTAGTTACCACAGAGCACGCCCCCACGGTACTTCCCCGACCAACACGAACCCCAGCGAGAATAGTAGCGCCTGCTCCAATCCACACGTCATCTTCAATATGGATCTCCTTTCCTGCCTCCGGTCCCTTGAGGCCGCGGCGCTCGGCAGGGTCCATGGGATGTAGCGCTCCATACAAGCCCACATTTGGCCCAAAGAGAACATTCTCCCCGACGGTGATGAGACATGTATCGAGAACTAGGGCATTGAAGTTGATGAAGGAGTTTTTCCCGACCTTGAAATTGAGTCCGTGATCGATGGATATGGGTCCATCTACGAATGGATCGGTCTCTTCAAATAAAGCCTCATCTTCTTTTGCGTCTGGATGCTCGGTAGGGAGGGGGCGAGTGTCGCCGATTATTCTAAAGATTATCTGTCAACTATTTCCATAGTTGAGTTGAATATAAAGTAATAAGAAATAGGCGCTTACTCTCTCCAAAGCTTCACCTTCTCCCGGCGAGAGGCATCTCTAGCTGCATTGAAAGCCTCACAGGCTTTTCTGCAGCGCGTCCGGTTTTCTTGGAGGATGGCGTCACCCGCGTGATACCACTTTCCGCGGAGCATCTTGTCCCATTCTGGCGATGAGGTCATCTTCTGTACTTGAAAATTTGCGGAGCTTTCAACAAAAGTAGAGTTGGGTTGAAGGGTACAAGGCAGAGACAACCCGGAGTATATATAACAATTTGGTTAGTCCAGATACCAGCGCGGCTATTACGAGCCGGTTATGGTTAGGCTGAACCTTATCTATCCCCGATCCCCACATGGGAGTCATCTATGCATGGACATATTGCATGGATTGGGGATGATGTGTAAGTGATATCAACCAGTTAGTTCATGTAGCCCTGGGGAGCTCACTCGGCCTATGGATAGGTTTGGAGTTCAAGATCAGTGGCTTGCTAAGTCACCCGTCGAAACTGTGACAGTATACATGAAAATGTGCAGTGGTTTCCACCTACTGCTTGCATCACTTGGTCTATGACGAGCAATATTTTGTCAGAACTAACTCTCAAGTCTTGACGGAGCCATACAGAGTTAGTTCTTGGCGGAGTGTTATCGCATTGATATCTATCTTGATTAGTTTCATTTTGTTGTTCCCTTGTATTGCATTGCAAGGGGTTCCCGTCCGCTCAGCCGTACTTAAGCCACAGGTTAAATGTGGTTGAACTGTCAATGAGCCCTGATCTAGCTGCTGTTTTACCCAAGAATACCACTAGTTGAAATGGTGAGTGAAGGTGAGTTGGGTGATACTTTGTTATGTCACGGATAAGCAGGGTGAGTGCAGGTAAGTGTGGGTTAATATTGTAGATAAGCAGGATAAGTAGGATGAGTAATTTAGACAGAAAAATTTTATACTTTAAAAAGAGAAATTGAGAGATATATTACTTTTTTAACCATTAATAAACTTTGTTTCTAGAGTCTTTATTATTATATTATTTAACTAGCCATACTCTATAACACTGAGATATTATATGATATACTATTTAAGAAGAAACAGAGATAGCAAAAAGTTAATAAACTCTGTAAAATTAGGGAAGTTAGAGATTTTACTTTAGAGTATTAGAATAATAAAAAAGTAAAGGAAATTATAATATCTTTTAAAAAAAGGTGTCTGCTATGGAGGAGTGATATTAATATACTGTTGGTTATTAGAAACTGTAAGTGATATACAATGGATATGTAAGAAAGCTAATAATAAACTAGATAAATAATAACTTATAATAAGCCAGAAAATAGAAACTTCTTAAAGTTAGAGCTGGATCTATCTAGCCATGTTCTGAAACTCTTTTATATGAGTTATATTTATTTGTATAAAGAAGATCCTTTCTCTAAGTTTAGTATCTGTAATAATCTTTCTTATTTAATTATTAAATAGTAAAAGATAATCTCTAGAATTATATCTGAGTCAGTTAAAGGTAATATTTATAATATTTATTCTTACTATTTTGAATTTATTCTTTACTAATATTATAAAGTATATTTAAGATAAACTTACACTGAAGTATAGACTTGAAAAATAATATTAAAAGAAGTTTTATATTATAGTAAAAGATTTAAACCTGCTATAAAGGCGCCTGTTTTAAACTAATAATTATAATTATATTCATGAATATTTAAGATTCTAAGATCTATTTGTACTTTTATTATTTTCAGCTTTAGGAACTAGAGTAGGTGTTATTATTAAATCTACTTTTTATAGAAATAGTAATAAATATTTTTATTATATGATATATATCAAAGTCTTTAAAGATCTTGTCAAACCCTAGGATCGCTTCTCCCTGTTCCTGTTAGCTTAGCTCCCGTTTCCGATACGTACCTGTGAACTGAATCAAGGTAGTCAGGTTGTTGACTATCTAAAGGTGACTTGATCTGAACAAGAGAAGAGAAGTAAGGCCAGATAGTGCCGCGCAACTATCCGTAAGTAAGTGTGGACGAGTGTTGTGTTACAGACCCCTGCTAGCTGGACAACTAGTAAGGCGGGTACGTCAGGCAGAAGGCCACATCCGGACGGAAGGGAACTCTTATCGAGGAGAACCCCGACCCGAACCGTCAGGTGCCACGGATCACGTGACCATGGTATACGGACAAGCATGTGGTATACAACATACCATCATGGTCTATGACTACCAAGCGGGTATATGATAGACCCGATGGTATACAAAATGGTATATGAGGGACGGATATATAAGGACACTCATTCATGTACTTAGTTAGTTCTGTTCTTCGTGCTCAATAACACTGTCTTTAAGTAACCATATGTTTTGATAAAGCTTAGTGACAACACTTGTCCGCACTTACTTACGGATAGCTGCGCGGCACTATCTGGCCTTACTTCTCTTCTCTTATTCAGATCAAGTCACCTTTAGATAGTCAACAACCTGACTACCTTTGATTCAGTTCACAAGGTACGTATTGGAACGGGAGCTAAGCTAACAGGAACAGGGAGAAGCGATCCTAGGGTTTGACATGTTGTCGCTAAGCTTTACCAAAACGTATGGTTACTTAAAGACAGTGTTATTGAGCATGAAGAACAGAACTAACTAAGTACAAAAAGGAGTGTCCTTATATATCTGTCCTTTATATACCATTCTGTATACCTTCCTGTATATCACAGGCATATACCATATACCTGACCATATACCCTTTCATATACCCGCAGTCACGTGACTCATGACATGTAGCAGCTCAGTCCAGGTCCTGCCTGATAAGAGTTGCATCTCTCTGAGTGCCGCTCTTCTATCTAACATAACCGCCTCACTAGTCCCTTTAACTAGCAGGAGTCCGTAACACTACTTCCCTCTCTTTAAGATTCTTGTCCCTAAGAACATAAAGATGGGTGCCCCTATATACGTGTTGACTGGGTCCTTCAGTTCTTTTCCTTCCCAGAATAGATTATCATGTTTAAACGCGACAAGTACGCTGACAACAAATATTTGGTCAATAGGATCAAAAATTCCGGTCATCCTGTTAACACTTCTTATATCTTCTGTTTCTCTCAAGACAAGGTTTACATTATGAATTCATCTATTTAAAGTAAGAAGTATTTAGCTTATGCCTTGCGCGGTCATAAGTACAAGAAATAGTTTTATAGTAACTGAGAGTGGGATAAGCTCAAGTAAAATAAGTAAAAAGTTGCGGCCGATCTTGCAGTGGCCTAACAGCAATTTTTATAGTATTTTAAAAAGATAAATCAAATAATGGCAAAGATTATCTACTTACAAAAGCATCAGCAGTTTTTAAAAAATCATGATAGTCAGATATTAAATCATAACTTAAATATATTAAAATAGTTGGATGATAAAGATCCTTCAAGCACTGAGGATCTCTAAGAGCTAGAATATCTAGCTAATGAATATAATACTACTCAACTTACCGCTATGTCAGACACTCCTAGTCTGACTTAGTTAGTTAGTTCCCTTTCTTTCTAAACAAACTTCAACCTGTCTGTTAGTAGTACTACTCCACAAGCTAGTAACAGCCCGTCAAATTCTTAATAGATTTTTACATGTTTTCTAAGATATCATATTCTTCCTATTTTATCAGGTACTGTGATCTGTCGCTAATCTTTCTATAATCTAGAATCTTTTTAACTTTATATTCTTATTCTGTATTATTATCAATCTCCATATTTTCTATAATTCTAGTGTTCTTTGGTACAGGTTTCAATAATAAGATATAAAATACTGGGTGAATTCTGTTTATTGATTTTAACAATCTTAACTTATAGTTGATCAGTCTCTTCTTGTCTTTAATAACAAATAATCCTAGCTTGTAATAGTCAAGCTTTTAACTTAATCATTTTATCTTAATATTTCTGCAGAGTAGGAACACTTTCTTTCTTCTTTTTAAATCAGGTTTTCTCCTATATTTATGATTATAATACATCTTATTATACAAGTTTATAAACTTAATATCTCAAAATAACTATAAATACATATTTTCCATAAACGTGATAATATTCTTAACTATATTAATAACTTATTACTTTCCTAATAATGTTTCCAGAAACCTCGGGTGGTAACTGTAATTAGTATAAAACAATGAGATTCCACTGATTGAGTAACTAATATTATTATATAAGAATTATATTATTAATAACAGATTTATCTAATTATTTTATTAATAGTTCACGTAGTGTTTCAGATATTGTTTAATTATTTAATTAATTCTTTTTATTTATCTATTTATCTGCGGGTAGTAAGCTATTATTATTTATTCTTTAATTTTTATAAGATCTGTGAGTGATCTCCAGAACTTTAAGATAAATAACTTATCTTGATCTGATATAATATACTTTGATATCTTATAATATATAATAATATTTTCTAAAAATAATTCTACTATCTGTATTACTATTATTATCATCTTACTTGATATAAGATAGATATATTTAATAAAGTAATTAATAATGATTATAATAATATTAAATCCTTCCGATTCCAGTAATAAACTAATAAAGTTAATTATTATTTATTTTTATAATCATTATAGCGCCTTCTATACTTATATTTATTTATAGGGTTAGTACCTTGCAGGCTTATTCCTAATATAAGTCTTATATTATTTAACATAATCATGCACTTTCTGTCTGAGATTCAGAATATAGTAATTCTTTATGATTAGTTCAGTTGTTTTTTCTACTCTTAAGTAATCCTTGAGTAGTCTGTTATAATGTTTAGCCACAATCTTTATTCTTATTACAGTTAATATAAAGATTAACCTATAAAAATAGGCTAGTCTATTTTTATTAATAGTGATCTTATCTGGTAAGTCCTTGCTTATTTTTTAGAATATTTTATTATTTTTTATATCTTTAGCTAATCACTTAGTTAGATTATTATCTATTTCCAATATTACTATTAAGTTAATCTTATTATAGTTAATCAACCTATCTGTATTCCACTTTAGGATGGCTGATTTAATAGCCTTTTTACTTAATTTATAATCTAGCTTATGACTCAGTATATTTATATATTTATTCTCTATTTCTTTATAATATATGATTCTGAAGTTATATTATAACAGAATCTCAGCTCATCATGCCTGCTTTCTGATCAATTCTTTAGTTATTATAAAATAAGTCAAGTTCTTATGATCTATCTTTATAATAACAGTATGC